TCGACTTGATAGATCCAATGTACAGCGGGTTGGAGGCAGTTCGGTCCTTGGCCAATACGGACGCGAAGGAGCCAGCCTCGATAGGGTCACTATTCAATTAGCTTATATCACAGGACTGTCTGTTGGAAATACCCACCCCGCTTGTGTTCCGGTTCCGTGACCCTATCAGTTGATTAGCAGTTGCAATGAAGATGAAGGAAGAGGCAGTACAAACCTCAACAACAGGTGTCTGAGAGGGATCCAAGCCAACAGCTGCATGAACCTCTCGCAGAAGCCTCTCTTGGGCCGACCGGCTAGGCATGGTGATACCTTCCGAACGACCGGAGTGGTTGCAAGCAGAGCTGCGAATGACGGCATGGATGGGATCACCGTTGCTGATGGCATCATCCAAGCGCTTGACCAGCAAGCATGCAGCACCCTCACCACGACCGAATCCAGCGGCTTTGTGGTCATAGGAGTAACTACGACCATCAGGCGATAGAGCTCTTTGAACGTATTAGCTTGAGTCAGGTCAGATATGATGATAAGACTGTGGACCTACCCCATCTTCTCTAACGTGATCCATAAACTAGGACTGAGACATAGCGCTGCTGACCCCACAAAGGCAGCAGTACAATCGCCATTTCGAAGCGCCTGGCAGGCCTGGTGAGCTGCATAGGCACTGCTTGCGCACGCCGTATCAATAGCCACACTAGGCCCATTGACATCGAAGAAGTATGAAAGACGATTGGCAAACATGCATGAGGCGACACCGGTGGCCGAGAAAGTCGATGTTGAATAGAGATCTTCAGAAGTACGGTGCGCATATTCTTGAGATCCGCAACCGACGAAGACACCGATCTTCTTACCCGCCAGATCGATGAGGCTGTGCCCGGCATTTTCGGCCGCTTCTAAGGCACATTCCAGCATCATTCGATGCTGGGGGTCAGAGTTCCGAGCTTCCTCGGCCCTCATGTTGAAGAAACTGGCATCAAAGCCGTAGATGTCGTCGGGAAGGAAATGCGCACCCTGTGATCGAAAACTACCGCTTCGTTCAGCACCGGGGTTATGGTACGCCTTGTGGTCAAATCGTTCAGCGGGCATCTCGGTCCATGCGGACTTCGCTTCTGCCAGGTAGTCCCATAGTCCTTTTCTCCCAACGCCAGGGGCGCGGTAAGAAAGGCCTACAATGGCAATTGGGACGTCGTTGGTCATGTTGAATTGTAGTGTGATGTAAAAGATTTCGTGGGTTCGTCAGTGGTGTGTAAAACGGACAGAAAAGGTGGGCAGCAGAGGGAGTTATATAGCTGGACCTCTCGAGCAATCATCCGAGCTCATCGACAACAAACGAACAACTAGAAGACGTTGGGGTGAGATGGTAGCCTCGTTTGTAGAAAGGCTGCCAATGAGTATGCCTCCTGTCAGAAAATAGCCGACTATTCTATTCCTAAAGTTGGTTGGTACCGCTTTTCCTATCACTGAGTTTCTTGATCTCCCAATAGTATACGGAGGATACATCGACCCACCTATTCGATATCCGTAGTATCCTGGTCCGAGCAGGCCCTTGGGTATGGACAATTGATAAATCAGGATCACGTTCCTTGCACTCGTAAGCCGGAGTTCGAGACACGAGAAGGCACCGGTCACATCCATCGCCACGCACAGCTTCATACTCCGTAGATTCCTTCATGAGATCCGAGTCACTGAATCATTATCGATCTGATTGACTTTCAGCGTCTGGGGGCTGAAGCTAATTGTTTCCATCGGATCCTGGGGCCTTGGTTGTTGATCGGGAGAGCAGGACGGAGGACAGAGTTTACCAAGTCGAGGTTTCGTTTGCCTCAGGCTAGTCGTCCCACGTGGTGGGGATGGAGTAGGACTGACCAGAGTCCGGGACACAATTAGAATTTCCCTTGGCTATTACGTCGTATTCTTTAGAAACGCTTAGATGTCTCTTACTCTGGGTTAGCAAAGGCTCGTGCGGGGTGATTATCTATTTGGTGGAGCTCGGGCTATGCATCCAAGCCCACCCATTTTGATACCCACACAAATGCGTTGTCCTAATGATGAAAATGTATTTCAAAGGGCCTTATCTCAGATAGGTCCATACGACAAGTCCAATGGCCAACATTTGAGCGCCTTCGAAGCCATGTACCTCTTCTCCAATATGCAATATCAAGTCGTGGGAAGTGTATCGCCACGTGGGCTACGTTTGGATTGGCCAAATCTTCTTGTAGACGCACGCAGCATGCATCTCCGCCTTCCTACCCCCACAGCAGTATGGATAGCACTCCCTCAATCCCGATTATATTAAATCCGTACCAAGCGAAAGCCACAGAAGCCAACATGCCGCGTTAACAGGCTGTAGCGTCCCCTATCACTACTTCTTCCCCATGTGGGTATCAGCATCTTCCTTCGTCCCTTCCTTCAGTTTTCCCCTCACCAAATGCTCCGTGTTACAGTTCCTTCGCTTATTCCTTCATCTGCATGCTCCAAGTATACAGCACGTCATGCAGCCAGCCTGATTCACTCCGCGGAGACGAGCATGTTAGGGTTTGTGGCTGGCTCTACTCCTCATCACATCTAGTCAGACTAAGTCGGCGTACAGCTTAAGCGTCTCGGTTCCTGTCTAGAGGTCGAGTCGAAGCATTCTGATGCATAAGCTGAGCTTACCTGAGAGTCACTGGAAGGGGCAGTTGGCCAGGGCTGGATGGGATCGAGTGGCTCTATTGGACCTCCTGATCGCAGGATGCTTGAGGCTGATTTTGGGGGGTGGTAAGTCTGAGACTACGTGATCGTCATCAGAATTCTGCATTATGCACTATCTCTATATTCTTAGATCCCTGTACGGTCTACATGGTAACTGAGTGAGGCTAGAACTGAAAAATACCGGTAAGTTTCAATACTGTACCGTGGTATTGAACGGTATTTGGCAGGAATAGACCCAACTAGTGATCGACACCAGCCTTTTATTGGAAAGGTACATACATCGTAAGCTGGCCGCCTAACTTGATAGTGATTCAGTTCGGGTCCGTTAGAGCTCCGGCAATTTTCCTCTCTTTCTTTTTAATTATTCTTTTATACCACTGGTTCCCCCCAGGACCGGCCCGCCGGGTGGCTGACATGCTAAGGACTCTAAAGACCGCCACAGCGTCACTCCCCGCATGCGTAAACCAGCGCCACTTAATCTAACGGACTTGTCGAGCTTGTCGTGGCCGTGAAACCAGCCCCCAAGATGGAATCGGAATTCTTGTTCTCCGAAACATCGGCCTCTTGGTCGGGAATCTAGACACTTGGCCGGAGGGGTTTGTTTGATCCCTATTCGATCTGTCTTGGAACGTGCTTCACCTTCATGTCCTTGCCACAAGAGCCAAGTGTCGGATGCAGAGTCGGAGCCGATATTCACGCCGTATTTTAAATATGCAGGTCGTCTTTGAGACCGTCGGGGCTTTTCCGATTGAGTGTATATTGCCCAGGCTTGGTATGTTACAGGCTGCCAACCTACCTGCCAACCTACCTACCCACCTATCTTGCCCTATTCACCGACATACTAACATCCTTCGCCCGAAAGAAACTTCCGAAACTGACATCGGATCCATGATTACTCAGAAAGCAAGCGATCGCAGTCAGGCAGTCCAGTAGACTCTAATCTGTGGAGGATCTCCGCGGTGGCCGCCAGTAAGCCTGATCAGGAAACGACTACCAATCTCGACATGACTCAGTGAGCTGCAGATTGCAGATCTTCCACAGTTTAGGAAGGTAGCTTAGGTCTTACTGTGTGCTCTTATGCATCGCCTAGCGGAATGTGGATGCCGAATGCTGACAGCGTACAATGATAGACTAGGGTCAGCCCACATAGTCTTGGTTGTCTCATTTTCCGGCTACATGGGGGCTTAGTCTGATATTGTGTTTTGATTAGTTTCTGGCCAAGCCTTCCTTCCTCCTTCTTACGCACCCGACAAGGATATTCATCCATATAATCTTCTCATTTACCTACCGTGGAAGTACTGATTCTCTTGGGCATTCAAAACAGGAAGGTCAACGGGTGTGGATCTGATCCTAGCGCCGCCCACGAATTCTCCGTACCCCGAACGAACTCTACTGTAAAGCCGGGGATCGGGGTAGAGCCCGACGGCTCGAGGATCAAGTCCGCGCCTTTCACGATTATGCGTGCCACCGGACTTTGCCCGATCATGCAATGCTACATTTTAATTACGATTATACGGTATATTGCCCATTGCGTAGGAGTATACCTGGCCAAGACCATCCTTTTCTTGGAGCTGCGATCGACGGTGTAGTCCCGAAGAAACTGAAACCGAGTACATGGTTGTATAGAGCGAAGTGACCTCGTATTGCGTGATGTCAGATAGTGACACCAATAGCCTCTTTCGTCTTCGCTGGTATGCAGTCCAGACCAGGGAATCACGATGAGACATTTGATTTGATTTGGAAAATCGTCTCCAGTGCCGAGTCTTGGGAAGCTCTCACTTCCTGTTTTAGTAAATGATTTTAGTTCAAACTTATATGTTGGCTTACTATAGCGTAGGTTCGAGCAGGATTCATGTAAGAAGAAATACTGCAATTTTGCGCTGTCAATGCGCTCCGGTGTCCAGGGTGTTGCTTCGAGTGTACTTTTTCTTTCTGCTTTTTTTTCCCACGTAGGAAAGCCTCCTTCCAGGCTTAGTAGACATTACTAGCTGTATTGGTAGATTTCATTCTATCATCGACTTGTGGCCTATCGTACCAAGAAGAACCGTAGGTGGTGGAAGTAAATGGCTGTGGGAATTGCTTGCTCACCGTTACTGTGTTGAGAAATTTGTTGTGAGTGGAACGTACTTCAAAACGCTCTTTACTTGAATTATAGTCAGACCGAAAGATATCGCCGACACTCTAGATTATATTTATATCTATAAAGCTGCCCATATAAGATGTAAGATGTCACCTAGAATAAAGCAATAGAGGGAAATACCATTGATGATCGAGACATATTTACTTCTATAAAGCTAACTCTCTAAATGTGATCAAAACATCGGTGTCCGCGGCGTCACAACAGATTGCACCTTAACCTTCAACCACTCCCTTATAGCCCCCCGATCCAGCTTCCCCGACACGGTTCGAGGCAACCGCTCAACCATCAACCAAATAGTAGGCACCCTCTCAGCCGGTAACCTAGACCGAGCGTAGTCACGAACTTGATCCAGCCGTTCACTCGCAGCATCCCTCTCAGTATCCGGCAACTCCTGAAGCACAGCAGTCCTCGGAAATCGCGGATCCACCAAACAGACGATCGCAACTAGTTGCGTCCGACCGGCCGAGATCTTCGCGGAGGTGACGATCTCCCGAATGTGGGCACAGCGGGCCAGAAGACTCTCCAGCTCCTCGAGTTGGACTTTCTGTCCACCTAGCTTAACTTGGTTGTCTTGGCGACCGATGAAGGAGATGCTTCCGTCGGCGTTGTATTTGGCGAGATCGCCGGTGCGACAGAAGCGGGTTGCGTTTCGCTGGAAGGTTGAGGCCCAGAGAGGTGGCGAGATGAAGGAAGTGGATGTTTTAGGGTCGTCGTTGAGGTAGCCGCGCGCGACGGACGGCGATTCGATCCAGAGTTCGCCAACGTCGCCGATGGGAGTGAGTTCGTTGGGGTTTCCGAGTTTGACAATCCAGGTAGCACTACCGAGTGGGAGGCCGATGCTTTCTGGGGACTCTGAGTTCGGGCTGAATCCTGCGATGGTGCTGAGGAAGGTTGCCTCGCATAGTCCCCAGCCGTTGAAGAATCGGACTGCACTGGCCCAAGTGTTCGCGGTCTCGACGTCAATGGGCTCACCGAGTGAGACCAAGGATTGTAAACTAGAGGACTCATCAGGCGACATCGTCCGGATTACTCCTGGGGGTAGAAATGCCCAGTTGACTTTGCTGGACTGTATGAAACCAGCGAGATTGAATGCACTCGCCGCCTCGGACGGTATGCAAAGGCATCCGCCGAACAAGAGAGCCGCGAACATTTCGCCAATAATGGTATTGGAAACAGGGGCGGCGAATTGAAGCACCCGGCACTCAGACTGCAAGCCGAGTCGTTCGGCGAGGGAGGTCAAAGACGAAACCAGGTTGCGGTGCTCAAGCATAACTGCCTTCGGGGCCGTCGTGCCACTTCCACTGGTAGAAACGATATAGGCAAGATCATTTGGAGAGGTCGTCCCTTTACCAACAGGCCCATTATGCTCTGGAAGTGCAGCCATAGATTCTTCGCTGACGGCAAAAACATCCGGTGCCAGATTAGCGGAGTTGCTGTACTCTGCAGACGATGTCAAAACGATCTTGACGTCTGTGGTAGAGACAATAGCAGCTCTGTAGTCATACAGAGCATATTTATCGATCTGTACACATGCTCCGCCCGCCTTGAGGACCCCAAGCACGGCAACAATAGCCCAAAGAGACTTTTCAAATATCAGAGCCACAGGCTTGTTAGTAGCGACACCCCTCCTCCGTAAATCGTTCGCAAGACGATCCGACAATTTGTCTAGTTCACCGTAGCTCAGTTTCCCATCGCTAGCTTCCACTGCGACTTGTTCCGGGCGCGCGCGAGCTTGAGCACGAAACACGTCGTGTACACACTGTTCGACCGAATCAGGAATGCTTTTGTTCCATTCTAGGATCTCTGCACGATCGCGTGGATTTAATAACTGGAGTTGCCCCAGTTTTGTCTGTGATGGAACCTCCGTGAGCAGTTGCAATGTATGCTCGAATTGGTTCAAAACTCGATCTAATTGGCGATCATCAAGAACAGCAGGATCATTCCTCGGTTCAACTAAAATTCCATCATCGTAGAGGCTACACACCAGTTCAAGACTAAATGATCCCTGCGGCCACAACAAACTTTCAAACTGGACATCTGTCGCCTCTGCAGCGATCGGTAACGGTGGACGAATGTTTATCAAGGCCTGAAACCCGGAAGCGATACGGGCTGCATCGCTGAGGGCGCCGATGCTCTGGATACCATATTGCAGGGTAGGCTGTGTTTGCAACTGGCGCAAAGCCGTAGCACGATCTTTGATGAGTTTTTCGACCGTTAAATTCCGCGGCAAGTTAACCTGTATCGGCACTTCAGCCAATGTGGGCCCTAGAGTATTTTCCAGGCCGTTTAAACCAGATGAACGACCGGACAATACAAGACCGAACGCGACGTTCTCGCTGCCCGTGTAAACACCCGTCGTCAAAGCCCACGCTGCCGCGACAAAGGAAGATAGATGTGAAGGGGACAATCCTTCGCCAATTCCCTTCAATGCGATTTTCCGCGTCCCTATCTGCTTTGCATGGGGAGCAAAGCCCGGGCTCACGGTTGGGAAAAGTGAGGGAACGCCTTTGAATCGAGGACTCCAGAAGGCCTGTGCCGCAGACTCGTCGATGCTCGCGACATGTGCCACAAAGTCTTTGAAGGGAGGTCGTTTTTTTAAAGATTGGCCATGATACGCGCCCACTACATCTTCCTTGAAAAAGGTGGTCACGGACCAGTAATCCATCACGGCGTGGTGGATCGTTGCCACGAACTTCCTGCCGATAACAGTCGATCGGAAAAGAGGCACTCCCAGGCCCAGTTTGTGTGCCTCCTCATCATTGAGGTACGCGTCAAGGTCTCCAGAGTTGGTTTGCGTGATGTGTTCTTCATTCGTAATGACCTGCAGTATACCCAGGCGAGTATTGACGAACCGCGTGCGTAAGATAGGGTTCGCGGCGACCACTTGAGTCAGAGACTTGCAGAACCGATCAATATCAGCATCAGGCCCGAAAGCAAGAGCTAGATGGAAGACTTCGGCTCTTGCAATGAGTCGGACTTGGAGAGGAGTACAGCTGTGTACATCCTCGATTTGCTCTTCGGGTACATTGCATGTTTTGGCGATTCCTGTTAAAGTTTCGCTGTCGATATCGTCTTTCGACTTCACTCTTTGAGACCCCATTCTTGGATAGTGTAACTAGGTTCAAAAAACAAATACGATGGCGTAGGGACCAGAATCGTCATATGAGAGGCGTTTCAAAATCACGATGATGTACCGCAACAGAAATCGGCAGGATCAGACTAAAACTCTTGGTTTTATGGATGACAGAACTCCAAAATGAGAGAGCAATGTAATGCCTCTGGCCCCATGTGAACGGCCTAATTTGTAGTAAAGAGCGAGCGGCTGTCGTCTCTGGCTCAACTCTCGCAGGGCCTAACCAGTTTGATACCGTCACAGCAGACATAAATGGTGGCAAGCGTCTCTGACAGTTGCTTATCCATCAAGTGCGCGTACAAACTCAAGGGCATTCGGCCCTGGGTAAGCTGGATCGGCCAAATCCTCGGAGTATTCATCCTGCGTTGCTTCCTTCATGTACTTGACTGGTTGAGATTCTTCCGGTCAAACGGAAACCCTGGGCCCACAGGCCCGGGGCGGATTTGAGCCCCTGCATGGGAATAATGGCAGATAGTGACGAATTTCTAGCCAGGTGCATGTCAGAAAGTGAGAGGATATACCGGATTCTTGTGACTTTCGGGGCGGCGTAATTTGTGTTTCACGAAGGAAGCCAAGTGAAACTTTCAATACCAGACGTCCGGTTCTGATATTTCCACGGCCCAGCGGATCAGGTGACTCGCACGTGTCGATGAGCTCTGCGGACAAAATTGGATTAGCGCCATCGCGATAAGATTGCTTGCGCGGGGTCTTTTTCTCCCAACTTTCAATCAAACCTCCCACACGAGACGGCATTCTGGTCATCCTCTGGAGGTTCCTGCTTCCCCGATATTCCCATGGACGGCCTCGAAGACAGATGTGCCTCGCTGCGCGCTCAAATTGCCGCTACAGAAACCCAGCTAGCGGTATTGAAACGCGACCTGGAGAATGCGGAGCAGGCAGCCTCAACAACCAGGGCCCAGGAGGCCGCCACCACTCGGAATGAGAATAGGAAATGGCCACTGTTAGATGAGGAGTATCGGCGCTACGGGAGACAGATGATTGTTCCGCAGCTGGGATTGCAAGGTTCGTTGAGATCAAACTAGTACTTTGAGCATTACGCTAACGAGACCTCGGTTGATGATACAGGACAATTGAAGCTGCGCGCCGCCAAAGTATTGCTTGTCGGCGCTGGGGGTCTAGGATGTCCAGCGGCTTTGTATCTGGCTGGCGCGGGCGTGGGCACGATAGGTCTCGTGGATGGAGATACGGTCGATACGTCGAATTTGCATCGTCAGGTTCTGCACCGGAGCGAGAACGTGGGAAAGATGAAGGTGGACAGTGCGATTGAGTATCTGCGCGAGTAAGTTTCCCACCTATCTAGCATAGGTGCCGTTCAAGAGGATGAGCTGACCGGTTATGTACTTAGGCTGAACCCCCACCCTACATACATCCCTCACCGATCGCACCTCTCTTCTCAAGAAGCACCAGACATCTTCGAGAAATATGATTTGATTCTTGACTGCACCGATAATCCAGCCACGCGCTATTTGATTTCGGATACCGCCGTGCTCCTAGGGAAACCCTTGGTTTCGGCCTCGGCCTTGCGCACCGAGGGGCAACTTATGGTGTTGAACAACCCTCCTCGACCGGTCGGCGACAAAACCGGAGGCCCCTGCTACCGATGTGTCTTCCCCCGGCCGCCGCCAGCCAACAGTATTCTGAGTTGCGCTGACGGGGGAATTATCGGTCCTGTGGTCGGCACGATGGGTGTCCTCCAGGCGGTCGAGGCAATCAAAGTGATTACCTCTCCAGTTGACGAAACGAAGCCGCCGTCGCTGCTGATCTTCTCCGCATACTCGACGCCTCAATTTCGATCTATCAAATTGCGATCCCGTCGACCGAACTGTGCCGTTTGTTCTGCCGAGGCCACCGTCACCCTTGACTCTGTCAAGTCAGGGTCTACCGATTATGTCTTCTTCTGCGGCACCGTGAACCCAGAATCGCTATTGTCTCCGGAGGAACGGATCTCGCCACTGGAATACCAAAGCTTGTATCCACAGTTGTCTGAGGAACCCCAACCGCGGAAACAACCCACTATCATCGACGTCCGCGAAAAGGTCCAGTACGACATCTGCAGTCTGGACAACAGCGTCAACGTTCCCATCTCAACCATCTTATCCGGAACAGCCACAACCAACCCCGAAGACAGTGAACACTCAACTCCCCCATCATGGCTTCCAGAGCACATCGCCTCCGACTCGACCGACCCCATTTACGTGGTCTGCCGTTTAGGCAACGACTCCCAGATTGCCGTCAAAAAGCTCAAAGAATCAGGATTAGATCGCAGCGGCCAGCGAACGATCGCCGATATCCGGGGAGGATTCCGCGCCTGGCGCGAACAGGTCGATCCGGAATGGCCCGAGTATTGAATGGACAGAAACAGAAGAGCGATTCAAAAAGACGAGAGAGAGAAGACACGACCTGATGCATCACGCATGTATTAATCATGAACACCGTAAATAGAATCAGCATTGGCATTAGCATTAGTTAGAACCAGCAAGCCTCATCACAGCTTTTTATCAACCGGCGCCTCATCCAACCAAGCCCATTCAATCAACACGCGACCCAGATCCATATCCGCGAGCCGCTTGAACACCGCCGAAGAAACGTCCAGGTCAGTGGTATCGCATCCAACGCCTACATCATCATCAATTAGCACTCGAACCCTATTTCCTCCCCCTACCCCTTCTCTCCTCAAATCCCTCCCAGGGGGTAAAAACCAAACGGAAAGAGAAGAACCTACACCGATCCACAACCATAACATCAACACTACTCTCCCCCCGTTTAACCCTCAACTTCAGTCCGCACAGGGGATTCGCATTCGGATTCGAGCCCGTCAACGCCGCATCAAACAACTTATGTGAGACCGCGCATATCATGTCCGAGCTGGAACTAGTGATGCCGCAGGATCCAAGAGCCGGGTCATAGTAGGTCAGATCGCCTTTGTAGGGGCCGCCGTAGCCGGTCGGGAGGGGGAGGTTTGCATGACTAGAGTAGATGGGTTGAAGACGCGTCTGTCAGTATTCAGGTGATTCAAATTTCCAGCGAACATAAGAGTAGATATCCAGCAAAACAGAATAGAACAGAATAGGAAAGATCAACTCACCCATTCCCCCTCCTCGTCAACCCAACAGCAAGTCCAATGATCAGAGCAATGAGCGCCAAAGACGCAAAGAAGGCAATGACAATAATCGTCCGTTTGCGCTGGGGCAGCGCGAACCACCGCTGGGTCCAGTTCTGCCACCATTGCGGGCCTGAGCCTGACTCCGGGGCTGGTCCCGGTCCCGGCCCCGGGGGCGGAGGCGGAGGCGGAGAGGTCGTTGTCGCTGGCGCACTCTCCTCGTCCTTAGGTAGAGGGAGAGGTTTGCGTTTGGGGACGTCCATACCTGAGGGCGCTTATTTATCTGGTATGATTGCAATGGGGGAAAAGGCTAAGCGCATGATGGATGAATTGGTTCATTGCGACCGACAGAATCGCAAAAGATAGGGGTTTGGGGGTGGTTGTCGCTAGACACTTTAGGTGTAACTCGCGCCTTTTTGCGGTGTTCGTCCTGATTGGCCTGAGGCTGTCAGGCATCGGCCGAGGCCCGTGACTACCCCAGTCAGGCGATTGGCTTGGCATCGTGCGCCTCAGGTACCAAGGCACCCAGGCACTTAGGCGTCCAGGCATCTGGACCCTTGGGTGATCTGACGAATACTTGGACCCTCGCAGAGCTCCTTTGTTTTCCAGTTCTTTCGTGTTATTATTTCTGGGCGGTTACCATCTACCTACAACTACTGACCTGTACTGAAGAGAACCAAGCCCCAGAATAGATTCAATCTCAGCAATCAACCAAAAACTATAGCAACCATATGTCAAGAAAGATTAGATACTAACTAACGCCCTTATTAAATAACGATCATTCCCCGTAGCAGTATAGCCTGCTCCTTTCGTATAAGCTCCAATCCAATCCAAATGCAGCTCACAAACCACACTGCCCAGCATCATGGCCATCATCTTCATCTTCATCCTCACCCTCATCCTCATCTCCAATGACATCTCTCAACTCCCCCTTTGGCTCAACCACCCTCTTCAAAGTCTTCCTAACCAATGTCCTCTGCTCAAACGCATACGCCATCCCAATCAACTCCTTTTCGCTCCACTGCTTCCCTAAAAAGCTAATTCCGAACGGGATCCCCGGCGCGATGTACACCATATCACCTCGATCGTTATGCTTGATTGCCGATGAATTCGGGAACGCGCCCATGGGGACCGTAGTGACCGGTGCACCGACCAGGGCCGGAATATCAGCTGCGGTGCCGGTGGGCAGGATGATAGCATCGAGCTGGTGACGGGATAGAGCGCCGAGCAAGCCGCCTTCGCCACCGTAGTAGAGACTTTTTTGATACATGGCCCAGAATTCGGGAGATGTGTTCGAAAGGCCGGTGACTATAGCGAGGTCCCAGACTTGGGTCCGACTGTATCTTGACGAGGACTGACGGGGATGACTAGATGGCGAGAGGTCAAACCGACGGTGGGCTTGATGCCCACGATATTGCTCACTTCACTTGGGAAGAGGATACTTCCGCTAGTCTGCGAAATACTTAGCCTATTCATCCTCATCTGACATTCAAACAACCGAAAGCAGGATCAAGTAAACAAACTCACCTCTGTCCCCAGGGCCGCAAAAGCCAATCCCAAATCCGTAGCCACAGCACTCCCACTCGAGCTACCATTGGGATCCTGCTTTGGATAATAAGCTGCATATGTCTAGCCGCCACGCGCATTCCACCCGTTAGAGGAATTCATCGACCGGACGCTCGCCCACTCCGAAAGGCTGGTCTTCCCAAGAATGACCAGTCCGTGTTCACGCAGTCGAGCCACGACGGTGGAATCGTCATCCAATTTAGCCCCAACAAGAGCGAACGAGCCAGCTAGAGAGAGAGCATATTAGTCTACCGGATGCCAATCAATACCAATGTCCCAGGGAGGGACCACATACCAGCCGTCTGCATCTTATATCTTGTGCTAATACTATCTTTCACGAAAACTGGCAGCCCATGAAGAGGTCTAGACAAAGTTAACGATAAACTATCATTCCATCACACAGAAGGTAGGAGACATACCCACGAAGATGGCCCATCTCTCTCTCCTGATCCAACTGCTTGGCGATGTCCAGGGCGTCGGGGTTCACTTCGAGAACTGCATGGAGGGTGGAGTTCACATCATTTATTCGACGGAAGTAGGCCTAATATCATCAGTTCATTTCATATTCAAGCATAAAATCCACGACATACTTGATATAGAGGCAGGAGGGACAGCAACTTACATTGACCAAATCCACACTCGTGAAGCACTCATCCTCAAACCACATGAAGCTGGTCAAATGTCGCATCAATCAATTTGGAAAGGGTGCAATCATTCCAATTAGTGTCAACGACTGCAGACGGATGTCCATCGACAATAGTACCAAGGAAGAACGCAAGGAGAAGCAGCCAAAGATGGGAAATCATGATGTCAAAATGAGAGAAAACAGTAAAGAGCAACGATAGCTCTAAGCCAGGAGGGAATAGTTCATGGTGAGCGAGAATGCGAGGGTCGTGTGATGGATTAAATAAGTTGAGACGTAGGTAAATCAGGGTGAACCAGGTCAGCCCGCTGGTCAGTCAGTCCGTAACGCCAGTCGGGATTCCAATCCCTCCTTGATCGCCCCCAATTGTCTTTCCCTTTCAAGTCCCGATGCGACGCACAACTTATTATTGCGAGCTTAGTATTATTCGATCAGTTAGGAAAGGACGTTGCTGCCTTATTTCATGTCGCTTGCCGTGGACTGCGGGAATTGGGCGCCCCTGTTGGCTCGGGAGAAGGTCACTGGACGTAGGTGGTTACCAACAGAGAAGTATATGTGAAGTTATTAAGATCTGGAAATGACGATGATTAGCTGGATGGGAAAGGGAAGGGCATTTGACCTCGCACAGGAAATGCAGTGCCACGATTTTCATCTCCACTAAAGGGTCTTTTTCCCGCGTTGTGAAACCGCAGACTCAGAAACCGTTGAATTCATATATGCATATCATCTAACGCTGTAGCATACCATATCTAACCCCTCAGCCATCTAATTCACATTTATCCCAAGTCTTTCAGAGTATAAAGTCATGATACAATCATTTTAACATCACCACAGACAAACACTCCGCCTCTAGTGCTTGTCTTGCTCGCCAGGAGCAACACTCACGGAAGTCACAGGGCTGTTTTCTTCATCCGTACGCTCAATGTGAGTGGTCACCCCCTTGTTCAGAGTATGTTCCACCGCCGCGCGCCGGTCAGCCTCGTCCACAACGCCAAAGAGCACATCCATTTCCTCCAGGGTTCGTCCCTTGGTTTCCTTGGCAAAGAAGAACACAAAGACACCCATGGCCAGGCAGAAAATACCGAACATGAGGAAGGTTCGCCAGCCCGTGTTGTGAATCGCATGAGGGGTCACTTCGGTAATGACGAAGTTGAAGAGCCACTGCGAGGTGGCTCCGAGACCAACGCCGTACGCTCGTAAGCGGGTTGGGAAAATCTAGTTACATCTGAGTCAGTGGACGAAATTATTGAAAATGTGGGGGGGGTTGAGGGCACAGAAGGAGAAGGGCTAATATTAGAGCGACCAGGGGTATAAGACAATGGCATCTTACCTCGCTCATGTATACCCAAGGAGTGGGACCCCAGGAGAAACTGTATCCGATCACGTAAAAATAGATCATCACGACCATGGCAATGGAGGCCTTGGAGACACCCTCACCAGCTTTGTCCGGGTCAGGTGGGTTGGTGGCTAAGACAGCGCCGATGATGAACATCATGCTGGCCATCCAGGCGGAGCCACCCAGCAGACTGTTCTTCCGACCCCATCGGTCGATTCCAATAAACAGAAAGATGGCCGTGGCGACGACCTTCACGGTTCCGTAGACACCCGTAGCAAACAAAGACGAGTTGGTGGCGCTGAGACCGATCGTCTGGAAGATCTGGGGCGCGTAGTATCCGATACTGTTGGTGCCCGAAAACTGCTGGCACAGCATGAGAACGAAGGCAAACAGGAAGCGGTTGCGGTTGCTTTTCTGCAGGAACTCCTTGTAGGTAAGACCCTCGGTGGCAGCGTTCTCTTCCGCGATGGACGCACGGATTTCGGCAATCTCTTTCTGAACGCCCTCCTCGTTAGGCGATTCATTCCGGATGTACGCGAGCGATTGCAGGGCTTCCTCATGGCGACCCTTGCCCGTCAGCCAGCGAGGAGACTCCTTCAGGAAGAACAGGCCGACTAGCATGAGACCACCGGGGATGAGCTGGATTGAGACCGGAATACGCCATTGCTTGGTACTGGAGGGCACACGCAGGGCAACCCCGTAGTCCAGCCAGTAGGCGAAGGTGCTTCCGATGACCAAGAATTCCTGAAACATGCCGGCAATACGACCACGGGTCTCGGGAGGAGCGTTTTCGCCCACATAGACAGGGGTAATGCTAGACATTCCACCAATGCCCAGACCCGCCACCACACGACCGGCATAGATCAGCCCGATTTCATGGTGCGCACCGACTTGCAGCGCAGCTCCGACCAGGAAAACCATGGTAAATACCATCAGCGAGTAACGACGTCCCAGACGATCGTTGAGGAAAGCAGCCGCGATAGCACCGAAGAAACAGCCCGCCGTCAACAGCGAGACAACATTGGAGGAAACCTGAGCATTGGATGACGACGAGAACCCGTCGGAGTCGAGAGGCAGCCCGAAATCCCGTTTGAAACTGTCCATAGCCAGGACACTACCCATGACACCAGTGTCATATCCTAGAAAAGCATTTCCCATTAGTCAATCACAATAAAACCAGTTCAGAACAAGACATAACGAACCGAAAAGCAGAGACCCCGAATAGGCCACCGTTGTCAGGATATAGACACGATAATTCTTGAAGAAGCCCATGGTGACGAGAATCCCCTGGGCTAGATACACAAAAGGGTGGGCTTTCTGGGGAGAGAGAAAAAAAAGGAAAGAAACTGGGGAATCTTCCCCAGAAACAGGCCCTATTTATTTCTTTTCCCTCCCCCCATAAATCCTACCCCAACCCATCCATTCCTTCCTCCAGACGAGCCCCATCCGTCATCACTATTTCCGATGGGCCGGAGACCGGGAGAATGACGATCGTAAAGATGGAGACACTAATAGGGGACAGCGAAGAGTGACCACAGTTTCCTCCGCTCTCTCTCGGCGCCCTGTGCTGAATCTAGCAAACTGTCAAACGCCGTGGGCAGGACACCGACTCGGCAATGCTTCTTTCGATTCCGGGGGGTGGATACGGACGGAGAAATTATCGCAGTCGTGAGGAGATGGATTTTTCCGTCCACTGAGCGGCTGTCACTAATGCGCCGCTAAAAGCATCGTTTCCGGCCCTTCTGACTGGGCTGCTGTCGGTGGCTGCGATATAGGGCGATCATGCCAGGATTACTTTTTTCTAGTCCATCCCCATTGCCTCGGAGAGTCCACAATCCGACCATAATGATGAAAGATGGCCGGAAAATGGGCTGTTGGTTGCATCGAAGTGGATGAGGAAAGAGAAAATCCATTCCTTCTTGGAGGCGGTCAAAATGCCCTCCAATGCATGTGACCTGCGCAACCCTCAACGTCTGCTGCTCGTCCTGCAATGAGATTCCTAATCCTGCCCGACTACTATCCAATTAATTAACCTTGTCTCACACCTTCTGCCCGCCAGAGACTCCTCTTCCAAGGAATCTTCAACCCCTGCTTATCCCCTCTCTCTTTCTTCTCCCTTCGGTGTCGCCATCACCTTGATATGATCATTCGGATTCGCCAGCTCCTCGAATCCCTTCTCGACAATCTCCTCCAGCCTCACTTTTCTCGTTATCATGCGTTCAATGCCTGTCAATTGCCCTGGTCTCTTGCATAAGCACGTTCTGGTCCGGATGTAACCGCGTTAGGTAGAGACAGACTACTACTCACCGGCGACAAAAGCAGCTACCACCTCCTGGAAATCCCTCTCGTCATACGCCAAGGACGCTTTATATGTAAGCTCCTTTAGCAGGAACTGGAGAACAGGGATCGTAATCTTGAGCCAATCAGGTCGTCAGCCAGTCAGCCACTTTCTCTTGTCTGGCCCGTTTCCCGTTCCTTTTCCCCGGTCCGAGGCCAGTCGGGAAATACTGGTATCATCCGCTCTCCCCGGGGTGGGTAGCAAAAGGGAAGAGGCCACTCCCGGACGGAGGATATAATATAATATATGATAGGGTAGGACAGGATAAGACGTGATGTGATGTGAACAAGTGGCAACACGGGGTGTGTGCTTCTGTCTGTACTCACCGGCACCTTCACAGTCGCCAGATTCACATACTTCCCTGCAAATCTAAGGGCCTGGCACGCGGCGTCCATCCCCGGCTGGGCGCCCGCGCAATCAAACACGATGCCGACGCCTTCGCCGTCCGAACTCGCCTCCCGACACCGACTGACCACGTCCTCGCTGATCGGATCCAAAACAGTCCGCACGAGGCCATGAAACACTTCTCGCCTTTTCGCCGCCGGCTCCGACACGACAACCCTCTCTGCTCCCCTCGATCGCAGCACAAAAGCAACCGCCACGCCGACGGGGCCTCCGCCCACAATCAAAATCGGCGTCGACTTGACATGCAGATCGGACTCCTGGTTGTTGCCATGAAGCCCGGACAGTCGCACGGCATGCCACGCCACGGCTAACGGCTCGATCAGGGCCGCAGTCGCGAGATCGACGTCGTCGGGCAGGACATGCACGCTGGACGGCGACACGGCGACCGTGCTGGCCAGTCCGCCGCCGCCGCCCGAGAGGCCCATAAAGCCGACGGATCGACAGCAGTTGGTTGCTGATTTGCGGCACGGCGTGCAGTTGGAGCAGTAGAGGCGCGGGTCGATGACTACATTCTGTCCTGGGGAGAAGGGCGAGGTTGATGGCGCTTGGATGATCCGGCCACTGATCTCGTGGCCCATTATTACAGGTAGGGTTTCCTGCGACAGGGGGTGTGGACCTCTTTGAGGACTAGGGATTGACATGGGTCCTGGATTACTCATGTTAGGAATCACTGTGAGTGACTGTATGGGTGCAATTAGAGAGCTCACCGACGAGGTACTCGTTCATGTCGCTGCCGCAGATTCCGCACCAATCGACCTCGACAAGGACTTGGTCTGGGGATGGCGATGGAAGAGGGATCTCTTCAATCCGAATGTCCCGGGGGGCGTAGTATCGGGCGGCTTTCATTGTGGCTTTTTGAGGTTTGACAGGATCTTGATTGCAACTATACGATGTTGCTGAAGTGGGTGAGGTTCTCAAGTGTTTGCACAAATGCGGGGAAGTCTAGTTGCTCTCTCCATCTTCTCCATGCTCGAACCTCGGTTTGAATGGGATTGCTGGCCAATGAATTACAGCTCGGTTCACTTAGTGACGTATCTCTTTGAGAGGGGAACTCTTCTAGATTGCACGCTCAGCAGGAGTCTAGTCATCTCTACCCGCGATACCCTGACTAACGTACCTACTACAGCTAGCGATAGAGATTCCGATTTAGACAGACGACTATATATTCACATTCAAGGTAAATACAGCAACTACATACGATCTCATGACTTATAGTACGCCCTGGGGACATTAGCATAGTAAGGCACGACCACCATCCCTGGATCATCCGTCTGCCCGACCATCGCCGTCGTCATCGGATGAATCGGTTTATCATCAACGATCAGATTCACGCAGCTAGGGCCCTCCTCCTTCTGCAGTCTCTTCACCGTCTCCGCAATCTCATCGATCTTCTCCAGCTTGGCACTGGCATTCCCCAAAGCCTTCGCAACAAGGTCATACTCCGCCACGGGGCTCAACGAGCTAACAGGCCGGGCTGGGGTTTTGCTGCCATACACGAGCTGCTGGCCGTTCGAGCTCATGCCCCAGCAGTAGTTATTGACCACCACCGTCAAGATGTTCAGATTCATGCGCTTGAACGTGTCGAGTTCCATGAAGTGGAACCCGGTGGAGCCGTCACCGTGGACCATGACGATTCTGCGATGAGGCACTGCGATGGCAGCTCCAAGGGCGTATCCGAATCCGTTTCCTAGGAAGCCAAGGTTTCCAGTCGAAGTCAAGATGGCGCTGGGTGCACAGAAATGAAGTACATCGCTGGCCCATCCGGAAGCCTCGCCACCGTCTAAAATAACAATGCTATCTGGTTCGATGGACGAGAACACATTCTTAAGGGCGTGGTACGGGTGGAGCCGCCCGGACGGCTGAACCTGGGACTCTTTCTCAAAGGGAGATGGTAGACTCTTCAGAGACAGTGTCTTTTGGACCCAATCTGAATCGAAACCGGAGGATAGGGCACGGTCGAAGCTGGCGTTCAGCGCGGCCAGGAATTGGCCAACGTCAGATACAACACCCAGATCAACAGGGAGAGTCCTGCCTATTTCGCCTCCATCCATGTCGACTTGCACCAGTTTGCAGTTCTCCCCGGGAATAATGGCGCCGCTGCGCATTCCGAGAAACATCCCGGTTCTTGCGCCCAGGAGCAGCACAAGATCCGGTTTCGGACCATCCAGTAGAGCGAGTTTGCCGGCCGAGCCACCATAAAATGGACTTGAAGCCGACACCGCCGGCATTTTAGATTTCGGCGAATGGAAAATAGGTATACCGCTGTTCTTTGAGAACTCAACAACCTGGTTTCCAGCCTAGCAACCATTCCGTTAGTCGTGACACAATCCTAAAGCACATCAAAATCTCATACCTGCTCCGATTTGACACCCGTCCCAACAATCATCACCGGTCGTTTCGCCGATCTCAGTAGCTCCACGGCAGCCTGAACAGCCTCGGTATGCGCACCAGGGCCGAACGCCAACGGCGAGGAGATCGAACCCCATGAAATCAGCGGGCGATGAACCGGCGAGAAAAGCACATCGATCGGAAAATCGACCACCACCGGCCCTGTCCAGGAACTCCCCGATCAGAAAAAACCCCATTCAATCAGAATTAACATGCAATGAACCTACCAGGGGCGCCCGACAACGCCGTCCTCACAGCCAACGAGATGATCCTCGGCGTATCCTCCGGGTTCGTCATGCGATGCGCAAACTTGGTCAGCGGTCGCGAGACCACCACTTGGTCGATAATGCCCTGCAGTGAGTTATTCTCTGCGTCTCTCAATGGCGGAGACGATGTGATGCAGAGGATCGGATGACGATCGGCCAGCGCCGTCGCGAGACCGGGAATGCCATTCGAGAAGCTTTGTTTTCCGTCAGTCCCTGAACCTAAAAAAAAGCGACATATATAGAAAAGTCAAAAGTAGAATATATCTACAAGTCCTCTCACCCGCTATTAGCCGTCACAAAACACACCCCAATCTTGGAGGTCAATGTCGCGTAGGCCTCTGCCGCCTGAACAGCGACCGTTTCATGACGCGTATCAATAAGCCGGATGCCCGAGAACTCGCAGCCCATGAGAAACGCATCCAGATGGCCCCCATGCAGCCCAAACGCGACCTCCACACCGATATTCTTAAGCGATTGAGCAAGGAGGTCGCCTCCGGTGAGTTCCCTAGTCCCGGGATCTTGGAGGGTGAAACCGGCCATTTCTTGGGTTTTTTTTTTTTTTTTTTTTTTTTTTTTCTTGCGATTCAAATTGAAACCTTATTGGCAATATGCGCTATCGTGAAAGCAGGGAAATGCAATTCCATTGCTCACAAGTTCCTATAAATTGCCAGTGGCATGATAGTATCCGGGCTGTTACCGAGGAACAGTTCATCGGTAGCACAGATAGTGCGGGGTTATGACGTGGGCAGAGAGCGAAGGATTTCCTTCAGCTATGGCTGGTGTTGATGAGGCGAAGTGGTTGACGGTTTGCCTGCCCTCCCCTGTGTGTGCTGACTTATCGGACTGTGAAGCACGTGTTGTAGTGTGCCTGAATCAGGCCATCGACACCTCAGGTTACGAAAAGATATACACCGTCCATGTTTATGAGAAAAATGCATAGTACGTTATAAACAGATCCTGCTAGACCATGTTCAATAAGGCTCCCCCTTGCGTCATGATGTCAGAAACAGACCAAGATACCTGACAACAAGGCATGAACGCACCCACGAAGTATGGAACCTGCAACGAAGTCTGAACCCAGGAATATTTAGAAATGAAACGGGTTCATGCCAGACAGCCAGCCCTATACGGAGTAGTCATAATCCGGAATGATCCATCCGGACAGTCCACGGGTACAGACCGGGTTCAAACTATATATCTTCAGCAGGTCATATTCTATCCACGGTTTTCACCGCCAAGGTATATGTTCCGGGTGAATGGTCGGTAAGTCCACCCCAGCGCTAGTTCTCTCTCCCATTTCACCACCATACGCATCAACTTCAACGCCTTCGAGTACTTTGCTATAAACTGAAGAATTATTAAATAAATATATAAACAAAAGAATGACCCGGCTCACCTGACCATCTAGTCACATGACCTCTCCCTCTGGACCAATCAGCACGCCCCTCTCCCGGGGCCGATGATCGACGGAGCATGTGGGTGGATCATTGGTGATTATCAGGGGAACCCAGGTCTGCACGCACTCCCGAAGAATGCGTGATCGGCTCTGCAACGGACACTCTAATTCTTTCCATCTTCGTGCTTCGAAGCCACATGTGGGCAGTTGACTGGCTCTGAAGGCTTGTTGCCAGGGGAGATGCACAATTTACGGACGGTGATTCGTTGATGGGGTTATGCATGAAGTCTGCATGCACTATCTATGAAGGTGAACATGGTTGTTTATTTTCATGCGGCAGGATTAGGAAACTAAAAGGGGCACATGCGTTATTGACTCGATGCTGTGTGATGCAGGGAGAATACCTATTGACCTACATACCGACTTACCACTTACTATTTTGATCTCATTTCTGCGAAATGGGAAATGAGATTCGGTATCTCGTAGACTGGACTCCCTCCCCACCCTTGAGAATGCTTGCCCCAACTATTCTGTTCCTTTGTCTGTCTCTTTCCCCTGGCTTGGCATGCATCCTATCAGCATTCCAACCAAATAGTGTTAGCGACAAGAAACGGCCGGGATGCTTCTTTGCACACTCTTAACGCAGACAGGGCTTGCGTCTGGCGACAGGATTCGACAGGATCGAGGACTTCTGCCCGCATCCAAGGGGGACTAACTAATTCGAGTCTATCCTAGTTGGTTATCAGCCAGTAGATGTCCGAAGAAAGGATTTGAGTAACCTGGTGCCTCGTCCCCTTGGAAATGACCGACCCGTGGTTGGGTTGCATGCATGGCAATACATATCCATATCGCAGCACTTGACCCACTATCATCTCTGTATTGCCTGCCCATTCGCAAGCCCTAAATTGGTCTAATGGTCCTCACTTCTCAATCATACTTAATCTTGTTAGTCCCTAGTCCCACCTCCACCCCCTCTCTTTCTTCCTCCCCCCTTGGATCTATCTGTCTGATCGACCCGACTGCCGTAGCTAGATTAGATCATTAAATGAAATGGCCAGTCCCATCCACCTGTGATCTCACCATGTGCGACCTACCCTTGCACCGAGTGGCCTAAGCCTATACGTTCCCTACGCCTGAGGATGGAGTGACCCCTCCATGATCTCGTCCATTCGTTATTCACCGTTCGGTCTCATGGTCCAACGTGCCCCGCGCAAAAGAAAGCGGGCACTGACGCTCGTTTGCATTCAAAAAAAAAAGATCCTCCCGGTTTTTTCTCAACTTTGTGACGCCTTCGGAGTATTAGACACCAACTAGAAAAGCTGCATTGTTGCACGCTGCTGTTTCCATCTGCTTTTTGATTGTAGGACAAGATCTTCCCTCTTCTTCCCCGAACCCAGAACAAAATCGTGGAGTTCTTCATCCTGGCGATCCTAACGAGTATCATTCCAGGTTTTGTCCTCCTAGCCATGGCCTTGTGTTGCGCCATCTTGGTGCTCACGTTGGTGAGACCGGTGGTCTGGGCCGCTGATTTGACCTCCCATGTTGATCTTTTGTGAGTTTCCAACCCCCCTGGTAGAGGGACGGTCTGTGTCACCAAGTTTGTGTTCTAACATGCCTCGACAACAAAGTTTGGGCTCCGAGGGTGGCGGCAATAACTTCCCCGGAGTGGCTCGTCCGTTTGGCATGGTCAAACTGGGTCCGGACCTCTTCATCAAGGGAACGGATGCTTATTCCGGGTATCTGCCCAATGGCGAGTTCTCCGGGTTCAGTCTGATGCACGAGCAAGGCACGGGAGGCGCCCCGAAGTATGGCACGGTGGCGCAGTTGCCCTTAATCGGCAAGGTCACCAGCCCGCTGTCAAATAAGACGGTTGCCCGGTCCGGCACAGACGAGGCGTCGGTGGGCTACTACAAGGCCCAAACCTCGGATGGAACCGTAGTCGAGCTGAGTGCTTCGGCCCACGCCGGTATCTACCAGTATACCTTCCCTGAGGGATCCCAGGGAAACGTCCTGGTCGACGTCTCACATGTGCTGCCCTCCTTCCGAGGCCAGGGTCTGGGCCAGGGGTATAAAGGAGGAAACATCACTGTATTCCATGACGGCCACTATGAAGGCCACGGTGTGTATGATAACGGATGGAATCGTTCGCCTGATTGGTCCATTTATTTCTGTGAGTTTCTTGAGAGGAGTCAACTTGTTCTTGCGTCTGGCGGGCCGATTTTTATCTGAACTGACTGTCGAGAAACTAGGCGGTTACTTCAACAATGCTTCTATCAGGAACAAGACCTATGTCGGGACCGATGCAGGGGGTAGCGTCGAGCAAACAGACGGGTTCGCAACGTCCGCGTCGGGTTCAACACGAGTCGGAAGCCTGTTCTCCTTTCAGGACTCCAAGGTGACTTCGCGTGTTGGGATTTCGTGGATCTCCACCGAAAAGGCTTGCAAACACGTGCAAGATGAGATCCCAGATGGAACTGACCTGGATACCGTCGTCAAGGACGCCAAGTCGGAGTGGGATGCAGAGGTTCTGTCCAAGGTCACCACGTCAAACAACAATCAGACGAGTCTCACCTTGCTCTATACCTCGTTGTACTTTATGCATTTGATCCCAACCAACCAAACTGGCGAGAACCCCGGTTGGACCTCGTCCGAGCCATACTATCAGGACATTTTCACTTACTGGGTAAGCCCTCTGAAACCAAGTCTTGAGACTCCAGGACATTGTTGATGCTAATCATTGATACTAGGACCTTTTCCGCTGCTCCACGGCGCTGATGCAAGTCCTGCAGCCCGAGGCATATGAAGAACAGATTCGATCTCTCATTGACATCTGGCGTAACGATGGGTTTCTTCCGGACGCCCGTTCGTCCAACTACAACGGCCGAACGCAGGGCGGTTCCAATGCGGACAACATCCTGGCCGACGCCTATGTCAAGGGTGTTCGCGGTGCCGTGAACTGGGACGATGGGTACCGGGCCATGGTCAAGGATGCAGAAGTGGTCCCACCCAACAACCCGGTCGACTCGATGGCACCAGACTCCTCAACGAAAGAAGGTCGAGGGGCCTTGGCAGACTGGAAGAATCTCGGCTTCATCACGCCCAAGTACACCCGCGCCGTCACGAGGGCCGTGGAGTATTCCTGCAACGATTTCGGCGTGCACCAAGTCGCCTCGGGACTCGGAAAAGACGAGGATGCTAAGAAATATCTCAATCGGTCCCGGAATTGGCAGAACCACTGGAACACCAACGCAACCTCCTTGGGATTCTCGGGCTTCGTTGTCCCGCGCGATCAGAATGGGTTCATCGAGACCGATCCTTTAGGAGATAGCGGCTACTGGGGCGACCCTTACTACGAGGCCAACTCGTGGGCATACTCCTGGGCTAGCGTCCACGATATGAAAAAGATGATCCAGCTGATGGGAGGGTCCGAGACCGTCGTCAAACGATTGGACACCATGTTCACCGAGGGTGCCAGTGGCTCCAGCGGAATTATCTTCGACTCCACGAACGAACCGTAAGTATTTTCCCCTACGGCGCGATTGGTTCTAGAACGCTTCACCGACTGGAAAGATTCCGATCTTGATGGAGATGGACTAACTTTTTCGCCCAGCATGTTTAATATCCCGTATCTTTACAATTATGTCGATCGACAGGACTTATCGGTCGCTCGGTCCCGCCACGTCGCGAAGACTTACTACCATACGGGTCGGAAAGGACTCCCAGGAAACAGCGACGCTGGGGCAATGCAAACATGGCTTCTGTGGAACATGATTGGCTTGTATCCCATCACTGGACAGACGACATTCCTAATTCACTCACCATGGTTCGAGTCCCTGACGATCGATCTCGGAGGTAACAAGAAACTGAATGTCACCGCCAAGGGCGGCGATGGAAACGGCGACACCAACATCCATGTGCAGCGACTCCGGGTCAACGGGAAAGACTGGAAGAAGAACTGGCTCACCTGGGACGACATTTTTGCCGAGGGAGGGAGTCTCGAGTTCGAGCTGGGCGGCAGTGCAAGTGACTGGTTCACAGGGGACTTGCCACCCAGTCCGGCTTCTTGAGAATTGAGATTGCACAGATGATCTGTCAGGAGAACTAGAGATTTGGGTCTCCGAAAGTGGGTGCACTGTACATAGCAACTTAGCAAATCACGACATTTCGAGTATTATAATTAGTTTGGAAAGAAAAAAACAAACCCATAACTCACCTCAATCGCAGCATTACTAGGCTTTTCTTTAGTCCGAAGGCCTACCCCCGGTAGTCCGTACACCAGGGAGGGTCCATCGAAGTTCATCAAGTCACCGACATGGACTGGCTTACGGAGACACTCGGGGTGGTCCACTCAAGTTACTGGGACTCTGGTAGTGGGTGGATAGCGACCCTGTAAGACAGGTAGAGGCAGGTACCCGAGGTTTTTTTTCTGTTGTTGGTTGGTAAGATCTTAATTGATCCTACAGAGACACCAGTTGACCCTGATCGTAACAAAGACTCGACATACCGCCAAACAGTCGGTGAACCATCCATGGAGATGACGATTTCGCATGATGAGAAATCATAGTAAACAGCCGCGTGATAGCCGACCGAGACTTCCAAATACCGTGCACGCATTGCTGGGGGACCAAGGAGAGAGGCGAAGGCAAAAGTGGTCAGGACGAACGGAAGAGTGGAAGGCGATTCCCCATCGACTCCATCGCCGGCTTGGCTGAGAGTTTTAATTAGTGATCTGGACAGAGATCGACGTCCCCACAGTAGTCACTTCAGCTTGCAGATCGCTCGCAAGGTTTGGAATTATCCAGTCTGCACTTCCCTATTCAGTTGTTCCTGACGACGATGACATTGTTATCCCTCAACACACCCCACTGGGTGTTGCTACTCGATATTTCCCCTTTTCGCTTCCCTGTTTTTTTTATAGAAAGATGCTCATACGGATGTGCATGTCTGCCGTTATGTCAACGTGTGTCAACGGCCTAATGCTCGGAGACTAAACCAAGTATGTTAACCGATGGCGATGATGAGCAGTTCAGTGTTACAGGAGGTATTCGAGGCGAACTTGATGGGCTCCGTAGAACCCACAGTCAGTCCTCCGGTACTGAGTATGCCAGTCTGACAGACAGTCTGTCGTCCGGGCGTCTCTCTCGCAAGAGTTCGGGGCCCACTCTCTCTCTGGTTGTCGGCAAGACCCGCGAATAGGATCCAATTCCAGTGAAATAAGAACTCAAATGCCGAGGAAATCGCTCTAGCAGGCAAGAGATTTAATTTAATGAGAAAACAAAAAAGGTACCAGTCACTAGCAAACCTAATCGAGAAGGGGGGAAGGAACCCTTCGACCGAGTCCCTGGATAAGTGACAGGCGCACATTTGCCGTGGTGGGCCCGTGGAGGTCTGACTGGCGCTTTCTAACGAGTCATGGCGTCGCTTTGTGTTTGCCTCCCATTGGGTCTGTTTATCTGGAATTGTATGCTTAAACTTCCATGGCATCTGCTAGAGTCCCCAGTTCAACTAAGTCGATATCGGCCCCCAGGCACCGGCTCGTCTTTATTGGCAGGTGGTAAATGTAAGGCGGTCTCCCATCCGGAAATGCCAATTCCAGATCTCATTTATCGCACTGGATCGATCGCTTCAGGGATTGTAATTAGAAATACTCCGTATCCCAGAGCAGATGCATCATATCTCACGTCGGGAATATGGCATATCCATTGTGCACTGAGCCACGGGTGAATGGTTCTCCTGTCGGGCACTCCGACACACCCCTGAGTCGTCAGTCTAGTCGTTTGCAAAGTCTATATTCCAGATACTATAGGTAATAGTGAAGATGACGGAATTTCGCCGGTCCCTCGATTGGTTACCAAGATTCTCGGACACCACGAGGTCATCAAATCTCCGGCTGGATGATGGCGGTGGTACTCGTTCCAATAGCCCCGATAGTCCCGACGGCGTTAGGACAAGTTTTTTTTTGAATTGTCCGTCAAAAGTATCTGGTCGAAAGTGGTAAGGTTGATATGTAGATCCTAATTGGCAGTGACGGCATGGAAGACCCGGAATTTCCCTGCAGCGTGTAAATCAGCGGGTCCTAGCAGCCCTCAAAGAAGCAATAGTGACTGCGAGTCCGATTGCACTTATCCACCTTCCATATAGCGCAGAGACTGGCTCTGTCGCTGGGTGTTGTTCATCCCAGAATCCGAGAAAACAGTGACAAGGTTCTCCAGCTCCTATGTGCTATACTCGTGTCATTTTGCCACCAAACTTTGATTGCTGTGCGTGCTCACAATTCCACTGTCTCCTGGCTGGCCGTTTTCTAGGCAGTGATGGTGATCGTGGTCGTGGTGCGCCAGGCAATTGCGTATTGCACCATACCGATCATCGCGGAACCATGGAAATATCATCTCCATAATTCGTATTCTGTGCTAGACCCTGTATCCACCACCTAGTCATCCGAGGGTTCCATCCACATGGTATAGTCGGAATACCCCCCTATGAGCAATAATCTTGTTCGTCCGTATGGAGTCGACCCGCACTGCTAGTGAGCATGAGGTCCAACTGCCAAGGTCGAAATGATAGCGAGAAGAGGATTATCCCTGATCAGCTGCAGTATATAAGGGCATCAACATGCACCCTTCCATTGTCTTTCTTCTCTCCATCCAGCGGCGCATCGTTCTCTCATTCCTTCATTCCTTCGTTCCAACCCAGGTCTTTCTTTAATCCCACCTGACATCACTCTTTTGATACCATTCCCTCTTTGGTCCTATTTTCTTTTACCAAACCAACATCATCAAAATGAAGGCTTCTTTCGTCACCCTCCTCGCTGCCCTGGCCACCTCGGCCGTCGCCGCCCCTGCCGGTGGTCTCCCCGTTGTCGGCAGCATCACTAAGACTGTCACCGAGGGCGCCTCTAGCTCCTCTTCCGCCTCCGCCTCCGCCTCCCCGATGGCCTCCACTGGCGCTGACGGCCACATTGTCAAGGATGCCGGCCACGGTGTCCACCAGGTCCTGACTGTCACCGGACCTAACGCTAAGAAGCTCCTCGTTGAGCTCAGCCCTGAGGTTGCCGGTCTCCTGGCCGGTCTTGGTCTCCCCGGCGTCGGTACTTCCGTCGGTTCCATCGTCAAGACCGCCGGCAACGTCGGTGACCTTCTGTCGGACCTTGGTCCCGTTGTTGACGGTCTCCTGACCGTTGTCTCCGAGGACGCCGGTGCTCTCCTCATCCAGCTCTCTCCTGAGGTTGCTGGCCTCCTCTCCGGCCTTGGCCTGCCCGGTGTCGGCACCCCCGTTGGCTCCGTCGTTGCCACCCTCGGCGAGAACCTCAAGCGCTCCGCTGACGGCAAGATCGTCGAGGACGCTGCCCCCAAGGTCAAGGACGTTCTGGAGGTCACTGGCCCCAATGCCAAGCGCCTGCTCGTCCAGCTCAGCCCTTCCGTCGCCTCTCTCCTCTCCAACCTTGGTCTCCCCGGTGTTGGCGAGCCCGTCGGTGAGGTTGTCAAGACCGCTGGCAACGTCGGTGATCTCCTGAAGGACCTTGGCGAGCCCGTTGAGCAGCTCCTCACTGTTGTCGGCAACGACGGCTCTCACCTGCTCATCAAGCTCTCTCCCAGCGTCGCTGGTCTTCTCTCTGGTCTCGGTCTCCCTGCTCTGGGTACCTCGGTCGGCTCCGTTGTCGCCACCCTCGGCAAGAACCTGTAAAAATTGTGAGTTCACATCATTCTTGTCCATCGTGAGACCAGCCTGTTAATTCAAACAGTGTGCCCATCCTTGAACCGTTAGCTGCGGCCTAAAGCATAGGCCACAACCAAATTTCCTTCGTCGCGAGAAGCCTTCGATTTCGACATGCGAGCAATGAATTAGCACGAAATGTACATTAATCAGATGGTGCTGCGCCTTTTGGAGTCCAGATAGAGAGATCTATTTCGTTGCAAATATTGGCGGCACTCAGGAATATAATTTTAATACCCCTAGATTTTTGAAGCCCTTTTCTGTTCCAATTCATTTTTTTCCCCAAGTAAACATTACATTGTTGTCAACCTGAGGAACCCCTTTTGGGTCTCGGTAGTTGTAGAATTGGAGAGTCGGAGACTTGACTCGGGTGGATCATGGCTAAACTCGGGCGCTTGTAAGTGACCACATAATTGGCTCTGGCACCCACATTTCTGTGATGGTACGCAAATAGTAGTCGATGGATCCCTTGAGCAATGCTTTAGGGTGTTTCAGACTTCCTGGAATATTAAGGGATGAGCGCAAACTCTTCATCTCCTGGCATACTCAGCCAACACTCAGCAGTCAACACGTCGTTGGAAATAAGCTTAAGCTTTTTAGGCTCTGGATTCAGGTCGTAAGTCTCGTGGTAGAAATGTCATACTGCGGGAAGCACCTCATTCTCGTAGGGTCTTTATCACACTGCAAGCCCCGAATGCTTCAAGTACAAAGCCATCCATCCGTCGATTCCGGTATCGGTCGTAAACACAAGGCGCTCTCCAACTGCGCTGGGTCCACGATCTAGAGCAATCTATCTGATTCGCCCGCCAGGACTTAAAAGATTAAAAGCTCCGTGGGATTCCAGGGGCATAACCGCTTCTATCAAGACCACACAAAGCTTGGCGTGTTGGAGGTTTCAAGATGTGCCGCTATTGCACTTATCTGGTGGCCGGTCCAAATTAAATGCTGGACGATGCCAGAAGGAGTCTTTCAGGGCTGACTGTAGCTCCATCGAGAGCCATTTTGAATGGTCAAATCTCCCGTAGTTTGTTTGATAGCACCTGAGCTAAATTCTGTTGAATATTAAACGCTCCAGATCGGATTATGGAAATATGGAGCTTCTCGAGCCATTTCTAATTCCGGGTTTGGTCGGTCTCACACTCAACCATACTTCTATTCTCTTGCCGCAAGGCTCTTTTGTTTCATTTCTTCAACCCTCACTCTTTTCTCTTTCCTTCCGCTTCATCACCCCTTTTTGTCTTTCTGCTTGTTCGTCTCTGCTTTCGATCATTCGTGATACCACAGAGGAACAATGCTTTTTAATACTGTTACCTTACTCTCCCTTGTGGGCCTGGTGCCTACCTTCGCCGCTGCGCGGCTTTCCGGCTCTGTTGGGCCATTGACTTCGGTCTCCGACAAAGCCGCCGTCAAGACTTGCAACGTCCTTGATTACGGTGCAAAGGCCGACAAGTCCACTGATCTGGGCGAGCCCCTGTTGTCCGCATTCAATGACTGCAAGTCTGGTGGTGTCGTGTACATTCCGGAGGGAGACTATGCGATGTCGACGTGGGTGAAACTGGCCAATGGTAAGGCCTGGGCATTGCAGCTTGATGGAACCATCTACCGCACCGGTACCGACGGCGGCAACATGATCATGATCGAACACACCGACGACTTTGAGATGTTCAGTAGCACCTCCAAGGGCGCCATGCAGGGTGACGGATATGAATTCCACAAGGACAACAAATGGAGCGGACCTCGCCTGCTGCGGATCTGGGACGTTACCAACTTCTCGGCCCACGATATCATCCTGGTTGATTCCCCGGCTTTCCACCTTTCCATCGATACCTGCACTAACGGCGAGATTTATAACATGGCCATCCGTGGTGGCAACCACGGTGGTCTGGATGGTCTTGACGTCTGGAGTAACAACATCTGGATTCACGACGTAAGCATCGATGTTCAAGTTCGATTTTCCAGCTACTAATGTCCGCTCAGGTCGAGGTTACCAACAAGGATGAGTGTGTCACCGTCAAGGTAGGGCTCTAACTTGAAGATCTATCCATCATGGAAACCTGATTCTAATGGCGTTTACAGAGTCCTTCTGAGAACATCTTGATCGAGAACATCTACTGCAACTGGAGTGGTGGTTGCGGTATGGGTTCTCTCGGTCCCGATACGGCAATCAGCGCGATCACCTTCCGAAACGTGTACACCTGGAACTCGAACCAGATGATGTTTGTCAAGAGCAACGGAGGCAGTGGAACTGTTTCCGATGTGACCTTTGAGAACTTTATCGGTAAGCGACAATTATTTGCTGGTTTATCCCCTGATGCTAGGGTTAAAGGCTAATCAGCGCTATCGCGGGGTAGGTCACGGCAACGCATACTCCTTCAACATCGACAGCTACTGGAGCAGCATGAGCAGCCAGGGCGGCAAGGGAGTCGAGCATAGCAACTTCACCATCAAGAACTGGAAGGGTACCGAGGCCAACGGTGCTGCGCGTGGACCCGTCAAGATCATCTGCCCTGACGGCGTTCCCTGCTCCGATATCACTTTTGAGGATTTCGCCATGTGGACTGAGGAGGGTGAAAGACAGACCTACGTCTGCCAGAATGCCTATGGCTCCGGCTTCTGTCTCCAGGAGGGCTCTGGTGACTCCGACGTAGCCGTGACCACGAGCACGGTCACCCAGGCTCCGTCGGGCTACTCTGCTCCCACCATGGCTTCGGACCTTACCGCGGACTTCGGTAGCACCGTCTCCATCCCCATCCCCACCATCCCTACCTCGTTCTACCCAGGTGCTACTCCGATCAGCGCCCTCATGGGGGCTTCGGCTTCTGTGAATGCGCGTGAGGCTGTCGTCGTCGTGAGCTCGGCCAAGAGCACCGCTGCTGAGACCACCTCGGAGCCTACTGCCCAGCCCACCGGTAAATTCCAGGCTCCCCATCACTGGCGCCACCACCACCGCCACGGACACTACTAGATAAGTGTTAACAAGGCATGACATTGGTCTTTAGATTCTGTCCGGAGTCCGATGTCGTCGACAGCTTCAATAGGTTAGGAGTGTCTCCTGGCGATCCGATTGATTTTAAATTGCAAGTTATTGAATCGCCCTAGTGTATATTTAGTTTGTTGAATTGGAAATCTAGCCACAATGCTCAATTGACCCGTGGTCAGGGGGGATGATTGTTGGGATCGTATGTACATACAGTACTGGAGTAGATGAGTACGGCAGGCACTCTGAACAGTCAATCCACTCCCGGAATCATCAAAAATAAAACCCACTTTGATCGCGATTGATAAAATGTCGATCGCGTCGATAAGGCGCGGTGCGAGTGGAGGGAAGGGGTGGGAGGGTGGAAGGGGGCAGGGTTGTTGTACAAGGAAAGAGCGATGTTTGTTGACAATTGACAATTGAGGGGGTGATGTCACATGGGGGCTTTGGCCTCGACCTTCCCCCGCATGCGTCCAACTCGCCTCTCAACAGTTTCCCCTCGACCTTCCCTCGTTTCTTTTCCTCTCAGGTGATCCTTCTTTTTTTCGCATAGGTTTGAATACAATCCTTTTTTTTTGGAACGCATCCCTTGCAATTGGCGATCTAGAGTTTACCTCTAGTGTTGTTGCTCCAGAATGGCCTCCACCCAAGCGCCAGACAGCTCCCAGCCAGTGCCGGAGGATGGCACAGGTACGTCCCCAAACCCAGTTCCGTCTCATTTTGGTCTCTGTGAATTTATTGGCTAACATTCCTCAGGTGTCATACAGTTGGATCCTTGGCTGGAACCTTTCCGGGAGGCTCTACAACGTCGGTTCGGGTTTGTCAAAAACTGGGTGAAGACTATCAACGACACTGAAGGGGGACTTGAGAAGTTCAGCAGGGTCAGTGAACTTTGCAATTCCGAACTGACTTTTCGTCAATTGCAATCTGATAGAAAGAATCATGGCATGGCGGTCACGATAGCTAAATGATGATATAGGGCTACGAGAACTTCGGCCTCAACGTCCACCCGAATGGCGACATTACCTACCGAGAGTGGGCCCCCAGTGCTATCGAGGGGCAACTTGTTGGTGAATTCAGTACGTTTCAATATCTTCCTTTTTTAAAAAAAAAAAAATTTCCCGCTGACGCTGGTAGACAACTGGGACGTGAGTGCCCATCCAATGACCAAGAATCCCTTCGGTGTCTGGGAGATTACTGTACCGGCAAAGGATGGGGTTCCGGCCATTCCTCACGACAGCAAAATTAAGGTATATTTCCTTCGTAAGCATGCTTTGTGCTCTTTCATCACGGCTCACTTCTCCTGCAGATCACAATGGTCACGCCCAGTGGAGAGCGAATCTATCGAATCCCAGCATGGATCAAGCGCGTGGTGCAAGACCTCAACATCTCTCCTGTGTATGATGCAGTTTTCTGGAATCCGCCCGAATCAGAGCGCTATCAGTTCAAGAATTCGCGTCCCAAGCGACCGGAGAGTCTCCGCATCTACGAGGCCCATGTGGGAATCTCTTCACCAGAAACCAAGGTAGCGACGTACAAAGAGTTTACGACCAACATGCTGCCTCGCATCCAGTATCTGGGCTACAATGCGATTCAACTCATGGCCGTTATGGAGCATGCCTACTATGCTAGCTTCGGGTATCAAGTGAACAATTTCTTCGCTGCAAGCAGTCGCTACGGCTCGCCTGAAGATCTGAAGGAGCTCGTTGACAAGGCCCACAGCCTGGGACTGGTGGTGCTACTTGACGTAGTGCACAGTCACGCGTCGAAGAACGTCCTCGATGGATTGAACCACTTCGACGGGACCGACCATCAATACTTCCACGGCGGTCGCAAGGGTCAGCATGAGCTCTGGGACAGTCGACTCTTCAACTACGGCAGTCACGAGGTTCTGCGGTTCCTCCTGAGTAACCTGCGATTCTGGATGGAAGAGTACCAATTCGATGGTTTCCGCTTCGACGGAGTCACTAGTATGCTTTATACTCATCATGGAATTGGAACGTACGTACTAGACTCATCCACAATCTTACGACATACGAACTGACTGTCTTCCAGTGGATTCTCCGGCGGCTACCACGAATACTTCGGGCCATCGGTGGACGACGAAGGCGTCATGTACCTGACGCTTGCCAACGAGATGCTCCATCAGCTCTACCCCGATGTTATTACCGTGGCAGAAGACGTCTCGGGGATGCCAGCGCTCTGTCTCCCACACGCTCTCGGAGGTGTTGGCTTTGACTACCGCCTGGGCATGGCCATCCCAGACATGTACATCAAACTCCTGAAGGAGAAATCCGACAACGACTGGGACATCGGAAACCTCTCACACACATTAACCAACAGACGCCACGGTGAGAAAACCATCGCCTACGCCGAAAGCCACGACCAAGCGTAAGTCACCTTTCCCTTCCCCTAGTAAAAACGCTGTCACACCCAACTAACCTGCACTTCAGCCTCGTTGGCGACAAATCCCTCATGATGTGGCTCTGTGACAAGGAAATGTACACGCACATGTCCGTCCTCACCGAATTCACCCCGATCATCGAGCGCGGCATGGCGCTACACAAGATGATCCGGCTCGTCACGCACGCCCTCGGTGGTGAAGGCTACCTGAACTTCGAAGGTAACGAATTCGGCCACCCAGAATGGCTCGACTTCCCGCGAGTCGGCAACAACAATTCCTTCTGGTACGCGCGGCGCCAGCTCAACCTAACCGAGGATCCTCTGCTTCGATACAAGTTCCTCAATGAGTTCGACCGCTCCATGCAGCTCACCGAGAGCAAGTACGGCTGGCTCCGCTCCCCGCAGGCATACATCAGTCTGAAGCACGAAGTTGATAAGGTGTTGGTCTTCGAGCGTGCCGGACTCCTCTGGATCTTCAACTTCCATCCGTCACAGAGTTTCACAGACTATCGGGTCGGTGTCGAACAGGCGGGCACATACCGGATTGTGTTGGATACTGATGACAAGGAGTTTGGGGGCTTTGGACGGAACTTGAAAGAGACGCGCTTCTTCACGACTGACTTTGGTTGGAACGGGAGGAGTAATTATCTCCAGGTTTATATCCCGACGAGATCGGCTTTGGTAGTTCTTCTCTCGCTGGAAAGCAACTCGTCTAGAAATGACGTGCTAACTTGAACTAGGTCCTGGCCCTCGAAGAAACTCTCTAGATCTCATCTCAACAACATCTGTTTACTCATCATGTTCAATGATTATCTCTGTCAGTTCTCCAATATGGATAGATATCTAGGCGAAACGTGTCTCATAGCACAGTATACTCCGATCCAATCGTTTAGCTTTGATCTATCTATCTTTCTGCTATCTGTAACATCAATCCGTATCTATTTCCTGTTTCCTTGGCTTCCATGTCTGTCGTATCTGTTTCCATCTCTGTAGATGTAAACACACAAAAACACATTTCTACCTATACAGCTACACCCCAACAGCTATCTATCCATCTACTTATTACCCATCCAACTCAACTCACGCCATACTCGATAAAAAAAGTTAAAAAAAAAAAAAAAAAAAAAAAACCTCACACGCAACTGATCCCTAGATAGATTCCCTCATGTATCTGAAGAACAAAGTCAAGCTGTCCTACCTACCTACCTACCTACCTACCTACCTACCTACCTACCTACATACATCCATATACAATATACCAAGATAAAAAGAAAGCCAGCCAGCCAGCTAGCTCCCACTCTTCTCTGCCCTCTCCCTCTGAATAAATCCCTACATACACTTATTACTCACTGACCTTGTCTACCTTGCCTTGTCTTACCTGGACCGGTCTGAGCTAGCACACTAGGGACACTTATATACCTAGCTAGCTCCTTTAGCTAGGGTAGACAGACAGACTCCTTAGTTACTACGGACCTCGGACGAACGGAAGATAACACAAACAAACAAATAAACATCAACGTAGGAATCATGCACCTAGGTAGATGCATACCATCATGAGCATCCTAATAATAAGCTAGGAAATACAGTACCAGAGGTAAACATTAAGATAGAAGGGACAGGACATACGGTGTATGACATCCCCTACGAAAGCCTACGTAAATACAACCAACTACATCTACAACTACAAGAATCCAGGAAGCGAAAAAGAGAAAAGAGAGCAACAAAAGAAATGAATACAATTGTCCCAGCCCCAGGGTATCAGGCTGACTGTGGTCATTTTTACTTACTTACATGAGCACATAGGTAGTGTAACACAAAGTCCGAAAGATAGACAGAGTACTCATCGAGGTCTTTCAACCCCAGCTTTCCCCCATCCATGATCCAGACTTTAAAAAAGAGGTTGGTTGGATCGAGAGGGTAATCAGTGGCTCTTTTTTGTCCAGTTTCACCTTTCTTTCTTTATAGAAGGGATAACCTCTTTTCTTTCTTTCGACTTTCCCTTTTTCTTTATTCGAGTACTGTACACGTATCGATTCGAAAACGGAACATTTCAAGGTGAAAAAAGGTAGTCCATATTCTAACACGGAAAAAAGGGAACAAAAAAAGGGCGCTCAAAAACAATATTACATTTACTGGCCCTCAAGCTCAGCCAGAAGCTTCTCACCCTTGGCGCGGGCGGAGGCAAGGTTGCCAACCATGTAGAAAGCGGCTGTGAAAAAAAAGTTAGCATCTAAGATCGGTTTCCAATCATTCAGAAAGATGGGAAGAACTTACACTCGGGAAGGTCGTCACCCTCACCGTTGATGATGGCCTTGAAGCTGTTGATGGTGTCCTTCAGGTCGACCAGCTGACCCTCGATACCAGTGAAGACCTGGGCGACGGTGAAAGGCTGGGACAGGAAACGCTGCAGCTTACGGGCACGCTCGACGGTGAGCTTGTCGGCCTCGGAAAGTTCGTCCATACCGAGAATGGCAATGATATCCTGGAGGGACTTGTACTCCTGGAGCATCTGCTGAACGCGGGTGGCGGTGTTGTAGTGGTCCTCACCGACGATACGGGGGTCGAGCATACGGGACTTGGAGTCCAGAGGGTCGACGGCAGGGTAGATACCCAACTCGGAGATACCACGGGACAACACGGTGGTGGCGTCCAAGTGAGCGAAGGTGGTGGCGGGGGCAGGATCAGTCAGATCGTCAGCGGGCACGTAGACGGCCTGGACGGAGGTGATGGAACCCTTGGTGGTGGTGGTGATACGCTCCTGCATACCACCCATGTCGATGGCCAGAGTGGGCTGGTAACCGACGGCAGAGGGGATACGACCCAGCAGGGCAGACACCTCAGAACCGGCCTGGGTGAAACGGAAAATGTTGTCAATGAAGAGCAGCACATCCTGACCCTCCTCGTCACGGAAGTACTCGGCGATGGTCAGACCAGTAAGGGCGACACGGGCACGGGCACCGGGGGGCTCGTTCATCTGACCGAACACAAGGGACACCTTGGACTCGCCATCAAGCTGGATGACACCGGTCTCCTGCATTTCGTGGTACAGATCGTTACCCTCACGGGTACGCTCGCCGACACCGGTGAAGACGGAGTAACCACCGTGAGCCTTGGCAATGTTGTTCTATTTCTGTATTAGATCGAGATCTTTCGAGTCTCGCATGGACAAGACAACTTACAATCAACTCCTGGATGAACACGGTCTTACCGACACCGGCACCACCGAAGAGACCAATCTTACCACCACGAGCGTAGGGGGCGAGCAGGTCGACGACCTTGATACCGGTCACGAGAATCTCGGCCTCGGTGGACTGCTCGATGAACTCGGGGGGATCAGCGTGGATGGGAGCGTACTTGACGGCCTTGACGGGGCCACGCTCGTCAATGGGGTCACCAGTGACGTTGACGATACGGCCAAGGGTGGCAGGACCGACGGGGATCTTGATGGGAGAACCGGTGTCATGGGCAGCGGCACCACGGGTGAGACCCTCAGTACCTGAAGATGAAGTCAGCTACATTGCGCTCGATGGCCGATGCGAATCGGCAGTCAAGCATGAAGACAAGGGATGTAAATATTTATATTGCCAAGCCCAATGCATGACGAATTGCCGAGGGAGGGAGAACAAAAGGCTTACCGTCCATGGCAATAGTACGGACAACGCTCTCTCCCAAGTGTTGCTAAAGTCAAGGTTAGCTAACTGAGCTTTCATAAGGACAGAGAGGAAGGAGAAAGGGGATTGATGTCATCAAAGACAGAGCAATATCAGAAATAACATACAGAAACCTCAAGCACCAGCTTCTGGCCATTGTTCTCGGTCTCAATGGCGTTGAGAATGGCAGGGAGCTTGTCACCATCGAACTTCACTGCAGCGGAGAGTCAGAAATCGTGTATCGAGCTATCAATTGGATGGAAATCGATGGTTGTTGAGATGGAATCGAGGCGCGGAAAAGATTTTCTTCGCGTAGCCCCGGGTAAGGAAGGGATTTTTTTCCGTCTCGGTAGGGAGCGACCGGATAGCACATACCGTCAACGACGGCACCAATGACCTGGTGAATCCTGCCGCCCTGAGCGACCTCGGTGCTGGCGAAGCGGGCCAGGGAAGGGAATCCATTGATCTTGGAGAGAGGGGAGGCGCGACGAGCAATGGGGGTAGGTCGGGCAAAAGCAGCCCTCCCGAAGGTCCGGGCGAGACCGCTGTTGGAGAAAAAGAGCTGTTAGCAAGGGCAAAAAGGGGGCGAAAGATCGAACAGTCGAAAGTGGGCGGGTGAACACACCTCTTGAACATTATGATGGTGTTTAAGAGCGAAGATGGGGAAAGATGAGGTCAAAGGGACGAGAAGATGGGGAGAGGGAAGAGAGAGGGAAGGGAAGGGAAGAGGTTGAGGTTGAGGTGGACACGGGCGACTGTGTCCGGCTTAGCCTTTCCGGGGCGGTTTTGCCGACGATCCCGTGATGTACCGAGCAACGCGCAGGTCGCTCTTTCCTCGTCAGCGCCTGCACTTGCTCCGTTGCCGGGGTTATAAGGATAGTATTTTATTGTAATATGTATTATCATATTCTACGGTATTGATCGGACTGTGGTGTAATGTATATGAAGAACCAGGTGGTCCGGCAGGTCCTTAGTTTCCTTTCCCCCCTAGGCGGACTCTCCAGCTTTGCCCTGATGGAGCTGGTCAGGAAGAATTCGCACACAAATGAGGAGAGGTCTTGGCGCCCGTCGGAAGGGAACTGGGAAGGGGGGGGGGAAGGTGCCAACCTGGCCAATCGTCGCCTGGAATGCCCTTCCTTTCCCCCAGCCACGGGTGACCTTGTATCCCCTAGGAGTAATATTGTGATCAGTATCTAGATACATGCTAGAAAATAGGTAATATAAAAATATACAATATAATACACATAGAAAAATATTACATCGAGTAAAAATAAAAATAAAAATAAACGTGTCGGTGGAGGGAATGCGGCTCCCTCCCCAGTGCGGCGCCGACTTCGTCCGTGACCAAGGCCCTCTCTGTCCTGTTTCGGACGAACGCCTAAGAAAAAATTCTGACGTGTTCCCGTGGTGCTCCATGTAAACATCGGTGTATGGACGACTGACGGTGTACATCTCGGTGGTCCGAAGGAGATACGGTCAGGAAAAACAATATAATACAAAACATAAAATTATCATTATCAAAATAAGAAGAATAACAATTTCACAAGGAATTAGGCCCCCGATCAATTACTCCATGCCTCCCTAAACTGACCCGGCCGAGTGTTAACGTCATCTCCTGCTGTACACCAAACCCGGGATATACCCAACTACCCTGAGTAACCACCCCCAAAAATAGGCCAAAAAGTAAATTGATCAATAGGTACTCGCAATAATCCACACATAAGAAATCAACACCTTAGAGAGACCATCCCCAAACAAGTCTCTCCCTACAAACCAACAGGAGACTGCAACAAGCTTCTATGGCTACAAAAGAGATCGATTGATTATGGCACAGTACGAGATACACAGGGTCTTTTAGGGTTGTCGGCGGGGGGCTGAGATTGGCAAAAACAAGTAGGACACAAGACGAAAAGGGGGAACGCCCGACGAGAGATGAAAGACACGGTTCCAATGCGTCCGTCAGGGCAGTGGAAAGGGTGTGCGTGTTGGGTTGGGCCAGACCAGGTCTGCCCCCATTTTGCTAATACCTAATCCTCCCGGATCATGGTCCTCCAGTTTACGACTTCTCGGCAGGGGGGCTCTGCACGAAGCCAGGGCCCTCGTAACCCTGGGCGCTGATGCCGTAGATAGGGTTGATCTTCTCACGCTGTTGGGGGGAGAGGTCGTTAGCATTTGTCCTTCCATGTCTGGGGAACGGAGTAGCGATGTCTGTCTGATGTAACAACAGATCAATCGGGCATGACGTACCAGAGCGTACTCGTTGCTGGCCTCCTGCCATTCCTTAGACATGGTCTTGGGCTGGGGCTTAGCGAACATGTGGATGGCGTAGAAGATAGCCACGGAGACGGTGGTGAGCTGAGCGACCTTGATGAAGATCTTAAGGCCCTCTCCCTTGGGAGCCTGAGCGCGAGGGCCATGAGGACCGAAGGCAATCCAGTAGGCTAGAGAGTGGGGGGGGGGGAAGATGATGATTAGCAAAATTCTGATAGAGCCCGGGGCAGGCCGGGCATATCATCGAATTCCCTTACCAGCCTTCTTCTCCTGCAGGGTCATCTGGTGCCAGTCGACCTTCATGCGGTCGCGGAGCTGCATCCACAGATCGGCCTGCTCCTGGGGAGGGAGAGCCTCCCAGCGCTTCTCGATACCGGCGAGTGTGGGATTGGCGATGGCATGCTCGGTGGAGGCGGCGCGGGTCTGCTGGGGAGCGACGGCCTTCTTCTCAGCCTGAGAACGGGCGTTCAGGCAAGAGGGGACGGCGCGGAAGGAACGAGTGGCAGTGGTGGGCACAACCGAGCTGCGAGGAGCAGCGCGAGACACGGAGCGAAGGAACATATTGTGGGAGAGGCGAGCGCACGACTAGAGAGACGAAAAAAAGTCAATTGAGATAAAAATACAGGGCCGCGGGAATACGGAAAACAATTACCTCGGGGGAGGATAAGGAAAGGTAAAATTGGGGGAGGAGTGGAGGAGGGGGGAAGATCGAGACTCGCGATGGGAGACGAAGACGATGTTCGACTGTGGTTTGAGGTGGAAAGGCGAGCATCCGGACGGGCCAGCTTAGTCCGCTTTACCCCGGCCCTGATTGGTCCACGTCCCGCCGTCTATCCGACCGTCGTCCTCTCTGGTATCGATGGGTGACCTACGGATGACTTATTGGCCTCCTAGAGTCTGGTTTTTTATTATCGGATTTATTCCCGGTAGTATATACTACATTTTGAGAGAGACACACAGACTTCGACAATGAAAAAGAAAGAAAATCGAATATCCGGGATGAATCCTGCCATCCCTTCCACTGACATCTGCCCATCCCTCGAATCCCGAAAGCGCCCGGACTCCAGCTCCAGTTAGTGCCGTCATCCTTATCCTACGCACAGGCCTAAACACAAGAGCACGTTAGATGACTGGGAGGTGATGCCGTGTATTCTACTCTACACCGAAACGCTGCAAATCACACCCAATACAAGGCAGCACTATTCTGTACAGGCAAACGCTGACACAAAAAAGGAAAGAAAGGTCCCCTCCCCGATCCCAATCGCTGGTTTGGCGGAAAACAGTGCCCGGGAGAAACGACGATACGGTCACTATGAAGGGCAGACAAGTCGTAACGATCTCATATTGGAACTAAATGTGTGCAGGGAGAAAGGAAAGGTTCATGAGTGTTGGGTTTCATTCCGAAGTTTGGCACTCCGCGGTCTCGAAACGGAGTGGTGCCGTGTAATCGCCATCACACGCGCACAACACACAAAGTTCACCTAAGTCCGGGCCCAGCCGGCGCAGGTCATTTATTTGCCGGCCTTGCCACCGCTGGCCTCGGCCAGGACGGTCTTCCATTCGATGTCGCCCTTGTCGTCGGCGTGGATGGAAGTGTGGATGTTCAGCGCGTTCTTCAGGTTCTCCCGAGTGCTGGCGTAGATCATGGACCACTAATTTGCATCAGTTAGCGACCGCTTCTTCCTTCGACCAAAAGACGACAGTAACAGAACAACACGAGGGAACGGAAAGATCATACCAGAGTAGGGGTGTCGCTGGGAACCCAAGAGATGAAGATGATCTTGCTTCTACAGACGCAAGTCGAGTCAGCCAACCGTTCTCCCATTTATTCAGTCATCCGTGCACGATTGTCTCGTGAGGGGGGGGGTCCGTCATACCTCTTGCCCTCGCCGCCACCGAGATCGAACTCGACGTCGTAGACAGCATAACGAGGAGCGGGGTTACCCTTGTCGTCACGAGCAGCCTCGAGGTGAGAGCGGAAGACCTCGTAGTCGGGGTCCTGCGAGACCTCGTCGATGACGACCTCCTTCTTGTTGTCGGCGATCTTGAAGATGATGAACTTGGTCTTGGCAGCCTTGCTACCGCCGCTCATGCGGAACTCGTTGAATGCAGTGATGCACTCATCGGTGATGGAAACACTGTGGAACACAAACACAACTGGTCAGCACTTAGTTCGACGTGACCTGCGTCATCGGAAGTCCCCGAAGCGGGTCGAAAAGGACATGTGGAAGTGGCGGCGGTTCGGCCGATGACATACCCAGAGGCGAGCTAAAAAGGCAACGAAGAAAGTCAGCATTGACACAGATCAACCCGAAGAAAAACGGTCGAGAGGGGTAATACGCACCGACATGGTTGCTAGTGTGGAAAGAGGAAAAGGGAGGGAAGTTGATAAACCTGCGCTGAGGGGGCACGCGATGTTAGTTGCCTTAGATTTCTTTCTCGCTCTCGCTCTCTTCCTTGTTTATAAGCACTCCTCAAAAACAAAAACCAACAACCAAGATGATTTTCGTGGGAGTTGAAAAGAACAACAAACTAACGGCGCTCGAGAAAAACACAAAGAGGGATACTCACAGATTGCCTGCAGAGAGTCAAGGGAGATCAAGGGGAGCGGAAGAGGAGGAGGGAGAGCGTAATAATGGGGGATGGATGGGAACCGAGATGGAGAAGATAGAGGGGCATTTTGCGGCCGCCGCTGGTGGGGGGGCCGCAATGGCCCTCACGTGATGCGACCGTCGCACCACAAGCCGCGTCGCCGCCTTCCCCTGAATTTCCCTCTGGCGTCACTGGTCTGCAATCACCCTGTCTGTAATTCTACATGGTTCATGGGATCCGGTGTCTGCCTACCTCCAGACAGCCCCCGGGTGTGGGGAGCTGGAGCAAGACACCACCGTAGGCACAACCATTTCTCCTGTTGTTCCCACCCCGGCGTTTCTCACCGAAACTAAACTCACCGTTACTGCCAACCATGGGACTAGCTCCTGCTAACCGAGTGTCATCACGTCAAGGCAGCTTGTACCTGTCCCTGTTTTCTTGGGCCTGCAACAAATGAATAATAGATTTGGTTGACTACGAATAACTCTACCGGTGAGCATCTACTATCTCAATGGGACAATGAGCGGACCTTCAATTCGACTGTATCGTTCAATTCTGGTGACAGTTTGGCAATATCTAAATATCTATGTACATACGTCAATATGCACTCAAATCGCTTGACTATAATAATAACGCCCTAAAGTCCGAATTCGCAGGCGGTGCCCGTTCGTGACTGCAATAGCCGAAACGGTCGTAGGCTTGGAGACCGTCGCAGTCGCCGACTCCAAAGCTGAGCAAAGACGCAACAAGGGTACAAAAAGAGAAAGAGAAGATATACGACAGAGGCTCCAAGAGCAAGCAACCGATTATTTGCCCTCACAGAAAGATAACAGATAAATGGAAAATAGAAAATAGAAAATAGAAGATAAAATGGGGGTATAATATACGAGAAGTAAAAGCCACGTCCAGTCGTCTCCGAACCATCCCGAAGGTACCTGAGGGGTGACAGGAGACATGCGCATGACTAACACTGGTGCATATGATGGTCAAATAGAAAATGGCGTTCGTTCTTCACCTGAACCTATACGTCATAGATTCAATCAGGGCGAAAACCCCAGTGTCGACGGGGGTGAGGTTGGAAAGACGACTGCCGCGGAACATCGACATACGTGGCTAGGGCTGGCAAGGCTTGAAAAAATAAGAATCACAAGAGAATAGACAACGACGCTATCATGAAAGGCGTAAACCGGCATGGAAGTTGTGCATGCAAAGGGGATCTTAACATGACTGACTGCTGGTCATCGTTAATCATCGTCGCCCGGTCCTCCGTCGATGATCTTTCGCCAGTGCTGCGGAAGACAGACGCAGACCAACGGGAACGCCTTGATGTCTCCCACAGGCGCCGGCGATGCGGCCGGGCGATGCGAGCCGTTGGACACCCCGCTGTCGCGCTGTTCTCGGTGCCGCGCGTCATAATCTTCGGCGTTCTCGGGGATACGAATTCCGGTAGCCCAGCCGTCATCCCAAATACCAATGATCTTCAACATGTCTCCGCGATCCAGAGAAAATTCGTCGTTTGCGCGAGGCTGGTATGCCCACAAGGCGGCAACGCGATCGCCGGGTCGAATGTCATCTTGGGAGTAATAATCCTGGAAAGAGGAAAGTTGCTCAGATTGTCCACTGGCGATTCCCTCGGGAGACGAATATTGACCATTGGTGCCGGAACGAGGCGATGTGTCGCTACCTGCGCCGGCAAAAGCCGAATTGCTGGAGAGCGAGCCGTGTCGCTTGCCTGCCGTCGGAGGGATTCTCTTCGAAATCGCTCCGGGGCTGGCTCCGTAGCCTTCGGAGTCCGATGAGTCGCTGTACTTAGCTCCGCCGAAGAAAGCCGCCGAGTTGCGAGATCGCGCCGGCGACGAACTGGGCATCTCTCGCAGCGCAGACATTCGGGCAACCCTCCCTCCTGGGATGGCAGCGAATCCTTGCTGACCACCCTGCATTGAAGGCGAGACTTTTCTTTGGGGGTTGGGCTGATTCAGACCCCCTTCGTTCCTCGTTCGGCGCTTTCGTCGACAGTAGATGAGACCAAATGCCGCCAACGCAGCCGACAGGGCGACACCAGCAACGGAACCAATCACGACACCGGCAATCTGTCCGCCCGACAGGCCACCGCCCGAATCATCTGCGGTGGAATTGGATGTCGTGGTGACGATTGGTGGCAGAGTCGTCGTCGGGGATGGTAGTGTCACGTCCTTGCAGCGACTTCCGGCGCTCGCGTTCACACAGCAAGAATCGGTGGAGTTTGGGGAGCTTCCGGCGCAATAGCCGCACAGGCCCACCAGATTGGTTCGGAATCCACACTCGTCCGGCTCGTTATCGGCTGCCGATATGCAGGTCCCTGTAAGCGAGTTGGCGGGCAGCGCGCAGACAGTGAAATCAGAGCGAATTTGATCCATATAGTTCCCATCTCTCTGTGGACAAAGGTCGGAGTTAACCAGAATTTCTTGCTCGCTTCTGGCCATCAGCGCCTAGTAGGATACCGTTAGCAAATAGTTCCGACCGTCCCATGGGTGGGCGTCACAAACACAATCGTCGGCACACAGCGGCCTGGATTCCTCGCTAGACAGGTTGCAGTCATTCTTCGAGCTCTGCACGATCCCATTGCATATCGAGCTCGTGGTGTAGCGGGCGTAGTAGTCATCGGTGTCCGTGAGATTAGCGCCCCCACAGCCCAGATAATTAACGTATCTAATCATTGAGTGGCGAGCGTTAGTGAATCGCGATAGATAAGATTGGCACGGGTTGGCCAGCTTACTTTTGCTTGATGTAGGAATCCTGGACGTAGTTGTCCAACGCTTCGTCAAATTGAGTCAGGTTCGAGACGGATTCCATAAACGGACTGCCATGTGGTTAGCAAGTCTCGGCGTGTGGAACAGCATTTGGGCACCGCACAAATTAGTGTGTAGACTAGAGTTAGTCGATATCGAGGATCCATTGAAAGCCGGGCATTGCTTTGATCCGGTCAGGGAGATACAGGTAGCCATGATGATCCTCTACCCGGTCCGGGCTTCCTTTGGGGATTCTGGCGTTGCAATTTATAGGTTGCAGTTGACGATGTCGAAATTGATAGCAGTCTGTGTTCAAGTTGATCGCGAAGTCGAGAATCAAGATCGCGTTCGGCAATGGAATCAATTGGAAGAGACTCTCATATTGCTGCTGCACCTGCGCGAGTACTGGGAGAAAGGAACGGACGTCGGTCTCAGGCCACGGCGGTTGTGAACGCGTCGAATATCAAAAGGAGCGAAATGAAATCCAATCCGAGCGAAAGGGAAAGGCTCTCGAGTGTTATCGTAGAACGAGGGGTCAAGTAATCAAACGAGCGGCTTGGCTTCCAGAAAAGAGCCAGGAGAGTGAAGGAGAGGGCCCTGAAGAGGGAGAGAAAGAGAGTGAATGAGAGCGACGAGGTCCAGCCAGAGGAAGAGGAAGCAGGCGCCTTCCAATTCCAGGAAATTACTTTGTCCTTGCCTGAGGCCCGCACTGAGATCGACCGAGCGAAAAGGATTTTCTTCCCGCCGGGACCGGGGCGATAATTTAGATTATAACGACGGCGGCGACTGCAACCGCGAGCTTCCCACTTTCGCAGGGGCAGATAGGTCCAAACTCAAAAAGTCTATCGTCGAAAGGGGGGAATTGGGGAAACCAGAGTCAAGACGCAAGAGTCACGACCGGATGGGCGATGGGCGGTTCGCAAGAGGAACCGGCGTCTTTCCAATTAAACCAGACTCCACACGACAGGAACTAACTTGCTTGGGATGGTAGCACGCCGTAGTCTCACTCCGGCCGTGAATTCCTGGTCCAGAAGCTGCTCACAAAGATGCTGCCTCCGCAAGGTTCCCCTGCTGCTGCGATGCAGAGTCAAAGCTAACCCTACCTTTACCTTGGGGGATCCACTCCCACGCTGAATAAAAAAGGTCGCAAGAAAGGGTTGACTTGACTTGAGGCAGCCGATCGATAGTTCGATTTAGCGATAGGCAAAAATGCGATCTGTCGGGTGAGAGATCACGATGGAATGATTGCTCTTTTCGGGGAAAACCAGAACAGTTGTGTCATAGAGCAAACGAAAAGAAAAGTCCGACGCAGGAACGACAGAGGTTATTGATCTATTTATTTGTACGATGGTGAATCCAGCGTTGACGTGGCACGCGGTGAGGCTTGACAAGAGGCTCGCTACATCACTTCAGGCACTCGTTTCTTTTCATTTTTGCTTGTTTATTTAATTTTGTTTTGTTCTGTTCTTTCCCGACATCTCATCCACTCCATGTGTTTTACCGAATCCACACGAACGGTGGAACTTCGCGCGGGACCGAAGGCGAGGGTTCCGTGGAACAAGGTAAGGACGGTAGTAGGAGTGTTAGGCCGTTGTTCTAGAATGTCTTGCTCGAGTCGGTGAAGGACAGTCGGGCTCGGATGAATGATGACTGACGAGTCTACGAGTCTACGAGTCTACCGACCACAGAGAACGCAGGGTAATAGGGCATCAGTTGATAACGTTGTTCATGTCACTCCCGCCTTCGTCGGCCCCGTCGTTTCGCAATGCGTGGCATCCACCAGTCAAAACCACAGCGGCTGAGCTGGTCGATCGCTATTTTAGCCTCGCCGATGACTTGGCAAGGGGTCCTGCCTCGCGGGCATTTAATAGACGCACGCATGCCACATCATTGGAGCCAGACAGCATTGCCCAGGTTTTGTTTCAGCATTCAGCGGTCAATTTGAAACACCACCTTCCCACGCAAGGGTGATATTATCGGATGCGAGGAGCGACAAGTTAAACGCTTTCGCTGAGAGCATTCGGGCTAGGGCACTCATAGTTTCTGTGAAGGGCTAAAGCTAGTATATGAGTCTATAGTAACTAGGCCACAAACTGTTTACAATAGCTTGAAGAACAGAAGGGAGGCACAGCTTCAATCCGTCCCTAATAGAGGTTTTCTGCTGTTCTCCACCGCTTTCCTTAATAAGCCCGGCCACGGTATGCCATACCTGGCCCACATCGGGTTCAACCCGTTACAGTTTCATACTGAATAGTCGCCCTAGATATCAAATTTGCGGTACATACCAAGGGCGCGTCAAATGGTGTCAATAATATATTCGTCGTATTTGCAAGGCAGATCCGATCTAAATGATCTGGACATGGACACTCCATGTCCACGGACCGAATCCACCCGGGTCATATTGATCAAGTGGACCGGTCATTTAGCAATGGTATCATTAATGGCAGACATTGTCAATATATGACATCAGCTTCTAAAAATGGTCTCGATCAGTATATCAAAGGCCATGTTCCTACGGAGTAGTTTATAGCTTAAATTTATGTACAAACTTTTGGTTTGGTTGAACTAAACACTATGCAGGTTAGATCACAGGTATATGATTAGTTTCGCTGATGCCATGGCTACCACTCGATGACAATGTTGTTTAGACTGATCCTGAATGAGGTGGATCAAACACAAACACAGACAACGCAATTGACACGCCAGTTCCATTAATTGATATTTCTAACTTATTAGGGTTGGTCTTGATCACTTCCTCGTTGGATCTGAATGTACAGCCAATTGCTGTGGCAAGCCGCTGAGTTTAAAGGCGTTTTGTTCAGTGAATGGCGGTGGTATATATACCCGGTCCCAAAGGTTCTCAGGGCATGTCTTTGTTCAATGCATGGAATAGGAGGTTTCAATTTTATGTAAACGCAACACGGTAGTTGGTTTTTGCTCTTGCATTGGTCAGATCAAGTAGTTCTCCATTATAGTGTTAGGAACAGAGATTGTCTACAACGTCTACAAACCACTCCGTACAAACTACACACAAAGTGACAGTTGCCTGGATGGCACTGCCGCATCAGGTGACTCCGCGACGTCATCTGACCGCAGGCAACCGACGTTTCGTCATGCCAAACATTTCGAGGGGAGATGTCAGCTTTGATCCCTCACTCACGCATACCCCAAGCATCGTGATTGACTGCTTCATTTTGCTCAACAATACCCGAAGACTTGTGCGGATAGGACGCCTATCCAGCCTGTGACTTACCATCCCCACCACAATGTGTGGTTCAGATATCTTCCTGGGCATTCTTGCCATCTTCTTCCCCCCCGTGTCTGGTACGTGACCCCTCCCTGCTCACCCCTCGATCGGTTTCCTCTATCCTTGACTCTCTACAACATATCAATGGATGATCCAAGTTTCCTGCTAACACTCCCGTCCTCTTCAGTATGGATCAAAGTAGGCATCTGCACCGCAGACTCGATTATTAACCTCGCTCTTTGCTGCCTCGGCTACGTGCCAGGGCTGCTACACGCCTGGTACATCATCCTCAAACACCCCGAGCCGGATTATGACGACCCAAGCTACGAGCCCGTCCCTGGGGATCCCGATCGGGGCAGGGACGTGGAAGGCGGTCGCGTGACATACTACTACGTTTCGCACCAACCGGGCCAACAACCCCCTCCCAGAGCCTACGGTACGCTGGGATCACAAAATTCAGCCCAAGACGGTCGCCAGGCCGCTCCTAAGCCGCAGCACGGCCATGTCGCCGAGGCTGGAAGTAGCAGCCAGTCGCAGGATGATTCTCGGCCGCCACCGACATATGCGGAAGCCGTGAAGGGAGACAATAAAGTACAGAGCGATGATTGAGTTGCGTTAGAAGAGATGCAACCTACGAGGTGAATGCTGGATAGTTGATCTGATCGCCACTGCCATCTATCTTGTTCTTGCTTGGAGGTCGCTTCTGCTGTCCGACACTGACCATTTTTTCTCCCCTGCCATGTGGATAATCGGAGTGGAATATTCTATGGGATTACCCTGAGCCATGGAATTTGCGATGTATTGTATTCAGGATCACTTAATGCTTATGTTTATCATGCTAGCGAGTCAATAATAAAGATACCTTGGGATTTTCTAATATGGACGTTTCTCCCGCCCTTGCTGCTGACTTCTGCGTCCAGTCCGGGGAATGAAGATCGCCTGAATGAACTCTTTATGCTCAACTGAAGTAAATATAAGTCCATATATAACCCCCGACCTTGCATTCACACTACCAACGCCGACCGTAGTTTTTCAGTTATCGATCACCCGATCTTATCAGAAACATGAAGAAGCGCGGAGATTCCGCCTGAGCATCTTCCCTTTCCCGCCCGCCTTTCCCGAGCTGCGGATCAACCAGCCGACGCCCGTTCAATTCAACGATCAACCCCAACCAAACCAAACCGACCCAGCAATCTGGCCGGCTTCTTCGTGGCCTTCCAACCCGGCCATGCAGTCCATGCCAGTGCTGTTCCGACAGTCTCTCAGACACACGGTCAATCTCACCAGACCTTCTGCCCCCGCCGTGCGATCGCCGCTGCTGTCGACCGTTCGCCCGAAAGCTCTTCCCGTCGGCAATACCCCCCGACGAAGCTTCTCGGTCTGTCTACAGTGCCAATTCCGAAAACAGTCGGCTCTATATTCGTCCAGTGAGTCGGATAAACTGAAAGATGGGAAGCCGGCGGATCAGTCGGTGAATGCAGAGCTGGCAGAGGTGGTTCGTGACGGCATCCTGAAGAGCGAGCTGGATGCGGGGAGCAGCAGCAACAGCAGCAGCCTGGGATCTCCCACCGCGACGGAGAGTACAAAGACACACCGACCTGAATGGTCTGAACAAGGGGAGAGCCATGCGGATAAAGGGCAAAGCTCAGGAGGAGACGGTAGTCTCCCGTCGTATCTGGAGAATCGCAGATCGCAGTTTGCGAAACAGTTCGGGACCATGATGGATAACGTGCAGTCTAATGTCTTCGTGGCAGGCCAGCGATTGAACGATTTGACTGGCTATTCATCAATTGAAGCGTTGAAGAACGAGATTCACAACCAAGGTATGTTCACTTCTGCAGTAGCCTCTTCCATCCACAAGAAGCCCTGCATTCTAACCCTCAATCCCATCTAGAGGAACGCCTGCGCACCGCCCGCCTCCGAGTCCGCGAAACGAAAGATGCCTACTCCGCCGCCATCAACCGACGATCGACCTCCCAGCGTGAAGTCAACGAGCTGCTCCAGCGCAAACACGCCTGGTCGCCCGCGGACCTGGAACGATTCACCCACCTCTACCGGAACGACCACACCAACGAAGTCGCCGAGAACGAGGCCCAGGAGGCCTTGTCGGCGGCAGAGCGCGAGTCGGAAGAGGCCGCTGCACAGCTGAGCCGGTGCATCCTCTCCCGATACCACGAGGAACAGGTCTGGTCGGACAAGATCCGTCGCATGAGTACATGGGGCACATGGGGCCTGATGGGCGTTAACGTGCTCCTGTTCCTCATCTTCCAGATCGCCGTCGAGCCTTGGCGCCGCAAGAGGCTGGTCAAGGGCTTCGAGGAGAAGGTCATCGAGGCCATCGAGAAAGAGAAGGTCTTGACGCAGACCCAGGTCCTTGGTCCTGCGAGTGTGGTGGCCCAACAGAGCCCTGTCCCTGTCCCTACTACCACTACCCCCGAGAGCGCCGAGGCATCTCCCTCTACGACCACATCTGCCACCTCCGAGCAGCCTGTCTCCAGTGTCAGCCCTGTCGAGCCCGCCGAATCGACCCCGACAACAGCTACTACTACTCCCACCACGCCAACCGAACCCACTGCCACTCTCACTCCCTCCACCGAATCCCCTGCCGCCTGGGACGATACCATCAAAACCCAAATCTCGCGCCTCTCCTCCCCCCAATCCGTCGAATCCTGGCGCCAGTACTTCCATGACCTCTTCAGCGACCGCAGCATCACCATCACGCAACGTGATCTCTCGTCCGTGGCTCTGCAAAGCGCCGCAGCCGGCGCGGCTATCATGGGCCTTGTCATTGCCTTGATAAGACCGCGATAAAGGAAACTGTCATTGAAGAAACTACAAATGCATCGATAGAATGCAAGAGACAGAATCAAGGGGATGTGTGTGTATGTGTGTTTGCTCATCACAGCGTGATTGATGCCGTTTTTCTTTTTTCTCTTTCTCTTTGAAAGTTCCTTGGTCCATGGTCCATTCGGAACAAAACACATGTACTGTACAAATATTCGACTAACCTACCCTACGAATCTAGATATAAATAGACCTGCCTCAAGTGATGCATAAATTGAATCAATTCTCCTGTCTCTGGTTTGGTAGTTTTTTCTTTTTCTTTTGGTGTTAAGAATTATCTGTTTCCTTTAATACCAAGATATGCTCTTGATAGCGGTGTTGATAAGTATAACGCACGCGTACTTCGTAGGTAGTAGTACCTCATGCGGTATCAAGGACAGTTCTGGTCTCCAAACCCGGTATTAATAAGTGCATTCAGTCGTCAATCGAGTCTGCAATGGACACCGAGCCCAGCCTTATACAGAGACATTATACACAGAAATAAAAAAAAAACATAACAGAAGATGGACGACGGGAGTAGTCTGAAGTAATAAAACAATCGGCTCTGCTTTTTTTTTTTTTTAATTTGGTTTTCTTTTCAGGATCTGTTTTATCATATCGATGGATGCATATTAAAACAAGGTCTCTTTAATCTTGACACAAAAATAAAAAGACAAAAAAAAAAAAAACAAGAGAGAGATTTCATCTAAAATAAACACACACACATACACAAACCTGTCTTGTCTCCGCCTCTCTGGCCCTCACTTTCCCCTTCTGGGTCTCCCCGCTCTTTCGCAACTCGCACTCGCACTCGCTATACCAGTCCATCGTCTAAACAAAAAAAAAAACTAAAGATATGGCAGTAGTGGTGGTGGTCGTACACGCACAGAGCCCCGTCCGGTTGTTTCAAGAACAAGGAAAAAACAAATGATGGATTGTCAATATACAGACTCAGTTTTTGTTTTTGCAGTTAATCTAACCGATGACCAGGGTCTCGTCGGTGGGGAAGTTGTACTGAGGAACCTCGAGGTTCAGGGGGGCAGGACCCTTCCTTATACGGCCGGAGATGTCGTAGTGAGAACCGTGGCAGGGGCAGAACCAGCCGCCATAGTCACCGGCCTCACCGATGGGGACACAACCCAAGTGGGTGCAGACACCTACAATGGCGGAGTGGTTAGAAAAGAAGATAACGATATCGGAAGGCGTGGTCGGGAAGAAATGGAGGGACTGAAGTACGTACCAAGCATGACGAGCCACTTGGGGTCCTGAACACGCTCCTCGTCGGTCTGAGGATCACGGAGAGTGGTGTGGTCAATCTGGTTGGCCTCGTCGATCTCGCCCTGGGTGCGGTGACGGATGAAGACGGGTTTACCACGCCACTTGATGATGACCTAGAGAAGGATTGCGGTCAGCTTTGACGGCCTTGCAGATATAATTAAGTCGTAGACCAATTGGAGGATATGGACGTACGTTCTTGCCCTCGGGGATGGCACCGAGGCCGATTTCAACCTTAGCCTGGGCGAGGACGTCGGCGGAGGCGGACATGTTGACGAGGAAGTCTGTTGATAAGAGAAAATTGCAGGTCAGCCCATTGAGTTCCCCGACCGTGCCCGCCACGCATATGCAATTGTTGATTCCCAATATCGAAACCCATCACAGTCGATTCCGCCACGTTCCCATCGGATTAACGATCAGAATCCCAATCACGTACCCTGAACGGTGGCCTTGGCACCGACGGCAGAGGCCAGACCGAGCGAGCCGGCCATGAAGTAGGAGAAGACCTGGTTGGAGCGGGGGGACTTCTTGGACTGGTATTTGCTGAAGTCGGGGATCTTGGTGGTCGTGGAGCCGAAGGGGCTCTGGAAGGAGGCCTTGGAGGCGTCAGCGACCCCCCGGGACTGCTGGCAGGAGGCGAGGGCAGCGCGCGAGGTGGTCAGCTGCTGGCGGGCGCAAGAGCGCAGCAAAGAACCGGAAGCGGAGGCGAGAGACATGGCGACGAGGAAGCAATTGCAAGCAATCGCAACAGAGGGGACCGTAGCGGTGGGGGGTGAGAGGGGAGGAGGGTGGAGTTGAAGGGGAAAGAGGAGGGAATTTCCTAACGATGGAGGATGAAGTCGGCCGGGATGGACTTGCGGGAACCAAACCAGAGCTTTCGCTAGAAGCGATCGGAATCACGGGGCAGCTCATTGGCTGGGGGGAGACCGCCTTAGTCAGGATTTAAGTATAACTTAGTTAACTATAGAACTGATCTCATTATTTTTCCAGATGAGATTGACATTAATTATAGAGTAATATTTTTATAATATTTAAAGTGCAATTGTGATATTAATTCTTTTTTCTTCATGACTTACCGACCATTATTCAGTCTAACAGAGTGCAGAGTCCTGACGCGATTCATCCCGACCGCTGCCTTTTCTGGATCCGTCATTTCCCGTTCCGTCCCTTCCCTTAGTATACAAGGACTAAGGACTTATACTAAGGGTATGCCAGAATACTCAGAACACTAACAATATCCAATTGATCAAACATCAAACCCGTATATATACTCCCGAAACTCCTCCATTATGCTCCTTTTTTGGATTGCCATTTCCCAATTCCCAATTCCCATTCCTCCAATTCATCCATCGACCATCTCCACGTCCCCGTCTTGGGTCCCATTCTGCGTGCGATCAACCACCAGCGTACTGACAGCCCCCGACGCATGCATGACCGTCGGCGCTCGAGGACTCTTCGAGAGCTTCTCCTCCGACGGTACGTGCTCCGGCTCTTCCGCCTCCCCATTCGTCGGCTCCGCCGCAGGTAGGGCGCCGTTTATCGTGCGCTGTCCCTTCTCGTACTCGGCTTCCTTGGTAGCTTCCTCGGCTCGCTTTTCCTTGAACTGTTTGTAGGTGGTCGTTTTGGGGATGACGTCGGCGAGGAACTCCAGGTTATCGATTCGCGATACGGCCGTAGCTGTTTGACCCGAGATTAGTATCTCTTCATTATCTGGGTGAGTTTGGGTTGAGAAGGGAGATCGCGACTAACCGAGATCTTTGTATTGAATGTTCTTGCGCGGTTTTCGTTCGGACTTGACCACGTTGTGGCCTTGTTCCGTGAGGTATTGGATGAACATTTCCTGATCGGTCAGCTTCTTCAGTCGAGTTGGTGAGGTCGGAGCAACGCGCGGGACATACGGTAGCCATTGCGATCACGAAGGTGGCGTTGCTGGAACATTGCACGATATCCTCGTCTAGCTGGATGATTTTTTTGATTCGGGAGACTGGAACGCAGTCAGCAGCTAATCTTGCAGAAGAAGATTGGGCACGCACTGGGAAGAGCGCTCTGGCCGGTAATCTCGTCGGAGGGCGCAGACTCGGGCGCGGTCTTTTCTTTGGGAGGCATCGTGGTCGCGTCGTAAATCAACGGGGGGATTCTGGGTATAATAGAGAAATGAAGGAGTTTGATCTGACAATTTTCGGTACTGTTCAAGGAAGTGAATGGGGTAGGTATCCTCCGATGGGGTGAGTGAGGCGTGGAGGAAATCGAGGCGCGTGCGGTGGAATCCACGCGTGGCGGAAATGGGAGATAATCGTAGATAACCGGAGGAATTCGATAGTGAGTAAGTACTAAGTAGTCCTGGCGAGTCGACGACTATTCCTTCCGGCAACTAACCTGGTTAGTCGCGATTTAGCAATATACAAGATGTATTCAACAAGGATTAGAGATCATGTTTAATTAGAACCGAATTCTTCACCATCTAGAATTCTAGATCCTCCATTCTACGGACGCCTCTCACGTGGGCGGAGAAGCGACAAAGGAACCCAACACGGCAATATTAGGGATTCCCATCGATCGAGATCGACCAGTCTAGACACCTTCGTTCGCCTCACCAGCGATGCCCTTCCCTGTCGCCCATTCGAGTATGATATGATATGAATTCAATGCGCCCCCCGTCTCCTTCCCCGCGCTCCCCCTCCGTCCTATCCGAGCGACGGATCCTGAGGAGGCTATCGGGCTTATCCTCGCCCGTCGACCAGCAGCCCTCCCCCGATAACCAACCGACCGCCATCACCGAGGAGATCAGCGAGATCAAACGATACGAGGATTTCACCACCATCGACTGGGTGCAGGATGCCGTGCAGGAACAAGCGCGACGCCGAGCGAAGCGTCGCGACGGCTCGGGCTTCTGGGACCAAGAAGGCACCTTTGGCTGGCGACGAAAGGTGCGCGAGTCCTACGACGCCGGACAGGCCTGGCTCGTCATCACCATCGTCGGCGCGGCCATTGGATTGATCTCGGCGCTCTTGAACATCATCACCGAGTGGCTGTCCGACATCAAACTGGGTCATTGCACCACGGCGTTCTATCTCAACGAGAACTTCTGCTGCTGGGGCGCAGAGGGAGGTAAGCGGTTATATCACCCGATTGGCGTTAGAGTGGCTGATTGGTGGGCTTCTCTGCAGGCTGTTCTGAATGGAAGCATTGGACCTCGCTCTGGCTCGTGAACTATATCATATACATCTTCTTCGCGGTAGGTCTCCAGCTGATGTGGCCTGGACCGCCACGGCTAAGATTTTCTAGGTCCTCTTTGCCTTCGTCGCCGCCAATCTCGTCAAATCGTTCGCTCCGTATGCCGCAGGCTCCGGCATCTCCGAGATCAAATGTATTATTGCGGGGTTTGTGATGAAAGGGTTCTTGGGCGCATGGACACTCCTGATCAAGTCCATTGCGCTTCCGCTGGCCATCGCATCTGGCCTCTCTGTCGGAAAAGAGGGACCCAGTGTTCATTTCGCTGTTTGCGCAGGAAATGTGATATCCCGGTTTTTCAGCAAGTATAGACGAAATGCATCTAAGACTAGAGAGGTCTTGACAGCGACAGCCGCGGCCGGCGTGGCCGTCGCATTTGGCAGTCCAATTGGAGGCGTGCTCTTCTCCTTAGAAGTATGTTTTGGCTCGCTTGGACGGACTTTGATTTTGAGGCTAACTGAACCTAGGAAGTCGCATCGTATTTTCCACTTAAAACACTATGGCGAAGCTACTTTTGCGCATTGGTTGCGACTGGTGTTTTGGCTGTATGCACCCGCTTCTCTCTCTCGGCAAGCTAGCAAGCTAACAACCATATAGGCAATGAATCCCTTTAGAACCGGACAATTGGTCATGTTTCAAGTACAATACGATCGCACGTGGCATTTCTTCGAGCTGATCTTCTTTGTCTTCATCGGCATTTTTGGCGGTCTGTACGGAGCGCTTGTCATCAAGTGGAACCTCCGCGTCCAGGCATTCCGCAAGAAGTACCTGTCTCAGCATGCGGTCATGGAGTCCGTCGTTCTGGCTGGTGTCACAGCCGTTCTATGTTTCCCGAACATGTTTTTGAAGATTAACATGACGGAGATGATGGAGATTTTGTTCCGCGAGTGTGAGGGCGGCCATGATTACCACGGACTTTGCGAGTGAGTCTCTCCATCGGCTCTAATGGACTATACTAATGAGCCAGACCTAAACGTCGCTGGTATATGGTCGGATCACTAGCTGCCGCCACCTTCCTCCGGATCTTCCTGGTCATCATTTCCTACGGGTGTAAAGTGCCGGCCGGAATCTTCGTGCCATCGATGGCCGTGGGCGCGTCGTTCGGGCGCCTGGTCGGAATCCTTGTGCAAGCGCTACACGAGTCCTTCCCGGACTCCCAGTTCTTTGCCGCGTGCGATCCTGACGTTCCGTGTATCACGCCTGGCACGTACGCCTTCCTCGGTGCGGGTGCAGCGCTGAGTGGGATCATGCATTTGACTATCTCGGTGACGGTCATCATGTTTGAATTGACCGGCGCGCTGACCTACATTCTTCCCACGATGGTCAGTATTCTTTCCGTTCGGCACCGAATCCTACTAATCGTTTCTAGATCGTCGTCGGCGTCACCAAAGCAGTCGGCGACCGTTTCGGCAACGGCGGCATCGCAGACCGCATGATCTGGTCGAACGGATTCCCCTTCCTCGACAACAAAGAAGACCACGTCTTCAACGTGCCCGTCTCCCACGCCATGACCAGCGACCCGCTGTCACTGCCAGCCTCCGACTTCCCCGTCCGCGAAGCCGAGCACCTCCTCAGCGACAACAAATTCCAAGGCTTCCCCATCGTCGAGGACCGCTCCTCCAAGATCCTCGTCGGATACATCGGACGCACCGAACTCCGCTACGCGATCGACCGCGCCCGCACCGAGGGCATGGTTTCGCCGTCCGCGCGCTGCGTCTTCACCAAGGAAGCGGCCGACGCGGCGGTGGCGCGGCGGGCGTCCGCGTCTTCCTCCTCGCGCGCCAACCTCGTCCCGGACACCTTCGACGCCATCCACCGCAGCTCGGGCACCACGTCTGTGGACTTCAGCCGCTACGCCGACCACACGCCCCTCACCGTGCATCCGCGCCTGCCACTCGAGACGGTCATGGAGATCTTCAAGAAAATGGGCCCACGCGTCATCCTCGTCGAGCACCGCGGACGACTTACGGGTCTTGTCACTGTCAAGGACTGCCTCAAGTACCAGTTCAAAGTGGAGGCCGAGGAACAGGCCCTCGCGGCAACCAACAACCCCCAGGAACTGCGGCTGGGCGAGCACCTGCATGGACAGGGCGATACGCTGGAAGAGCGGCTGTGGAGTTTTGTGCAGTCGTTGGCCTCGAAGATACCTGGTCGGAAGGCTAGTCGACCGGATGGGTATCATGGGGTGCGCGGCGGGGAGCGCGGGGAGCAAAATCCTGGGGGCGTGGAGTTGGAGGATAGGCAGTAATGCCTTTGCCTTTAGGATGGATTGTTTGATGCTTTTGGTCGTCTAGGTTAGGTCTGGTTGGGTGGGTCGGTTCTGTAAACATTTACTTACTACATAGAGGATTCTGGATCTGGCATCCAGTATCGAATATAGATTTGAATGCTTTTCTGGTAACTTATGACACACTAACTAGTTGTTACCCTTTGGTGGTATGTGTAGTCTATCAACCTACCTCATCCTATATCTCCTGGAGGAGCACAAGAACCCTTACCAGCCCGTGGAAACTATTAGAGTACGACAATCTGCTTGTTCCATACACAATTTCATCTAAACAATACAATACCAAGCACAACTATCCACCTCCAGCTGTATACATAAATGCCGATTCCAATTCCAATGCCAATGTAGTATACAATAGGTAGTATACCATATAGTTAACTCCTGAACACCTAGCCAGTAGATATAACCCATGTAAAAGTAGAACAAAATAACCTGGTCAGCCCCAGAGTGCTGTACCAATATAGTTAATCAGCCCGAACTCCTCCCTCCATCAATAGAGATTCGCATCTCCCCAGGTACTTCCCTTCCCTTCCCTTCCAGTCCTTTGCCTAGGTATTATATCATATACCAAACCCCTAGAATCCAGCCCTTCTACTTTACCTCCTTTACCCCTTATCCCCACAGCGTATATATACCCCCTCCACGCCATAATCCACAAACACATGATAAGAGAGAGAGATTATTGATCCCTCATGCCCACAAGCACACAACCCCCACCCATCAGTCCCGCGCCAACCCACCACAAGGGCGCCACATTCTCCTTAAAGACAAGCATGCCCAGAACGGCCGTGACGAGGAAATTCGCCGACGTGTTCGTGATCGAGACCTTTGTTGTGGAGGGCGACGCGGTCAGTGCTCGTGTGAAGAGCGCCCACATTATGATGTTGCTGAGGAGGTTTAGGCCGAAGAATATCTGTCCAGGGTATCATCCATTCATTCGTTAGTATTGATTAGTGTTGGGTTTGCGGTTGGGTTGGGTGAGGTGGGTTCAATTGAGATAGGGGTGTATGAGGTAGGTACTCCATAGGTATGTAGGTAGGTAGGTATTAGGGAGGTAGTATGGGCTGGCTGCTAAAGGTAGGACGTACACCTCTAATAACGACCTCCACGAACGGATGCTGGTCGAGATCAGCGTTGAAGAGGGAGAGGAGGGAGGCGGCGAGGGAGGACGTGTGTGTGTCTGTTGTTCTGGATTATAGGTATTCTTGGTGAGCTTATTGACGTATATATACAGAAGAGTCATGGGATTGGACATGGTCAGGGTAGGTACAGCTTTGCGAAGAGGCCGTTCAGAGCGGCGAATGCGCCGCTGGTCACGGCGAGGATGATCCAGCGGGAATGGCGCTTTTGTTCGGATTGGGAGGGAGGAGGCATTTTGGGTATTATATATAGTATATTGCAGTATATTATATGGATATGTATGGATATGTATTTAGGGATTGAAGTGAAACAAGTGAGATAAAGAAGAGGTGGTTAAACGTGACGGAAGTTGTCTTTTCTTGGCATCTTATCTTATCTAAGGTCCCCATAGCTTCATAGCTCTGTATATCTACATCTACGGCGACAATCGCTGAATCCGCCATCTATACGTCTCCTTCTCACTACCCTGCCCACCAACCCCATTCTCATGCACCTTTACATACCGAAACCGATCATGCAGTCGACTGCGTCTCCCCTGCCAAAACTCCACCGACTCCGGCACGATCCTCACCCCGCCCCAGAACGGGGGCAGGGGAATCTCCTTCGTATCTGCAAACCGCGCCTCCATCTCCTGCACACGCTGCTCCAGCAGCGCCCGTCCATCGTCAATATCCGTTTCGTTCACATCCCCCGGAATGGCGGGCACGACACCCGTCACCTTGTCGGCCGCCAGGCTCTTCCTTCGCCGATCAATCAGCAGATGCGGCTCCGTCTCCCAAAGTACTTTACTCTGCCAGCTAGCCCAGGCGCCGATCTGGCTGCCTCGTTCGCGCGTACGCCAGTATAGTTCGCTTTCGGAGCGACTGAGCGGCTCGACGAGGCCTTCGACGCGGACTTGGCGTTCCAGCGTCGACCAGCAGAACGTCAATGCGGCCCATTTGTTGCCGACTTGGTCGAGTTGTAGCTCTTCTTGGAGGTTTGATTCGGGTTCGGGAATGGCGCGTAATACATCCTCGCTGTTTGTTCCGTTCGATGTAGTGCCGAATACCTGCCCTCCCTTTCCCTCTCGACTACCCCAGTTACTATACACCACCCAACCCCGCTCATCCAGTTCCTTCAGGTACACGATGCGCGCGCTAACACGGCCCTCCGGCAATGACGCCGTAGCCAGAGTACAGGTTTCGGGCGCGGAGGACGCAGGAAGCCGGGAATCGCGGAACCAGGTATTGAACTGATGCAGTGGGTTGGTGGGGTGCATCTGCGAGACGGTGAGCGGCGGGTTACTGACGAACTGGTGGGCGCGGGCGGGGTGTGAGACGATCTGTGTCTCCTGGACGGAATTGGGGGTGCTAGTTTCGGAGCGGAGGGATTCGGCGACGAGGCGTGTGGCGGCGGAGGAGGGCACGTCGGGGGGCGTGGCTGGGGGTGAGGGCTTGTTGTCGGGTGAAGCGATATCTCCTGGGGCGACTGTTGGGGTTAGTTAGCGGGTTGGTTTTAGGGGGTGGAGAGGAGGAATTGAAGATGGAGGGGGGATACAGATTAGTTTCTTGGGCCGTTTGGTGTCGGCTTCCCCGGTGGTGGGGTGTTCGGGGTGATCCATGGTGGAAGTAGAGGAGAGTCTTGAATGGCGGAGATGATGATGTAGGGGCAATTGATAGAGACGGAGGGGAGAACGAAGCCAACTGGATAGTCGGAGAAAGCGCATAGACAAAACCGAAGAATCCGAGGGATTGAGGCGAAGGTGAAGTCGGAGAGATGAGGCGATAGAAAGAGAAGTGACGCATGTGGGGGTGGGGCAGGTCACGTTTACTTCTGGTCCGATCAGGGTTACATCGACGAGGATAACTGCAATTACAATTAAAACTACGCCCATAAGGCACTTCATATACTTGGTCAGAAATATTTCATATCTTGTTCAATTCAGTCAAGCTCTGAGAGCTTGAACGAGGCTGTCCATGAACAGCGTGATGAGTTGAGAGTGGTCTAGAAACAGACAAAAACATATGAACATCGAACATATACGCACGGAAATCAAGATAAAAATCCCAAAACAATCCCATGGTATACATCATCTGGTAACCCCCGTCTTTTTTTCACAGAACGCCGTCACTCGCTGAATGCAAAACCGAATAAGATCCGAAAAAACCATTTAACATAACAAAACCAACGGGGGAATCATGGTTGCCTCCCATAAATGCCTGATGCAGACAAGAGACCATCGGGCTGGAAATCAGCCAGAAAGACAGGGATCCAGCCCTGTTGACAGATTAAAAACGAATTAGGGTGCTTTTGTTCCAGTCAAAAAGTAAGGCTTTTTGATTCCCGAGGAATCACGAATGGGAAGGCAACGTCGTCCAGATGACGAATGCAAATTATACTCGCTCTTTCTCTTTCTTCTTCTCTCCAACCTCCCTCTCTCTATGTATGTACTTAGAGGGAGGCGGTAACGGCCGCTCCGCCGACAAGATCCGCGATCTTGCTGGCGACGGCGCTGGGGTAGCCTCGAGACAGCATCTCCTGCACGGTGCGGGAGGCTCCCTCGCGGTCCTCAGACAGCAGGAAAGCCCGGGTCATGGCCTCGTAGGTGCTCGGCTCCCGGCGATTCACTCCGATGCTGTCGTACACGGTCTTGGCCTTGGCGACGTTGCCCTCGGCCGCCCATCCTTGGATGAGCGTGTTGGCAATGTACGCCGTCATCTCCACGCCGCGGCGGGCCATGTCCTGCACGATCGCCTCGGTCTGGCCCACCTGCTGGTTGAACACCATCGCCTCGAGGAGGGCCTGGTACAGACACGGCTGCACGCGCACCTTGCCCTCGGCCACGATGGAACGGAATACGTCGTGCGCGGCTTCCATGTCGTGCATGACGCATCCCTTAGCGTGGATGAGCGAGGCGTAGTGCACCGCCTCGGGTCGCTGTCCGCTAGACTGGATGCGTTCGAGCACCTTTTCGGCGGCGGGCATGTCCACCGGCTCCAGCGAGGCGTAGGCGTCGACGAGCAGCTTGTAGGTGTGCATTGTAGGCTGGATGTTCCGCGCCAGCATGCGCTCGTAGTAGGCCAAAACCTTGCTGCGGTCGCGCTTGGTGTTGAGGAAGTATTGGATCATCGAGTTGTACGGGGCAGGGCGGGGCTTGTAGTTGGGCATCGACTCCATCTCCTCGAACATTTCCTCGGCGAACCGCTCGTCGCTGACCCGGCATAGGGCGTTGACGATCGTGCCGTACGTGACGCTCGTGGGACGAACGCCGTTGGCACGCATCTCGGCAAAGTACAGCAGGCAGTCGTCAATGCGACGGGCCTTACCGAGCTTGCCGATGAGGGCATTGTACAAGAACGAGGTGGGCTCGACGCCCTCGGCCACGGCGCGGTGGAAGATCTTCAGCGCCTCCGTCGCCTCGTCGAAGGTCTTGGTGGATTCCTTAAGGGTGGTGATGTAGAGTCCGAACGTGTTGGCCGAGGGCGCGGAGCCGAGCTCCAGCAGCTCGCTGTGGTACTTGGCGGCCAGGCTGCGGTCGCCCAGCGTCAGGCAGGAGGCGACCATGGCGTCGAGGATCGACACCCAGCCGTACTTCACCGCGTGGTACTGGGGCAGGAGGGGCACGTCGCGCCGGGCCATGCTCAGGATCTCGTGGACGAGGTCCACGCGGTTGATCTTGGCGGCGGCGGTGATCATTTTGGCGTAGGTGATGTAGCGAGGGTGACGACCGGCGCGGCGCATGCTGCGCACCCGGTTCAGCGACTCGTTCAGATGCGACTCGGCACGGCCGCTCGTGCTCTCCAGCTCCTCAGCGATCGTCGCCGATCCGCGGAAGTCGGTGGCGTAGGCGTACGGGTCGAAGGAGTCCTCGGCAGGGGCGGAGCTTGGGTTCGTCGAGAGCTCGGAGACGGGGCTCATGTGGCGATCGGAGACGAAGGACGACGGGGGGCTGGAGGTGAGGCCGAGATGGTCGTGCCATCGGCGGACCATGTCGGGTCGGCTGTTGAAGAGCTTGCCCACGGCCTGGTCCACCACGCGAGTGGTGAAGGGGTCCATCTGGAGGCCGGTGGCCAGGGCGATGTCAAGCATGTGGGCGAAGCGAATTGGGTGGGCGACATCAAAAGCAGCGGCGTTGCCGTTGACCAGCATGTTGGCCTGGATCTGCAGGGCGAGGGTCAGGTCGCGGGCGTTGAGCTGCGAGATGCTCATGGGACCGAAGCTGGCGACGACGTGCTCGGCGACCGGGGAGACCATGCCCCCGTTCTCAGCCATCGACCAGAGAAGAGTCATGGCAGCGGGAGGAGTGAGGATAGCAGCAGATTGGCTTAGGACGCTACCGAGAAGGTGAATGCTTTCGTTGATCTGTTCACGGACGGGATTCAGCAGAAGGGGGTTGTTGTTGACAGAAGACGACGAAGCGTTGCGAATCCGGGTAAACATATTGCGAGCCTCCAGCAGGGCCTCCTCGATCTGACCACTCTTCAGCAGGGCGGCGGCGTACATGACGGTCGGCTGGATCATCTCCGACGTAGCCTGACCGGTGGTGCTCAACGCGAGCCACAGGGACCGGGCCGCGGTCACATTGCCTTGTCGGACGTGTAGCGCTAGCAAGGAGACGGCGGGGCCCTGTCGAAGGGTCCATTCGGTGGGCAGACAATCATACGCCTCGGAGGCAGCCTTCAGATTACCGGCATCCGCCGCGGTGACGCAGATCTGGGCCATGGCATGATCCAGCGCGCTATCCTGCAAGCGGGTCTTGGCCTGGTCTAGCGCCCTATCATGCTCGCCGGATTTCAGAGAGTGGCGCACCAGCGCGTCCTGCACAATCACCGACTCAACGGAGCTCTGACGAGTCTCGCGATTCTCGGTGACTTCGTCAAACGAGGAGCGGATGCGTTCCACAAATCGGAGCGCCTCATCCTCCCTGCCGCACGAGAGATACGCCTTGACCAAGGCGGCGTAGACCTGCGCGTCCAATCGCTGGACGATGCTGAAGGTGCCGTTATCGTCCGACACCGCCAGTGCCTTGTATTCATTGTAGCACTCCACAGCGCTCCGCATGTCTCCGGTCGACGCGAACGCGTCGATCATCGAGGGGAAGATCGAGGCGTGCGGGGTCACCTTGTGGGATTCCATGTGGGCGTAGACGCGCACCATGTTTTCGACGCGGCCCTCGATCGCACATGCGGTGATCAGGTAGCGGTAGGTGTCGAGGGAGAAGACCAGGTCGGCGTGTCGGGCGATGGCCGTGTTGAAGAGCTTCAGAGCGATGTCGAGAGAGTGATCCTCATCGAGGATCGCGCGTTCCAGCTCGCTGGAGTGCAGCATGAACTTGCCGTCCTCCTCCATGCCGCCAAATCGCAGACGATCTTGTTCCAAGAGTCCCTTGGCCTTGATCGCATCGTGGGCACGGACGACGAAAAGCTCGACTAACGTGCGGTACGTCTGCTCGTCGGGGATCACCTTGCGACGCAGCATGTCCGAGTAGACATCCAGCGCCTTCTGGATGGCCTGGGCGCTATCACCGTGGAGTTGGATGGCCGATTCCAGCAGGGCATTGTAGGCCCCGACCGTGGGGGTAAGACCATCTCTTAGCAACGTGGCAAATGCCCCGGGGATCTCGGCGTACTTCTTCGTCGACGCCAGCTCAACGATGCGATCGGACGCAGCGTTGGACTGCTCTGCCGTGGCATCCGAGATGGCAGCGACCTCGTCCGGTAGGTCGGGGAACGCCTCCGTGGCGTTCTCGGCCTCGACCGCTTCTTCCGCCTGTGCTTGCTCTTCCTGGATCTGGATTTCACGGGCCACGGCTTCGTCTACCTGCGCACTGACGTCGGCATTAGCCGAGGCCTTGGTGAGATGCGGCGACCGGTGGAGGTTCTCGTGCGACTTGGACGCAGCCTCTTCCTCCTTCGCCTTGGCAGTTTCTTCCGACGACGGCTTCCACCCGATGCGTTGTTTCATCTGCAGCTGCTTCCAATCGCTGTCATCGCCGGTTTGCTGGGCATGCTGCCAGGCCTGATAGTAGGCGGCTAGACCCAGGTCGCCGGAGCCGGAACCGCCCTGACTGGCCTTAGCGCCGGCGCCGGAGGACGAACTGGACGGTTGGAAGACATTCTGGAGAGCGGATCGGGAGAGTTTAGCGGCGGGTTGGTTGGCTATTTGGTTGAAGGTGGCGGAGGATGTGTAGGAGGACTGCGACGCGGCGACTACGGATTGAGCATAGCCATGAGTGAAGGCTTTTGTGAAACTCTGGCGCGCGAGGTGGGTAAACGGTTTGAAAACCATTTATCTGGCGGGCGACCTCTTCAGGGAGAAGAGGCAATGCTAGAGGAGAGTCAGTAACGTGTCTTCATTGATATCCGCGTGCGTGTCCTTTACGCTCGACGCACCTTGTAATCAAAATAATGGAAATGATGCAGGTTCATTTGACGATGACCAATCGCCAAAAGAACGCGCCCGGTAGGGAGAGGGATGAATATGATTAGGGAATGGAACGAGGGTGAATTAATTTCGTGTGAAAAAAAAAAAAAAAAAAAAAAAAAATGGTATGGGAAAGAGATAAAAGAATGGTGATAAAAAAGGGCCGTCAGCGGAGGAAAGCGAAGGATATTTCAGAAGAGCCGAGAATGATCGGTATCACTGGTCGGCTGGAAGGGGCTTAGCGCCGATCCCAGACTAGACGCTGCCCTTTTGGGACCAGCGGACCAAGGGAGCTGGCGGTGGAGCGTCGGACTTAGGCCTCTGCTCCGAAGGATTTCTAGTATTTACGCAGTAGTATTCTATGGTAGGGCTATGTACTCAGTACTGTGCTGGGGGATGCCGTACAAAGGTCCTGCGGTCATCCAGGAGATCAAACACAGTCACAGACTCACGAAAAGAATGAAACGCGAGGATGGCAGAGTTTTCAATGACAGGGACCAACCAGGGATGCCTCAGGCCAGGGACACACGATCAGGTGGTCTTCGACGGTCGGAGCGGCTTCCGAGTCGGCCAATGATCCGCCGGGAAAGAACGGGGCCGCGGGAAAGAACAGGAAGCTAAACCTGTCAGGTAAAGTGTCTGGCCCGTGACTCCCGTGACTCACCCCGTCTTTCCGACTCTTTTTCTTCCTGCGCCGTCCGGACTTTGACTGCGCCTGCTCCGTTGCTCGGATCCTCCGTGGACCGAATCCCCGGTACAGGGTACTTTTGCTGAGGCATGAGGCATTATTCATCTTTTGGGATTCTAACGATGATTCACTGTGGGTTCGAGCATTCCAGAACTGTTTTTAAATAGTTCCGGTGGATTCACTTCCAGATGGAGCTACCATTCCAATACGGAGTAGGGAGTATGTACACCGTGTACAGTTGTACTCTCATAGATCCAACTCGATCTTGAAAATCACCTCTCACTCTGACCACACAATGACATCAACTTCCTTGATTAACCTGCAGCAACGGCTCGTATGTCTTTAGGTAGTCTTTGACTATGAAACCCCGCAGAAAGGTCACGCACGTAAGCCCCCTTTTGACTTTATCAGATCCTCTCCGACGTGGTATCCAATCCGCCGTCCATCCCACGAATCCCATGCCTGGAATCTGCTCTTCTTACCGTGTGCCGTGCGTCATGTCGGGGCTCGGAGATTATCAATCTGCCAGGCCGAGCCTGCAGACCACGGAGTTCCAGGGTTCAGCTTCCGTGCCAGCTACTGAACTCTTGTTGCATCTGCGTTTCTGAATGGTTGCCTATTGTAGATTGCTACGGCGGAAATCGGGGGAATGGAGAAATTTGCTCATCCTCGGCTGTGCTCGTGCGAACTATTGAAAGTGTGTTTCTTCGCTTCCTTTGTTGGCTCTGGATAATGTGCTATTGGTCTGGAGCTGATCATCCTAGTGGATATAGATTCCTTCACGAGTGCATTTGATATGTTTAGTTGTTTACTGCATGGATTCGGGGATGCTGCATACTATACCCTAGTCAAATAGAATAATTCCTCCATTAAGTGCACCAAGGCACTGCTCTCCAGTCATTTAAACCACCATACTCTCAAGATAAGGAACGTCGGATGGTGAGATGCATCTTAGGAGGCTGGCTCTAGAGCGAGAAACCTCTACCAGGGACTCCATGTTCTGAGGGATTCAGTCACATCAAGTTCACCATCCTTTCAATAGGTACCGTGTTCGACCTTATCAACTGCAGGAACCAGGTGTTGGTCTCGTCTTTGTCCCATTAATTCCAAAAGACCTTCGAAAACCAACTTTTTCAAATACTGCTTCTGTCAGAGTAAAAAATATTCTCTTCTGGAGATTTTCAGATCGCGCAATCCAGTCCACGCGTGCGGAATGGACACAGGTGGGCATATTGATGTGGGTGAATTGCATTTGAGGCCGAACCAAACCCAACGAGTCAATGGTTGGCAAGAAAATGTCTTATCTGACTGGAATTGCGACTGAGGATCGTTTATGCTTGCCCTGCTGGTATTCACTAATTTAGTCGACCCAAGTAGTTAATAATCGACAGTGGGATTAGGATACAGATCGGAGACACTTCAATTTACTGTTTCGATGTTCCTATCTAAGACTGATAAGCCACGGAGATAAGAGTCTAATGTAAATTAATCTCCACCGTTCCTCCGAATATCGTCAAATCCAATCCAGCTCAACACCTCACTAAAGACCTCCCAACCTACAAACAAAATGTCCAACAGTCCTTTCGTGCTCCCTCGTCCGGGAGCTTCTATAACCTCCACAACCCCAATCCCAGCCCCATCCGAATCCGCCTTCGTGGCCACCTTCGGCGCCGTCCTCCCCGCAGCGCAGTACCTCCAGACCCCCCACGGCCGCGCCGCATACTACTCCCTTCCACCATCATCACCCACCCCGACATCCTCCTCCTCTTCTACACCGATCACCCGCGTGCTATTCGTCCATGGCGTACAAACCCCCGCCATCGGCCTCCAGCCTCTCGCGCGCGCCTTATCCTCTCGCTTTCCACACGCGCATTGCGTACTGATCGATCTCTGGGGCCACGGGCTCTCCGAAACGCCCGTGCTCCCGCACGAGCCGGGACTCTTTCACGGACTGCTCCTCGCCCTCCTGACGCATCTGGACTGGTCCAGTGCGCATCTCATCGGGTACTCGTTTGGCGGATCCACCGTGACCAGCTTCGCGGCAAAGTATCCCGTTTTGGTATCTTCCTTGGTGTTGGTTGCGCCGGCGGGGTTGTTAAGCGCGTCACAGTTCAGCGATGAGCAGAGGGGGTATTTAGCTGGTGGGGACGCGGTGGTGGAGGCTAAAGCGCGGGCGTGGATTCTGGAGTTCTTGGAGGGCGGGAGGCTGGTTGTTCCGGCGGATTGGAAGGAGAGGGTGAGCCGGGGAGAGGTGGTCGCAGAGGCGGTGCGCGAGTGGCAGATGAAGGAGCATCGCGGGAATGAGGCGAGTGTGGTGGGGGTGTTTAGGGATGGAGGGGTGTTGGATAGACATGCGGAGTTTGAAGAGGTAGTGAGGAGGGGCGAGGTTAGAGGGTTGAGTGTCCTGGGGGAGTTGGATGATGTTTGTAGTGCTGGGGATTTGGAGGCGGTTGGGATGCGGAATGTGGTCGTTGTGAAGGGCGTGGGACATGCAGTGGTGAGGGAGAGGGTGGAGGAGGTTGCTGGGTTGATTGAAGAGTTTTGGAAGACGTTGTAGTGTAGGTGGTGATGGAGAGGTTGGTGTTGTGCACGATATGGATGTACTAGAGCTCGGTGTTATAGAAGTAGAGTCAATTGTGGCTGAGAGCTATCGCTTATACGAATAGACCGATTTGCCAATCGCCAACTCTTCGATACGAAGTCGGATACTTTTCCACTGGTGCGCCAAAAGGCCACAAACCCTATTCTGTTAGAACAAAGACACACAATCGGAGAATTAGTTTCAGCTGAATAGAAGCTTCCGCGGCATATATAGAGAGTGAGCGGTGCTATTCTCCATCGCCATTACACAACGTCACCAGCTATCCATCTACTAGGTACAGTACATCTTCTTTCCATCATGTCAGATGACACATCAGAAACGCTCCCTCGAACGATGAAAGCATGGACATTCAGCCATTCAGGACCCCCTCAATCAACACTGCAACTATCCCAAGACATCCCCCTACCAACTCTCCGCACCGAAACCTCGCTCCTGATCCGCGTATGCCATGTCTCCGTCCACCCCGGGACAGTCATCATGATGAACCTAATCCCATCTCTCTTCCGACCATCCTTGACCATTGCCGAGACCGATTTTTCCGGAATCATAGTTGCGGCCGGCAAGAAAGTCCCCACGGCCCCGTCCTCGGATAACACTCGCTACTTCTCCCCAGGGTCCACCGTCTTCGGGTCCCTCCCTGTATCCAAGCATCTCAAAGGATCCGGGGTCCTGGCCGAGTACGTCGTCGTCGACATGACCTCTGTAGCTCGGAAGCCTGAAAATGTCTCGTTCGCCGAAGCGGCCGGACTACCTGTTTCGGGCTCAACGGCTCTAACCCTCCTAGACGCCGCGCGACTCCAGCCAGACGACAAGTTGCTTCTGAATGCTCCTTGCGGAGGAATCGGACACTTTGTGGCACAGTTGACCAAGACACAAGGGGACCACCACATCGTAGGGATCTGCTCTAGGACATCTGCGCAGTTAGCCCGGGGACTGGGATGCGACGAGGTGATAGATTACCACGCGACAGACGACGGGACAAGCCTGGAAGAAACTCTATCATCCAACTTCCGTGGAGACAACGCATTCGATGCTATCATTGACGCGCACGGGTCTCAGCCCCTGTGGCATTCCGCACCGGGCTTCTTGAAACCAAGTCCCGGTCATGCGTATACGTCTGTCGGGCCGGCGTTGAGATCGTATACCTTCCGTGCTATGTGCCGGGTGTTGAAGGATATGGTTCTCAATCAGTATTTGCCGAAGTGGATGGGTGGTGTAGCGAGAGAGTTTAGGCAAGTTACGTCGATCGTGGACGTTGAGAAACTGGAGCGATTGAGAGGGTTAGCGGAAGAAGGAAGCTTGAAGACGTATCTTGGAGGAGAGTGGGATTTTGAAGATGCTATGCAGGTATGTGGCTCACTCCTCCTTGGGGGTTCGAAGGAAGACTGAGATGCAGTGCAGGCGTACGAGGTGCTTATCAGCGGACATGCTAAAGGGAAGCTGGTCATTCGCGTTTGGGAACCATCTTCTGGATTGAGTTGATTTGGAAGGTTATGTCGGTATTGGTGATCTAGGGAGACTGGCAGGCTTTTTGATACCAGAAGGATTAAGGAAGCTTTCTGCATTTGCTGGAGAGATTGTATGAATACTGCTTCTGAACTTGACAAATCCATTCCAGTTCTAGAGAAAAGGAGGGTGTAAAGACAAGGACGTAGGAGTAAAACCGTGCATAGTTAAATGATATGCACAGCTGACAAAGCGCATTAGGATGGGCAGTCCCAATCAGGAAATGACACCTGCCATAAACACCATACCCATTTCGGCTAGTACTGCAGCCACAGCAGTCAGCCACCGATGAGCTCCAGCCACAGGAAGGACCAACAATGCAAACATGGGCGTTCCTCAGTTGGCCATTCTCTCGTCTTCTGAATAACCTACAGACGAAGTCCTCGATAGACCCTGGTAACAATACGGATTCTATGCGTGTCATTTCCTCCCGCAACCCCATGGTTACTTGCTGAACACGCGTCGTGGGTTTCTTTCACTCACCGTTGCGATACCCCCTTATCTAGGCGGGGTTCCTGGAGATCCCCCCAAAATTTCCAGTCCGACCTGAAGATCAACATCATTCTACCCTCCGATGTCACTAGACAATTAACCTTGCTTTTTCTCACCGCTTGATTATCTCACAGAGTGTGTATTGCTTCCTGGGGTTCTGATTGGGAATGATACTCTTTCTCGCGCCGTGCTTGCTGACCGTTTGTTTACTCCTAGTTCCCAACTGTCTGCACCTGAACTAAACGCACTTGCGATAATATTCCCCGAAATATCGACCCATTTTCGACCAGAAAATCAGTCCAATGTCTGCTCTACCTCCCGCCATCACCGCCATCACCGCCTTGTCCGCCCCGGGCAAGGTTCTGCTCACCGGTGGCTACCTTGTCCTGGACCGCAACTACACGGGCACAGTTTTCGCGCTCGACGCAAGGATCCATATCGTGGTGCAGCAACTGAGACGTGGCCACCGCAGAGGGCCGTCCGAGTCAGGGAAATCCGGAGAAGGTGCGCCGACTGGAACCGTCGAGGAGGGCAGTGCTGTGGAAGATAAGGATAGCGAAGATATCGTCGTGGTGCGCTCGCCACAGTTCATAGATGCGTTGTGGGAGTATGGCATCCAGCGTTGCGAGAACGGCGGCGGTATCAAAGTCGTCCAAAGGAATGAGGGGTAAGAACCTATTTCGTGTTGTTTTCATGCCTCAGACTCAAAGACTAACATTGCTAGACGTCACAACCCCTTCGTCGAGACCTCCCTCAACTACGCGTTGACCTACATCAGCTACGTCGCCGATTCCAAGGACTTTGGATCGCTGTCAATCACTATTCTCGCGGATAATGACTACTACTCCGAGACCGCTTTCTCCAAGGCGTCCGAGCTACACTATGCGGGGCGATTCGTGCACTTTGGCGTGCCCCTTCACGAAGCGCACAAGACCGGTCTTGGCTCCTCTGCGGCATTGGTTACGTCTCTCGTATCTGCTCTGGTCATACATCGGACGATGCAGCCGGATGATCTTGGTGCCGCTCGCGACAAACTGCATAACCTGGCCCAAGCAGCTCACTGTGCGGCTCAAGGAAAGGTGGGATCCGGTTTCGACGTTGCCGCCGCGATTTACGGTTCTTGCCTCTACCGTCGGTTCTCTCCCAGTATCTTGGAGTCCGTGGGCGATGTCGGAACTCCCGGATTCGAAGAGCGATTGTTTGCAATTGTAGAAGACGTCAACCCCCAACATCCCTGGGATACGGAGTGTCTGGATTTCGGCATGCAGCTGCCCCGAGACATGCAGATGGTTCTGTGTGATGTGGAATGTGGCTCTCAAACCCCATCCATGGTCAAGAAGGTGCTGGAATGGCGCAAGCAGAACCAGCAAGAGGCCGACTTGCTCTGGGCGGCCCTGCAATCCAATAACGAAAGACTGTGCCTCGAGCTGAAGCAGCTAGCCCAGAACCCTAACCATGAAAGGGCCAATGACTACAGTGACGTCCGCAGCCTGATCCAGCGCTCGCGCAACCACATCCGCAGCATGACCCGGAAAACCGGCGTGCCGATCGAGCCCAAAGTGCAGACCGAGCTGCTGGACGCCATCTCCGAGCTTGAGGGAGTCGTCGGCGGCGTGGTCCCTGGCGCTGGTGGCTACGATGCCATCACCCTCCTGATCCGAGACGACGTCGAGGTGATCCACCGACTGAACCATCTCTTCGAGACCTGGGAGAGCAAGGTGGAAGACGACTTCGGTGGCAAGATCGGCCAGGTGCGTCTCCTGGGTGTGCGTCACGGATCCGCCGGAGTGAAGAATGAATCGTTGGACCAATATTCTGGCTGGGTATGATCCTATTTTTCGGAGGAAAACCCGAGGAACTCAACGATAAAGGCCAATGCATATATTCTTTGATGTGCATGCCTGACAGACCTGGTTTCAACTACCTATCGCCAGCTCAGCGCAGACCCCAGCTCGACCTGTTCTCTTTGTTGTGCCATGGACACACCTTTTACATTTCATTTTAACGATAGGATGACATAACGACGAGCATATTGCATGTTTTAGAGTAGCATAATCCACCAGATTTCAATTCACTTTTTTTTAATAATTCATCATTCAAACTAATTAGTGAATTAGAGAATGTGCAAACGAGGAAGTCGGAGGTTCTTAGCAGTAAATGTTTCCATCGAGTTCTTACCAGGAGACAAACGTGCTTTCTGAACTAGGAGATACTCCCAGTACCTCTTAACGCCGATAACCCAAGGATTATAAGTCAGGGTCTTCAAGGGAGCAAGAAGATGGGTCTAGAGAGATCATGCGCTCCTGCCGAAACGGAATCTTGCAAGTAAGTGTCTTCTCGACTGGGAAGCGGGCGTACAACTTGACTGACAATTCAAAGCTTGTCGAGGTATTGCAAATGTTTCCTCGCGCTCGGCAGGGAGCCCAAACGAGAGAGTGGTGGGCAGATGAGGCCGCGCCAGACCTCTATGACAGACGCTATTTTTACGTGCCTGGAAAATATACAGCTAGATATGTAAGGACGAGAACAGATCGCTTGATAAGTGCAAGCAGCAGGAGATTGAAACGCCAGGAACCAGAAGGTTACAAACCGGGACCGATGCGTGCACTTTCGCCAAATCTCCGAGAAGATGTAAGCTTTTATTACGAATATCTCGACTCCCAGACCAAGAGTGACTGGCATATCCTCCAGAGGCTGTTCAGAGACCTTTACGAGATTAACGACGAAGACAAGCGTTTCAAGTGGGCAAAGATGGCCCTCGGGTATCTTTTGAAGCAGTCCCCGGATGAATCGCTCGTCTGATACTTGGAGAACGCTCATTTGCTCTACCGATGAGATCATTACCAGCGGCGGCTCAATGATCAAACTCAAGAGATGCGCATAACTGGAGGCTCATCACCACTGGGCGAATCGGTTTCGGCCGCTCCGGGGAGGGTCAATAGGCCCGGAAAAGACACTTCAGAATCACTGAAGGATAGGAGAAGAATCCTAACTATTTACCAATCACGGAACAATGGCTACCCAATAATCACCTATCCTATCTCGCGTGCGTTCGAACGGCAACTTTTCCCCTATAAGTGCCAACCAACGGGATGCATAATCAAAGCGTGGAATCCGTGCCCTTTCCTCCGGGTCTCTAGGCAGCACAGTCAGACATCTCCCTTCTGGGGTTGGTATGACTTCGCCAGGACTCTGAGGGGGTCCGTCAAAGAGCCCAATGCGATGCATGCGCCACTCGTCCCAGATGGCCACCCCCAGCCGTCGCCATCGCTTAAAATTCACAAATCTGCGATTGGATGGTCGGTTATTACTAGCACTTGCACTTGCGTACCAAAAAATACTTGACTGCCTCGGTAACCGTGGACGGGACTCTGCTCGGAGGGACCACGCTTTTGTTGCGGCGGTGTCCGGCGGAGGCGACGGTGGAGTCCAGACCAGCGAGGAATTGGTCATATCCCACCGAGGAGGCAAATCGAATGACTGGAAGAATGGTGGCGGCGTCTCATCTGAGAAAGTCCAGGCTGCGCGCGAGGACTCTTCACCCTCTGGGTCCTGGGCTAAGAATCTCTCCTCGTGCTGGAAGGGATAGTGCCCGTATATTGGACTCAGGCCGAGATCAGAAAGTAGTGCGGCGGTGGTCCATATCTTTTCTGCTCCCCGCAGGGATATGTTATTCCACCTATTATATGCATCTAAGCCACGCGTTGATGGTTCGTCCCAGTGCCAGCGCTCTGTTGCTGCTTCGCGAAGGGAGGAATAGTGCTGGAGGTGCCAAAGGGAGGAGTATGCCTAGTATTCCTCCACGAACGAAAACGGCTCGCGGGCTATCTTTACGCGATCAGAGGCTGAGAGGTCACCAGCATTAATCCCATCTAGAGCCGAGACGAAGTTATGCTGAATCAGGGCGAGGCAGGTGCAAGCCAGCCGCTGTGTTCTTGCGGCTAAGTGGAGTATGAAGCATGATGGTTCTTCCGTATACTCAATAGGCGGTTTATTCTCGCATCTCTGTTGATAGTCGGAGAGACTCGGAAACTGAGCTGAACGTGTCAGAATTAGCCCGATATTGTGGTACATATTTTGGATCTCCGGGAGGCTTGTAATCGGGTCAACTAGTATCAGGTCGCGTATAATGGTAGGCTGAGCCCGAAAGACAGCATTGACCCGAGGGGATGCGGCAATAATGCTCTCGACCGCGGAGAAGTCCGCAGTATAAACGAGAACCTTTGCAAGGAGCTCGGGAGGTAGTTTTGTGAAAGGATCCATGTTGGAGCCTGCTGGTATGGCTTGCGGCGATAGCCTGCACGTAGTTAGTCAGTCAGCTGACCCACACTGGGCCGTTGCATTTCTAGAACCTCTGCAGTTGTAGTATGAGAGATAATCAAGCGTTTCCATCCGATTCCCTAGCACTTTCAGAGCCGACGCTCATCAATACATCCATACACAGACTTTATCAATCTTATGTTTCACGAACCTTCCATTCCTTGGGCCTTATTTGCCGTTAATTGTACGTTGAAGATAGCAAATCAACCTGCACAGCCTTGTCCCAGAAGCTCGCAAGGTAGAGGTCAATGTATGGTTAAGTGCGTGTGATCTGAATTATGTGATGCAACCTCGGAAAGAGACAGCCAAAAAAAAAAAAAAAAAAAAAAACTACAGGATACACAAGATCCAACATAATCCAGAGTAATCCGGAAAAGACACAGACAAACATTCATGAAATCCACATTCTTGGTGATACGTGATACAAGTTCCGGAGACACGACTTCGGAGAATAAGATCTACGTGCACGACACTCCGTGCAATGTGACACCGCACCGCGTAGAGAGATAAGCTTACTTTGACGGCTTTAGCGACAAGGAATTTCATTCGATAGCAGGTAACACGAGGGTATGTACGGCGTTCGGATTGTCGAAGACATGCAGGTGCGGCCAAAGTAGAGACTAGATATGAGGTTGGAGAATGTTCATGTCGAGATCTAACCAGTCGGAAAGGCCTAGGATACTGGGGATGTCGAGGTCGAGAACGAGGCCGGCGGAGGATCCCAGGTCTGGATGATGCTGTAGGTGGGGTGTTAGATTTAGATGGTTTATATGAAGCTAATGGCAGGGGCTTCTCTGGGAGATATAGAGAGGAAGTAGTGGAAGGCAAACTTACCAGATCAAAATCCAAACTACCCATCCCCGGTCCCTGATCAGACTGACTCTGACCCTCCCCATTTAGAGGCAATCCCCTCGCCGACGCCTCCTGCAACAAAGACACCGACTCGCCCAAACTCTCCCTCACAGTCTCATAAACCACCCTCTTCACGCATTTCCCTGTCTCCATCGCCCGAATCTGTCCCAGTATCGCCGCCAACAGATTATATCTCTTCAAACTAGGCGTTCCCAGCCCAATAACCCGTAGCAGCTGAGCCAGGATGTGTCTCATGACATTCAGAAGCGGGGCTCGTGATGAAGTCGCAAACTCGTCCATACTCGTCGTCGTCATATCCCCCGTGCCGTCCGAGGACTCCTCAATCTGCCAGGTGACTTCTAGCCCGAGTATAGAGATGATATCTAGACTTAGTGGTCCTTTCAGGGAACCTCGTCCTGAAATCAATAAGCGGGATAGATCGTCCTCGGGAGAGGAAGGAAGACTAAGAGGTTGAGCGTAGCGAGCTATGGTCATCGCTGTGTCAAGGCAGACTTTGCGCGAGAAGTAGAATTCGGGATTGGCGGGGGACTGCAACATGAAGGGGGTGTGGAGGATGAGGAACCAGCGGCGGAGGGCCATGTCGAGGTAGGCTTTGTGGAAGGGGGTGGGGTGGAGATGGCGGTTTGTGTTTGAAGGTACGTTGGAAGTGTTAAGAGTGGAGGTGAAGAAGGCTGCGATGTTGCGACATGCGGCTTGGAGTTGCGATCCGAGATGGATGGTCTGTGTGTAAGAGAAGGATGTGCGGTTGGTGAGGGCTTGAATTATTTTTGCGCGGAGTGGAAAGGTCTCATGGAGGAGGCGTTGGATCGATGTGTCTGTCACCTCGGTGGTTGGTCGACCTGTGGGAGAAGACGAGGAAGGAATGTCTGGGTCGAAATCTGCATCGTTCAAGTTGGACGGTGGCTGAGTATCAAACTCTGGAATGAGGAGCGGCTGGATAGATGAGTCCATTGAAGCCTGGACTGCGAATTCGAGGATCGTTGCCCACAGACGAGCCCGCATCTCGGATTGGAAGACCGATAGGGCTGGAAAATGTTTCGAGTCCAAATGGAGCCCCATTGCCATGGCTTTTTGCATGAGCGAGCCTGCTGATAACCACGGTGAGGAGCCCATGGCGTTGATCTGTCGCGCGATCAGCAGCAGGCATAGGACCTGGATTCCGTCCAGCCCGAGGGTGGCCTTCTCGGACGGGCCGATTAGCCAGCATTGCGCGGCGTGGATCCAGGTCTGCGTGAGATGGACGTCATGGTCAGGTCCAGACTTTCCGCGTTGTGGATGAAAGACAGTGCCGATGGCAAGGACGAGTACCAGTTTCATGAGAAAGGCAGTAGAGGTGGTGGGTGTTGAGGAAGAGCGCTGGGCCCAGAAGTGGTGGTATTCACGCCAGAAGGACGGGAGATGCAGGATGCGGTGGATGGGTTCGAAGGTGCGTAGATAGCCATCAACCAATTCGTCACAGATCGATCTAGTTGGGATACTCTCCTGCAGGTCTGGAACCGGCTCGTTGGGCTGGACAGACTGTCGGGTTTTAACGGCATGTCGAACTCCGCGACATTCTTTGATACGGGTCATCAGGTCAGTCTTGAGGGTTTGAAATGCAGAGTCTGGCTCCTCGGAGTGTAGGACTTGAGTAATTTGGAGCTGTACATTAGATTAGTTAGTATAGCGTTTATTAGATACCAACAGGATATTACCTTATCAAGAGTGTTTGAGTAGTGACTCGGACCCAGCAACTTCATCTTACTAGACGAAGCATGTAGACGCGAAGGTACAGCATCGATACACAACCCATCATTCTCACCTCTCTGGGCTCTCTCCAACGAAAGCCCCTCAGACAACCGCTCTTCAATCCCTCGAACACGATAGCTTAGCTCACGTAACGTTTGATCCAACGATTCATCCCGATCCGACGCCGAGGTATCCCCTCGACGCGACAACAGATCTTCCACACGCTGCAGACGAACCCGAATATCACTGATCGATGAGCCATCAGTATTTCTGTTTCTATCCGGAGATCCGGCTCCCTGAGGACTCTCTCGCGATGATCCAGGTTTCGCATCGACATTAGAACTCGGAGTGGGATGATTTCCAGGCCCTTCGTGATGCCGACGTGATGTCCGTTGAATGACGTCAACAGGCGATAGAGATGCAGCAGCAGCAGCAGCAGCAGCAAGGGCATTAGGAGTAGTAGTCGCGTTCTTGCCATACGAGCAGCTCAATGAGCCTCGTGCACGCGTACAAGGACCACAAGGTGCAGTGCGATCACAGCGGACTTTGCGTTGTCGGCATTGTTCGCAAGACTTGGCTAGACGGCGACGTTTACGCCGGTCGTGGTCAGTCATGTTGTTGGGCAGGTAGTTGCGGTGTTTAGCTGCTGTTTGTTATGGCTTTGATGAGAGTGTTTTTCACCGAGGCCGATGATTTCGGGTATTGATGGATGCAAAAGACAAAACAGTAAGGCTAATCAGTAGATAAACCCCGAGAAAGTAGGCCGAGGCCGAATGAAGTTCGGTTTTGGGGCGCGGACAAAGCCGAGAACTCGGGGCTGTTAAGCCGAACTCCGGCCTTTTCTCGGTGTTAAGGGCTCAGAGACCGGGGGTAAGCCGTCGTGTTGTAGTACAAATACGGCTGACTGGATTAGCTACCAGGTGGTTCTCATCCGTTGTTTAAGGAACTATACGAGCTATACACTCAATATGCGCTCCCCTACCTCCTCTCTCAGCTATTCTCGTTACCAGCGACGTCTTCATCCCAGAGGTCTTGGGCCTCGGGGAATTGGAGGGCTTGCGAAGGTTGTAATCATGGGATCTTGTCTTTATTTTGTTTCGAAGAAGCTTTTACAGTGAGTGGAACTAGTTATGGCTTTGATGGGTATCAGTATAGGGCTAGAGATGTGCTAATCGAGTAGTCACAATCATCAACCTCACCTTCCCGGGTCGAATACAGCGTCTCCTTAATCTTCGACTGACATCCAATCCTCATCTCCGCATGAAGTCAACGGGATTTCGAATACTTCTGGACGATAACAGAAATCGTTAAATGGAAAGATTGTGTTCATTACGTGCTTTTCATACTACAGCTTGCCTCAAACTTGTACATACTCAGATTCATCGAAGCTCGCTTACAATTAATGACATAGCGATCATATCTGACAGATTAGTAGTCTTTAACTATGACATATATAAACATGCCATCAACACTGAGCACATGTAACTAGAGTAGTGATAGTAGCCATGATTCGTCGTTAAATCTATACTATATATGTGTAGTGTGAAGAATGAAATGTAGAAGAAACGATGCATCCAATCTCAGAAATACACTTTCCTTCTCTTGTGATTGTGCTGAAAATGTTACAAGATGGAGAGTACCTGCTCACCATATCGCAAAAAGCCAGAGAGAAAAGACAAATAGACTAAAATGAAGGAAGAAGAAGAAGATAGAAATACTAATTGAAGAAAATGGAGAGGAAGAAAAAGAGTGAGAAATGCTATGCAATGCAAAAATGAAAGAAGTAAAAAGCAAAAAAAAGACCGTATATATAACCCATAACAGCAAAACAAAAGTAATAAGAAAAGTATGCAAATGAGCAAAAAAGGAGATTTGTCACAAAAGGCAGAGAGCAAACAACAACACCACCAATCACCTACGAACAGAACCCTAGAGTTCGTGCAAGAGGATCCCGACTCCCACGGATGACGGCTTTGCGCCATTCGCAGCGAGTCCATAATGAACCAGGTTCAGAGTGACATTTCCATACCCAATTGGGTACTGCATGGCTGTGTAATCGCGGGTCCTATACAGGTGCTGAGTAGCCTCGATGGCGTCTTTATACACATCCTCGGGATGTGTCGACTCCGTCTCAACCGTCAGGCCGAGTCTGACCATACCCTGGGGCACCTCGCCCTGGGGGTTTGCGTACTCACGTCTCTGGCTGCGCCAGATCAGTGCAGTCCATGCGCTGTACAGCAGCTCATGCGTGTCATTCAAGTTCCTGCAATTGCTCTTCTCAAATTCAACGTACACGTTGACTTTGAGGTCATTGCCAGGGCCCAGCATCAGACCGGCCTTCTCTAGCTCAGAGCGCCGAATGAGACGGCGAAGCTCGCGAGTCCCCTCCTCGCGCTCGTTGTCTGCGCATGCCTTACCGTTGGAGGGCTTCATCATGAGCCGCTCTAGGGTGGCTGGATCGGGTAGAATGTATTCCTCGTCCTTCACGGTATCGGTCACGTTGGACACGATCTTGGCCTTCTTTCGGGGCTTGATCTTGAAAGGCCCTTTGTTTTTGCGCTCCTCGCAGAGGGCGCGCTTGCAGGCCTCCCACTCTTCGATGAGTCGGAGCCGCCGTTTCAACGAGCTGGTGTACTTGTAGCTCGTCTTTTCAAGCGGCGCCGGCTCAAAGTCCGTGTAAGGGGAGTAGGTGAACCCCGAGGTCTCTGAGCTCTGTGAGCTGGACGTTGTGGAAAAGTCTGTGTCAGTGTCTGATGATGACATTTTGATTATGAGTGTGTCTTGTTTACTTTGCCTGATGGCTTTGGGTGTAGGGTCAGCTCAGGGATTGGGGGTCAGGAGTAGCTTACTAGATCTTGCAAGAGAAGAAAGATTTGGTAGTTACTAGCATTGACCTCCGTCTGTAGAGTTGTTCGTGGATGGAGATAGAAGGCTCTTCTGGTATGCATCTACGCGGGTGTATTTATAGTCTGATCCCTGGCGCATATACCGGAAGATGCCGTCTTCTGGGGACGGCATCTTTGTTGAGCTGGCCTTTTGTCTGATATGGCATCATAGGGCAACTCCCGGTAGTTGGTGGTCAGGCGAATGAATATCCCTCTGATCAGGTGGACGCTTTGTTATGCTCTTTATTCATCAAAGACATTTGATACTCTATCATCCGGTCTGAGGAGCCGACATGCTCTGGTGGACATGGGATTCCCCAGTGAAGCGAAGGTGAGACCTGGCCCAATGATGTACCACAAAATGTACAAGTTCGTTTGAATAATAAATGAAAGCTAGAGAATAAACGTAACGTAAATAACATGCAGATCGATATCCTCGTGGTACGAAGTGGAACCTTTCTGGAGATGTCCGGTACGTCCACGACGGGGTCACGTGATATTGTAACATAAGGTAGTTGTTTCAAAGTCATTAACCTTCGACATATTGCCTTCTCTTCCGGGCCCTTCGAATCTCAAATTATAGTGACTAACACTGTGCGTTCAAATCTTCGCTTTCCGCTCGCTCAAACTTACTGACCCTAGTGCCTTTCTCAAATCTCAAGCGGAAAGTTCCTGCGAATGTAAAGGTCACAAAACCTTCAAAACTCATGTCTCCCTAAGGAGCTGGTCTGGGTATCACCCGACTAGATGCGTGGATTCCGGCTGCCTCGGGGCAGAAATAACAAGGCTGGAATCTGTCGGGTCCCTAGGATTACCAGAGGCTGACTGTAGGACAATGTAAACCTATTTGCTTCTAACCAAGCAGTTCAACGTCAAGGCCGATAGCACGCATGAAGAGGTTGACATTTCCAAGTCGCTGAGCACCCATATCCACGGGAAGTGTCTTGCTGTACGTCACAGTCTCCATCACACGGTCCCTAGAAGACGGTTAATTTAGTTTTTCAAACGAGTGCAAGTGAGACTTACTTCACGGCAATGACCAAGCGCTGCTGCTGGTCTGGACTAGCTCCAATACCAACAGCAGCCAAGAATTGCCAAACATACATGTCATCGCCGGTGTTGATCGATCCGGGGAAGATATCGCCAAAAGTCGGCTCCAAAGTGTCGAATAGCACATTAAACTTCTCCACCCACTGTTGCCAGTCCCGTTCCGAAGCCTGTCCGGCTTCCTTAACAATCTCTGCTCGGCTGAGCAGCATCGTGAGAATCCCCAGTCCAATGCGAGTTCTAGCCACTATGTGCACATGAGTCTGCGCGATGACAAGCCCCAAGAGTCCAATGATGATGTTGAAGGGGGCCTCGTTGACGTAGCCGAGCAGGCTAGGCATAACGGCCTGGGAGAAGAGGTCAATAGCCTCCCGGACGGCCAAGGAAGGTTGCGTCTCGCCGGGCACAGGCTGTGCGCGCTGAACAACATCCAAGGTATCTAGATGGACAACAATCATGGTGAGGATCGTAACCCTCTGCTCCTGGTCGATGTGTCGGAAGATGCGAGGGATAGCCTTCTTGCCCTTTGGATACGAAAGGAAAGCGATGAAGGGATGAGGAGTGTTGGTGTTGGGAACGATAGGCTCCATGACCTTGAGCTGTTGCCACAATTTTTGGTTCAGCGAGCGGACTCTCTGCCGCCATTCCAGGTGCTCTTGGATGGCCTCCGGGTCGTTCTCATCCGGCGGGGGCGGCATTGTGCGCTCCATGTCCTCCAACTCCATCAACGTGCTGTAGACGCCCTCGATGTTGGTGAGGATAGACTTCCGGTCACTGACACTCAAATCGGCGTGAGGCTTCTTGGTCACCTTTGCTCCATCGGAACTCTCCGGGCGCTTGAGGTTGAGCATCGGTTTCGGCGTCTTGGCATTACTGAAGGAAATCTTGCCCAAACTTCCCTCAATAATCAGCTGCTTGTTTTTCGGCTTGGCCTTGGCAGCCTCGACTGCACGCTGCACCTGCTGCTGCATCCTTTGCATGTGGTTGTCCGCGCTCTGGGCTTGTCTCCTGGATCCGTGGCCACCTAGACGATTTCCTGTCTGGAGAAGGTAGGTTTGCGCAAAATGACCGAGAGGCTGGTGAGGATGCTGTCGGGGAGCACCACGGATCTGACTGTAGACCTGGTAGTAGAAGTCCTCTGCCAAGATGGCCTCCGAATCCGAGTCGGCAACGTTCCCAGCCGCGGCCACCAACTGCTGCAGCTGAATCCGGGTGATGAAGTTCTTGTCTTGGGGTGTCATCAAGCCGTTGCCCCGTGACAGGAGGAAGATCTTATGATTACGTTTGGCGCGTTTGGCATCTTCCATCAGGTAAGCTATCCGTTGCTCTTCTGTCAGGTGCATCAATTGCTGGGGGTTGGTGATCAATGGCAGAGAGTTGTTAGCAGCTCCACGAGCAGCTTGGGAAGGCATTTGCTGCTGTTGGGGTCGCTGTCCCCGTGGAGGGACCGCTTGTCGCTGGGGAGGCGGAGGGGGGGCCATGTGCTGAGGCGGAAGGTTCGCATTTTGGAGAAGATGTAAGGGAATGTTCGGCGCATGTCCCGGAAGAGGGAACGGTTCCGGAACCATGGTGGGATGATGCATGAGTTGCGCTGGCGGGATACCCTTGGCAAATTGCGCTTGCATAAACTCCGGCGGCACGTGGGGGAATCCCTCGGGGAGGCCGGGCATATGCTGAAGCTGCTGCAGAGGATGAGATGGTTCAGGCATCGATTGCGGCAGCGATACGGGCAGCTGGGCGGGCATGGAAGGATGACGCAGCTGCGCCTCCACCTCTTCCAGGCTCATCATCTTCTTGGCTTGTTGATGAATTGGGCCCGCAGGCTCCGGCTTCTTCTGCACGCCCCAGACACTGGATTTGGCCTGCAGATCAGGAATGTAGCCGGGGTCGTTGTATTTCTCATATCCCGTACGCCTCGGCTGCTGAACTGCATCGCTCGTCGGAGGAATTTCGGCAGCTTGGTCTGATACTGGGCCCGGGGGAGGCATTTGAAGGTTGTAGCGGACCTGTTCCTCGCCGATGACATCCGCGACCAAAGCGGTTTTCCCAAAGAAGTCGAAGTCCTTACCAACGGGGGCCGGTTCGGGGCCACCGCCAAAGGTATCGTCGTTGAAGGCATCCTGGTCGTCGTCGAGGCGATCACCTAGACCGTCGTACGTATCCTCAAAATCGATGCTGCAAGACCCATAGCCAGGAGTTAGTCAATTGAATATTGTCTTCCCAGTTGGTGCCATGAGAGTGCACTCTTGATGACAGTACTAGGAGATGGCCAAGTGCACTTACGCATCGTCGTCTTCGTCCTGAAGGCCTGCAGCTCTTGCGCGAGCGACTTCGGCAAACGGGTCAGGGGTATCGAAAATACCCCTCTGCTCGCCCGGAGGAGGACGATCCCTCGGGAGAGTGGTATCGAAGCCGAAGAAGGACATCTTCGGGAGGGGAAGGGTGGATAGGAGGGGGGTGGAAGGTGGAGGAGGGGAGGGCGAGAATTAGCAGCGCATAATTGGTAGTGCGGGATGAAGTTGGCCTGCCACTTGGTTGGGTTCTGATATCACCCGCTTAGGATTAGCCGCCGGTTGCCCACTCCGGTTTAGCGCGTCTGGGCGGGTATATAGGTGCCTGAGGCATTACACTGCCGATGTATTCCCTTGGATGTATTCACTTCTTCCATGATCTCGTTAGCCTTTGAAGAGCAGAACAATCTCACCCGAGTTACACTAATGCTCACAAATCATAAATAACCGGCTTTTCATATGTAATAGTTCTTGGAGGTGGTCGTCTGGCACTGAATGTCTCCATTTTATACTACCATATTTACCTCTCTATACCACAGCTACGTCCCTAGCCTAACTCCTCATATGAGCTATCTAAATATAACAATAGGTAGGCGAGCAATGAGATCCATCAGATTATACTAACTCTAATCTAAGGCAAGCAAAGGAGCTGCAGAAATTTCACTTTTCTCTCACTTGACAGATCGTGTCACTTCGCATTATTCTTTTACCGTCGAAAATCCTAGTCATCATCGTCAGAACAACTTTCGTCGTCTTCGTCGTCATCGTCGTCTTCTTCCTCTTCTTCCTCTTCTTCTTTATCCAGGTTAGTAACACCCCGAAGAGCTGCAATACGGTGCAGTGTCCATTGCAATTCTAGCATTTCGATCGACGGCAAAGGAAGTTTTTTAGGATCCGATGTCTCGAGTTTAATGATCGTTCCACTTGTAATTATCTCCCCCGTCGAGGGATTTACCAACATCCCTCCAGTGTGGCTCGAGTTGTGGCGGGGTATAAGGGAAGGCCGACGGTTGATGGGAACATAGTACTTGTCAGTGTATGGAGCAGGCATCCAAAAGAACTGCACAATCAGCATAGTTGATGTCTTTCCGATGGGCCTCAGTGCAAACGCTGCCTGCTCCCATAAACAACGCGCTGGCAAGGTCATGAGCAATGTATTGGGCAGAGTCTCTATGCCTTCAGGTCCTGAGACAGCAAGCTTCCACGCTTCGGTTTTTTCCTCTGTAAAATATTGCCTGAGAAACGCCCAAAAAAAGTCATACTCTTTGGGTTCTTCTATGCTATTTGAAGAACAGGGGCAAATATGGCATATATTGAGCAAGTCGCGGCCTTTCGTGATAACACAATCTTGATCCCGTAAAATACAACGTTTCCGACAACGGATTTTGCAGGCATGCTGATCATAAATAGTTGTTGAAGAATGGGACTCTTCCGATGGAGAGCGGGATAGTTTCTGTTGTGAGCCTTTGTTCCTAGAAAGCCCTATGTACAGAAAGATGTTAGACGCGCCCTTTGCACAAAGAATCAAGTATCAACTGACATAGCCTTAATTTTTCATCGAAGACATTGTTGGATAACAAATTCAATGTTATGACGTTTTTCATGCGTCCGTTGTTCGATATCGAAGACTCGACCATCTCGATTATCTCTCGAATGCTCTGAATATCGCCGAACCATAGGCATAACCATGGTGTTACTGCGATTCGATCTAGTTTTAGGAGGCCAACGAGTTCCGAGATCAGTGCGGCTCTCTCAGGGTCGTCCAGTTCTTCCGAGGCAGACATCATCAGAGAGACGAAAGGGCAGGGACCTTGTAAGTATGGCAGACAGAGAGAAATACAGGATTCGAAGAAGTTAGCAGGTGCCGGAGTTGAAGGTGAATACGAAGGACAAGAAGATCCTCAGCCTAGATGTAGATTAACATTTAACTTTGGTCAAGTATGACTCCAACTACCAAGAATGAGTAAGTACTGCGTCAGACTAGTGTCCAACGGAGATTTTCTCCTGCCGAAGTGTACCGCCCTCTACTTCATTGATTAAGCGATAGTCATAGTAGGTTGCTTATGTATGCTTAATTCCCCTTTTGTGTAGTATAACTCACGTATCGGGGAATGAAGAATATTGTTCATTCTATCTGATCTAGTGGCAGTAGTGGTAGGAATAGTAGTATTGAACGTCCCGTCAAGGAGCGGCGATGGCACTCTTGATTACCTCCCAGGAGATAGGTATACTCAGTGGAGTAGAACCCTGTAAGATGTAGGAATGTCGTTGTGGATCTTAGATAGGCGATCGTTGGGGGCTACGGCGACCGTCTACGGTGTAGGCTCGCGGGACAACAGATGCTGTGTGCGCCTGTGGAGGATGGCATCTTCCTGGTTGGATGTGCGATGATCCGAGGCGAAATCCACGAGACCTTTAACACGATCTAACTAAGTAACTAACTAGTTAACAAAAAGCTGTTGTGTCCTTAACAATTCCCGCAAGTTAGGGTACCGTTACTAAAAAGTTGGGGTGTCCTTACCAATTCCCCTTGGGGGCGTGTTGATCATGCTTCATATCAAGCATGGTGGGAGGGTGGGAGGGTGGAAGGGAAAGAAACGAGAAACGAGCATGCCGGAGATCATACGGAGTACAGTAAACATGTAACTACTCCAAGAGAGCGTCCCAAGAAGGACAAATCCACCGCGAACCATCATCGGCACGATCGCAGGGTGAAACACGGTGACGGCCAGCCTTACTCCTAAAAGCGCACCGATGCTAATCTCCCTCAGGGTGCCACTAACGCCCGTTCAAGATTAAAATCATATTACCTATTTTATTATTAGTTTATTAGTATCAAAATACCCACAATGGCTGAGACCCGCGCCCGTCGTACGTGGCCGGGCCAATAATTTCGTCTTACTCTTTGCTGCATTCTATTCTCGTCCGGCTTCTTTTTCGCCTTCGCCGCTTTTCTTTTTCTTTTTCCTTTCCCCTGTTCTTCTGTCTCTCTTTCATCCATCCCTCCTCCATCGTTCCCATCAGATGTGACTGGGGACCGTCACCGCCGTTTTTGTGACCGCCTAACTCGTGCATTGATTGCATAATATTTATCGTCTCGCGCCATCTGGCATACTTGTCGGATCGCCCGTGTGGGTAGAGCCTCTCTCCACATTTTTTATAATAAAACAAGTCGGAGATCTTACGTCGACCTGCTCCTTGCCTCCCTCCCTGTCGCTCGTTTCCCACGTCTTCAATTATTCAACCCCTCCGACTTCCACGCCTAGGCACCCGAATTCCGGCTTCCCGGCCCTTTGCCTTGGGCATTTCTCTACACCATGTCGTCTGGACCAAGGTACATGCGGTACCTGTTACTGGCAGCCGTGGTAAGTCGGAATCTATCGGTCAAGGGGCTGGTTGTTGCTAACACGATGCACTTGTTTACTGTAGGGACTGGCATTCTTCTTCTTCATCTCGAGAAGCGCGATTCCCATCCCCGAAAACATCGGCGCCAAATTAAAACCTCACACCAACAAAGATGACTCCGTCTCATCCAACATCTCTCCTCCCAGCGAGAACCCCGTCAAGCAACCCTCCGACCAGGCCTCCGGAAGCGCTGGCACTCCCGCGACCAACCGCGTGAATGCGACGTTCGTCACCCTGGCGCGCAACTCCGACGTGTGGGACATCGCCAAATCCATCCGACAAGTCGAGGATCGGTTCAACCGGAACTACAACTACGACTGGGTGTTCCTGAACGACAAGGAATTCGACGACAAGTTCAAGAAGATCACTTCGGCGCTGGTGTCTGGAAACACGCATTACGGCGTCATCCCGAACGAGCACTGGTCGTACCCCGAATGGATCGATCAGGAGAAGGCGAAGGACGTCCGGAAGCAGATGGGCGAGAAGAAGATCATCTACGGAGACTCGGAGAGTTATCGCCACATGTGTCGGTACGAGTCGGGCTTCTTCTTCCGTCATCCGTTGATGATGAACTATGAGTACTACTGGCGTGTGGAGCCCAGCATTGAACTCTACTGCGATATCGCGTTCGATCCGTTCCGCTTCATGAAGGAGAACAACAAGAAATACAGTTTCGTGCTCAGTCTTTACGAATACTACGATACTATCCCTACTCTGTGGGACAGCGTCAAGAAGTTCATGGGTAACCACCCGGAGCACATCGTTGATGGAAACTCGCTCGACTTCTTGAGTGATGATGGCGGAAAGACCTACAACAAGTGCCACTTTGTAAACCCTTCCCTTTCCCCAAAGCACATGCCTCTGTCTTAGCTAACAATGACAACAGTGGTCGAACTTCGAAGTCGGAAGCTTGGAATGGCTGCGCTCTAAAGAATACATCGACTACTTCGAGTCTCTTGACCACGACGGCGGCTTCTTCTACGAACGATGGGGCGACGCACCGGTGCATTCCATCGCCGCCGGGCTGCTCCTCAAGAAGGAAGAAATCCACTTCTTCAACGAGATCGCCTACTACCACATCCCCTTCACTCACTGCCCCACGGGCGAGCAGCTACGAATGGACCTGAAGTGCCACTGCAACCCCAAGGACAACTTTGATTGGAAGGGCTACTCCTGTAAGTACCATAATCACCATAACCACCTGACCGCTTTTATTTTTTTCCTTGTCTCTGACTTTGATTACACAGGCACGTCGCGTTATTTCCAGGTCAACGATATGCCTAAACCCGCAGGATACGAAGATGAGAGTTGACTAACCGTTGCTGGGAAGGTGGTCCTGGCGATTCTCATCGTCGGTGCCATCATCCTTGCTATCAGCGGCAATCTCCGTTCTCGAGTACTCCGTGGAGGAAGACACATCTCCACGGAAGTGGTCTCGAAATCGAAGACTTTTTTGAAACAATAAGTGATATCATGTTATGTTACCTGTCGGGTTTATTTTTGTCAAATCGTTTCGTATAAACTCTGGGCGTTCGAGTATCATGTTTTATTATTGGAGTTGTTTCCTTCCTATCTTTCTTTCTTTTCTTCGACGGCTCGTTTGCCCGACTTGATTCGACATGCACAGTTTATCAGGGACAAGCAATCTGGTTATATCAACCTAAGGCAGCCACTTTTTCGTACTGCGGTTATTGTGACGCGATGAGATGCGATGCGATTGAATCAGAGAAGAAAGACGGAACCATCCGCAAAGAAATGCTTCATAAATGTACATAGGCGTTTTCTGATAACGACAACAATCCGTTTGGACAAATACCAACATATAGATATGATAAATAAATAGTACAAGGCAAGGCAAAAACGAGAACCTCACAAACCCAACATCAAACACTGTCTCAATCCACCTACTCCTTAATCTTACCGACCTACGGTACAGACCGTCCAGACCAAATTGTGGATGTGACACCCGTGTAACCACAATCCCGACCCCTAGCCAATCTAATCGCTCTTGGGCTTCTTGGTGCCGTATTTCGACCGGCTCGTCAAACGATTGGAAACACCACCCTGTCACAAAGACGGTCAGATACATATTCTTGCTTGGTAGGATGCTCCTTTTCATAACGAGATGGAGAACATAAAAGAGGGGTTGGAGAAAAAAGACATACCAGATCCATAGCACCTCGGACGCAGTGGTATTTCACACCGGGACAATCCTGGGCACGACCGCCACGGACAAGAACGACACTGTGCTGTTGGACATTGTGGCCTAGGTGGATTAGAAAAAATTGCTGTTAGTTACTTGCCAAAAAAAAAAAAAAAAAGGCATGGGGCGCCCAAGAATCCGGATGTCTTGTATGCGAGATAGAGTATATAGAGGGTAGGCATAGGTATAGATAGAGATAACTCACCCTGGCCCGGAATATAAGCCGTAATAACCTTCCCATTACTCAACCTAACTCTTGCAGTCTTTCGTTCACCCGAGTTGGGTTTCTTCGGCTTCGTGATACCTGTCTTCAGACACACGCCCTTCATCTCCGGCCGATCCTTCAACGCCGGGGACCGCGAGCGACGCGCCCGCTGCGCGCCCCGGCAACCGCGCCGCACCTGGTTGTACGTCGTCTGACGGAGAGGGGAGGTTGAGAATTGGCGGAAGCCGGCGGTCGCGGCGGCGGCGATGGCGGAGGACGTGCGGAGTACGGGTTGGAATCGGGGGAGGAGCGTCGGGCAGGCGGGTGTGGTGTATTTTTTGGGGAAGGGGATGGCGGAGGGACGGTGGACGAGGGTCCGTAGCGTGCGGAGCGCGAGGGAAGAGACGAGAGGAGGCATGGTTGTTGGATCCTCAAGGGATTTGGGCCGATGAGGGGAGAGAGGCTGGGATTGGGGTGGATGGCTGATATGCTGGGTGAAGCGTTGATCGGGGGAATTTGCGATAAATGTCATGTGATCTGGACGTGGCGGTGGTGGTCGCTGTGCGGCGCCGGAGGAGGAGCTGGCCGGACGCGCTGGCGGGAGTTGCCTGGCGGAGCTGATGACTACGCAGGTTATCGACGGCGGTCGATGTCAGAGCTCAGGCTTGGGTTTCCCTTCCACGTACCTTTGGCTTCATCTTCCTACCTTGACCACTCTTGCTGAACCTCTCTCTGTCTCTGGGAGATTCATTGCTTCTACGATACGCAGTTTCTGTCTAATATTCATTCGATTAATCCATCACCTCCAAGATGGTATGTCCCCAACTCCATCCATCCATCTAACTACCTACCTATCTACCTCACTTACCTGTACTTCCCATCAATCAATCAATCAACCATCCAACGTCCAATCCAGTCTTTCCTCTCTAACCATATCCAAAAATGCAGTCCCTCCGCATCGCACCCCCCGCCAACCACCCCACCTCAACAACCAACACCTCGACCCGTCAACAGATCCCCATCTGCCTCCCCCGACCATCCAAAGGCGCCCCCTCGGCCCCGGGCCTCCCCGACACCCTCCGCGAGAAGATCAGTCTGCCCGCGCCCTCAGGCCCTCCATCATCGCAGACCGGTGTCCCAGCGTCCTCGCACCCCCTGGAAGCCCGCCTGCACGCCTGGCGCCAGACCCAGGACAGCATGAAGATGGAGACGCTGCGTCGGGCCTACGGTATCGCGGAGCCCGTGCGTCGCGGCATGGAGCTGAAGCTGGTGCGCGATGGAACGTTCCGACCTGCCGTGTTGGGTGGTGCTCGGGCGGGGAATCTGCATGAGGATATTCTGGTCCTGGGTGGTAGAGATGCGGAGATTGGTTGGGAGGATGTTTTCCAGGGTGGGTTTTCCCTTCTTTCTTCATCTTCATCTATTTCCTTTGTCCCTGTCCCTTTCTTCTGGAGAACTATCTATGTCATACGATGTTCTACCTGGGTTGCTGGATGCATTGGCAATGGAGCTATGCTCGATAATGACATTGAAACCGATACTAACAAACAACCTCAAACAAACAGGCGACGAATTCAAAGAACCCCCTACGTTCCACGACGAGATGGAGAAGAGACTGCGGATGGATTAAGTTCAAGGCGCTTCTCTCCTTCCTTTTTTGTTCTCTTTATTCTGCGTCCATCGTTTTCCTTTAACATGATGTCCATTGTCCATTGTTTATACAGGTCGCCGTCAGGTTTCATCTAGGCGTGATTGTAATATGATTCTGATTCTATCAGGATGCTTTGTTCCTCTAAGGAGGAGTTATTGACGTAGTCGGACTCTTGCCGTGGTAAATAAGCTGCGAGGTGAGCAGGGGAGGAAAAAAATAGACGCTTTGTTGCTACACAGGGATTTGTCAATCAAAAGAATGACGACTACACTATGCGTCCCTCCCGTAGGGGACTTATTGTGTTCAGATTACCGATGAAAAAAAAAAAAAAAAAAAAAAAAAAAAAAAAAATTTAAAAAAGATATTTGTACATCGCCAGCTTCTTCATTGATAGATAAGAAGCGCAGAGAAAACACTATATACTTGCACATACAGACAATGCGCAGGTGGTGCACCACATCAGTTGGTAGGTACTAGGTCCAAACCCGCCTGGAGATTGGGCCGAGCTAGAAGAAGTCCCGGTGGGACAAGCAAGCCATACATTCTGCCAAAAGTGACTCCAGATGACCAAAACGGAAGAATAGAGAAGGAAAGAGGTAACGAAAGTGTGGTGATAACCGAACAAAACATATGAAAAGGTCAGGTCATATTTGTCAATCGGATAAAAAGAAGCCAGAGATGCTACAAGCAAATAAGCAAATAAACAAACATGGTAAATGATGGCTCCGACCAATCCAAGGAAATTAGCAACAAAGATTCGAGAATAGAAGAAAGGGGGTATATAATGAACCGGGAGGTGGGGATGAGAAGCGTCAAGCTCCTCAATTGAGAATGCAGGGCCGTACACGGGGGCCGTTCGGATGAGATTCCGGATGGAAAGGTGTCGTAGATGTCTCAGCGCTGAAGGAATAAACACCAGTCTCCAAAAACGCCGTCCAGCTGACCAGTCAGATGTGCTGCATCGAAGCTATCAGGCAATGATGGTCTTCGCCCAAGCAACTCGAAAATAGAAGCAGGCAAAACGAGCAAAATGGGCGAGGTAAGATGGTGATGACTTGGGGGTTGCTCTTTGGGCCCAGGGAGGTAAGCCAGCCATTCAGCCTGCAGTGCATCGCTGCGGCCACGGTGAGAGGACAAAGAACTGCCGATCAACCGTATCTTGATGACCGGGGGCCCCCAAATCTTCCAAGTTCACGGATATAAAGGGATACCAGTTTACATAATGACACAACGACAACCGGGGCTCCGTTGGCTGCCCTCTCGGTCGCGCGGGTATTGTCCCTTAGTCCCCTTGGTGTCTTCGTCCTCGATTACCTCCGGAGGCTTGACGGTCATATGGACAACATTGGGAGCGTCGTGGTTGAACTTGGAGTCTAATCCGTAGGTCAGCCTCGGGTCATTTCTGCAGAATGCGCGAGTAATCCATCGTAGTACATACCAGACAGGGGTGCTTTGTCGTCAAGTAGTTTGCCGAACGAAATCAATCGGATCGAGGTGGGCGATGCCGGTCGCGGTTCCCATTCTAATAATCATGCGTCAGTCACTAGCGTGGCGATAGATTCGGCAAGGGAAATAACTACCTGGTCGCCATCCCTTCCAGATGAGTTCTTTCAGGGTATAGACGCTCATGGCGAAGGGGTCGTTGTTTTCCACATTGACGGACTGTTTCTTAAGATATTTCCCATCGATCTTGAACGGATGCCGTGCCCCAGTTATCAACAGAAGTGTGATCAACAACGACGGACCCGAATCTTCATCTTCCTTCGCCGAGGTGTCGGAAACCGGCGACTTTGACTCTTGGGCGACTTCGGGAGCTTTGGGTTCGTTCGACTCCTCGGTAGAAGCCTGGGCTGTCGGAGCAGCAGTCGGTTCACTGGCTGGGGGAGAAGCGACCGGTTCCACGCTCTCGTTACCGGCAGCAGGCTTCACATCCGTCGCGTCGGTTATCGTGTTATCGTGGGGAGCGGTCTCGGACTGGACATGGACAAGAGAGTTCGGGTCCTGGGAGGGTTCTGACGAGAAAGGGGCGAGCGGTGGTAGTTGAGGAGGCAAATCCAGCGTGAAGGTGGGCGCAGATGCTCCATCATCTCTGGTATTGCCATCCGACTGCAGATGGTCGTTGGGAGCCATGATGGATGAGAATGGCGTTGGAAACGAGGGGAGGCAAATTCCACCGGTGAGCTGAAGTCGGTCGTAATAACGAAGGAGCTGGGAGATTAATTAGGGGGGGGGATCGGTGGTCGAGAGGAGGCAGTAATTATGCCAAGTGCACCCGACCGATGAAGATAATGATGACGAGATGATCGACGAGGGGAGGGGGAAGGGAAGGACAAAAGAACGTTAAATGCGAGGCAAGCTGGAAAGAGGAGAAGGGAGCGAGCGAGAGGGACAGGGAGAGGGCGAGGAGGATGAAACGATCCGCGGCTAAAGGAAAGGAGGTCTGGCCGTCGGTGGTCCAAGCATAAAGCAAGAACTCCTTAATTGGGGGGGAGGCTGAAGGAGGCCATGCGACCAGTCAAAGGGTACAGTAGTTGGAGGTCTGGGACACAGATGAGACAATCAATTGAAAGAATGTGACAATAATGAAAGCCAGAAAGAACGAGAACATCAGTCCGCCCGTTAACTACAAAGACAAGTTACCAAGAAAGAGGAGAAAGAGGAGGCCTGAGGCGATTCCGGTTGGCTCGACGGTCCGGAGGTGGGCCTTTGCCGAACGGGTACCACGCAGGTCGCTTTGGGCAGCGTTTGTCGCTGAATGGTACCGCCGGGGTACTTTGCGCAATGTACTCTGTACTCTGTACTTCGGTCGTCTACTTCCCTCCAGTACACCGTACAAGTCCAGTATGTCTGTCTCCCTACTCCCTACACCCTCAGGGTAAGAACGTCGACAGGTCAGACGACATAGGATCATGACTAGCTCAGGTTACGTGAGGGCGAAGTGTCGATCCGGCCATCATGCGGGGAGGTGCTGCAGTGGCTCGCTGGTTTTGCTCGTTATCCCGACCTGTCAGTCCACGGGGATTTCTCGATCAATAATATATACAGAGTCCGGTGTAGAAGCTGGATAGACTAGAAAATAGATAGCTTCGGGGAGAGCCGTCTTTGGTGAGACATACGGAGTATAAATTTATAAGTATGATCTTATGTAAAATATTGTCAATCCCATCGATAAGGCGGTAGTGGTTGGTGGTTTGTGCTAAAAAAGGAAGATGATTCTAGACTCCGCCGGTGGCAAAGAAAAGACTGTATGTCTCGAAGATGGCCGCAATCCCTTTTTTTTCTCTCGCTTCTCCTTATCACGCGTATATTAATAGTAATGGTCATTGCTCACTTATCCCTGAATAAGAGATCCGACTGATCAACAATTAATTGACAGAACAATAAAATCAAATCTAGTAAAATCAATATTAAATAACGACTCCGTAAATTAATGGAAGGGAATAGGGTGGTGTGGTGCGGTCACTCATCCCTTTATCTCCCTCGGCCTCGTAAGGTGAGCGTGATGAGTGACAGGAAACAAGCAACAAAAAGGCGCACCTTAGCGCCATACCGCCAGTTCACCCAGCTCCTTCCAAGAAAACCAGGATATTCAGGAACTCGGCACTTAGTGCAGTCGACTACAATTCCACTATCTGTATTCTGTACACCGGAGGGATGCCCTATCAGCCCCATCGTTCAGGAGAAAAGCGTGCATCGCCTGATGTTGTTGGGACGAGGAATGTTCGCTGGCAAGTCGGACCATCCCAAGGCACATTCCCCGTCCGTTGATCGTCACCGCCAGAGCTCTTTCGACAGGATTGTTGAACGAGGACAGCAACGAGCATGTTTTCACCGTGACATCATCTCCTTCTTGGGCTCGCCCTTGCAGCCGACCGGATCTCTACCAGTCAATCCACGGGTTTAGAGACGATCAGAAAAAAATAAATCCCGTCGAGTAGACCGCGGATAAAAAGAGCTGGAAATGTCCCTTCCCATGAGCTGTTTCATGAGGGAGAGAGACCGAAAAAAAAAATAGCTCAAGCTAAGTTAGACTACGATCGTGGCGATGACTTAGAAAGAAAAAATACCTTTTTTTTTTTTTTCTTCAAGTCAAGTGAGCCAGCTTAGCACACGAATTAGCGCTGTCACGCAACTTAGGGCCGATCTACCTTGAGTGTCCCCAATCTAGAACGCGTTCTGGTGCGAAAATCGTTCGTCAATAACGGCTTGGGTTATCCGGGTCATCTGCCCTGGAGGCCTTCAAGCCAAATCAACCGATTTTTTTTTTTTCTTAGCTTCCCACCCTTGAGAGAGATATTTATTTACCATGTCGCCCAACGTCTCCTGAATACAATTTCATTTCACCACACATTCAGAAAAGATGTTGCAACATTCATTGCGAGACTCTGCGCGATCGCTCGCGGGCGGTCGTCGCAGTGCCACCGAAACGGGCCTGGACATCGTTAGTATGGAACCAGCCTTATTCATCCCACCGTGCGCAAACAAACCCGTGGTTTTCCGAGGGAGCTGCATTTTGAACGTGCACGAGAAATTGCCCGTGAAGAGGTTGACAGTGAACCTCCGCGGTACCTCCAATGTGAAATGGTCCTACAGTATGTACAGCCACGTGATGTGACGCCTGGAAGTATACCCTGACTGACACTCGCTCGATTTTTTTAGGCCGCCATGAAATGAGGACCTTTACAGACTGCAAAATGGTGGTCCTAGGCCCTGAGAGCTCGGAGCAAGCAAGCAAAATGCAGAAGGCTGCATTCGTGGAATCGCCCGACTGCGACCGCGCAAGTTGCCATGCAAGCCAAGAGAACGGCCGACTGTGGGACTCACTCCAGAAGCGACTACAGTCAAAGGGCACCAGCAAAAAGAGCGGCTCGAAATACGAACTACTGTCGCCCGGTGTTTATGAATACGGCTTCGAGATGGTTTTGCCGCCCGATCTTCCGGAATCCATCTGCGTGCGCGGCAGCAATGTTCAGTACAACGTGGAGGCATGCCTCGAGCTTCCGGGGCGCTTCAGTCACCCCATCACGCAAAACATGCCGATCGCGGCCGTTCACTGCCCGGAAGACGATTTCTTGGAGGATGCCGAACCGGTCTACATTTCCCGCAACTGGAAACATCTACTTCATTGCGAGGTCACCTTGTCGAGGAGAGGCGCTGCGCTCGGCGATCAATTGCCTGTTGCTGTATCTCTCGAACAGCTGGGCAATGCGAAGCTTCACGGATTGAAGATTTACCTTTCGGAGAACACACAGTATCTCCAGCGGAATGGGTTGGAATCCTGTTTGGGTCCCTTCAAGAGGGTGCTCCTGCACGAGGCGGTAGGCGACTCTCTATCCCTGAGGTCGTCGTCTCAGGCCGATACTCAGGACGACTCTACCGAATCAAACGATGAGAGCACACCCATGGAGGATGATTTGGGTGCGGATGCGACCGAGAAACCCGGCGTCGCCGACGAGGCAAAACTGGAAATCAACTTGTCGTTGCCCAAGGCCATCGCATTGACGAAGCCCGAATCCGATGGGAAGCTCAACATGCACTTTGACACCAAGTATCAAAATGTCCAAGTTAGCCACTGGCTCGAGGTAAGGACTCCACGCTGACTCGCAATGCTTACAACTCTGGGACTAACGATAGCTTCCTGAATCAATAGTTCGAATTTACTATGTCTCGACATGGGTCGTCCGGTCCGAGCGAGGTCGTGAAGATGACACGGGCTCCGTTCGTCCTTCGATCGTGTTACGCCCAGCCGGCCAATGCGTCACCCCCCGCCTACGATTCTGAGTCCGAGAGCGCCCCGAGTTACGAGGACGCCGTGTAACTCCAGACAATTCAAGGCCGTTGGGTAGCCCCAGTGTCGATCTTACATAAGGTCAGGCGAAGCTTCTGCCAACCAGCTGACAGCATCCTGCTGTGGACGAGCGCATTGGTGTGACGACCTCGAGCACATTGACATTGCTTGCGGAAAGGGTTACCCACCGAGCTAGGATATGCTAAAGAATCTTATTCACGAAATGGAGAACCTTCTCCACCCCCTTCAAAAGTCGCGTCGACTTTTCGGGACCAATGTGGTTGCCGTGAAATGTGGGTATCTTCACTGCGAACCAGCCGCTAACTCGGCGCGTTACATCATGTACTTGGGCTAATGATCTATCTTCTACAGAACCCCGTGCAGCACCACATCATCACATCATGCACGCATCATCGCCCTGAAATTTGCGTCAGGATCGTGCCCCCTTACCGAGCTACAGCTGGATCACCTCGTTGATCTCCTCAACGGCCCAATCAAGGAATATGGGCGTGATGTCAGGCCGGAAGGAACCTTGGGTTAGGCAAACTGTATCTGTATAGATGGTAGAAGATCCCAGAGTCAGTTATCTGGCAGAATGGCAAAAAGTATACTGCCTCGAATTCTTACTGCATCTGGCACGTAACTTTCATTTATCTCTGGAATCTTGTGGCGCAATGCTTCCTTAGTTCTTCTAGGGTGTTTCCCCGACCTTCTTGGATATTATACCCCGACCCTCTCTCCATCTTTCATCCCCATATTTATCTTACCCCAGCTTCACGTCTATTCTTCCTCGTATTCCCTATCTTCTGCATAATTTATATCAATTGTGTCGTATACTTAGTACACAAAATGGCGCCCCCAACATTCGCGGGAATGTCAGGCAAGAAACTAGGCTGGTCAGTTTCTACTATCGCGACAATGGGTTTTCTACTCTTTGGATATGACCGTAAGGCCCTGAATGCTTGTCGCTACCACTGAATATTTCGCTCACTGTCATTTCAGAGGGAGTCATGTCCGGAATCATTTCCGACCCCGCCTTCAATGACATGTTCAAAGCGACTAAAGATGACAACACAATGCAGGCTACCGTGACTGCTGTCTACGAAGTTGGTCCGTATAACAACTCCCCGGAAATTCCACGTGCAGACAAGCTAACACCGCATCCCTATAGGCTGTTTATTCGGGGCGATTATCGCGCTGTGCTTCGGTGAAATGCTAGGCCGTCGCTGGATGGTCATCATCGGCGCATCAATCATGATCGTCGGTGTGATCATTCAGGTATCTGCCATGCCCCAGTCGCTTCCACTCCTGCAATTCATCTTCGGTCGAGTCATCACCGGCATCGGCAACGGCATGAATACCTCGACCATCCCTACTTATCAAGCAGAATGCTCCAAAACGCATAATCGCGGCCTCTTGATTTGCATTGAGGGAGGCACCATCGCCATCGGCACGATGATCGCCTACTGGATCGACTACGGCGCCCACTTCGGTCCCCAGGATCTGGTCTGGCGATTCCCGATCGCCTTCCAGGTGCTCTTCGGGGCTATCATCATCGTGGGCATGTGGTATCTTCCTGAATCGCCTCGGTATCTTATTGGACACGGCAAGGTGGAAGAAGGCGAAACAGTCCTGGCGGCGTTGGCCGGGACGGAAATCGACAACCCTCACACTCAATTAGAGAAGAACCTGGTTCTGGATTCCGTTCGAGTGTAAGTGCTTTCTCAACAAACAAACCCATGAGATGAAACTAACCCCAACCCAGCTCTGGCAACACCCAATCCAAATTCAGCGATCTTCTCACCGGCGGCCCCTCCCAGCATCTCCGGCGCATGCTCGTGGGTTCCTCCTCCCAAGTATTCCAACAAATCTCCGGCTGCAACGCCGTGATCTACTACCTGCCCGTCCTACTCGAACAATCCATCGGGCAATCGCACAACTTCGCTCTCCTAATCGGCGGCATCAACATGATCTGCTACGCCATCTTCGCCACCTTCTCATGGTTCTTCATCGAAAAGATCGGTCGCCGCAAGCTCTTCCTCGGCGGCAGCTACGGCCAATGCGCCGCGATGGTGATCGTCTTCGGCTGTCTAATCCCCGGCGACTCACAAACCGCCAAAGGCGCCGTCTTCGGTTTCTTCATGTACATGTGTTTCTTCGGCGCGACCTGGCTTCCCCTACCCTGGCTCTATCCCGCGGAACTTTCCCCCTTAAAGACCCGCTCTAAGGCCAACGCCATCTCCACCTGTAATAACTGGCTCTTCAACTTCACCGTGGTCATGATCACCCCCGTCATGGTGGACCATATCGGATGGGGCACGTACCTGTTCTTCGCGGCGTGGAACGCCGTCTTCATCCCGATCATCTGGCTCTTCTACCCGGAGACAGCAGGCCGGAGTCTCGAAGAGATCGATCTGATTTTCGCAAAGGGGTATGTGGAGAAGATGAGCTATGTGCGGGCCGCTAAGGAGTTGCCTAAATTGTCGGACGAGGAGATCGAGTCGAAGGCGGCGGAGTATGGGATTTTGAATAATAGTGAGAAGGTGGAGGAGAGGATTATTGAGAATAATAACCCCGCTGCGACGACGGAGCGGCCTCCGCAGCTGTGAATGGGGGTTTCTCAGACTGATAGATAGACAGAGGAGTTGTTTTTGAGGATGAAGTGTTCTGTTGGTTGTTCGTAATAATATAGGTTTGGTGGGTGGATTATTTGGATTGATGTTGTTATACTCCAAGATTCTATATATTTAATTCAATATAACTAATTGTTCGAATTCATATATCTGACGTAAGGAATCTGAATCCAAGAAAATGCACTGGTCAAGACCTTACCATCGTGGGCTATAAAACTAAAAGCCACCTTCCACAAAGCTTAATGGTTTAAACTAGTGCAGATCTCCCGTGCAGATCACCCCATCCTTAACCGTACTGCGTTTTCAAGACGGTAGATGGTGTTCCACTATCTACGTTTACAAGCCCTCTGAAGCACGAGATTATTTAGCCCTGTCTCGCAATCCACGCGAGGGTTTATTCCGTATTTAAATGTGGCTAGCCCATCGAATCACCGTGGTTGCATTGACCGACTTCGTCTCTCAGGGCACGCAGTTGTTTCATTCGAATAACTTTGCTTCCATCTAGAGGAGTCATAGATGAAAGACAGTCACCATGTTTGATGCCTTGAACTTTGGAACTGGCCTAAGATTTCCCCCCTCTCAATTTTCTCTCTCCATGATATTCAGCTGAGTCTGAGACTATAAACGCGGCTTTATGTGGGAGGAGCTAAGCCCAATGGACGTCAAAGCACAAGAACGAAAGATTCGGTATTGCAGATGAAGAAGCGAGTTTACAAGATGTGCGAAAGCCGGAGAAATCTTCGCGGATGGTGTGCGCGATTCAAGATTCAAGGTAAGGAGACGGGTAAATTCCCAACAGCCCTTGGCCGTGGCTTCAACAGCATTAAACGTCTACTTTTCCAACAGTCTATCTACCAGCAAGTCACACCATCTGGCTAACTGCGGAGAAAAGGACGGTGATGGAAGCCGTCAAACAAGCACGCCGATAGCAAACAGACACAGTGATCGAAAGAATGAATAAAGAGGGAGGAGTCGGAGATTATGTGACCTGGCTGCTGCAACCTCCCTCTTCCGACCCGGCGGTCGTATAAAAAAAAGGGCTGTGTGCTCGCAACCACCGTTCAATCGGTACAGCCATAAATGGCGGTGCATCGCTAATCAATCACTATCGCCTGTCGGGAATGCAACTTCCACTTCTGAACGTTCCATGTCCAGCATAATGGATATTTTGTTCAGCTTCTGACTTGGGTTTGGATATTCCAACAAATTCGAAGAGGATTTGTTGGAATGCGAGTCCTAGGGAAGAGTCATTTTGGCGAATAATATTCTCGGCAGCTGGTACGACATCTAAATTCTTCGACAACTGCAGCGGCAGAAATCTGCGTACCAACAGCCGAATCGCCAACAGCAGATAATATGCTTTCTGTGCAACCAAAGATCCCTGAGTTTCCACATCCTCGGAACTCTTAGTCATCTGCTGACTTTTAGATTCAGTTTCTCCTCAGCCTGGTAAAACGATTGAAGATGGTAGAGTATGAGTTCGTCTGATGCCCAGTCTGTATTTATTTGAACAGATGGGATGAAAAAAAAAGTCAAGCTAGTGGGAAGACATTGTGGCAAATATCAGAGAGGGAATGAATTGGCAGAGAGAACTTATCTCAATGAAGAGACACACGAGAGGTAGCGAACGCGAGAGTAACACTAGGCGGTTATAAGGGAGTATAAGCTTTGATTTGACACTTCTGGGCCTCTCTATTCTGGGAGGCGACACGATTGTGGCTATTCTTACCCTTGTCCTATCTGCGTTGGAGATAGACATTGCCAGAAATAAGGACAGGCTTTTCCATCAAGCTACTCTTCCTAATTCAAAATTGCCTGAAAAGTGAACTGAAGTCTATTACCGCAAAGCACATAATACTCTACAGTCTAGACCTATTTCCTTATATTAGTACGCATTCTTCAACCTGCAGCCTTGTGTGATTCTCTTTCTTTCTTTTGCTTCTGTCGCCCGAGCTAACAATAGGAATAATAAGGAATATCGAAACAATTCAAGCGGCTCCCTCAAAGCATATTATCCGTTCTAAGACCGTTTACGAGGAACATCCCAAGCCCCGAGAGTACAAACCGGAGCCACGCCAAACGAGTAAAAGAACCATGACTCTCCTACGGGGAGAGTTGAATTCTTGTCCATCCGAATGCACATATTTGATCGAAGACGACGAGAGCCGGAAAAAGCTACGCCACGAAGATTATACCGTGGGGTAGTTGTCCCCTCTAGCCCTTGAGCTGGCGGCATCTAAGGCAGTGCTAGACGCATTGCACGAATCTATTCCTACCTATACACTAGGAGGAGTCATTTACATACTTGGCCTCATTGCCGAGCACAATCGTATCCTCGTTGGACTTCAGGAAGGAAGGTGCGGCACCATAGCTGCCTTCAACGCTGTTCACTCAATGCGAACCAAGTTTCGATCCCTAAGATTCTGTTTAGTGGTGGACATTGGTGGAGGGGCGCCTACCCCAGAATTCGACATAAGGTTGGGTGACATTGTTGTTGGTGTACCCTGAAGTGGTTGCTCCGGAGTGGTGCAACATGACTTCGGAAAGGTACTCCCCAACCAGAGGTACGAGCACAAGACAATAACTGCCAACCCACCTGACTTCCTCGTGCGGTCCGTGGAGCATATCAAACTTTGTAAGCCCAAGAGCTCGATCCAAATTATGAACTTCGTGAATCATATGCTAGAAACCTTCCCTGACATGAGGGAAAGATATTCCAGCAAAGGATCAGCTGAAGACATGCTCTATGCGCCGAGCTGTACGCAAACTGATTGCAGCACCAGCTGCAGTCATGCAAAAGCCATCGGTAGGGTCCATCGGCTTTATAGATACCCAGTCATCCATCACGGTGCAATAGCGTCTGGAAATCAAGTGATGAGAGACGCCTTTACCAGAGACAAGCTGGGAAATCTCTTCAGCGCCCTGTGTTTTGAGATGGAATCTGCTAGCTTGGCAGACTACTTCCCATTCTTAGCAATACGAGGCATAAGTGATTATTCGGATCGACATAAGACAGAGAAATCGCAGGGCTACGCAGCGGCTACGCTAAGGAACTCCATTTTCCAGTTTCATGTTCATATTTATGACACCACAGCATTCAGTACTGTATAGAGAGTTAAGAGTTTCAAAAGCGCGAGAGGATAGGATGGCCGGTTGGGACTAGAATTTTTTTTTTCTAAGGATACACACTGCCTGTATGAACTGAAGTCCCCCATCTCACATGTTGCGCAATTTGAAGTCAACATAACTTGGGAACCCGTAATATGGTACAGACTACAGCTGGAGCAGCAATAGCTTAGTATCGCCAGTCGCTACCGATTTGGAAATTGGAGATGGGTTTTAACCGCGTAGGGCAGATCAGGTCAACCAGCAGGATCCATCTAACCGGAGAGATCCACAGATGAAGAGCACAACCTGCGCAGGCCACCATAATTGGTCTTTGATAGGTACATTTCTTATGCCCTAACCTTTGTGGCCTTGTGCTTGTGCACCGTTTAGTACCTTATGATTGACTGTAGATCCGAGGATATGATCCTCTTTATTGGTCGATGTTTTTATGGATGGGGCACGAACTACCAGACGGTCCGACGGGACGGTCCGTCCGGTTTTTCATAGCGACCATCCCCGCACCCCATCAAATTCTGCTCTATCATGGTATCTACTGAACTCATATTATGGCACTAGAATGATAATTATCATTACAAGGAAAGTCCTCAAAATACATGAAGAATAGGTTCATAATTTTGCCTGAGCCTGTGGATCTGTATTCACTTTCTCATGCTCCGCAATAAGGCATAATTTTCCGCCATCGACAAGGAACATCTTCGTCTGCAGGAATGCCTGTTTCTCCCCCATATGAGTCAACTCGCAAACGGCTCTCACTTCAGAACCCCGATCTATCGGTCGCAAGAATGACGTTCTTAAGCCTTTACTGACCCCGTATCGCGAATACAGGCCCGGCTTGGACATTGCAGCCAATAAGAAGGTAGTCAGCTCATCAACCAAAGTAATTGCACAGCCACCATGCATAGTTTTGTTGATGTTAGACATCTCATGTGTAACGGTAAACCGAAATGTAACGGACGCTATGGGATCCAGGGACAAGCTTTCGATCTGGAGGTGCATCGTTTCTGGAGAGGTAGGCCACAGCTAAGGAGCTATTAACACTTGGATATGGATATGATTCTAAGTCCGGTTTGATGGTAAAGTGTGATCAAACCTTCTCCTTTGAACCCTGGTTGTAAAGGTCCTGGTATGCTTTGAAAAGATTGGAGAGCTTTTTCTTGAAGCTTTTGTGATCGAGTTGTATATGGGTCATCTTTAGTTCGTATAGAGAAATATTTCTTGGTAGTCGAGGGAAAGCAAGCGAACAAAGAAAACCGGTGTCTTCTCGATTGATTCAAACTGGGGAGCAAGTTTTGGAGATGAATGAACAAACCGCACAAGCCGGCCTTTTTCTTTAAATATTCCTGTCTGTGCTCACTGCATTCAAACTAATGAATTGACAATATATTAAACGCCATGGCATATTGAGTTTAAGATATACGTCATATAACGTACTCACCACCCATTGGAAACATCCATACTCGTCTGCTCACATTTGCAAAGGGAGTGATGGAAGAACTTAAGTGGTGGCAAAAATAAACCTCCGATGGCAGTGATCTCTTTTAAAAGGATACATTTGAAGCTGACAGGCCCTGCTCCACCTACTTCCGACTTCTGGGAAAGCTTACATACGTTCTTTAAAATGTGATTGAACTAAATCGAGTAGCTATATTGTGCGAAAACTTAACATCGAGGATTTATCAAGCTTTCTGGTGCCAAGTAATACTATTAGACTAATACTCTGAAATCTGACCCAGAGGCCAGAGAGGGTCAAAGTCAGTACATGGCGTAGTTCACTATCTTTGTCCAGGTTGGAATGAGTTTTCTGTCGTTCTAGAGCTCCTTGGAGCCTTTTGCTCATAGTGTATAGCTTTGAAAATCTGAAATATACGTTATGAGAGGATAAAACCGTCCGCATCTTGAGTTCCCTTTTGCAACTATTTTTCAAAGACTTTTAGGGTTTCTTTTTCTTTTTCTTTTTCTTTTTCTTTTTCTTTTTCTTTTTTGTAATATTGGGACCTGTGAATTACTATATCCGGTTAGTTTTGCCGATTCTGGGTTAGCGCCCTAATACGTCACGATCAAAACAATCACAGGCAAGAAAGTGACTGCCTTTCTCATTTTACCCGTCGCGAGTGGTGCTTGCCTATTATACCTGCCTGCCATCTCACTTCCTTCTCACTTCCCACCCTACCTTCTCACCCACCATGGACTTCCTTCGATCCACCTCGAACGCATCCCAGTCTTCATCTTCTGAGCTCTCATATTCTGAGTTCGCGTCAGTTGAATCCGAATCTGAGGATCCTCTTGCGCAACTGGCGAAGGAAGTGAAGCAGCAGCCATTCACCACCAACGAGAGCTTACAAAAGTCCTTAGAACGCCGTCAACAAGCGCTTCAGCAAGACCAAACTCGGGATCAGTACCTCGTCTTCACGTCTGTTCCCCCGGCGCAATCTTCCAGACTGAGTGATGATCGGTTGCGAACAAGCAAGTACAGCCGATTCTTTTACAATGCAGAAACGGGAATTTTGATCGCGAAAGTCATGCCGAATCCTGCACATGAACTTGCAATGAGATCATTTGATTCGCTGATTTCCCTCGAGCTGCGTGCGATGAACGTCCATCGTGACGTAAGGCCTTTCGGCTCGGCAACAGTTACGATTGGAAATTGGAAAAAGGAGGCTGACTGCTGCTGGGCTCCGGCTTCGACAATTTCAAGGCTGAGTTTTGTGGTGGAAGTAGGATTGTCAGAGTCTGCGCGACAACTTGCTCTTGATGCGCACGGTTGGCTTGAGACTTACTCCTCATCTGTGAAACTTGTGCTTACGATCAGCATTAAACGCGAAAATCCCGAGATCATCTTGCACCGATGGGAACTTGTTCCCCGAGGATATGGCGTCCTTACAAGGTCACCCCCACTTTCAGCGCGTCGTACTGCATTCCTCAAATTATCTCGAACGAATAACACGACATCTGTTACTGGAGAGTCCTACGTGAATGGCACAAATACGACTACTACACAGCTGGATCTACCCTTCGATAAGGTTGTTGGCCGTCCTCCTCACCAGCCCCTGGAGAGAGACTTAGTTATACCCGAGCAAGAGCTGAGAAGTTTTGCCGAGGATATCTGGAGTGCGCAGAGTCTCCTATAAGTCGTCTCGAGTCTGTCATGTTCGTTGGCCACCAAGCGGCAGACCTCATAGAAGACGATGTTATACTCGCGAAGGATGTGTTAATTCGAAAGATTTCTGGGGAGGTGCGTGGCTGCTCGAGACCCAAGCCAGGGGTCACATATAATATTCGGCCTGGATTGTTGATGTCTTACGTATTTATGATGATGACTGTTCTGTTTGTAATGTTACTTGACTATCGTGGGCCTCTGTATGATAATAGCCGAAAAATTTACCTATCACAGCGCTAGATTGGGCCCGGTTTACCTCTTTGCTCAGCACCCTAGGTGTAAGATAATATGCTACTAGATACCCTCGCATCGGAAGGTCTGCTTTAATCATACCAACTGTGGAACTCCAGTGGTGTCAATCCCAACTTTAAACCATTTTATACCTACATTTAATAACATAGTTTGAGTGTGAACACTTTTGAACTTTGAATTCTTCGTGGTACCATGGTCTATGGCAATCGCGTGGGCTATTTTCTCAGATCGGAGTGCAAAACCTGTTCTTTCTAGAAGTATAAGTATCGTGGCTCCGATCATTTGGTCTTTGGCGGCTGACTTTCATGTCAACCATTTTGGCTCCTTTGCGTAGAATGGAAGACTTGAGTTTTGTCAACCGTATGTAACCGCTAGTCATATAGGAGACCTTTCTATTCCGGATATCGGTATTGATAACTACCGATCCCCGAGGATTATGCAGATTTTTCTGATATTTCCATGGTTCAAAAGTTATGTCTCTTCTAGCTGCCTTTTTAGGCTAGATTGCTTATCATTCTTCATGTATTTAAACTACCGTTTGCAGCTAGATTGAAAGAATCAGACCTTCATCATTCGATATTCCTAAGGGTACATTACTAGCAATTACGCCTAGAGAGACGGCTAACATGTTTCTGGCCGAACCTGGTGTTTGTGGGGCTTCTTGTTGCTTTTGGTGGATTTTCCTTGCTAAGAAGATTGGACTAAAGAATGAAAATTGAACGAGGAAATAATGCCTGATATCTTCAATATTTAACTTCGTTTTTATTATGTTTCTTTCGCGCCTTCGATTGATCTTTGCTTTTTCTGTCATAGTTGAAGTCCTCATCCGGGGGCGAGTCCTGCTTTTCTCTTCTTTTCTTCTTCTCATAACAACCCATTGACTATCTTTTGCTTCTTTACCAAAGCCAGTTGCAATTGTGGAAAACAGAAGTGATTTCGCATTAGAGTCAGAATAATTTTATGCTCGGATATAGAAGCATTCTACTGCATCAAGAAGGAAAGGATCGTTAGGATATCTGTAATTGCAGAAAGGAACTTATGCCAATAAAATCTGTAGAAACAACAAACGCCAAAGAGGACTAGGTTTATTCCAGCCAGACCTTCACGGCCTCTCTCAACGCTTCATCAATCCACTCTTCCTTCAAAGGTGCATCTGCCTCAAAGCCATGTGGACCCGGTCTCAAAGCCAGAACAACCTTATCCCCTCCCTGTTTATTCTTCAAGACGTCTCTCGCCTTCTCGACAAATCGTTCGCTGGCCTGGTGTGGCACAGACTCATCATTAACCCCATGGAAGATGACCAGTCCACCACGAGGCAGCCTTGCGTCTGGCTTGTCCAACCTGGCGAGCTGAAATAGACGGTCCGACTGCGATGATTCGTCAGAGCCACGAATCCAAGTCTCGTAGCCCTTTCTGTGGCGAGACATTGTCGCTGCAATAGGCGTTCGCGTCAACGATCGATCGGAGGATTCGATGTTCTCGACGTTCATGTTCAAGAGATATTCATCGTAGACAGAAACGGGCAGATCCGGGAGATTTTTATTCCATGTCTGTGGATGCAATGGCTCTTTATCCCAATGAATCGAGGGATAGGCTGCTGTTCCAGCGCGGATCTCATCTGGATGACTCAAGGTCAAATAGACGGCCAATAGCCCGCCTGCTGAGTCGCCGGCGGTTAGGATCCGGTCCAAGTCAGGCTCTATCGGTGTTGAATGGGCTGCTAGTAGGTCTTTGGGATAATTCGAATGAAGCCACGTCCAGAAATCTTCAACATCATCGAGGATATCAAGGCCGACGACTTCGGGGAAGAAGCGATAGTTGGCGGAGATGATGACTGCGGATGTGGATTCCGCGAGCTCCAGGAGCCATTTGGGAAACCAAGCTTCGTACAGAGAATCACCGGTTACCTGAGTATAATTTTTAGTAAAGCTTCTTAGTATCATCTATCATGCTAAGGACACATACAAGTCCTCCACCGTGAAATCGAGCGATAAGAGGCCTTTTTCCGGTCGACACCGTGCGAGGAATAATCATATCGACACCGATATCATGATTGCCTACTCGTTTGTAGCTAGACTGAATGACATTGAAGTTGGCAAACTTCTGGCCGAATTCGATACCGTCGTGCGTGGTCATTCTACCGAGTGCTCGTGTTTGAAAATGTTTGGAAATGTGGAGCAAAAGATAGGAGGGTATTAAGAGTCAATGATAGGCAATTGATATTCAAGTGATGGTTCTTTGGGAATGTACTTTAAAATCAATAGGAGAATAAGCTGGAATTCTTCTTCTTTTATAGTGGCCGGCGGACGGTAACTATGGCCTGTTGCTGGATTTCGAAGGATTGTTTTCATACCCTCTTGTTAGTGTTACCATGAAGGCTTATACTAACGCCATTGACCCGTTGATCCCATTGATTGGCCCAGAGGTCCTGCGCTAGTGGCACTTGCATGGTTTATTCTGTTTGCTTGGTCTGGGCGTGTTTGCTCCTGTTTGTCTTGTTGGTTGTTTCGACTGTTTCTACTGTTTGATGTGTTTGCTGCCTTTGACACCTCCCCACCAACCAATCAAAGCATTGAACCCCAGGTATCGTCCTAATCGGGCAATCTTTTGGCCCCAAGCCCTAACTGATAGCGCATGAAGCGGACACCTCTAACATCGCCCGGTCTCAGAACTTGTACAACTGTAACCTAGGTTCAACCGTTCAAGATGTCCCATCAACTCGCACGATCGTGAGTTTGCTTACCACCCCCGGGCATACATCTGAATCAGGTCCCCAAGGCGGATAATACCTCTCCAAGGCCTATAACGCTCTTCATTCCGATATCCTCAATCAGTTTAGAGTGTAAATCCGTAAAGTTGAACAGAAGGGCTTCAGGCATCTAGTTCCCTCTCAAATAAATACTCTACCCCTTCACTCGATGATACACCCCCAGCCGTTTGCGCGCCTCGCGCGGAGTCGTAGTCATATACCGCACACCATCACTACCTCTTACTTGAGGTTCGATACATGTGTAACAAGAGCAATGGGACCGGTATATGCGGATCTCGGGGTTTGGTTGAGATCCAAGGCCCAGGAATGAGGAGGCCATGATACCTCTAGTCGCACCTACAGGTAAGCCGATCCGCTAATCAATAACCGCAACCAGGAATAATATGTACATACGTAAACTCCAAAAAAGCCCGCTATTCGCTGGCATGTACGCAAGGCGTGGAATATATTCACCGTCCCGAAAACCGTATGCAGCAGCATCTGCGAGGGCGATTTGGCAGACCGGCTTTCTGGAGGGCTACATAAGTGTAGTGTGGGCATTTGGCTGGCGCACGTGTCAAAATGATCCAAGAAACGCCGGGTAACCCCGGTATCTTGAAGAATCTGCTGGAACGTTAGCCCGGCTTGGTTTAGACCTTGTGTATGCGGGCGGCCGATCAGGGCAGTGAGTGTTGGACGCGTTGGGGTATATTATTTGGGTAGCCTTCTAAAAATGGATTACAGTAAGAAAATAAAAAACTAATTGCAGAATACTAGACATGAAACAAGTAGGAATTATTACCTGAAGTAGTAGAAAGAACTGTAATTATCAAATCCACTATTCTAAAAAGCCCCGAGATTTAGTCCGATAACGCCATCACAATTTATGCTCAGTGGCCCCTTAACTCCAAATCCAACGTGTACGTGTCTATCACTTCTTCTTTTCTTTGCAGCATATGACGACTTAATGGCCTAAATGAGACCCCGATCAAGCCAGTGCATGCAGGTAAGTCTTGATTAGGCATGACCAAGGAAAGAATCACTTAGCCAATGTCCCCCTTTCCAGTGACCCACCAGTATACCCCAGGTTCCTTAGGATTAACCCGAGAGCTCTCTGAGACATACCAAGAGGATCTAAAGGTAGTAAAGAGCGATTTCAGAAATCCCTCTTGTTTACTTTGATGGTAATGACCAGCAAGAAGGGGCTGGATTGCCTCCGTTGCTTCCTGCGCATAATAGAATGGGATTTTGGGAAACAAATGGTGAACCACATGGTAGTCGATGATCTCGTGGAAGAAATGTCGACCAATGAACCCAAAGCTGCGGTCAACGGTACAGAGAGCACCTCTTGTAAAGGACCATGCTTCTGGTGAGAAATGCGGGACTGAAGGGTGGTTATGATGAAGATAGGTGATTGCGACTGGCAGATTTTATTTCAGCCACTTTGCTTTTGAGTCGGAAAGAAAGGAGGAAATTCAATGCTTACCTATCCAGTGATGAACCCATAAATATGGGATGAAGTACAAAAGAATGATATTTGCCAATCCCACTTGCATGCCAGCGTAAGTTAACATACACCCAGTCGCAAGCAGTCCAAGATCGGAGAGTATGATGTAAGCTCGCTGCGACGAGGAGAAGATTGGACTAGAGGGATCGTAATGGGATATTATCCTTTTTTGCAGCTGATGGTCTTCATCGAGTCCGCTCTGCTTTCCAGCACCCGCGTAGGAGACCAAATACATCTGCCATGCAACCAGTTGATGGCCAATTAGAAACAGCAGCGTTACAAGTGGTGTTTCTTCAAGAAGCTCGGAAATTTGGTTTGTCTGGTCAATTTTGTGCTTATCCTTGAATTCGGTCTCACTGATCGGAACAAAGGCCGTATCTTTCGTCAGATGTCCGGTATAGCGATGATGGCGAGCGTGAGTGATTTTCCAAGAAAAATAGGGCACAAGCAGGAGGGAATGAGTTGCCCATCCGATAGCATCATTGAGGTTTTGGTATTTCGAAAAAGCTCCATGACCACACTCGTGAGCTAGGATCCAAAGACCAGTTCCGACACAGCCTTGAAGAAAACCATATACCGACCAAGCACAAAGTCTTAAAGCGGTTGAAGGTATGTATGGAATGTAGGTCATGGCATATATCAAAATACCAGCATAAGTGAAATCTCGAAGGAGATATAGGGTAGATATTAACAAAGAGGAGTTGAAACAATATGTGGGTATCTCTGCCCTCAAAGACTTGAGATTAGGTTGCATGGTGAGCTTTTTTTCCCTCGGGACAATCATGACAAATGTTAATAATATTGTGCGGATTGAAACTGCCACCTTCGAGACATGGGAACAGGCAACTTTATTACCGTGTTTTCATCTTTCTGATCAGATTGTTTTTGAATGTGACGCAATAAATAATCTCGTGCTGATTGCCTTTGATTCTCAAATTTGTAATAGTAATTCCAATCTGCTCCCGGTGCAAATATGAGCCTTGCGCCTTGTGTAACCCAACTGCTTATATATTACCAGTGCCTCACAAGGATAGGGCTATTTCCTAAAATGGAAGTTAGCATACCATAAAAGTTGAGTTCTTGATCCTCATCTTGATGTTGTCCTGTTTCATCGCAGATATTAGGTTCTTCAAGTATAAATTAGACGTCATGCTTATAAGTTTTGGCTGATGAGTTCCACATTATTTTTAAGCATGGGAATAAGAATGCTAACTTCCGAACCTGTAAGCAGCAGAAGGCAGAAAGAAGACTGGAGACTATTGATGTCAATGCAACATTCAAGTCTCTTTAAGCGATTTCAGCTTGCGTTGGATCTCTATATAAGCAATTGAATAGAAGTACCGATTCAATAAATAACAATCACACTTCCGGCTATATTCTGCCATTAGAGGGAGCTGTGACTCAAGAAAATTATTCATCTCCAACATATATCAATCTATTTGTGAACCTATTTGACTATGGAAACAAGATTTTCTAGCGAGGAATTATACTTCTTGGTCCGTGAAAAGCCGGAATGCCATCCGTCGGCCTCAGCCTTGCTCTTGGCCGTCTCCTTCGCGCTCATAAACCATGCCATCACCGTCCTAAAAGCCTTTCGATCCCCATTAAGGAAAGTCCCAGGGTCATGGTATGCTCCGTTGACGACATTACATCTTCGACATGGTTTCGCCACTGGCAAGATTTGGAAGATGGTTGAGAAAGGTCACAAGGCGTACGGACCCATCTTCCGTCTTAGTCCTCGCCAAATATGGGTTTCGGAGAAGGAAGCCATGAAAACTATTCTACAGACCGTGTATCTCCCGAAGGTGAACATGTATGCTGAGATCTCGCGAGATCTGCTGAGCCCCGGATTGTTTGGGGAGGTGTAAGTCTATAAAGCCACTTCGTTATCTTCACGATACGTGCTAATGCTACATAGCCGGCCGGGCCCTCACAAAAATTTGAAAAAATTCTTATCACCCGCGTTTTCAGTGAGCTACGTGGATAATCTTGATCAATTTTTCTCGCTGTGTATAGGCTCGTTGGTTAAGAAATACCGCAATCAAACATGCTCCGCAAGCTCTCCTCAAGCACCAAAAACAACAGAGATAGACCTAATGAATGGCCTGCACTGTGTGGCTCTTGATGTGTGAGTTTCACCTTTACTAGAATAAAACCGAAAAGAAAGAGGGTTTCTCATCACTTAATCGCTTCCTAGAATGGGCGAATGTTCCTTCGGTCGAGGGTTCGGGCAGACAAATCCCACCAAAGACGAATACCTCAATGTCGAGGAGAGGGTTTGGAAACGCATCCCAGATTCTATTTTCTCTGGGATGACACAGCGCTATCAGGTATAATAAGCCCTCTATAATTCGTCGAGACTGTTAACTGACTCTTCCAACAGAGAGTTTACTTGAAGAAGCTTTGAGAAATCTCGGCCTAAGCCCCCAGTACGGCTGGCCTGCAGACATGATAACCGTAGGGCGGCGCTAAAATACTTTCAACTCATTCAAATCGACTGACATATTTCATTAGGGTATTCAAGCCATTGCTGACAGTCGAACGACGGAGAAAACAGCTTCACGTCCAGATCTCCTGCAACATCTCATTGAAGACGGCACCCGCCCAGACAATCTCCAGATAATGACCTCCCGTGACATTATTGATCAGATAGCCAAAACCATTCTAGCAGGGTCTGAGACTACGTCAGGAACTATCACCTGTCTATTCTTGGAGCTCGCGCGCAGTCCGGACAAAAAGAAGAAATTGCTCCAATCACTACCAGCGCTGAGCCCAGATGATCCCGTTATTGACAGTAAGGCCATCCGGACAGACGACCAATACAAATACCTCAATGCTTGTATCAAAGAGAATCTGAGAATGCATCCGATCGCGAGTGAGATGGGGCGCAAAACCGGCAAGGAATGGTGCCATTTAGCTGGCTATGATATTCCTCCCGGGACAGTTGTCTCGGCAAGCTACCGAAACCTACATCGCAGTGAAGAATTCTGGCCTGAACCTCTGAAGTTCTGGCCAGAGAGATGGTTAGAGAATGAAGAGGAAAGGGAGGGTGCTCCGAAACCCGAGTGAGTGTTATATGTTCTTGCTTTATTATTTGTGGTACTAATTGCTGGAAAGTATGCGAGCGTATTATCCTTTCTCTGCGGGAAGCCACTCATGTATTGGAATGAAGTAAGAACACCCAATACTTCATATTAAATTTTGACATACTAATTTGTACAGCTTTGCAAGGGCTGAAATTCGAATGGCTGCGGCCAATGTCCTGTCTAGGTTCGACGTCGAAGAGATACCTAGGCAAGTTATCGACTATCGGCAGTACATTACTATGTAATTCAAGACAGGTTCATGGAAAGTTCTTATAAAGCCAAGGGCTAAATTCGAAGTCTTTTGAATGGATCAATGGCAAAGAGGTGGGAAATAAAATACGATATTATGATTTTTCTTTTGTTCATATGAGCAGTGATTGCGAGCCAAAGATTTTAGAATAAGGACCATGATAATGAAGAATAAGACATCTACCAGGATGCGCGTGATAACTAAATTATTTGAATTCTTGTTATGTATTTAAAAATGGAATGGATATTACGGGCTCATTCGTATTTGTAGTGCGGCATAAGCCTAGAAGCTATCTTTCGAGCCTCTCAAGTCCTTCCAATTATCCCCTGCGGAGTCGCCAACTTAGTCAATAGCGCAACAAACCCACCGGACAGACACACAGCACTGCTAAACATAGATACTTCGAAGAATCCCTGATAGTGATCCACTATGACCCCACTCAAGGGCGGGCCTATCAGTCCCCCAAAAGAGCTGATAGATGTCCCCATTCCCATGTACGTACCCATATATCGCAGGTCTTTAGGGCAGAGGGAGGAGGCCGCAGAAGCTCCTGAAATGATGCTCCCGGAAGTGAAGCCAAAACAGCTGAGTACACTATTAACCCGGCGTTTGTTGTAGCGTAATTCATGCAAAAGATTATGATACCGGTAACAAAAGCCCCAGTTGTAAACACGTTCAGTTTGCCGTATTTATCAGCCAGGATTCCCGGGATGATACGGCCGAATGTCGATGCAGCGTTGAGAATGGCAGACAAATGGCCTGCAAGCGTTGGGCCCATCCCTCTGGTAACTGTGTATGTCGGAAAGTAGATAATCGGGATGGACATGCTCATGAAGGTAAAGAAGAACGATAAAATCAGAAGGACGAATTTCGGGTCTTTGTATGCTTCGGGAATCCAGAACCTCGTGGTTCTTGGGGGTACGCAAGCCTTGATTGTCACGATTGCAAAGGCCATAAATGGTATGATGAAAAAACCAATGATTCGAACCGACCATCCGAAGCCTAAAGAAGTGCTATTAAGCATGTTCGAAACGGCAATAGGCATTACAATGCCACCTATTGATGATCCGGGTTACCCCAATGGCAGCGGCTCGTTTCTTGTCGAAGTGCTGGAACACGGCTGCGCATGCGGGGATTTGCAGTAGTCCCATGGTAATACCCATCAGGACTCCTTGGGCGAGGATAATTTGCCAGTATGTTTTGCATAAACTCAGCATCATCATGGCGAAAATGTAAACGATTGCAGCGGGCCGAATAACCTAAGATTGTTAACAGAAGGATTTGATCTGCTAAGGCCGGAGGACATACCTTTGCACCAAATCGGTCGAATAATGGTCCTCCAGCCATACCCGCTCCAAATTAGAGATACACTGCTAGTGATCCATTCCAAGAAATTCTTTCGAGTGATTCCCCGTAGAGTTGATGTCGTAGATAGTATACTTGAAAAGCGCCGAATGAGTTCGCGAATCCAAGACAACAGAAAGAGATAGACGAGCCTCAAGCTGCAACAAGCCAGGCTCTCAATCCACCATCAGGTGCAGTTTCAAATTCTGCATCTTCTTTGTCGATTTGGGGCTCGAAAGGCGAGTTCTGGTCCACTTTCTCACTTGTAGGCGAGACATTTCGCTCGGTCGTTGCAGATGTCATGTTGCACTGAATTGCTTGCAAGACCTTGGGGTTCTATAAAAGATACTGTAAAACAAGGTATTTGGGTAGCTTTCAATTTTGTAAGCTGGTCTACCTAATTAAAACCAGCTTCAACCTCGAGAAAGTGAGGCAGTATATAAATTGGGGGTCAAGATAGGGCAACGAGGCAGTATACTTACCCGTTTAGGCAACGCCCCGGAGATGACTAACTCGGAGTCGGCAAATGGCGGACTAGACGGACCAACAGCGCAGTTTTGTACGGGATCGGAGTCGGAGAATGGCACACGAGACGGACATCAACCGCAACATCCGCCTTTGAAAACCAGACCGGGGCAATCCTTCGGAGATTATTTGGAATGACTGACGATCGATCGGACCTGATGCACTTCGACAAACTCCGGAGTTAGGAAACTCGATATATCAAAGCAGATAGCGATGGCCGAACCCGGACGTCGACGCAGAAGGCCAGCTGTGTGAGTCCGGACCCACCTGTCATCCATCTCCATACTAACGAGGCATAGTTCGTGCGCTCTCTGCAGAAGGCGTAAACTTCGTTGCAATCGAGAGAACCCTTGCAGCAACTGTCTCAAGGCAAGGAATGCTAGTTGCATCTATGAAAGCCATTCGCCGCCTTCACAGCCCGCGCAAACATTGCAGAGGCTAGCTACTGATGAGAATGCTTCGTACACAAGTAAACAATCAATTGTTTCCAGCAATCTATCAAGTTCTTTAGCCGGCTCTACAACTGCCCCATTGCCTGCGAGTCAGAGCTCTAGTCAAGATGTCGAGCTTATGAAATCTCGAATCAAAGATCTTGAAGAACAACTGTCCAAAGCGACTTCGTCAAAATCTACTCCTCGGTCTCAGGCCTCCCCTCCAAACTCTGAGATTGAAACGGCAACATCACAAATAGGTGGGACTTACTACTTCCAGCGTGAGAATAGTTCATTTGGACCACCGCAAGGGTTGACTCGCAGTGTCATGCATAAAACACGTCTGTTTGGTCAAAGTCATTGGATCGTTAGAATGTCTCTGGTAAGGCCCCGTCACACGTTCAGTCGAATCTTCATTTGGAAGTAACTTGACTAACCTCACAATAGTTCAAAGATTTATTGAGTCCAAATGATCCTTCAGTGCGAGAAGGGTTGCACGAGGCGTTCTCTGGGATGCAGAAATGTAAATCCTTAGCCCGGGTTATCAAATCACAGCGCGCACCCCCCTGGCCCACGCCACCAACGCTTGATCTACCCCGAGTAGGTGTTGCCAATGAGCTTTTTGACTGCTATCTTCGAACCACAGAGACGATGCACCGAATCCTTCATATTCCCAGCTTCAGGCGGGACTATGAGATGCTCTGGGTGTCGGAAGCTAAACCAGATCCAGGTTTCTTGATTCAAGTTAAGCTTGTATTTGCCATTGGTGCTGCCACCTACGATGAGGAATTCTCACTACGTTCGTCGGCGGTTCGGTGGATATATGAAGCTTTGACCTGGATCTCTGAGCCTGAATTTAAATCTCGGCTCGGCATACAATTTGTACAAACCAACATTCTACTCTTGATCGCTCGGGAAACAATAGGTATTGGCAGAGATTCAATCTGGGTCTCGGCTGGCGAGCTTCTCAGAAGAGCAATGAGTATGGGTCTACACAGAGATCCTTCCCGGCTGCCGACTAAGAGTACCTTCATTTCCGAAATGCGCAGAAGGCTGTGGAATACCATTATGGAGCTAGCCCTACAGTCGAGCTTGACTGCCGGAGGTGCTCCACTCATTTCGCTCGACGATTTTGATTCACAGCCCCCAGGAAATTTCGATGATGAGCAGCTCTTGGTCGAGGGCTCTGTTCCGATGTCAGATGACTGTTGTACAGAAACATCCATCGCAATTGCCCTTCGTAAAACATTTCCTTCGCGGCTCGCGGTGGCGAAGTTTCTCAATGATATCAGCTCCCATGGATCATACGACGAAGTTCTACGACTTGACGCAGACTTACGGGCGTCGTATAGAGCCCTAACCCGAACAATTCAAGGCTACAAATCAGGCAACGGAAAATCACCGTCGCATTTTGTCACCCGCATGGTCGACTTTATTATGCACCAGTATGTATCTGCTCTACACATACCTTACTTTGGACCAGCTCTACGGCAGACAACATACGCATTCTCTCGGAAGGTAGTCGTTGAGACATCGCTCAAAATCTGGTATGCGGTGTATCCAACGTCGTCAGTCATGAACTATCACGGTAGCAACGATACATCATCATCCAACCACGACGACTTTGCAAGACTTGCAATCTGTGGGTCCGGATTCTGCCGCACCGTTGCTTTACAAGCTACCTTAATTATCTCTGGAGAACTCAGAACCCAGCTCCAAGAAGAGGAGGGTCTCGGTCCTGTGGCCTTGCGACCAGACCTTTTATCCGTGATCGAAGACGTGAAACATTGGTGTGTGCGATGTATCCAGGCTGGTGAGACAAACATCAAGGCATACCTGCTCGCTTGTGTAATCGCTGCGCATATCCAAGCTCTTATGCGAGGGCTCAGTATGGATGAAGTTCCGCGAATTCTTACCAAAGCTGCAACTGAGGCCGGGGATACCTGTCTATCAATACTTGAGCGAATAGCGGCGCAGGGTCAAGCGAATGGTGCCTTGGAGGCCCTTCCCCCAATATCTTTGGAGACTCCATCCGAGGGCCTGGGAGTTTGGGACCTTACTGTGAGTTTGCTCTGGCCCTCTTTCCGATGGACATGTCTGACAGTTCAATAAGATGGCAGATGCTTTATTCAACCCAGGTAATATGGAATCCTTAAGCTGGGCGTTCAATGAAGAGGCGATGCAGGAGGTTGTTACTTGGTGGTAAAATCGCACATTTCTTCAGATCTGTATAATGATCACTTCTGTATATGTATGGCATTACGGTTTTATCGGGTCTTCTTCTCTTCTAATGTGAGAGTAGACTACACTGTCAGGAGTTCTTTCGGGATACGGGGATATGTACGATTGATGTGTTCCTGCACTCCCTGGATGGTGAATCGCGAAATCACCACGCCTTCTGACGAAACGAACAGCAACACATTGTACATTATGCACGTGTTGTTTCTCTTTCATGTTAAATGACAGTCTTCCTCATCGAAGGCTACTTGATCCAGATGTATTGCCTGAAGGACGTGAAACGAAGCAAAATTCGATAGACACTGACAGAAACGGGTTAGCGTGGCTATCGATGGGGTGATCCACAAATGGATTGGCTAGGGTGGAACACCGAACAGATAGGGAAAAAGTTCTACTTCATTGGTGACAATCACATTATCAAAAATGTTGTGAAAAAAATGAAAAAGATTGACCGACGCAGGGGTCGAACCTGCAATCTCTTGATTCGTAGTCAAGCGCCTTGCCATTGGGCCAGCCGGCCTTGGTTGGGTAGCAACGGCAAAACTTGCAAACATATTGCAACTCACTATTGCTGCTCCTTGAAGCCTTTCCCCACAACTCCATACGGCATGCACCGACAAGAATCGGGCAACCACAGACCTCCAAGCTTGTCCTCATTTATAGAAGGAAGGTTCAAAATCATTTCCATATTAAGTCGCATTGAGTGAAGTCAGAATCCGTGAGTATACATTTCTGTCCGTCTTCTCGGCCCTGAATTGTCCATATCAGTTTGGAACTGACAAGATAAAGATATATTTGGACGCCTCACCTGCCGTGGTGTAGAAATCTTTGGATTGCGTCTCCCATTCGGTGACGAACAACAAAGGAAGGCGAAATATTCAGTGCAGAGTCTCGAATATGTGGGATAAGTACCTCGGGCGGAGGCTTGATTTATCTTCTCTGGTCTTGTCAGTTCAAGTTCTTGGACTTTGCAAAGATATCCGCGAGCTTCTAAGAAATGCCTCGAGTCAAATCCCCTTGTCGCTTTAGAGAAACTGAAAACGCTCAAGCATACGATCAGATGGTTGATAAACACATCATTCTCAGGCAACCGCCGATGTAGCCATAAGGCCGATAGAGAATTCAGAGATTACTGAAAACTTTCAACAGATCGGTATGAATTGAACTGTTCTCAATATTCAACTGCAGCGACATACTCCCTAACTAACCGTGTTCAACTCTCTCCTCTCCTCTCATCTCTTCTATCACTTCTCATATCACTTCTCATATCACTTCTCATATCACATGCTCAGCGGTGGGTATAAATACTTGCATCGCTCGATTGATTCCTCTTCCTCTTCTCTCCCCTCAACATACCCCAATCATCCTCAGAGGAACACCCTTACCTTGATAACCTCACAAATATTGACCCAATGGTCTCACCATTTTCCTCTACATACACCAACACCTTGGCCATTACCATACTTTTTAGTATGCAGTTTGCGCAAAAATGGATCCCCAGCAAGTAGTTGAACACCACTCCGAGCATGAGCTCGAACACGGCCAAAAGCTGAAGTCCGAGATGGAAATCGAATCTCAGGGTGTTAGCATCAAGACCAACCCTTCTCTAATGTTCGTGCGCTGACCGGCCGTTTCAAGTGGGTTTTGAGCGGAACTCCCGTGCAGAAGTATGTACCTGACTTTCAGAACTATTTTTGCCCTGGTTTCTCCAATAAATCGCTGACAATGGATTAGTTATGTTCATGAATTCTACCCCCTCTCGACTTTCTCGGTGTACCTAATATAGGTACTTTCAAGAAATTTACCCAAAGATATTGCGAGGTAGCAGATTTTATAAAATACTTTTTGATATCCGCTAACATCAAACTTTAGGGCGACGTTGCGCGGGAGCGCCTATTGAATCTGCTTCGCTCGTTCATAATTCGAAGGACTTACACCAGTCGCCTGTTTTGCTCGCCTGTGGTCACACTTCCAGAAGTCAAAGAGCTCTTAATCGAGACTGAGTTCTGCACCGCTGAAAGTTCAATTTACGAAGCCATATTAGAGTCGCTCTCAATGAACATCAAAGACAAGTTATATATTTCTTTTAATTATATATTTTGTCTTCTAGATACGTAGAAAAGTGAAAAAGAGCAAATCTAATCAGAAAAACAATGTCGTCGGATTATAGGAAACCCCAAAACAGTCCAGCGTCACTGCGTTTTCGCAAAATTACTGAAGCTCCGAGTGGCTTGCAGCCACATTTTGACAGTTTGCACTTTAGTCAAGGAGTTGCTGTCCGGAGATCTTATGAGAACACTCAACAAGATTGCCAAATATTCCAAGGGTTGGGACGATCCTTCGATGAAAATTGCCCAAATGCTTCGAGGGATGACCGAAAATACTTTTCCCGCCCGGCCAAACCAGAGAATCGAGTCTGGGGAAGAAGTGGTCTCAGAGCCGCAGGAAGACAGCCCTGAAGTTGTTCAGAAGTTCTACCAGTTTATGAAAAATTTTCATGACGGAGATCAATGGAATGAAAGACTCCAACGAACAATGTGCCCGCGCTGTGGAGGCCAACCGGTAAACCCGCTTCTTACATCTTGTATGCACCTTTATTGCGAGGAATGCTACTATCTTCTTGCTATAAGCAACAAGAACAAGCCCAGCTCTTCCGAATTGCGTCGCCTTTGTCGAATGTAACGAAGAAATTACAGCTACTACATCCGGGGTCCCTGTGGAAGATATGGATTTGGAAAATGCCCGGTCTTCTCCCGCCAGGCGGACAAAGAAGAAGGGAAAATACAGATCCTCGAGGGCTGAGTCTGATCAAAAGGAAGAGTCGGACTGGATTGGAGTCTGCGCGGCGCAAATGCCGAGCGCGAAATTAACCAAAATCCGAGAGCTGATAACCCAATGGATAGCGGAAAACCCTGAAGTCAAAATTGTTATTTTCACGCAGTTTATGGATTTTGTCCGAATCTTGGGCATCATGTGTGAAACTCAAGACTGGCCTCATGCAGGGGTAAATTATATCTGCTTATTGTGAACTTCTGAAGAACAAACGGCTAATTTTGCTTAATTGACTGGAAAGATGCGTCCACACGCCCGGTTCGCAAGCGTCGAGAAGTTCAAAAAACAGGATGACATGAGGATTTCCATTGTCAGTCTGAAAGCCGGAGGAACAGGATTTGATATGCCCATAGCAAGCAAATGCATCCTTGTCGATCTCTGGTGGAATGAAGCAGTCGCAGACCAGGTACGTCCTTTTGATTTCTGTCTTGATTCGGAAAGCCTCTAACATGTAAAACCCCCAGGCGCTTGCTCGGATTTATAGGATCGGCCAGGAGAATAAGGTGGCATTCGTCAAAATAATCGTGAAGAACACTATTGACGTCCCTCAATATCTCGGACACTATGGGAGAAAACCCCCAGGAAAGCCGAGCAACAGTTTCCGACTTGTTACGAATTTTCGCCGACGTGAAAGATAATGAGACAGATGATGTTAATGGGAAGGGAAAGCAAGCAGTCCATTAAGAGAACTATTCTCTTTTCCGGAGTCTTGTCTTTTTTGATGATTTTTTTAGGGGTTTTTGTCTTGGTTTATCTGATTTGATTTCTTTTTTTACTAACGGAATACTGATGCATTGGGCAAGGTCGATTTCGGAGTTGGGGAAAACATTACTGGGTTATTGAAGTTCTGCATATTTTCTGCGGTTTTTTTTTATTGACGCAGATGAAATTTCGGGTTTATCTAGTACATACTGAGCATTTTGCATACAATCTGAAAACACAAAGCCACTGGCAACAACTCATGAAATCATTAGGAGATATCCGTAGAGCGCATTCATGTGAGATTATCCCACCTAATCAACTACACCGACCGACACACGATCATATCATAAAACTGGAAATCGAACCCTAGTTCTCATGGGCCGACGAGGTCCCTGAGTCACAACCTCGGGACAAATGGGACTCATCGATGGGATTTCTGTCAGGGGCGAGTAAATAGTAGTAGACAATTCGGGTGCGTCAGCAAGGGTGGGGAAGGGCCTATAGAAGCGTCCCATCTCGTCTTGGTAGTGAGTATTCACAGAGCTGCCGTAGCCGCTGTTCGTCAAGATAATGTCCAGGTCTGCCTCGTCATCTGCATCAAAATCATCGGAAACAGAAAGATGAGAGTGTCGTGGGGAGGCGGGTAGAAGAAATGCGTCCTCTGTTCCTAAGCTCCAGGGACGTCTCAAAGACTGGTTGTGGTAAGAGTTCATGAGGGTCTCTTCAGTGTGAACATAGTCGGGGTTATGTTCAAGTTCATGCTCATCGTCTTGGATGCTCCTGACAGGATCCATGGCGGAACTTGAACCTGGGGCAGTGGAAGCAATTCCTCTCGCATTGGGGGTATCAGCTTCATCATCGGCGTCTTCGTCCCCTTCATAATTCTCCTTGTTGTCCTCCGCGCGGGAAACATATGAAGAAGGCCAGGTAAGGCTGAATTCGATATGCGAGGTAGCAATGTCCATGGCGTCGTCTGTGTCCTCGTAAATGATGAACCGGTTCGATGGGCCAGTCTCCGTTGAAGAAAAAATGGTCATGTTGCTTTCAGTTGGATACGAGCGATACATCGAAGAGAGAGACGAACGAGGGGTTTCGAGCTCAGAATAAGGGGTACCGTGGCCAGGAGCGTTGTCAACAGCCATCGGGACGCTGGTGTTTTCCGAACCGTGTGATCTCATCGTAGTATGGAAAGGGCTCATCATGATTGAAATATCGTCATCATGATATGGAAAAATGGAGCTGACTACGTTGGTCGGGCGTTGATACTCAGACGTAGTCTCCCCATTGTATTCCTCTTGTTGTAGGGGGACATCATCTCCAAATCCTAGTATTTTGGGTCTTTTAGGTGGGTTATTAGCGTCATGGCCCGAGCGATAAGTGCTGTCTGCTTCAATTTCACTGAATGTCCGAGTTCGACGATGTCGGATGATCGGTGGTTCTTGTTGGTCGTTCGCATCGGTCCCTGTGACGTTGGCATTATCCGGTTGGCGGGGGGCTGGTTCCTATAGTTCACACTTGGATGAGTTCCTCAGGAAGACAATATTTTGTTGCAAGGTGGACTCTCGGTCAGAAAGATACTCACATGCTGATCGACATCGAGACAAAGCTCAAAGTCAATCCGATCCATCATAATAGGCTAGAAGAAGGTATACAGTCAGCTGGCATTCCCTCTTGTTGAAAGCAATAAAACCTCCAAGGGCTGCATGAGCTAGCCTCGGTATAGGGAATGGTTACAGGTAAAAGAGGCATTGTTATGGTAGATAGTGGTGACGCTATGAGGATGTCTTTCCAGGGCTCAAGGAAGATGGAGGGGGTACTTCACCATGGAGAAAAGTCTTTTTATAGACCAGGAAGAAATGGGGAAAGGTTAGGTCTTATCCGGAGTTGTCCTCGGCCCAGTGAGAATTCACCTTAAAACGAGGTATACCTAGGAGAGCGTGAGTGGTAATAGGGATGCAGGCGGTTTCAAAAAAGGCGGAACTTGCCACTTGGATGAAATGAATGATGAAAGGAGGGCGGGTGACAGGCATTGTGGGTGGGAAAAGGGAAGAGAAGTGGGAGAAGAGAAAGGGAAAAGGCAGCCAGGCGAGAAGAACGGTAAAGCCAACACTGGCCCCGACAGTAACCACGGGGCTTCTCGATGATTTTGTCTACAAAAGAGGGCCCACGAACATTTCCACGTCAAGCAATAGATTTAATCGAAGCTATCCAGCCATCTACCTAGATATACAAGCCTAGAGAACGTTGACAGCCGTGGTGATATCAAATACTCGACTAGGAAATTATTTCACTGCTGCATCCATAACTCTCCGCTGTGTCAATCTTCAGCTTGGTGGCACAATTACGACCAGAGCCCACTCGGCTCGAATGATTCCTCTCCAGACAACCCAGCTGAACCAGAATTCCGTCTTTTCCTCGACACTGCAGATTCTGTTCCTATCTGAACTGTCCCGGGCCAATCATACCACCACGCGCATCCCCGCCAACCTGACCGAACATATCCAGCAAGTGTCTAGAGGACGGCGGCGGCCCCTGGGGACCAGGGTTGCCTTCAAAAGGACCCTGTCCGGCGTGGCCAACGCCCATAAGAGCTTCGGCGTTAGGCGGCATCGGAGGGAATCCAGCCGGGGGAGGGCCGTTCATATACCCAGGAGGTGGCATCATGCCGGGAGGAGGGGGGAATCCCGCTGACCCGGCGCCGGCGGCGCCACGAGGGAAGGGCTGTCGATCGCCGAGGGGAGGCACATTGGCGTGCATGGGTGGTAGCATATTTGCCATAAAGTTGGGGTTGATGCCCCGGTTAGGTGTCGGAATGCCTGGCGGAGGGCCCATGGGGGTCGCCGGTCCACCTGCTTGTTGCGGGGGCATCTGATGGTGGCCATTCCATCCGGGAGGAGGCATGTGCTCGAAGCCTGGAGGTCTCTGCATGCCCATGGCAGGGAGTCCTTGACCCTGCGGGCCTCGCGATCCACCGGGGGTGATGGGAACCTGGCCGCCTTGAGGGAATGGCAGGTCATCAAAGTAACCCATTGGCGGCCCGTTTGCGGGTCTCCGCCGAAACTGTTCAGGATCCGGCCGCTGCAAGTTGGCTATCGCCGGGTCGTCAAGGAAAGGTGGCACCTTCTGCGCGGAGAGGCCGGGAGGAGGGTGAGGCAATGCTTCCTGCATATTCATCAAGCCAGGGGGAACCGCGCCGGCGCTCTGTGGCTGACCTTGGCCGCCTTGTCCCGGGCTTGTGATGGGGCTCACCTTCACTTGTTGCATGAGGCGGAGCAAATGTTCCCTGTCTCGAGCCTGAGGATCCTGAACATATACGTTCTCCTTCAGAGGAGGACCGGCATGTCGAATCGCAGGATCCGGCATGGCTACTTGTTCGGACCGTCTGAGTTGCTCGCGAGTAGGAGACGAGACCGCACTTTGAGTTTGTTCCATGTGCACGAGAGACGGGGGGCGATTGGCTTGCACATTATCGTTGTGAGGAGTCGCGTTGCGTGACTTGCTGGTGCCCAGCATTTGTAGGATGCGCTGGAAACCCTCCTGGTCCGCATCGGCCGACGGCGTCACCGACGACGGGGGTTGAGGCAAGGGAGATCTGCTTTCCATTTGAGGAGGAGGGTCGGGCTCTCTGGCGGCAGGGCTCCCCGGAGGAGGACTGAACAGTCCAGCAAAGCGGGAAGACTTGGCCGACTTGCCCGGCGCGGTCTCCTTTTTGGGCGTTGATTCCAAAGGCAAGGCAGTGTTAATGACCGGGGACGGTTTGCCATCACCTAGAAGTCCAAAGAAACGTTCCATCGCCGTGTCTCCCTGGAAAGGAGCGCCGTTACTGCTGAAAATTTCACCATCGGTAGGCTTAATCTCGGCTTTGTCAGAGCCGACGAATTGCTCGACAGGGGATTCTTTCTTCTCCTCCACGGGAGGCTGAGAAGATCCCGCCTTCATCCTTTCTTTCCACCGTTCAAAATCTTCTTGGGTATGCACCCGGCGAGGCTCGACCTTGTCATTAGAGTCCAACCACTCTGGCTCTTGTTCAAGTTTGGCGCCGCGAGTCCAATCACGATCTGCACCGTGTCGGTCCCTGCGCCATTCGCGATTGCGGACCGGTGTCTTCTCCTCTTCGGCTTCATGTCCATCCTGGGCGGGTTCGTCGCGGAACCAGCTTCCTTCGTGGCGCGCGCGCCCCGGCTGGCCGTCCCTGCGAGGGAAGAAGCGACCGTCCTTGTTATCTTTCGCTCCTCGGTCAAAATTGGGATCTCGTTGATCACGGTCCCGGGTCAAGTCCCGAGTACCCTCCCAGCGGTCGAACTCTCCGTTCCGTCTGGGCTTTCGTTCTTGTTCCTCTGGGCCAAAGGTGCGACGCGGACGTCCGCTGTTCCAGTCCTCTCGGTCTAAGCGTCGACCATTAAACGTGGGTTGTTTGCTATCACGGCGGTCAAAATCTCGATCACCGACATCTCTTTCCTTGAAGAATTTGTCGCGGAAGTTGAACCGGTCATTCTTGGGATCATCTGCGTCGGGTTGCTTAAGTGGTCGTTCGGTCGAGTCGATGGAACCTTTGGTCGTGACGCGAGAAGCGGATGCAAAAGCAGTCTTCGGCGGTCCAAGAACGATGTCCTCTAGAAGAAGATGACAAGCCCCTCAAGTTAGCGAGAATCTCCCTAGCTATGTCCGACGCTCGATATGGCAAAAGCCACACAGAGGATCGCAGACAGGTTCGCCATAAATTACCTGAGTTCGAACCACGTGATACATGACGAGCTTCAAAGATACTCGATCGTCGCGGAGTGGTTTCGGTCGGGTGATTGGGATCTCTGGGGTTGGTGGTTTTGCGTTGTGTTGTTGGGTCGGGGATCGGGCTAGCAAAGCACAGGCCAAATCAGTCTCACGGGTCGCAGAGAGCGCAAAGGAGAACGATGACGGAACGAAGAGAAGTGACGAACTTACCCCATCCATTCTTCTACGGGGGGTAAAGTAGTAGGCTTGATGGCCAGAGGCGATGAGCGCAGCCATAGCAGCTCATCGATCTGGTAACGTCGCGCCATGGAGATGGCAGACTCTGTGTGCGGAACGGTGATATCGGCAGGCTATTACGTTGTTTTCATTGGCTCGTGACGATCGAAAGACGCGAGGGTCGAAAGCGTAAAAAGAAGACACGATGGACAGAGAATCCAGGGAAATGGTTCCGAGAAAATAGGGCGAAGAGGAGGATAGGTGGGAGGGAGGATGGATGGAGGGTTGAGAGTTGCAGTCGTTCGAGACAGGAAGAAGCGGGAGGTGAGGCCGGCAGAAATTACGTACCGTAGGGAACCCCGACCGCCACTTGGGTTTGCTTTGTCAATAGGACGTTGCAGCAAGAACTAGCGACCAGCGTGATGCCAAGTACGGGTGGAATTCCGTTCGAGGGACTGATCAGAAATGGGACTGCGAGAAAGGGGAAGCAGGAGTATTGCAAGAGAGAGCAAGAGAGCAGAGCACAGGCAGAGCAAAGCAAGTGGGGGAATCCCGTGAACTGCCTTCACTCCCGTCTTCTGCCGCCCGTCACCGCCTCGAACCGATCTATATTCTCTGCCTTCAATTACTTCAATGCATGTATTTAGTACATTATCGCCTAGATAGTTTCATCGATCTGTACAATCAATTCCCCCTCGTCATGTTTCCCACCGCCTCGCCCACGGCTCCTCCGCTCCACTTGGCAACTCGATCCTTATCCGAGGATTCATGCAAGGAGTTGGTGATGGCCGAGAAGCTCGACACTTCTTTGGCACCGACGGCCGGGATCTGGCTTTGAATCCAGCTAATGATTCCTGCACGGGTGATGAGGGTCGTGCTACCTTGCACCTGCGTCGAGCGATAAATCAGATGAAGAATCTTTCGCTTGACCGAGACGCTCGTGCTGGGAGACTCGTAGAAAGCAAATGCGCGCTCGAACACATTGGCGCGACGGTAGATCTCCATGTCCTAGTGGGCGAGTTAGTAAAGAAGAAACACGATAGATAGAAGGGGGTCCATACAGTTGCGGTGCGAAGGCCTTTAACCAAAAGATCTAGGAGCCAATTGGTCTCTTCAAAATGGCCGTCGTCCAATTCGGGTTCCCGCAGCAAGATCTTGTCGATCCAGTAGGAGGGAATCTTCTCGGGTTCCCAGGTAGGGGCTTTCTGGAGGAATGCGTTGACCTTTCCGTAGAGCTTGTGCGTGGGAGTGGTGAGAACCGCAAGACAGCTGGCAGCACATTCTCCCACGATCCACGGCAAGGGCGATTCAAGGCCAAGCAGTTTGACGGTCTCGTAAAGCTCTCCGGTGAGGATGTAAACCGATCGCCATTCGGCGTATTTGGATTCCTAGTCCCGTTAATCCCACCCGGTTGTGAATGCACATTGCAGACTTACCCTGAGTTTCGCCATGAATCTAGCGATGTTGCTGAATGCTTGTCGACGCACTTCCTCGTGCTCCGAGCACAAACAGACCATCAATTCCGCCACAGGACCCTGCTCCACGGACATCTCCAATTCCTCTTTGTCCCATTTGTGCAACTCATTGCGCTCATCACTTTCGACGGGAAGCGCCCCGAACATCTCCAGCAAGTCCACGCGCGGTTGCTCGCTTGCTGCAGTCGGAGAGACCTCTTGATCCAAGTTCAGACCCTTCTTCTCCGACGGATCCTCTTCAGTATATTTCAGTGCCTTTTTCAGGGTGGACTTGAGCTGTTTCTTATCGGTGGCACCCATCAGGGAGTCACGAATACCCTTTAGCACCTTCGAATCTTCCCCGGCCTGGTTCAACCCCCCCAGCACATGAGCAGCCCATGAACACACGGCACTTTGAGCATTTGCGTCTCCAGACTTCAGAACAAATGGCCACTGCTCACTGATAGCCACCACGATGGAGCTAGTAGGTTTAGACTTCTCTTGCGTGAACAACCCTAGTAAATCTTGATAATGAACTTGTTTTTTGGCTATCCGGCAGATGCAGTTATCGAAAAAGGCCAGTTGGTGTTGCAGGCGTGCAGAATCTGAGGTTTCGAAACTCGACAGAAGTGCGGTAAATGAGGACACACTCTGTAGTATGGAGTTCTCAACGAGCACCGATCTCAATAGGCGATAAATATCACCAAGGGATTCCTGAGACGACGCTTCCACGAGGACCTTCATCACAGAGGTGAACGCAGAAAATTGCATAGAAGCTAGATTCCTATTAGCTTGTGTTCTCTAGCTTTCAAGGGGGGTAGGAGGTATAAAGCGACTCACCAGGTTGTTGCCACCACCGAATCGATGCCGACTGCTGTGCAATCTTCAAAATGCTCTGCAGCTGACTGAGCAGCAGCTCAGAGTCGTCCGATGAGAGGCTGGGTTCATCCAGTCGCTTCAAAATCTCGACCATGATAAGGGAAACATCAAGGACTTCCTCAAAAGCGGCATCCGGGGCGACCTCGTAGAAACAAGAAAGCAACTCGGCAACGGCTTCCTGCTGTTGCAAATCTTCCTTGGAGGTTCTCTTGTAAAGCTGGATGACATCCTTCACGACGGGGCACCGACGGGAGAATTCAGCGACCAATTTTCCCGCGGCCTGTTTCCAAAGCGGCTGGCTAATTCCGTGGTCGGAATTGAAGATTTGCAGGACCTTTTGTAGCTTCTTGAAGGAGATCGTGATGAGACGAACGGCAAAGAGAGTGACGATCTCCGTGTTCAGGTTCAGGCACCGAGTCAAAACCTTCTGATTCAGTGGGCGTGGTAGAATATTTTCGATCACGACCGAGGGCGGCGGAGGCATCGGAGGCAGTTTGTCTTTCCATCCGCAGTTCCTCGGAACCGGTAGACTCACCGTCGAGAACAAAAGGGCAGATTCGGCCAGCCATGATGGCACGGGCTTCGGGTCCGATACGAACATGATTTTCTTGCTAAAGAAATCAGCCACCAACTCGGGCGCGGCCTTGAAGATCGCCACAAGCAACTCAATCTGAAGACTGTCCGTATCCGGGCGAAGTGCTTGAATTATATAAGAGAGCACTCCGTTGCGAACTGACACAGACTCTCGGTATTTGTCAACGTAGACTGCAGAATCGAGTCCCAATTCAATCGACGCGTCGTTATCCGCAGGCAAGGATTCAGGGTCGCTACCATTAGGGTACCAGCCTGTTTGCGGTAGCAACACGCCGAGTTCAGTCTTGGTACAGATATTCATCAAGATCTTGTGAATCTCGTTCGCGACAGAGAACCCGGTGGGGTTGGGATCCTCTGACTCTCGATCGTAACCATACAAAGTCACCAGTCGCTCCAGGTTCCAACGGCTGAAGAACAGCTTCTTGGAGTTCCGGGGAAGCGAAGCATCCTGAATGATATCGCGATCAACACCCTTGATAACGTCGATGACAATATCTCGCGGGTCCTTTCGGATGTACTCAAAGAATGCTCTCATGAGTTTGCTTTGCTCGATGATATCGCTTTTAGCGGTCGTGTGCTGGACTCGCAAGTTTGCCAAAACAAATCTTTGAGCATTGCGACGCAAAGTCGACTTCTGCGCTTCCTCGGAGGCCTCTTCCAGTTGAGCTTTATTCGGGGTCAAGAACACCTCGAGACGCTTGAAAGTGATATAGCGCGCCCCGTAGACTTGACGGGCAACGGCACCCCCATCGAAGCTGACCACCTCGGTGAGAAGACGCAGGCACGGAGAGATCAAATGCTCTTTCGACTTCGTGGCGGTCAGTCCACGGTTGAAAAGCCTTAGCTGCTCCTTTTGCATCAAAAATTTACACAATGCCGTTCCGAATTCTCGGAAGTCCAGGTTACTAGAAATCGTCTTGATAAAGAGCGCCAGCACAGAGGGGACCATCGTCAACATGGAGTCATTATTGTTAGTATCCGCGAAGCCCCAGGCCTGAATCAGGTCAGGGAAGCAAGACGCTTCCTCGCCATTGTAGGAGATCTGCGAATCACAATAGGCTTTGAGCACGCGGAATTTTTTAGCTTTCTCGCCCTCATTCTCCGTCTGCGGAATGGACAGCAAGTATTCCTTGAACTTTCTTAGGCCTAGTATAATTTGTAAATATTATTCGTTCCTAACGCATGAATGCAGGGTTCTTCTGCCTACCTTGTTTGGTCTCTTGGATGTTTTGCTGAAAAGTCAGAATAGCACGGAGTTGCGTGTGAGACGTGATGTCGGACTGGACGGTGGACTCCTCGCCGGAGTCTAATTTCCTCCGTTTCGTCCGGGGGAATTGATTGTCCGCGTGTGACATGTTGGCGCAATAGTTAGGATGGGGATCTTTGAGCAAGAGAAAAAAGATGAAGGATGCATGAATGGATTGATTAGGATTGATGACCTAAGGTTCTTTCCGGCAGATTTTTGCGGTCGCTGATTGGTCGGTGCGGCCCGCGCCAAAGCATCGCTGAAAGAGGAAATCGCCTCATGGACAGTGTTGTACCGGTATACTCCTAAGAAGTAAGAACTAGTGACTCTTTCAAAGCGATGTTTGTCTTCATCTATCGTATCTATTGCTCATTAAAATACATTTTATGTTTCGGAGATAAGAGACCAAAGCACCCGTCCAGTACCAGAACACTTCACACGGGGTATTCTTTTTAGAACTACAGTATATACCCAGACAGCAGATGCAAAATAAGATCTGTGGATGGAAAACAACAAAATAGTATCAACCCCACGTTCCTCCTCCGCCACCTCTTCCTTGGCGTCTCTGCGCAGACAACCGCCAATCGTCTTCCCCGGCGAAGCGATTATGCAAGGGTTGAATACGTTCGGCCTTCTTCCTCTTCGAAAGGCGGTCCGTGGGTGCTACCTTGAAGAAGGTCGGAGCCGCCTCGACCAGCCATTTCGGCTCAATGGACGTCGTGCAATGCATGTATTCCTTGGTCGTGAGCACAAGAGTATGGTAGATGACATGCTCGGACGGTTTGCCGAACAAGGCAGAGCTGGGATGCATGTAGACCGGAGTGCCCTCGACCAACGTCTTGTATCCTTCCTGGGGATCCTTGCGCGCCGCATTTCTGAAGAACCCAGTACAAAGGGCCTGACGAACCTTGGTCGTGTTTCTTCCACACGAGACGATCCGATGGTGATATCGGTCCATGATGCCCATGAGCTGCTGCCGAACATCCTGCGCTCGGCGAATCTGGCGCGCCTGAATGAAATTTTCGAAACACCAAGCATTGTTGAACTTGGAGTTCTTCCACCCATTCCATACATTGAGCAACGTTAGATGGTCGCCGTGAGGGTCATGGAACTTGGACTTCTTCTGGTCCGCCTGATGCTGCTTCTCCTTAGGGCGATAGAATACCGATTGTATAGACAGCATAGCGACAATGCTCAGCATTTCCTCGGAGCATCCCATATCAACCGACGCTATAAGCACCTTGGCGAGGGCAGGCTCCATGGGGAAATCGGCCATCTTTCTACCCAACCGGGTGAGAAGACCTTCATCATCCAGTGCTGACAAAGCATAGAGCTCTTCCAGCGCAGTAAGCATGGTGTTAGTTGGAGGCGGGTCCATGAAGTCGAAGTGCAGCAGGTCATTGATACCCATGGCCTTAAGCATGAGAATCGTGTGCGAGAGGTTCTGACGCTGGATCTCAGGAATTGTAGTTGGCAACATTTCCGACTGGTATGCGGCTTCGGTATACAAGCGGAAACATTTGCCAGGTCCGGTTCTTCCGGCACGACCAGACCTTTGTTTGGCTTGTGCCTGAGACACCGGGGTAACAACCAACGAATCCATGCCAAGCTTGGGATCGTACGCGTTCTGCTTGACGAAACCAGGATCAATGACGTAGTAGATATTGTCGATCGTGATGGATGTCTCCGCAATGTTCGTTGCAATGATAACCTTTCGGCCGCCATCCGGAGCAGGCTCGAAAATTCTGCTCTGCATTTCACTAGGAAGGGCAGAGTAGACAGGGAGAATAACCAATTCCGGGACGGTTGACCCCAGTGCTTTCATGCGCTCGTAGAGAATCTCACAGGCAGTATCAATTTCTTCTTGACCTGTCAGGAAGACGAGGATGTCACCCGACGGCTCGGTCAGATGAATTTGCATAACGGTAATGAGTGCCGCATCCAGATAATCAGATTCCGGCTCTTTGGAGTACATGATTTCGACAGGGTAAGTTCGGCCAGGAATCGAGAAAATTGGACATCCGTTGAAGTACTCTGAGAATTTCTCAGCGTCAAGAGTGGCCGATGTAACGATCAGCCTAAGGTCAGGTCGTCGCTTTATCGTTTTCTTGAGCAGACCAAAAAGTACGTCAGTAGCAATTGTTCGCTCGTGGGCCTCGTCAAGCATGATCACAGAATATTTTTTCAAATCCGGATCAAGTAAGACTTCTCTTTGGAGCATTCCGTCGGTCATATACTTGATCTTCGTGTCCGGACTGGTACAGTCTTCGAACCGAATTGTATAGCCAACTTCTGCACCGAGTCTACAGCCGACTTCTTCAGCCACACGCTTCGCAACCGACATTGCGGCCACGCGTCGGGGCTGGGTACATCCGATGATGCCGTTATTTCCGTATCCAGCCTCGGCCAAGAATTGCGTCAATTGTGTCGTTTTACCGGATCCAGTATCTCCAACCACAATCATGAGTTGGTTGTCACGAACAGCGTCGAGAAGCTGGTTGCGGAATTTATAGACGGGAAGACTCTCCCTCTGCTGCTTGATCGACATAGTAGTCCGTTTGCCCAGAGACTGGTTTTTGCCCATTGTGACTCGCTTCCATTCGGGCACCGTCTCGTCGGGCTTGGCTTGTTGGGTGGTTCGAAGATCCGCTGCGAATTTCCGCTCTTCGGGGGCAACCATAGGATCTTGCCATTGGGCATTAAGATCGACCTCTGCAGCTCGCTCGGCGGCCTTATCCTGTGCTTCTTGCTGGCGTAGCTCTCTTCGATCTTTAGCCAGCCCGGTTCCTGCCATGGCTGCACGATTCAGAGAGCCATCAGGAGCCTTGACAACCCTGATGGGCGATAGTTCTAGAGACATCTTAGTCTGTCCAGCCAAGAATGGCGGCTCTTCGTCTTTAACTTCAATGTCAACATCTTCTTCCTCCTCAAATGTGCCCTCGCCTGTCAAGGTAGCATGATACTCTTCATCGATATCGGGATAGTCGGCCGCCGAGACAGCCCCGGACGCAATCAACTGCTTGATTTCCCATCTCTCTGGCGAAGTCATGCGCTTTCGATTCTTTATAGGTCTTCCGTCTGCTTCTTCCACAATGGGCACATCGGAACTCAGGTTTCCATATCGGTCCTTACCGGAAACTCCATCGAGACGCTCCATATTGGCACCAGACGCAAGACGGCGTTGCGGGATGAGATCAAGCCCCGTCATTTGGTCAACCTCTTTCATCGACAGTCCGATGCGCGATCCTTGTATACTGACGACTTTGACTTTAACCGGCTGGCCTCGTGAAACCAAGTCCGAGGGATGGTTGACGCGAGCCCCTTCCTGCATCGCAGAAATGTGTACTAGACCGTCGACCTTGCCTTGAACACCTTGCAAGTTCACAAAGGCACCAAAGTCCTTTACCCCTGTAACGCGCCCATCATAAACCTTGTACAATATCGGCTGGTCGTCTAACTCGACTGGTGGTGGTCTGCGGAAGTCATCATCATTTTCGCGATCGCGTCTCTTCCGTCGCTCGCTGCGGCCGTTGCGATATTCTTCATCCTTGCTGCTGTATTTCCTAGTCGAGCGGCCAAACTCATCCACATCGTCGTCTCTCTTCCGATATCGTGGGCTATGAGACCTCGATCGTGAGCGGTATTTATCGTTGCGACGGCGTCCGCGATCGTAATCATCGTAGTCGGGGCTCCTGCTTCGCTTCCTGCTGCTCCGATCCTCTCTCGTCGTGCGACCCTTCTCTTCTCGGGCCTTTCCCGCTAACCCCTCCAGCATCGCAAATGTATCATCCATCGCATCAGCCTTCGCGTCGCCTTCGTCCGCATCTTTGTGAGGAGCGTAGTCCTCCTCGTCCCACTGCTGCACCTTATCAGGGACAGCCAGGCCCTTGAAGACACGAGCCTTCTTTTCCAAAGCGTTCAGCATATCCATGTCGTCGTCGCCGTCTGCCGCTTTCGTTTCCGCCTTGTGTGTCTTGTACTTGGGATGCATCGTCAGCACCAAGCGATCGATACTCTCCAGTAGAGATTCCGGAAACTCGGCTCCCATTTCCTCCATCGTCTTCTTGAACCCGCCGAACGAATCGCATTTCAGATGTTGGTCTATCACGAACTCCGCCAACGTCTTGTCATTAATACCCAGATGGTTTTGAATCTCGCCGGTGATTCGCGACACGAGCGAAAAGAGCTCGAGCGACTGGAGGTCATCCATGGTCGGCGGATGGGGTAATGAGAACAAGCTAGAAAAGGCGTGTGGTAATCATAAAACAAAATCAAGTCAATGGAAGGTCACTTTCATTTGCGAGGGAGTGCGAAGCCCCTCTCTGGCCTGGGAGTTGCGGATTGCGACGCCTGCAATTCCGAAGCCGAGAAAGCTCCCGGTGCGGAAAATCGTTGTGGCGCCGCCCCGATAATGACGGACTTTTGGAACTATAAGAATCGACCTCTCGCTGTCTTTCTTCCACCTGCTATAAGGAACTGGGCTGAAGCCCAGGGATGCTATTAATGCAACTACTTTGGTATCATACCGACTGTTTGTCAGTTTTGGAACCCGGGGAATACATTCGCAGTTTTGGATGAGCAACTTAAACTATATATCTATAACTGCGGAGATTTCGCAGAACACAGTCAAAGATGAATAGACCTAAGAACCAACTTGTTACTGCAACCATAATTGGCGGAGACTTGTCAGTAATTGAAACCCATTATTCATCTTATATAAAAAGCACATTCAAGTACTGTAATCTCTGGTCATAGTGTGACGATTATCAATGTTCCTGTTTGAATGCCTGAGGCAACATGCCAAGCCTTCGCATTTCTCGCCGTTTCGCCTCCGGTCTACATTTCTCTACATTTCTTCGTCTCTTGCTCTCTCTCCCATCTTCGCTCCCATGTCCCTTTAGCTCTCGGGCTCCCATTCGCGCTTTTGATTGTACAGTGGGCGCATGCCATTTCTCTCGCTTATTCCTAATTTTTGATCTGCAGAAATCTTGATTCGTTGTTCTAAGCCGGTGCAATAATTTCCTTGCCTTCGACTCAATTATTCGCCTCCCCCAATCCCCTCGCCCAGTCGAGACATGCAGCAGGCATGGACGACTAGAGGCAAATCCTGCCTTTGGTGTACTTACCAGGCACTATTACGTCCTGCGACAAGAAATTTCACGACCACTTCAGCACTGCACCGAGCCAAAAGTTCGTCAAAGAAGAAATCGGAACAGAAACAGAAACAAACCGAAGTGAGTTTGCCATGCTACCGGCCGTTCGCCATGACTTTGCTAATCGATGTTCTCTGCAAGGAATCTTCTTCACATCGCTCTCTTAAGAAAACCCTCGAAGACCTCCGTAAACAACCTCAGAGAAGATGCCAGAGGGAATCGATAACGGTCAATGATTTCGCCGGGATCGTCGAAGCCCTCCTTCTTGAACACCGGCAAGGTCTTTCCAACAAATCAATTGCTTCATCGAAGGAATGGAAGGATTTCGAACGATTTGTGTTGAATGCGTGCAAGATTGAAACCAGGGGCACGAACATCCCAAACAGCCCTTTGCGACAACTGAAGATCGCACTGCAGAGAGCCTATATCAGAGATGGGACCCAAGGATTAAGGACTGAGCTGGGATATCTCCTCTACGCCCAGAGCCTCACTATCAAGTATTCCGCGCCAAACCTGAAACACCAGAAGGAAGTGACCGACCTCAGCTACCCGGCGGAATGGTACCCACAGGCACGGTCCGTCCAACGAACGATACATCTACATGTTGGGCCAACGAACTCGGGGAAAACGTACGCTGCGCTTAAGCGACTTCAGAACAGCAAGAAAGGCTTCTATGCCGGTCCGTTAAGGCTACTCGCGCAGGAAGTGTACCATCGGTTCACAGCCGACGGAACCCCATGTAGTCTTGTCACCGGGGATGAAGTCAAGATCCCCGAAGACCAGTTGCCATCCATAATGAGCAATACGGTGGAGATGGTCGATCTATCAGAGCGTTTTGATGTTGGTGTCATTGATGAGATCCAAATGTTGGCAGACCCCTCGCGTGGATGGGCTTGGACTCGTGCCCTTTTGGGTGCGCGTGTCACCGAATTGCACCTCTGTGGTGAGACCAGAACTGTGCCTTTGATTCGTAACATCGCTGCGCTTACGGGGGACAAGCTTGAGATTCACCATTATGAGCGTTTGAATGCCCTCAAAGTTGCAAATAAGAGCCTTGAGGGCAACCTCAAGAACCTTGAGAAGGGTGACTGCATTGTGGCATTTTCTCGACTTGGGATCCACGCTTTGAAAACAGACATCGAAAAGGTCACTGGGCGACGAGCGGCGATTGTTTACGGTAGCTTGCCTGCTGAAATCCGTACTCAGCAAGCCGGCCTATTCAACGACCCTGACAATGACTACGACTTCTTGGTTGCCAGTGATGCTATTGGCATGGGTCTGAACTTGAGCTGCAAACGCATTATCTTCGAGACTTTGGTGAAAAGGGTACCGGGCGGCCTTCAGAGGCTTTCTGTGCCGGAAATCAAACAGATTGGCGGGCGAGCGGGTCGCTATCGATCAGCCGGGCAACGAGAAGGGAATGAAAATGATGGACAAAACGTGGGCTGGGTAACGTCTCTGGAAGAGGTAGACCTGCCTTACATCCGAAAGGCAATGGTTACCGAACCCCCTCCCATTAGTGCCGCGGGCATCATTCCTCCGGATTCTGTGTTCCAAAAACTGGGCGCCTACTTCCCACCAGGTGTACCTTTGGAATACATCATCAAGCGCACCTTTGAACTCTCTCAGGTCGGCTCTTTGTTCTTCCGTTGCGATCCCAGGAGTCAGGTCGAAAATACCGAGATCACCGATGCAGTCCCTGGATTACGATTGGAAGACCAATTGACGTTCATGGCGGCACCTTTGTACACCCAAGGGCAAGCAGCGAAGGACGTTTCGCGTGCGCTTGCCGAGTGCGTTGCGCAGAACACAGCAGGTAACTTGTTGGATATTCCGGAGCTCAACCTGGAAATCCTAGAGGAGCCAGTGTCCGCTAGCAAGGAATACCTGCACCAGTTGGAAGGTCTCCACAAAGCCCTCATCTCGTATCTATGGCTCAGTTTTAGATTTGGCGGTGTCTTCACTGATCGCACCCTCGCCACTCATGTGAAAGGATTGGTGGAAGAGAGGATGATCAGGGCTCTGACCGAATTCTCTGCCAACAAGAAGATCAGAAAAGACGAGTCTCTCCGACGACAGATTGCTCTGCAGAAACAAATCGCGGAGCGCCAGCGGCTATTCGCCGATTTGGATTACCAGTCCATGGATGGAGAGCAACAATCGCCTCCGGTTGATCTCACTGCGGATGATATTTCTTCGGCGGAAACTCCTGAGACCAATTCCATGTAAAGGAGGGGATGTCAAGATGATGCTGAATTGCATGAAAAAATGATGTCAACCCATGTGAATATAATACGTGAAATGCTTGTATATTAGTTATTGGGCAAAAGGATCTGAAGTTCGCTGCTCGATTGTATAATAAGGAGATCTATGCTAGTTAACTTACTGGTTGATTAGATAAAACAAGGCAGAAGAGCCACTGGCCACACACCGCCTTCATACTGCCGATCCATCGGGGATGATGCATGGTGGGGACTTGGAGGAGGGTCTCGCTGCTATTGAAACGTTTCAAAAAGACAAGCTGGACGAGCAAGACCTCCCCCGCCCCTGATCGCAATTTATTCCCAGTCGCCTGTGCCGTACCGTCTCCTCTATAATTTAATCCCGCCCTGTCGCTCTCGACTCGCAGCTTCGCCGATTCCAAGGTGTTTTTCCATCCTATCGATGCACCGCTGAGGGCTGCCGGCCAGCCAAGATGAGCACCTCCATACTCAATATCCAGCATGATAGTGAGTGATCGCAATCGGCTCTCTCTTGAGAGCTTCCCCGCCGAGCTATCCTACATGCTAATCACCGCGTGCCACCTTCTAGTCATCCTTAATACGATCCGTTATACCGCGGGTGATGAGGTATGATCGGCCTTTCGCTTACCGTGAATCGATGACGGAACTGACGAGGAGGGGCTTTTTAGTGGAAAGTGTTGGTTGTGGATGAGACCAGTCGAAAATTAATCCTCAATGCCGTGAGCGAGGATGACATCCTCAACCTCAACGTCACCAGTACGTCCTTGTGTGCTTCGAAAAGGGAGGAATTATATTAGCTGAATTGTCGTCTTCGCAAGATGTCGAACAGATCGAAGATAGGCGGTCGCCCAATCCGGGAATGGACGCGCTCTACATCCTGTCGCCGCAAACGCATATCGTGGATTGCCTGATGGCCGACTTCGAACGAAAGAGATACAGGAAGGCATGGTTGGTCTGGACAGCAGGTTGGTCACCTCTTGCGTTCCCCGGTCGCAATCGGCCCTAATCTCGCCAATAGTGCTGGATCCGCAGCAGCGCGTGCGGCTTGAACGATCCCAGATGGCCCAAGATCAGATCGCCAGTTTCCGTGTGATGAATGCCGACTACTTCCCACGGGAATCGCGCGTCGTCACTTTTCGAGACCCCTGGAGTTTCCCCGTGTTGTTCCACCCGGGATGTAACCATCTGATCAAAGGGCATCTGGAGACATTGGCACAGAAGGTGAGATCCAACAATGCGAGAATGGAGGAACCTTGACTGACCAAGATTCGAGGCCGTCTCGATCTGTGTGAGTCTAGGAGAGTATCCAACGATCCGATACTACCGCCCCAGGACCCCTACCCACGAGGCCAGTGTCCTGTGCTCGCACTTGGCCCGGTTCATCCAAAACGAATTAGATCAATATGCGCATTTCCAGCGCGACTTTCCTCCTCCATCCCAGAGACCTCGAGGTGTTCTCCTGGTGGTAGATCGATCCATGGATCTTGTCGCGCCCCTGGTCCATGAGTTTACGTACCAATCCATGGTGCACGATCTGCTACCGATCAAAGACGGCGACAAGGTTACCTATAAAACTATTGTCAACGAAGGAAATCGCAATGAGGAGGTGAAGGAAATGGAAATAAGCGACCAGGACAACGTCTGGGTCGACTACCGACATCTTCACATGAAAGATGTTCTTGAGAAGCTAGGTGATGACTTCGCAAAGTTCAGGGCTGCGAATCCTCAATTCGCAGAGGAGTAAGTGCAACCCTTCTTTCTCACTTTCTTCTTCCAATGTACTAGTGATTCTGGAGGAAAGGAAAGATTGTCGCTGACAGGGTCGCAGGAACGAAGCCAACGTTAACACAATTAAAACCATGCTGGCTGGTCTCACCGAATTCCAGCAGGGCAGAGATGCATACACCCTGCACTTGAACATGGCGCAAGAATGCATGAAGCTTTTCCAGGAGCACAAACTCCTTGAAGTGAGCTCAGTGGAGCAATGCTTGACTACGGGCCTGGACGAGAACTACAAAAAGGCCAAGGGACTCGGTGCACAATTGGTTCAATTGTTGGATGATGACACAGTCGGACAGACGGACAGACTGAGGCTTTTGCTTCTTTACATCATGTATAGAGGCGGTATCCTCGGTGGAGATATCAGAAAACTTTTGGCCCACGGTCAACTTCCGCCGCAGGACGGACAAGTTATCTACAACCTGGATCTCCTGGGAGCCAGAGCAGAGAAGCCCCTAAAAGACGAGAAGCCGCCCGTCCAACCGCTTTTCGCCAGAAAACCCCCGTCCCCTGCCGAAGCCGACGAGACCAGCTTGTCTCGGTATGAGTTGAATGTGAAATTAATGCTCGAGGATCTCATCCGCGGAACCCTGGACCCAACCGTGTTCCCATTTACTCGGCCGCAAACGGATGCCGATGGAATGGCACAGCAACAAGACAGCCTTGCGCAGGCGTCTCTACGAAGTGCCAAACCGACCTGGGCCCGAACTCGCTCGGCAGCAGAGCAACCCAAGCAGCGCATCATCGTCTTCATGGCGGGCGGTGCCACCTATGGAGAGACTCGCACCTGCTATGAAGTCTCGCAAACCTTTGGCAAGGATGTCTTCATGGCTACCTCCCACTTGCTAAGCCCCAGCCTATTTTTGCGACAACTCGGGGACCTCAGCACTGACAGAAGACGTTTGGATATTCCGGCCGAGCGCCCCAAACCCACCGCGCCGGCGCATCTATTCGAGAGAGAACCGCCACCACCGCAACCCGCGCCCAAGAAACCTCCCCCAATGCCGAATCTCAATCCTCCGGTGCCTCCCTCGCAGGCCATGGGCGCAATGTCGTTGGGACCAAACGCTCCCAAACCTGCCAACGGCACGGCCACCGCTGGCACTCCTCCGCCCGGCTCGAAGCCCCCGAAGGAAAAGAAGGAGAAGAAGCGGCATCATTTCTTCAGGTAGATTCTCTGCTCAACGACTTCCGTGTCAGTTTGAGCTGGCAATACCTTGTTTAGTCCGCAGTCATGAACACACGCGATCTGCAGACGCCCCTACTGTTTAATTATAGCAATGCTGTGATACCATCTTTTTCTCTCCCTTATTCCCACCTCCCCCTTTCTGTATGTCATGTGCACCCGTGGCGCCGTGGCACCATTTCGACTCGATGAATGGTCTCTTCTCTTGCATCATCTGACGTTCTTTTGTGGCATATTCTCCCATAATCAATTGTATGTAGCTCAGTTCAGACATGTATCCGTCACTTGCCAACCGCCCACATCTTCACCATAATGCCTAGATAGAAAATAAAACCCAGGGGTATCACACGCTATTGAACGCCAAATAAATCATTCCAATCCATGTGTTCTCATTGTACTTTTCTCTCTTTTTCTTTCTTACGCCCGCTACCTACCCCCCTCCACTGAGGTACTTCTGCACGTCATCATTCTGGTAAAACATGTCTCGCAGTCGATCTCCTCGTTTTTTCGCGTCCGCATGTCCCTTCCGCACCTGTTTCGCATTCAACTTCTCGACCCTCGCCGCTGGCGCTCGACTCTTCGGTTTCGGTTTCTTGTCTTTCTCTTCAGGATCCCCCTCCGCGCCCAATCCCACCGTATCGATCTTCAACTTCCCCTTCAACGGCTCTCGAATCCCCTCTCGACCCGGCGCTCCAAGTCCCCTTCGACTATCGGGATCCCATCCATATGCTGAGAGATAGCGCAGGCCGTGCCGGGAGCGGTCGAGATGCGAGGGAGGGTGCGAGTGCGTTAGACACACCTGATGCGCGAGGGAGGCTTCGTGCGGTCGGTTCTCTGTGGTACTCGAAGATTCATCCGTGTTTTCGGCCAGGGGCAGCTGGCAGATTTCGCAGCGCGCGGTGGGGGAATCGTGAGAATGGGATGATGCGGATGGGGATGGAGGAGCGGATTGTGTGGCGTTCGAATCAGAGGTGGACGGAGGAGGAGTGGACGTGTTTGGCGTGATGGATTTTGAGGACTGGTTCTTGGATAGCACGATAGAGAGGTATTTGTTTGCGATGGAAGGCCCTGTCTGCGTTGAGGGTGCCGGCGCAGACGATGTCCGGGTCGTGTTGAGTTCGTGGTCGGAGGAGCGTACAAAGTTCACGCGTTTGCGACTGATGCCGGCGCCGAAGACTCGTTGATCTTCGAGGGGGAGGAAGTAATCCTCCTCGTCGTCGAGGGACATGGCTGTTCGTAAGGGGAGAGAGGTGGGTTGAATGAATCCTTTTTTGCCCATGGCGGGAGATGCATCAGACTGTCGGAGGCGGGAGATCGGCCGCTAAACCTTCTGAACGGCACTCTCTCTGCCTGTGTCTGTCCTCTTCCTCCCTTCTCTACTCCTCCGTCTTCTACTCTTCTCTCTCCCCCTCTCCCCTATTTCTTCTTGTCCTATCTCTCCGCCATAATGCCCATCCCCATAATCACAAAGGGGATCACGGAGGGCATCTCATCCATTCCCTACGCCTACAGCATCCTCAAGCTGATACCATGGGTTCTCGTCGTCGCCTTGCTGAAATACTACTTCGGCGGAGCGCGAAACAGCTCCGAGCGACTGATGCATTCTAAAGTCGTGATGGTGACGGTATACCACACCCTTCCTATTCCTATCTCTCTTCCATCCATGCCCCAACCCAACTAATTCGCGAATCAATCTCCCAGGGCGGAACTTCCGGTATAGGAGCCAGCGTCGTACACGAGCTCGCCACGCGCGGCGCCCAAGTCGTCCTCCTCACGCAACACGCCCCCTCCGATATCTTCCTAGTCGAATACATCGATGACCTACGCCGGACCACCGGCAACCAGCTCATCTACGCCGAACAAGTCGATCTCTCGTCCCTGCACTCAATCCGGACCTTCGCTACGAAATGGATCGACAACGTCCCCGCCCGCCGTCTCGATATGGTCATTCTCTGCGCCAACACGGCCAGCCCCTCGTCCAGCTCCCGGCGAGACACAATGGACGGTCTAGATGAGGAATGGCAGGTCAACTATCTCTCCAACTTCCACCTCCTAAGCATCCTCAGCCCGGCATTGCGCGCTCAGCCAGCCCACCGCGACGTCCGAGTCATCTTCACGACCTGCTCCAGCTACATCGGAGCGACGATCGACTTGAAACAAACCGACACGGCAGCATTATCATCAGCCACCGAGGCCGCCGCATCCTCTCGAACATCCACAAAATCAAACAAACCCAACAAACTACCGAAAAAGACCTCCAGCACCGCCGCCGCCGCAGCAAAGAAGGTCAAAAAACCCAGCCTCTTCGCCGCCAGCAAACTCTCCCTCATGATCTTCGCCCACTCCTTCCAACAACACCTCAACGCCTTCAAACGCCCTGACAACCAACCGCCCTGCACGCGCGTCGTGATCGTCGACCCAGGCTTCAGTCGCACCCCGGGCATGCGGCGCTGGCTGACAGGGGGCTCGTTGCTCGGCCTCCTCGTGTACCTGATCACTTGGCCGTTCTGGTGGCTGGTGCTGAAGTCGCCGCAGCAGGGCGCACAGAGTATCTTGTACGCGGCCATGGAGCAGCAATACGGTCGGGGGAGCGGCGGGTGGATGGTCAAGGAGTGTCGGGAGGTGGATTTCTCGCGTAACGAGGTGCGCGACGAGCAGGTCGCCAAGCAACTGTGGGAGTTCAGTGAGAAGCAGATCGAGGCGAAGGAGAAGGAGGGAGCCGTGAAACGGGCGTTGGCGCAGAAGGAGTCCGAGCAGCAGCAGCAGCAGCAGGAAAGCGCGATGAATAATGCTACGAGCAAGGGAGAGAAGGAGCCTACTCCGGGATCGAGGCGGAGTCGCAAGGGAAAGGAGAATAAATAAGTGATTAAATCCCTCGAAGACAACGGCATCTTCTCAATTTTGTTGAATATAGAATTTATAGAGGTTACGAACCAACCAGGAAATAATTACAAAAGGCGTTTATCGGAAGGACTTACTGCCCAAACACGGAATGAAGAGGGAAAAAAAGGAAATTCGTCTCTTTCAATCTACTAAATCTCTCGTGTCTATGTCCATGCGATTATTTCTTTCCGCTCCTCTGCTCCCTGCAGAAGCAAGCGGTCCATCTCTCCGAATCTATTTCTTGAGCTGGTCCAGCAGCTCAGCGGGGGGCTGTTGACGGTAACCCTGGGGGTTGTTACGGGTCCAGAGCCAGAGGTCCTCGCAAGCCTGCTCGAGGGTGCGCTCGGCCTTCCAGCCGAGCTCGGTGTTGGCGCGGGTGGGGTTGGCCGTTAGGTTGAGCACGTCTCCGGCGCGGCGGGGAGCAACCTCGTAGGGGAGGTCACGGCCGACAGCGGCGGAGAAGGCACGGATCATCTCGTAGACGGTGCTGCCCTTACCGGTACCCAGGTTCCAGGCACGGACACCGGGGTTGTTGGAGCGCAGGTAGTTCAGGGCCTTCAGGTGACCGTCGGCAAGATCCAGAATGTGGATGTAGTCACGGATGGCGGTACCGTCGTGCGAGCCGTAGTCTGTAGATTAGGGGTCAGTCATGATACTTCTGCATGGATAAGTAGGAACAGGGTCGGGATCTCACCGTCTCCGAAGACGAGCAGCTTCTCGCGCTTGCCGGTAGCGACCTGAGCCAGCAGGGGCAGCAGGTTGTAGGGGACACCCTGGGGGTCCTCACCCATGATACCGGAGGGGTGAGCACCGGCGGGGTTGAAGTAACGAAGCAGAGCACCGTTCCACTTCTTGGCCTCGGCCTCGTTACCGGCCTTGAGGGCGTTGTTGCGCTGAGCGTTGATCACGTCGGTGATGGCGTTCTCGACGGCGAACTTGGTGTTTCCGTAGGGGTTGGTGGGGCCCAGAGGGCAGTGCTCGGGGATGGGGATCATGTCGGGGAAGCGAGTGGCATCGCCGTAGACGGTGGCGGAGCTGGAGAAAACAATGTTGTTGACATTGTGGCGGACCATGGAGCGGAGCAGGCAGATGGTGCCGTAGACGTTGACGTGGTAGTAGTCCAGAGGCTTCTCACCGGACTCACCGACGGCCTGGGGGAATTCGCAAACATGTGAGCAAATTGAGAGGCATTGCGAGATCGGGATCAATGGAAAGATAGGGAATGTACCTTCAGAGCAGCGAAGTGGATGACGCTGTCGATGTCGGGGTGGGCCTCAAAGACCTTGTCGAAAGCGGCCTCGTCGGTGACATCGAGGTGGGCGAACTCGGCCTTCTTGCCGGAGATCAACTCAATGCGCTTCAGAGCCTCGTCGGAGGAGTTGTAGAGGTTGTCAGCGACGACGACCTTGTAACCGGCCTCGAGTAGAGCAAGGGTGGTGAACGAGCCAATGTAGCCCGTGCCACTAGAGGATTGCGGGGTTAATTTTGGGAGGTATGTTCTATGGAGAGAAAGACAGAGAAAGAGTGAAGAAACAGAAGGGACCGATGCTTACCCAGCGACGAGAACTGAACCAGCAGACATTATGACGGAAGCGATTGAAGGGAAATCGGTGAAGAGAGGGAGAAAGAGAGAGAAAAGGCTTGGGAGGAGATGAAGCAAAAGCAGGAAGAGGCGGGATATTTAAGGGGAGGAGGGAGGGGCCCGTTTGCGTACCGTACTCAGTACGCGCGGGCGGTAATTTACGGCCTTCCCCTCCGTCTCTCTTCTCCCACTTCCTCTTTGTACTACCTACTCCTACCACTACAACTCCCTCCCTCGAAGCATCCCCATGATAGGCCCTTCATCTATCAATTTCATCTCTTCGTCTCTTCCATATATCAATTGTCTTGCTCGATCACCACCCAAATGGCCAATAGCCCCTCTCCCATTCACTCTGCATCTCCCCCCTGGTCGGTTGCGATCGTCGGTACAGGCCGAAAAGGCAACGTCAACCGGCGGGACGATCATCCCTTCATTTAATGGCTTAATGCGCGTTTCTGCATCGGGTGTCAGATATCTGCCAGGCACCTTTTGTCTTGCTGTACGGAATAGATATCGAACGCGTGGTCGGCTTCCCGTCATGCCATGCATTACTCCGTAAAGACTCCGGCTGAAAACGGGTCGGGCTCTCGGCGTTGCCTGGGAGTCTGGAGAAAATTACTCCGTACTGGCGAAAGCTGTGCCTCGCCCTCTCCAGTCTCCAGACTCTCCATCCCACCGGGCAATGGGATTGTTCCGAGCGAAGTCCGCAGCAAATGGTCTCACTTGTTCTCCCAATCGTCGTCATCATCTCGGCGGGTCGAGGGCTCCACCTGAGTTAGTGGGCTCACTATTCCCAAGAAAACGGACCAAGGGTCCAGCCGGCGGAGCCAGTCAAGTTTTCTGCTTCTGGCCTCGTTCGCTTCGACTGTCATGCGTTCTCTGGATCGTGTGGTTTGGTTCACAGCATGTTCGGATTGGCCTTTGGGTCAGGAACGTGTTCGGTTTTATTCTTAGACTGCGGGACCAACGGTCTGCTCCGGGACCGAATTTAACTGTCGGTTATTATTCCGGACGGTGTAACTCGAGAATGAGTCGGCTAATTGAGTTCTCTTCTCAATACAATCGACGTCATCAGGTCACCGTGGTGATCGTGAAACAAAGGCCAGTCTTCAGTTGTGCTCCGTACTACGTTCTGGACTAAGATACCGCAAAACCAGCGGTCTTGGCACTAGGGCTACTTCTAACAAGCTTCAGAACACATCCAGCCCTAGCGTGAAGGTGCCAAGTACAGAGTTCCTCGTGCTCCTTTGCGCATTAATGCCACATCGGGTGTAACAGGGTGGTCAAATAGGAGGAAGTCCACGGAGACAAGAACAAGAACCGCGATCTATGAACCAGTTCGCTAGTATCTATACCGAAACCCCGATGTCAAGGGAAGCATTTTTTTAGAAGTGGTGCGAACGAGGGTGCTTGCCCGACAATACACAAATATTGCTAAAACCGTATTAAAAAATCCATTGTCTAGGGGATACCCAAAATGGAGGAACCGGGGCAATCACATTGGTACCCACGGCATTCTTCAAAAATGATCTTAAGATATCTGGGAAGCTATCGAGGAAGCCGAGTGAGGAAATTTACGCCAATCCTAGACCGGTCTCAAGCACAAGAGGTCTTTTCAGAATTGGGTGGCAGCGAAGTGTACGATGCACTCTGTGAAGAATCAATCATGCTTATATATCTAGGGACGCACTTACTCATCGCTTGGCTTCTACATTTACTTCATCCGGGGTCATACTGATGTACCCGGTTTCTCTGGAAGGCATTGAGACTGATCTCCTTTCTGTTCTCTTTCACCTGGGTGGAGTGTCTGTTGAAAATTGTGCTTTATCCCGAAAATCCCAGTTGGAGATTTCTCCTACGTGGGATCGTATTGGGTTGATCACTTCGAAGGGGACTCGGGCGAATAGGGAGATCTGCCGACGAAGAACTCTGATTCCTCGATTGGACACATAGGCCGCGTCGGTCTAGAATTGCCCATGTCCAATGTTGCCACCTATCTTAATAGGATGGCATTCAGGGCGAAGATTTGAATGGCACCGCACATGCCATTGAATCTGTTGTGGTCGTGCAGTGACTCTGGTTGATCTTCCCTGGTCTACCAGTACTCTCCGGAACCCTATTCTTTATTCTTGGCCTGCTCGCATACAAGAATGCCATGACATCGCCGTGGAAGTCGTCTGTGACAGCGTACTTCTATCATGGCCTAGAAGACGTGGACCCGGGCGATTACACAACCATCGGTAAGATGGAAAGAAAAGCCGGGGACACCAATGTGCAACTCCTACCCTCCGACGAGGGCGGCGATCTGACACTGAAAGGGGAGGACGGCGGTACCAGCGTGGATTAAACATGAAAAGGCAAGTTAACTCATTTGTAGGATATAGACATTTACGACGTGGATATCTGGAACCATCATTGTCTTAATTTCGGGTCAAAGCACTTCTGTAACATATTTATTCCTAGGCGCTTCGCCCTACATAGAGAATCCAAATATTCCTATTTGATTAGCCCTTGTGAACAGCAGGGTTTACATTTGGGGGCTAACCAAAGACCTCCTTTCCATGATATCATGGCTTTCACATGAAAACCGAGTCCCCTTCACAACGTATACATACCATACAACCTCATCCACTAGATTCCAGAACCAAAAGACTCGCGAGTCATGGACATTCTCAATTGGTATGAATCCAAATCCTCCACTGCCCCAATTAGCCGCTCTCCCCCTGTTCATCCCAATTCCCCTGTCCGGACTAGATACTAGTAACCAATGACCACCCCACTCCAGCTATAATTAGCGTCACGGCTGCATCTCGCGCCGACAAAAGTCCCAAACCCCTGTAGAGAACTGAGAACCCCCTCTTTTCGTGATACCCACTGGTAAACACAGCCTCGAGGCTGTCGCCTACGGTGTATGTACGATGCCGCAGTTCATCTGCCTTAGCGTTATCGCATTCCTATTCCGAGGACTGTGGTAGGACTATGCAGTTCCCGGGTCGAGTAGGGATAATGTACAGCCACAGGCAACAGAAATGAATAGACCTCCTACTGTAACGGCTATAAAGTCTTGCATCTTCCCCTAGGTCTAATCGTTTATCTTATCTTAGCTCATCAATCAATCATCTATACCCCACCGAAACGAAACAAAACGAAACTAAACTAAAAACCCATCATCACCATCATGCTCTCCTACTACTACTACCACCACCACCACCACAACCACCATCACTATCACCATCACCACCATGACCCCATCGAATATTCTTCCCCATCCATACCCCCTCTCCCCGCGATCATCAACCTCGAACCGGATAGAGATGTACTCTGCGCCGGCATTGCTCCCTCAAAGGGCCGACGCTGTCACAACCGCACAAACGCCCCAAATCGCAGCACCGCTATGTCGCTTCTGTACGAAGGCACCAAGGACCTCCGAGCCGGTCGCCCCATCGACACCCTCCTGACAGAGCTCGGCCCGCTGGTCCTGTGCTGGCGTCATAAGGACCAAGCTTCGGGACTCACGAGGAATTGGATGGGACAAGTTCGCGCGTATCTGGACGAGCGGGTTGCGGCTTCTACACCTTACAGAGTCTCCACTCCTTCCGTTCTGTCAAGGAGGGATGTGGCACCAGCGAGGCAGGTGAGGTCAGCAGCACCAGTGAGGTCAACAAGGCCTGAGCCCCCAAGAGCTGCCCCGGAGTTCGCTGGGGTTGGCATGAGGCTTAACGACCTGGTCGCCCAGACCCGGCGCATCGAGGAGGATTTTATGCACCTATCAATCATCCCTGCGCGCTCGTCTCCTAGTCAGCGCGAGGATAGAAGGTCCAGCACAAGCGCAGTCGCCAGACCCAGTAGCGCGAGAAGCAGCACATCGAGAAACACTCGTACTCCTCCCGAAGAGCGCGTTGATGTCACAGCGAGAAGACACTCCACCGAATTTGCCAATCCGCCAACAATCGCAAGCACTGTACCTCGATCAACCCAGGCACAGACTCCTGTTCGTCAATCAAGGGCACCAGCTTCTTCTGTTTCAAGCCAGAGTCAGAGCCAGACCCCGGACTCAAGACCAGCGACCACGGACACTGTGGTTCGCGGCTCCAGCAGCGCCAGGGATCAGGACCGTCGGGATGCCATTTCGCAGGTCAGACGTCGCGAGGTGGAAGGAGAGTGTGGGATCTGTTTGTGCAGATTGCGTGTTGCACATCATGATGAGGAAGCGGATGAGGATGAGGAGAGCGAGCATAGTGGCGAAGAAGATCACGAGGATGATAATGATGATCAAGACGACGACGACGACGACGACGACGATGATGATGATGAACATCAAGATGATGAACTGGTTTGGTGCAGGGCTCGCTGTGGAGTCAACTTCCACAAACCATGCATCGATCAATGGCTGGCAGTTGCTGGCGCTCCCACGTGCCCAGCGTGCAGAAGTATTTGGAGACGCTGAATGATGAATGCGAGAGGTGTCTTTCTTTTTTCTAAGTTGCATTATATCCATTGGTTATGATTTGATGATTTGATCTTCAATGCTTAATTGGTTATTTGGTTGTTTTTCACAATATTTACCCGAGCCTTCCGTCTTCAGCTTCTCTCTTATCTTTGTTCAAATTCCTTGGGTCGGATGACCAGATGTAGACCTTAACACGTGAAAGACAGTAGCGTATGCAATGTATCATTATTCTTAATCTTATCTTAGGCATTAAACACTAACTCATCAGCCGCACAGTTAGGATGCAAAACATAAACCGTCCGCTGCAGCTGTTCTCCTTGGGCTTCGTCAGTTGCTGTGTCAACCAAACCCTCGCCTCGAATGGGCATCAGAACGTTATCCTGTAAGAGAAGAGTGGTTAGAAAAGGGTTTCAAACAGCTACTTAGGGATTTAATAGTGGGGAAACAAACCTTAACCATGCGCTTCAAGACCTTGGCCGTCAAAGCACGCTCCCGTTGCAGATCCTCTTCGCTGTTCAGCTCCGATTCAACCTGCTCGAGGTACCAGACAATCAGGTCCTCCTGCTCGACACCTTCGCCAGATGCCGACTCATCCTGGCTGAGACGCTGCACGATGAAGTTCATGATCTTCATGTACTTATCGAACGAGATCTTGGTCTTCTCGCGGGGCTGCTTCGGCTGCTCCTCCTCGGGCATATCCCGCATGGGGCTGTCGCCTTCGCCCGTCTCGCCCATCTCCTCGTCTTCTTCCCGGTGTTCTTCAGCGTTCTCCTCGTCGTCGACTTCGACGTCGTCTTTCTCGACGGTGACGATACTCTGCCGTAGGAGATCATAGGCCTCGCGGACAAAGCTAGGCACGATCTCTTCCACGCAGTTGGCCTTGGCAACCGCTTCGGAGAGACGGATCAGAGATTCAAGCTGTCGGACCGTGATGCGGTAAGACGAGCGGCCCATACCACCTTGAGCATCATTGGCACGGAGCTCCTTGTATTTCTCAACGAGCAGCGCCTTGGCCTCGTCGGTGAACACCGGTTTGAATGTGCGAGCGAAGCGGATATACCGTTGCAGCTGTTCGGTGCTCAATTCGGGCTCCACGGCCTCGTCGCGGTTCATGTGCACGTTGACAATGTGGTCCGCCAGGTTGCGATCCACCGTCTCGTTGGGTTCATCTCTGATCACGAAGAAGAGATCGAATCGACTCATGATGGGAGCACTGAAGTTGAGGTTGGCGCGCAAAGGCACCTTGGGGTTATACCGACCGCCAATCGGGTTGGCGGCGGCAAGAATCGATGCCCGCGCATTGAGGGTGGTGTGAATGCCGGCCTTGGCGATAGAGATGGTTTGCTGTTCCATGGCTTCGTGAATAGCCACCTGGTCACTGATATCCATTTTGTCGAACTCGTCAATCGCACAGATGCCGCCTCCGTTCTAAACAAGTTTATTAGTATCCCGGGTGAGTACAGCGAAGATGGCATATAACATACAGCAAGCATCAGAGCACCAGCTTCGATGGTGAATTCTCCGGTCTCGGCATCCTTGACAACAGAGGCAGTCAAACCAGCTGCCGACGAAGCTTTACCACTGGTGTAGACCGCACGAGGATGCAAGGAGCAGATATATCTAATGTTGTCAGCGCAAGGTCCCCGGATGATGCCGGTTGCAAAAATCAACTTACTTCAGGAATTGACTTTTGCTAGTCGACGGATCGCCAACGATACAGATGTTGATATCACCACGAAGCTGCATGCTTTCTTGCTGCGTGGTCTTGCTGACACCGCCGATCAGCTGAAGAAGCAAGCCCTTCTTGATTTGCCGGTGACCGTAAACCATAGGCGCAATGGAATCCACGAGACGGGAATAGATGTAGTCGGAATGCACCAGTTTCTTCATGTCCTCAACCTCCCAGGGAGTCAGGCTCTGAAGGAGCGCCTCTTGGGCCTTGTCCTCCGTCACATCATCGTCTGTGGGGTTCAAGGTGTTGAGAATATTTTGCGCCTGGCCGTTCGCCGACTGTGACCGCTGACCCGGGGTGGAAAGGTCGGGAATGACCATGCAAGACAGGAAGGCAAGTCGGTAGGTCAGATCTTTCGCGCCAAGAGCCTTGAGGCCTGTGACTCCGCCGCCTCCAACCTCACCCGAACGCTGACTGTCGTCGCGGACGGCCTCCGGACGCACTCCAGGAAGCCCCAATTGACTCACATCGGGAATGACGATCAAAGTACCGGTAAAGATGCACCGCTCACCAGCCCTGGCACGGTCAACCATCTCACCACGCAGGATCACATCCATGGTGCGGGGCATGCTGCCGGTGGGGATTTCATGGGACGATTCTTGCAATTTGACCTTTTGCCAATCGACAAAGGTACTCTTGCCGATATCCAGCCTCCACCCAAAACGGTTGCCGCAGACGTTGTTCGGACATTTCGAGGGCTCGGTGTACTTGAAAGTCTGCTCCACATCAGGTATAACCGTCTTACACTGTTCACAAATAAAGGTTCCCAGGGACAATTCCGGACGGATTTCCGACGTTCTCGTGACCGTGCCCGACACGGACAGCAGCTTTCCGATCTGGGCGGTTCGTAGCTGCCGGAGTCGAGAAACTAGGGGTAGGTTGTAGAAAGCCAGGGAGAAGAGTTTGTCGCTCTGCTGGTGGCGCGTCTTCTGTCGGTGACTTTTTTCCGCTGCGTTGGGGTCCAGCGGATTCTCGCTCGTACTGGCACCGGCTGTCAACATCGACGAGGTCGCCTCCTGGTTCGAAGGATCGATTTCACGATGGATTGCGTAGTACTCCGGTACATATTTGGCGATCAGATTATGCAAGGCTTGTGTTAGAAAGGGGTGGAACCGATAGTATTGATTTGTAATGGCGTCCGCCAGAATTTGGTTATCCAAGGAAGTCAGGTGGGCGAAATCGACGTAAAGAGTTGACAGGCCAAATTTTTGCATGCCCTGGATTTGGGCGATGTAGTATTTGTCGCTAAAAGCTTGCGACGAGGTCGGAGGGGGTGCCGACGACAGTGGGTCGTCGACGTAGGTCTCGAGTAATTCTTCGAATGCCTGGCGTACTTTCTCGCCCGCAACGTCGACTAGCGGGGGAGGTCCTGGCAGGTAGGGATTTCGGAGCCGACTGGTGGTCGACGTGCCGTTCTCGGGGACCTGATCATCTGGGAAGCCATGCGCATCACTCATGGGACCAATGCTTTCGGAGGGGGGCTGCGGCCGCGAGCTGGGGAGCTGGTCGGAATGGAGGCGATAATCTCGAGGCCCGGTCGTCGAGCCCAGCTCGGACTGCAGGACGGCGTCAAAGAGGGACGACATGGTGGGACGGGGCGTGCGGCCAACAGACGGGCCGCTGAGAGGGGATAGAGTAGACGGATGGGTGAGGGAAGACGAAAGGTGTTTATTTGTCGCAATTGAGCAGGCGGGGGTTGGTTGCGGGATGGGTGGGATTTCCCGTTGCCAGGGAAGAGAGGAGGAGTTTGGCGATAATCGCTCTTTTGCTCGTTTGCTCCTTTTTTGTCCGGGACGCGTACAGCACACGAACGCGTCGGAGAAATGTTCCTACGGGACCCGACGCGTTAAGTGGTTTTCCTACTTACTTCAGCAGGTAGTGCGCACGGACGCATCTGCCAAATGCCAAGTTGCCAGGATGAACCTTGCCCGCGCATGCAGACTAGCCGCATCAGGGCAAAGGTCCTCGAGCCCTCCGACCCAACAACCAAGCGGATCCTTTCCCAGCCCAGAGGTGTCCATGCCGCGGCCAATGGGAATTGGGCACAGGTGCCTGCCGGGGACCCAAGTTTGCGACGAGCCAATGCGCGGCTTCCTAAGCGTGGCATAAACTTTCGGAGTCAAACCACGGGGGTCGAACTAGTCCCAAGTGCTAAACTGTATCTGCTACTTGCTACTTGACACTTATGCGCCTTGCCCCCCCCGTACTGTACGGTACCCTCCGTACGGTGGCACTGGCACTTTGGACTAGATAAGCTTGCTCTCCCCGGCCATGTCTCAATCTGACCACTGTCTCTGCCTATCCGGGTCTTCAAGCCACGGTCCTGCAATGACGCCCTCAATGCAATTGTCGTATCTTTTGGCGCCTTCCTCCTGATCTCGCTTTCGATATGTTGTCCTGAGGGCCTATCTTGCGCGCCCCCCCTCCTCCGATTAGACAGTTGAATCGCATCGCAGAGCGAGTCCCTCTGCCCATCTAGCAATGTCTGCGGGCAGTCACCCTTCGGCTGAGTTGACCCATTCCGAAGCGGCGTCTGATGCGTCTTCACGACTTTCCGGGCAAGGTCGGTGGCATTGGCCCCTAACCATTCTTGCCTCGTCCACCCCAAACTGACCAGTCATTTCGCGAGATAGGTTCGCCCGGCGAGGATCATCAGAGTCCCGTCAAAATAAAAAGACGAAAACACCCGTATTCATCAGACAATTCTTCCGCCAAAAATCAACCTTTCTACTTTGTCGACTCCAACTCCTCGTCCCGTGAAAAGCGAGCACATGTGATGCGCCACCATGTTCAGGAGAAACGCAGGCAGCGCAAGCATTCCCATCCCCGAAGAGACCATGACAGAATCATCGGGCGTTCGCTTCACTATTTCCCTTGGCAGCATAAAACATTGGATCTAGAGGACGAGGACTTTGATTTCAACGAGCCCGTCGGACCTCGGGAAAGCCCAGATCGGATCGAATCAGTGGCGGAGGACAAGGCCTTGGTATGTGAAAGCCGCCATTCCCGTCGTCGCATTGATTTGAATTTGCCGACGACAATGCCATTGAACAATAGTTATCTCTGGATCTATGATTTATGTCCTTCCGATTCAATTCTCGACTGCTAATCCTGTTGGGTCACAGGTCCCCGCCGGGTTCCCAATGCTGAAATCCGCTTCCTTCCCCACAGATGACCCACGTCCTGTCTCGCCCGTCAGTTTACTCGACGCCTCCAGAAAAGATCCCTTTGACAGTTATCCCGTTTTCTGCTCTAAAGCCGATCTTGAATTGGCCGACTATTGGACTAACCGACTTACCTACTGGTCTGGTCAAAACAAATATGTTAAAAATCAGATCTTCCGCACGGCAATGAGCCATTCGCTAGCTTTTCAAGCGGTGATTCTATCATATTGCGCCCGCTGGAAATTACAATTGTATAACTTACCGAGCAGTAATGAAGCCGACACTCATGTGAAACAGGTAGCAAACGACATCGACAAGGCTTTAACGGGATCATTATCCATCAACGCAGACAGCCTTGCCATGGCCATGACGGGCATGGCGCTCCAGGAAGAGCGCTTCGGCACGAAAGAAAAAGCCAGAGGATATGCGGACCAGGCCGTCCAAATCCTGCGGTCCCGAGCGGGCGCCAGCAACTCCGTCGAGGTCTTCTTACACTTCGTGCGATACCTTATGATCCCGCCTCCAAATCCCTCCGGTGGCGACGAGAATCAGCAATGGCTCACCACGTTTCTCCGCGGCGCGGAAGAACTCATGCTGGAGCACAGCACGAGGGCATACCTTTCCTCCGTTCCTCAGCGCCATTCGGCTTTTCAAATGGATAGCCCTCTATTTCCTTTACTCTCCAGCGGACCGCGCCCTTCTCAGATCCCCGAAGATTCACGCATGTACGTTGTCCGGAATGCGCCCACCCAGGAACTCACCCGCACCGCGGCATTGATCTATATCACGGCAACATTGTGGGATTTCCAGGATTCTCCAAGCAAGACCGGACGCTTCCTCAACCATCTTTGCGCCATCGCCAAAGACCACGAACTCGATCGCCATCCGGCCTGCGAGACGTTCATCTGGTTGCTACTAGAGGAGAGCTATGATGTGGACCTGAAAGATCCGGAGCGAGGCTGGTCCACCGGGGAGTTGTTGAAGATGCACAAGCACCTGCGACCGGATCTACAGTTCCAATTCAACGAAATTCTCTTTAGCTTGCTAATGCTACTGCCTCCCATCCGAGGCATCGACACATTCGAGGAGGAAGTATGTTCGGCATCCGACACGTCCGACATCTAAACGACACCCCAAAAGCGCAGCGCATTGTCTATCCTCTTATTTCTCTTTACTCGGCACGACACGCACAATTCAGCGGTAACAACCAAGCGGTTTGCAGGCAGCCGTAATACAATACACTTCTCTGTCCTGCATGATTGAACCAACTCGGTGCATTTGTACATATTAGCACTAGTTTAGACCGTGAATAAATTAATGGACGATTCTAGCCTTTTTCTTCTGTTTCTTTTCTTGTTTTTCTCTGAGTTTCTCATTTTTTCACACCCCCTTTCAGCTCGTTTATTTGTTTGCTTATTCTTACCCACAGTGCATTGTATACATACCCCTGTACGGTATATGTTCTAGAGTACTCCGTAAATCTCAAATTAATTTCACCCCCTTTGCCCGAGACCCTCCCCACAAACAAACACGACCTCATTGGTCTCGACGCACGGGGATGCGAGACTCGAGGCCCGATATGCGATCGACCTGCATCCGTCTCCCGCGACACAGCATATAGCAGGTCTCGATGCACGCAGCTCTCTTTTTGCTTTTCTCACACCGTACAGTACATATCCCTTCTAAGTGGGTAGCTGCATAAGTACCGAAATGAACACGTTGACCAATTAGCACGGTCTCGACTGCTTTCTGGCTGTCGGGTGGGTTCCAGCTGGATCGTTTCCCGTATTCCGGTAAGGAGCTAGATGAGTTAGGTAGCTGGCCTGCCTTAGATGAGAGAGTCTAGGTCTAGGTCGGGGTTTGGTGTTCTGCGCCCGGCACTATGGCTAGTGTCAACTCCGTGCTGGTGAAACGCGCGGAACAAAAGTACTGTCTCGGATGGGGTTTGGGTTTGGGTTTGGGTTTTCCTATTTTAGGAAGGGGAGGGGGTGTTCACGGTGTCTGCTTTGTTTTTGGTATTTTATTTGCTGTTGACAACTCAAACATGTAGTTGCTTCGAAGTGTATGCTTGGGGGTTGTTGACTGTTTACTTTCTCTGTGTGGTGCGTTATTCTAGAACACAACGAACCCAAGTCATTCGCCACATGTATATGTACATATTTCAATATGATCGACCCTAGTCTGGTTAGTTAGCTGAGGCATGTAGTTCGCCCGGGGCACCGAATCAGACAATCACAATGAACACAAAGCCGAACACATCAGGCATTGACAAAGCGACCAAAGAATGAATTATGATTGCGGAAATTTAGGTCGCAATCGCCGGACAAGGAAGGCCCTGGTAACATCCCTGGCAAAGGGACACCGGGACACCCTCTTGGCGTTTTCCCTTTCCTGCAACAATGAAAGTGTCATCGAGAAGCTGGAACCAGGCAGTAAGAGATCAGGAACTAGTCTACTGTAGTCCGTATACCGTAGGTGATTAAGCTCGGTTGCAAGGGACGAATCTCAAGATTAGAAACAACCACCCCTCACCCCTCACCCTTTCTACTGAGCTGAGTGATCCCATCCCATCGCAATGAAGACACTAGGGTTCCACCCCGGCCGAATTCATAATCGCAAGGAGGCAAGGGGAGCGACGATGATATCACGCCCATGTGGTTTTCCACGGGAGAAGTCAATTGATTGGGGATGGAACTGTGGCTTGTCGGGTAATTGCCTAATGTATGAGATAGAGCCGATCGACCCATCAAACAATTGCCCTCCAGACCAGAACGGAGCCGAGTCGGTCCTGCCGGCGTCCCTGTCAGTTGATAGATCAGAAGATGAGCCATAACGGGAGGATGTAAGCGTCATGGATGCTGTCATCGGCTCAGGGACCATGGGTTCCCCCTGTGGAGATGGAGATGAAAAATGAATGGAGATGGGGGAGGGAGTGTATGGACCAGATGGCTGGGCACGTCACGTCGCAGTCGGGTCAGGTGCAGACCGTTCGTGGGGGGAGGAGGGGGAAGAACGGGGAGATAGGGCTGGCGAGAGGAGAGGAATGACCCGTTCTAATTGATCCATCTGGGCTTTAGATTTGGTCCAAACCCCCAATCTTTTGGCGTGACAGCCGGATGGGGAGATTGAAATGATTGATGATTGATTCCTGATTGCCGTGGCTGGGATTCTCAGACGGGAGAGGCGCCGATCATCGTATGATTGGATCTGCACCGTCGACAGGCTCCTCCCCCCCAAATCCCGTTGCAAATCTGGCCTTTTCGTCTTGTCGGACGGTGTAGTGATTGACCACGGACGGTGTGGATTGCGGATGCTGTTTCACGGAGGAAAACATGCAGGCTGGTAGACATGACGCCGCTGGTGATGCGGACTGTCGAACGGACCTACAGATTTGGCATTTGGTCTTTTGAGTTTTCGAGTTTCGACGGGACCCCAAAGTGCGAGGGGCGCGTCATTCTATTTTCCAAACGGCCAGGATGCCGGATCTGCTTCAGTCCTGAGTTGGCGACGGAGGGACGGATGAACGCCACTTGCTTCAGGTCTCGGGGTCGGTCGTACCCAGGTACCGCAAAGGTACCATCGTTCCAGGTCAGCAGCCTGCTATTTGCCACCCAGCACAGGTACCTCCCAGGTATCGGGTACCTCGTCGTACCTCATCCTTACGTAACGGGACTTTCATGTGACGCTGCCAGCGCATCCACGGAGGTTTCCATCTCTCCTGCTGGACGCAGTAGGAGTCTTCCACCCTTCTGCCAAGCACGGTTCATCATTCAATTCCTTCGAAATCATGGATTTCAATCTATTTCCATCCCGTCCAGCCACCACGGTCGGCCATTGCCTTATCCGCATCAATTAACTAACCAACCCACTAACCTCGCCGTAACTACCAATGGATCCAACACCTCCGGTGGCTGAAGCGCCCTCATTCCAGACGGCAAATCTGCGATCGTCGGCCCTTATCGAGCTAGTCAAAACAAAGTTGAAGGGGGATCGGAGCGTCGCCTGGGTCGGCCTCGTCATCGCATTCCATCTCCCGCTCTCTGGCGCTCTCCCAAAGATCGCATCTTCCGATCCATGTCTGGCCCAACTCTGGACACGCCTCTGACTCGCTCTATCTCCCCGGTGGAGAGCATCGTCCTTCTTTATCCTCCTCTATTTTTCAATTTTTTCAACACTAGTTCCTACTAGCTCTCCTTCAAAGTAGCTATCCTCGTCGCAACAAGCTAACGAGGATTTTTCCCACGGAACCATTCTCCTGGTCGTCCATTCATTTTTCGCCAGAAAAACCCCAATTGGCATGTTCTCTTGGCGCCTTTGAGTTTTTGGCTTTCGGTGACCAAAGATTAGCAACATTATTGAACGATAAAAAAAAAAAGAATAACCAGAAAAAAAGGAAGAAAGAAAAAGAACAGAGGGCATCCACCCAGCTATCGCAACCCCTCTCGCCTTTAAGCTTTTGAGTCCCTTGAATTTCTTCGTCACTTTCTCTCTCCTTTCTTTTTCTTTCCTGTTTCCTCGCTCCAACCCTGGGGGTGATTCATTCTTTAATTGAATTGGATTTATCGTAATCCTCGATCGTCGCTCTGATCACAATTCTTTCATTCTTCCCCCTTTTCTCGGGATTCCCGCAGATTCTGCCCCGGTCGGCGAAGCTCCAATCCCGAAACACTTGCTGGCCACACGTGATAACCGGCTCGTATTTCGACACCTGAATAAATTTCCTGCCAGAAGGGCAAACGATCGAAGCAATATTCACGTTGTGAGGGAACGGGTCAATCTGATCCACCGTCACAATGACAATATATGATGCTGGCCTTACGGGCCTTCATCACATCCATGAACTGACCCGCCGCGCTGTAAGCTCCCTTTCTGCACCCTTCAATTGGCTGCGAGCGTATCGCGCCCTGTGGACGCTCGAAAGAAGCAGAAAGAGATAAAGATGTTAACTAAAGTTGCTGCAGGATGACAACCCGCAGGATTCGTCCAACTCGGCCTCGGGATTGGTCGTCACCTTGATCCCCTCCTTGGTGGTGGCCGTCGCGATGGTTTTGGTGTTCGTGATTCTGCGTCGCAGTGAGCACCGGATGTACATGCCGCGAACGTACCTCGGTGTGTTGCGCCCCGAGGAGCGGACGCCCCCTTCCTCTACCGGGCTGCTCAGTTGGCTTCGTGATATGTATCAACTGCCCGACGAATATGTTCTGCAGCACCATTCTATGGATGCCTACCTCCTGCTGCGCTTCTTGAAGACGGTTTCTATGATCTGCTTTGTGGGCGCCTGCATGACTTTTCCCATTCTCTTCCCTGTCAATGCGACCGGTGGCGGCGGCAAACAGCAATTGGACCTCTTGAGTATCGCCAATGTCTCGGATGAGACCTATGGTCGTTACTTTGCCCATGCCTTCATCGCATGGCTGTTTGTTGGTAAGGCTTTCATAAGATCTCCCCGCGAAATCCTGGCATGGTGTTACTTTGGGCTAACGGAATTACCCTCCAGGATTCGTTTTCTTCACCGTCACACGTGAAAGTCTTTTCTATATCAACTTGCGACAGGCCTACGCGCTTGCTCCGGCCTACGCCAACAAAATCTCGTCGCGAACCGTGTTATTCACAGCAGTCACTCAAGATTATCTGAATCGCGACAAGATCCGCCAGATGTTTGGTCCCGCCAAGGTGCAGAACGTTTGGATTGCCACGGACACCAGTAAATTGGAAGAGAAGGTTGAAGAGCGCACCGATGCTGCCATGAAACTCGAGGCCGCCGAGACGAAACTCATCACGCTCGCCAACGCCGCGCGCCTCAAGGCATTGAAGAAGCAGGGCAACGTGGAAGACGGTCCGATTGTTCCCGAGAACATTGGGGAAGACCATGATGATGAATCAGGCTCTGTTGCCGCTCGCTGGATCAAGCCGAAGGACAGACCCACGCACAGACTCAAGATGCTCATCGGCAAGAAGGTGGACACGATCAATTGGGCACGTGCTGAAATCGAGCGTCTCAACCTCGAGATTGAAGAACTGCAAGAGAAACACCGTGCCGGAGATGCGAAACTGGTATCCTCCGTCTTTGTCGAATTCTACCATCAGGCGGATGCTCAAGCCGCTTATCAGTCCGGTATGGTTCCCCATCTGTTTCCCGACGCCCTTCACAAGAATGTTCTATGGCAGTCAGGCTATCCATTGTTTTAGAACTAACAAGAATCCAGTTGCTCATAACCTTCCCTTGCACATGGCACCACGATACATTGGTCTTGAACCCACCCAGGTCATCTGGTCCAACCTGCGTATCAAATGGTGGGAGCGCATTGTCCGGCATTCCGCGACCATCGCTTTTGTGATCGCCTTGATTATTTTCTGGGCAATTCCTACGGCTGTTGTCGGTGCTATCTCCAATATCAACTTTTTGACAGATAAGGTCAAGTTCCTTTCGTTCATTAATAATTGTCCGGACTGGCTCAAGGGTGCTATCACATCTCTTCTTCCGGTTGTCTTGATGTCGGTACTCATGGCGCTGTTGCCTATCATTCTTCGATGTAAGTCAATTCAGTTCCATCATGAGAGGTTTACTTTGCTGACTCTGGTCCTCGATAGTGATGGCAAAACTTGGAGGCGCACCTAGCCAGGCCGAGATTGAACTGACCACTCAGAATTTCTATTTCGCATTCCAAGTGGTTCAGGTCTTCCTCGTTGTTACCCTTGCCTCATCGGCAAGTTCGGTGGCCACTAAGATTGTTCAAGAACCTCAATCGGCTGCTTCATTGCTGGCAAACAACATCCCCAAAGTCTCCAACTTCTACATCACTTATATCCTTTTGCAAGGCCTGTCCTTTAGCTCGGGAGCATTGCTTCAGATCGGCGGACTGATTGTTGGCAAAGTCCTCGGAAAGTTCTTGGACAACACTCCCCGTAAAATGTACACTCGCTGGTCCACCTTGGCCGGGCTGGGATGGGGAACCGTGTACCCAGTTTTCACTCTTTTGGTTGTTATCGGTAAGACCCTGAACACCAATTTCTCCTAATTCTTTTCGCTGACTTAATCTCGGAATGCAGCCATCACTTACTCTTGCATCGCTCCCCTGGTTTTGGGTTTTGCGACCATTGGTCTTTATCTCTTTTACTTCGCCTACCGTTACAACATGCTTTACGTTTCTAATGCGCACATCGACACGCAGGGCAAGGCATACGTCCGCGCTTTGCAGCATATTACAGTCGGCTGCTACCTTTTGATGGTTTGCTTGATCGGCTTGTTTGCCATTGGAACGGCTAGCAGCAGAATCGCGCTGGGTCCCTTGATCCTCATGATCATCCTTCTGGTCTTCATTATTATCTACCACCTCTCCCTCAACAGCGCGCTCACCCCTCTGATCAGCTACCTGCCCAAGAACCTGGAGGCCGAGGAGGAACATCTTCTATCGCGCGAGAAGGCCGAATTTAGCCATTCCTCCGATGAAGCGGGACCGAGCAGCCCCAGACAGCGCGAGGGTGAAAACGGCGTGGAGACTGTCGATTCTGCCGAGAAGGGACTGACCGGCGAGGCGTCTCAGGAGGAAGGCAAGACCAACTTCCTGGTCCGGTACCTTCGACCCGACAAGTACAGCGGCTACCACCAGCTGCGACGCTGGGTTCCGAACGGCCATGAATCTGCTAGCTACTCTCCTGAAGTTGAAAGTGCGGCATACCACCACCCCGCAATTAGCGCCCAGGCACCTCTTCTCTGGATCCCTCGCGATGAGCTGGGCGTGAGCAAGCAGGAAATCGCACACTCGATCAAGGTGATTCCCATCACGGACGAGGATGCTTGGCTGGATGAGAAGAACCACATCCACTGGGATGAGGACAAGGGTGTCCCGCCTATCTTCGAAGAAAAGGTTCACTATTAGACCTATCATCTGTGCTCCGTTCCTCTACACCCTCGGGGTTCCAATCCCCAAGGTGTACCAGAAAGGAGGCGAATCACATATGGATGGATTATTTAATTCTTTTTCTGATACCCGCATGATGGTGATGTAATGTATTGGATACTATGAGATATGTGGGGTAATTAACTAATGTTGATTGCTATATTAACTCCATCTCCTTTGTCGAGGAAAGTGAAGTTTGGCTTTACCTTTGCGAGGGATGGATTGAATTTTTCTAAATGCAAATCTACGTTATTCATTGTAATAAGATGAATGTTCTTAACTGACCTCTAATTACCCATGTGCCCAGCTCATTGAAAATGCATCGGATCTGATGTACTCGTGGTCTAGTAAACGGATTTAAGTGCAATCATTATGATATTATCCTGAGGTGATTAAAGTCGAATGAATGCGGGATTCGATTCACTCAACTGCGCCGCATTCCCGGTAACTTGCTAAGATCTTGTGAATGAGGGTACTCCTGTGGTATATTTTCACCCTATCTTGTCTCCTTTACTATACTTCCACTTCCCATATCTCTTTCCCAACCTACTTTATACCTAGCCTCTCTTGACTATAATACTCCACGATGACAACTCTGGATCCAGACTGATTCCACGGAGCCAGGTCAATGCAGGATGGAATCCCACGGACTGAGAAGCGGCCTTCCTTCAGACCATATCGTTCTTACATTCCGTGATATGAGCCAAGTCCAGATCGAAGCACAGCAAGTGCTTGGCCAGTTAATCGAAAACGGGGACAGCAACCAATTCATCATCGTCCTGGGCATCTCCGAAGTAGCTCGCCAGCAACTTGACAACGACAAAGAATGTCTCGGGGCCATTGAATTTCGATTCATGTAGGAGGGCAGTTCCGGCTTGCTTTAAGTGATCCCATCTCTGCAGCATAACGTTACCACCAGGTCGATTACGGAGGAAATCAACTTTAAACTCCGTGCTCGAATGGGTATTCCTAGAGCGGACATCATGTTTGGAAACACAACAACCCACAAGTCCATTGACAATACAGAAAAGCAGCCGGACGACTGCTTCTGGCCGCCCCCAAGACAGCAACAGGGCCGGACCAGCCGCGTACAGGGCTGGCCGACCCTCGTTATCGAAACGGGGGTATCAGAATCGCTGTCCAGATTGCGAGAAGATGCCCGGTGGTGGTTTCATAATTCCTCTGGACAGACTCGGTATGTACTTGTGGTTTCCATAGCACGTCGTCAGCACCGGGTCACCGTGGAAAATGGCACATGCAGGAACCAGGAAGAGGCTCGGAGCCTTCTGCTTTTGGTTTTGCAGCCTGTCATGCCTCCGCCGCCCTCGCGCAGGAAATTGTGATAACGTCTACTTCGGTTGAGGGGGCTCCGCTGACAATCGGCTTCGAAGCGCTGTTTGATCGCCTCCCTCGCGGATCTGAAACAGATATTGTGTTGGATGCACTTGACCTGCGACACTGCGCTAGAGTGGTCTGACCCTTCTGGGTGCTGTCTGCGTTGAAGCTTTGAATCGGGGGACTTTTCAAGGAAATCGAGTTACCGCCACCGAGCACAAAGCTTTGCGATCTATGGATCGCAAAAGTCATGGCGGATGACGTTCAAATTCAGTTTGTCGATCAGTACCAAAAGTGGCCTTTCGATTTCGACAGCAATGGCCATATGAGAAAAAACCGACGCCCAGTCGGTAAACCCGTCGTTATCCACTTGGGCCATACCTGCTGTCGGGGTAGCGTATCTCCTTTCTGGAGATCTTGAGGCCGAGTATCCGTGGAGGATTAACTACTTCCCGTTACGAGAGTGTACTATGGACATTTCGTTGAGGGTTTGAAACGCAGCGGTGTTCCATTTTCTGATCAAAAAAAGCATCTAAATTGATTCCCCTAGCCGATCGGAATTCAAGAATGGAATTCAAACACTCCGCGCTCTGTATTTACTTGACTACACTCAACTTGATTGGCAGCTGAGCGCATAGATACGCAGTCTCCCTCGTTTTACCGACTTGAACATTAACCGGTTAACGTGCTTCGTTAAGCGCTCTGCGTTCTCTATCAATGCGAAGTTAGATGGGATCAATGAATATTCTTTGATTGCAGAGAATCCATCGTTTAATGCAACCTGGTTATTCCTCTGCGACAACCAAAAAGGAAAACATTCCGTTCGTCAAGAAAATTTGATGATATGGCCGGGAGGAGGGAATCGAGATGCTGGCTTGCTATAGCTGACGATGAGCCGAGGACTTCGGTGGCCCTGTGTATTGAAGTTCTCGATTCCGTACTCTTTGAATACTCTATATATCGTATCCTATATACTCAATTTAAACTTATCTAGACTTATGGTTGTTGAGATGTTCAAGTATTAAAAAGTGGCAGTTTAACCAGGGACCGACTGTGTCGATTGGACGAGTGTCACCTGATTCCGCATCCCCTTCCGGTGCATTTTAATACCAAACCGATCACCACAATGTTGGGACCATCTCCCTCTGCCTTTTATCAGATCTCTCCTAATGCATTTGGCATCTCTCGGCAGAATAACTCCACCGAGTTTCCTCCTCCGCCATCTTGGGCGACAACCCTCTCGGAGATACAGAATATCCCCTGTGTCGCGGTCCAGTACAGAGCCTATTGCTCTGGGTACACTGCTCAAAAGCGATTCGGGCTGCATGTATCAGATAGAAGAAACTCTGGCCGAACGGCGACAACCACTACTATGCGTATATCGTGCCAAGTGGGTTGAATTGATCTTCATGCTTAGAGGATAGTTGCTAAATTGCCACGGTGCCCGAGAAGGGCCGATGGAAAAAACTATGTTCTGAAGAATATGGTCCCAGGGGAGTTTGGATACCAGCTTAATCTGCAAAAGCGACTGTCCTCTTGTCCAAATGTGCGGGCGGTAGTCGATACTATCCAAGACCTCGATTTGTTCGTCTACCCATTCTTGGATGGAGACTTGCTGCGTTTAGGTCAAAGGGCCTTGTCCAACAATACGAGACGCAATATTTTACGAAGCGCTTTACAAGGTTTAGCTGATATGCATAGTAGAGAAATCCTCCATAACGGGAAGTTTCAGTGACCTAGAAGGCCGTTATCCGTGACTAACCCTTACCGATATCAAACCTAACAATATCCTCGTAGACTACGAGGAAAGTCCCGAGGGCCAGGAAATAGTCAAAACAGTTCAAATTGCAGATTTGGAGAATACAGTGATTGTCCCAACAGGGAAATGGCTTAAGGGCCCCCGGATGTCTTTTCTTTCGGATCCATGGTATGGATATCTAACGTCCAAGTCAGTTTAATACGTTACTAATCCCTTTTCAAGATGATTTATGTCATGGTTCGTGAGATGGTCTTTCGCGTCAGTGATAGCCAGTTAAATGCGCCAGACTGCTGGCGTTATATTCTCCGCAGACATATATCGTACTTTGCTGATGAAGATGGTTTCAATGGAATTCTTCACCCCATTGGAAAAGATAACCTTTTTTACGAGCGCTTAGTGTCTCTCGCCAATAGTTTCAAGCCAGGGGACCTGAGGCAACCTTTCCGGCATTGGGAGTACGTGGAGCCGGACCTCCGGGATCTGGTGGGTAAAATGACCAATTTGGACCCAACAAAACGGATCACAGCCAGAGAAGCGCTTCAGCACCATTGGTTCTCCCAGACCTGGTGAGTATTCTGGCAACTTGTCGACAAACTATAAGCCCGCCGGGCGGATCGAGGTACTATATGAGAAACTTGGGTGCTGTATACCGGAGCACGGCGCGATTTGTGACGCAGTTAAATCCAACCTTCTTGGTATTCTTATCCATATCGAGAAGCATAGCCAGCTTAACCAGAGCGTCAGAATTGATATGAATGTTGCTTGGAACCGTCTGGTGTTTCTAAGTTCGAGATGAAAATTTGTCTTTTAGTCGCTTATTTAGGTATCAGCAACATAATATTAAAGATGTAAAATGAGGACCTGTGAATTTCCTTTTCCGGTTAGACATTCCACTTCTGGTTTGGCCCCCCAGACCGCCTTTACGTAGCCCATACCTTCCGCTGGAATTGAGACATCATCGAATCATCGAATCATCGCAACTTCGTCTGACCCACATGTCTCATCGTTCTATTAACCGGGGCCAAGCTTCGCAATGGCCACGATCCGCCCGGCTGACTTTTACGATTTCCACGTTATAGGCCGCCAGACCGGGACTAAACAAGAGCTTGGTCGCGAGTTTCTCACGCATTGTCCCCCAGACCTCCCCCCGCGCCATCGCATTCTAGCCCTGCTTGGCACAACAGACATAGAAGATGTCGCTAGGCCAAGTGAAGATGGGTGGTTTGTGTCAGATTTCTACCTGTTCCATTATCTTTTGTCCCCGGCATTCCCTCGACGTGAGTGCTCTGATCCTGCTGTTATTCGTTCTCTGCTAAACGTATGAGTATCACTAGCACCTAACCAAATCTGGCTGACCTGTGAAGATCCCGAAACACTAGTCGCCAAGTACCATGAATATCTTCATGGCGATTCAAAAGGTGACCGTCGGGCGGTGCTTGATAGCCAGAGACTCCCACACATATTAGAGGCCGGAAGTTTACGGGTTGTGCCGAGAGACATCCTTCTTGAGAGATACCTAAACACCCTCCAAGAGCAAGCTGCTGAAGCAGCCCGCCTCCGAGAGCATCTTGTGCTGTTTATATTCGGTCATGGAACCCCGGAATATGGTGTTGAAGTTGGAGGGACGATCCTTCGCATCGGAGACTTGCGCCGAGTGCTACAAAATAGGTCCCAAGTGACCCTCTTCACTACCTCATGTTACTCCGGCGGCTGGCTAGTGCTTCCTGATATAGGACAACAGCAGCTCAACGCAACAGCAATCACAGCAGCAGGGCCTAACGATATCTCCTCATCGTGGCCCGTTAGCGGAAGTGTTGGACGGGCCAGCGGCAGCTTGGCCGCCTCCGCAGTACTACGCTGCCTGGTAGATGCCGAAGATGAAATCAAACAGAGGTTAGAGCACCCGACATATATACAACTTGCGAAGTCTATATATGACTGTGTGAAGGGGATGGGGATGCTTGGCGACACGCAGCAGATTCATTTCTCTGCGGAAAACGATGAATGGGAGACAAGCTATCAGCCCCGCCTAGGTTTGCCTTTTGTGTCATATAAGGAAAAATGGCAGTCCCTGCGTCAGGTTCCCCCATCGACATGCCCGGCAAGCAGCCAGTTGGCTAGAGCTGGCGGACGGCGGCTGAAACGTCTACAGTATCTCGCCCAAGAATACTTTGCCTCCAAACCCGGTGCCGACAATGGCGGTCCGAATATCGGCTTGCATTACTGTCTGAACCAGGTTCTCAAGGGAGCTAGCTACCCCAAAGAAAAGGTACAGGAATTGACGGAAATCACCGCATACAGACTCGGAGCTATGTATGAGGCCGAGTACTTAAGAGAGAAAATAGGGCTCAAGTTTCCGTCGATCTTCGATACTGACCCAAGCCAGGCATTTGCTAAAATGTCCAACAAACAATTTATCATGAAAACATGGTCATTGCTTCTTATGCACGACATTAATACAACTCCTATTGGGATTCGCCGACCATATGTCAAGCCTCTACAGTATCTTACACTTGCCCTGGTGGAAACCTCGCAGTCCTGGGAAGAAATCGAATGGCAGGTGAAGGCTATGGCAGGCAAAAAAATGGCATGGTACCGATTCATCTATAAGGCATGGCAGGGGAATCGAGTCGCTAATGATGAGGGGGTGAGGAGGAATCAACGTGCTTTCTTGGAGGCATTCAAGAAGATCGGGCATTAGAGCTCTTTGTCTCTCTTATCTCGCTCTTTTTCTTTTATTCCTATCGAGAATCTTGGCTCTATTGTCAAATGTGAGGGCTGCGGCCCAACAAAGTCACGAGTTTCCCTCCTAGATAGCTGGTAGCTTCGCAGGTTTAGGACAATCCACCTTCATCTTACATAGCAAGTCTGCCTCTTAGCTTACATATTGTCTTTGCTTGCCCCTGGCTTCTTTCGTATACCTTTGATAGCTCTTGTAATTACTGGCTAGGCTTGAGGGGAGGATAGTTTAAGAGCCTTTGTCACTTCTTCTGGGAGCAAGAAATAACATGTCTGTGGGCATGGAACTTAGGACCAGATATCATCTAACACTAATCCAAACCTGACTGAAAATTTATAATCAATAATGCGAGCCAAACGTCATTTAGGTGTATCAAAATATTAACATCGTCTAGGATCTTGTCTAAAAAGATGAAGCCCGACCTTTGATATTTATACAGACATGAGATGTGTAGTTACAAGGTGAACCACTCAGTAATTGCCTGCAAAATATATGACACGTGGAATTGGGTTCCACGCGATCTCATCATGTCAGATCTAGGACTAGCGGCCATTTCATATTCTCAGCCTCGCAAAATGACCCGTATTCATCAAATCAGCCCTGAGCTTCCCATAGGACTGGGATCGCATGAGATTGAACTGTGAGTAAAATCCCACCTATTATATCAATTTCTGTATAGCGAAGCCCATTGACCTTATTCTTAGCCGTCCGTAAGGTCGAGCCTCCGAATTTCGTTTTTCTCGCTAATAGTAATTACATATAGACTGGACATGCAGAGTTTTTATTTATTCCAGCAAGATGGTGTAGCTACTCCTAGGTGGAGAAAGGTGTAGTAGTGAACAAAGCACACATTACCTTTCCATGGCCATACAGCCACTTTATTATTTGCATTGTTTGCATACATGGCTTATATTGGATGGCTAATTGTTTTACATAGATACAGTTATTGAAATATGGAGTAGTATCCGATAAGTAGAAGTTTATAGGAAGACATCTAAGACTGCGAAAATATTATAGTCTGGCTCGAGTTTCTTCACAAAGAAAAAAAATTGGCCCAGTAATAGTGCACATCAGTTTAAGCTAAATATACAGGCGTAGGTGCCATGGAGGAGATCAGATACAAAGACCAGGGTGAAAATTTTATATTGTGGTATAGACAATATTAAGGTCAGCTTGAGGCGTGGGTAACAAGGATGAGAGAACGGGAGGTACAAAGAATACTGGAAAGGAGGGAAGGCGAAGCACCTTAAAGGCACTCAAATGGACTGGGCGAAAAGGGAGAGACTTGGAATTAGCCGAAGGGGAGCCACTTTCGGCGTCATTTTAGTCGCCAGTGCAAACGAAGAAACAACTGTGCAAGTCGAGCGTCAACCAGGACCAGAGGATGATTAATATGGCTAGGCGGATGCAGAATAGATGTTAGACGACAGTGGGCGGTCAAGGGGCGGCTGGACGTCCAAGTTACGGGTGGCGGAAAAGCAGCCGTTTCTGGCCTCAAAAGCGGTCATTTTCGGCACCAATTCCACAGGTCCTCGCATTCTAGTTGTAAGATAAACTGTTGGAGCCTGCTGGTGTGGCTTGCGGCGCTAGCCTGCACGTAGTTAGTCAGTCAGCTGACCCACACTGGGCCGCTGCATTTCTAGAACCTCTGTAGTTGCAGAATGAGAGATAATCAAGCGTTTCCATCCGATTTTCTAGCCATATCAGAGCCACGCTCATCATAAACGCAGTAGCTCTAGCAGATACTTTCTCCTTTTTTTTTTTTTTTTTTTTTTTTTTTTTTTTTTTTTTTTTTCAGAAAAAAATATAAATAGACAACTCGTGAGATATCCATAGGAGATTGCTACTACCATCTCATGCTCATTCGTGCATCGGGACAGAAAACAGCAGGCGGTGAGAAAGACTAGTCCCTTTTCGTGCCTTCATCACCAGCAATTCATCATCCCATCCATCTCCCTCTCTCTACCATACATAATATCCTACAAAACATGGACCAGCCCGAAAAGCGAAAACTGGATGACTCGGCCACTGATGGGCCCAGCACCGCCACCGACAAACGCCCCAGAGTAATTGGTCCCTCACTGCCCCCACCATCAGATGCCCCAGCGGCGCAAGACGACAGCGCCTCCAACTCCGACTCAGAGAGCAGCGATGACGATGACTTCGGACCTGGCCTGCCGCCACCAGAAGGCTCTGCCCCTGCGGTAGCTGAATCCAGCAGTTACGGGCCAAGCATCCCCGCGTCATCGTCAACCGACCAGCAAGAGGTCGAAGGGAATGCGGCCTCCCGGCGTGACGACTGGATGCTTCAACCGCCCGACGACTCGAGCTGGGCGACGCGAGTCGACCCAACGAAGCTTCGGAACCGGAAGTTCCAGAGTGGAAAGCCTGGGTCGAGTCGTCCTTCTGCCCCGGGCGGCGGGGTGGATGCCTCGTGGACGGAAACGCCAGAGCAAAAAATGAGACGACTGCAGGATGAGGTGCTAGGTGTTTCGACGGCGCCGGCGGGTTCGGGTCCTAAGAAGGAGGATGAGGGAGATTCGAAAAGATCGAAGGTTATGTCGGAGAGGGTTGAGAAGTTTAATGTATGTTTGCCCTTATCTTCCTTCTCTTTGCTTTCAGGCTGCAGTTTAGTGGTTTGCTTCGTTAGGCTGGGCTGTTATGTCTTGGATGGGGAATTATGATGCTAACAGGTTTCAGGAAGCGCGACGGAAAGAGAAGGCTGCAGAGGGAGCGGCGCGCAAAGAGAAGAAGAAAGAGGAGGACGATGATCCTAGTCAACGGGCCTTCGACAAGGAGAAGGACATGTCGCTGGGATCTAAGATCAGTGCGTCGCAGCGAAGAGACATGATTAATAAAGCGTCGGATTTCGGATCTAGGTTTACGAAGGGGAAGTATCTTTGATTTTTTTTTGGCATGGCATGGTTTCCATCTATACCCTGTGGACTGGAGGGTTCAGTGTATTATAACTGGATTGCTTTTTTGTTGATACCGAAAGATTTGGTGATTTATCTTTTCTTTTGTCTTTCTTTTGGATCTAGAATTGGGGTTGGTCTCGAGGCACTGGGCTGCTAATTGGGGTTATATGGTATTGATCGGAAAAGCGAAGGATATGGCTGGGGATCCCTATATGTACCCAGAACCATGGAATCCAAGAAAGCTATAATCATGATAAGAACGGTAGTAATTGTAGGGTCGCATGTAAGGGGCGTTCTACACTTTCTTGTTCCATGTTGTTAGTATAGAGAATAATAACAGGCGGATCTGTTACGCGATCATCTAGCGATCTCATAATACAGCCAATCCCTTTAATATTCCATTTCACATTCACAAGAAGATGCGATCCTCTGCCATCGAAGACATCCTCTTTGCGACCGCCGCTCTGACCCCATCAATGTTGTCCAGCAACTCGACTCCATATTTCTTGCACACAATCTGCATATTCCCCCTCTTCCAGTACCCGTCGGGACATATAGCGATCGCCTTTCCTGGAACCTTCGCGCAGAGCCCAAACTCGAGCAAGCTGACGGGCGCATGGGTAGCCGGATGGAAGTAAATGACGACGATGTCAGCTTTCTCCTGCCTGTCGAGTTCCCACTCTACTTGCTCGCGGTACGGAGCAAAATCGATGTCTTCGCGCCACGAACCATCCCAATCTGGGCGGAACGGATTGTATATCGTCACGCTCAAATCAGAGAGAGAGGTGGATAGAGCCTCGCGCCAGTCTTGCGTGTCGGCTATCTTAGTAGTGGTTCCAGCAAGAAAGATGGACGTCACGGAGCGAGGTGCTTCATTCGAAGGCGCGTATATGACTTGACTCCGTTTCTGAGCCATGTTGAAGGACATATACGGAGGTGTGTTGCTGGTGGCTGTTAGGAGAAACGAAGAAGGCGAGGCGGATTGCGGGCGGGGTAGCAGTCACGTTGCCGTGAAGTGGCTGGGTTTCCTTAGGAAGCGAGACATGTTGCGATGGATTATACAACTGTCCTAATTTTGGAGCTAGTGTCGACCTATGAAATGCGCACGGAGGATTTCCCGACGTGGTCAGCATCATTCCCTGCATAGTGCGTTCGTGCTTCACAGTATGCAGCCTAGTACTCCCTTCCGCTATATGCCCATATCAACTAATTACCATAACAATGGCACCCACACCCTGCCTTGCGGACTCCGTTCTCGTACTCCCCCATCAATCCCATCTCATCTCATCTCACCCATCTATCCTTGAAACTGTTGAGCCCAGTCCGTCGTTACACGAAGCTGTACGATATGATGCTCTCAGCTCATCGCATCGTATTGATTTCCCGCCGAAACCGTGTCGCCCCGCGCCGACTAATTATGCCCCGAAACCAGTCCTCGTAACTCGACCATGGATCACAAGCCCCGACGGATACGGCGTCGCATCTCCGTATCCTACGGATCTTAGCAGCTCTACGATCCCGATTCTTTATACAAATATGCGACACGGGAGGGAAGTGGGAAATGTCACCCACCTTGGTTCCTTAGTCAATTGAGATTCAAAATGGACTCGTACCAGAATATCTTCTTCCCTTCGGTTTCTGTCGCGACGAAAGTCAGTCTTGGATTGTCGACGCTGGTCGTCGCGTTGGTGATATTTTTGGTGGCACCGAGGGTGGTACTGAATAGTGTTGCAGATGTGAGTTCGACTTTCATGGCTTCTGTATTACTGGCGGAAGGGGAAAACGATAGACGAGAGAGGCTGACATATGTACTTGATGAAGGGCATTCTATCCACCATCTATCGTATTCCCACGACGGATAGGAAAAGATCAATGCCAGGGCCAGCATATACCTTCCCCAATGGACAGATGGTCGATAAGTTCCTGGCAGCAAAAGCGAAGAGCTGGGAGTGGGAGGAAAAATACGGCAAGACGTATCGCATTTGGGCGGCGAGCATTCCGGAAGTGTATGTTCAATCTACTTGTTACTGGATTGCATGTTCAAGTCCTCTTTGACCGTCCTCATTTTGTTGGAAGCATTGTTCTAACGATTAGACCAGAGTCATCACAGATCCCAAGGACGTCGAAATACTCTATCAAGATTCTGCAGACCACAAAAAAGCGCACCAGGCAAATGCCGGCTGGCTGCTCACCCAGCTCCTCGGGTCTGGTCTAGGCCTCATCAATATACCCCGCTGGAACGTGCTCCGCAAGACCCTGGACCCGATGTTCTCCCATCGTACGGCAGTACACTTCCTGCATGAGAGTCTCTACAGTGGAGCCAAGGAATACGTCGCGGGAATTCATCGCTTTGCATCGCCAGCATCCAAGCAGGATTCAACGCAACAAAAGGGCGTCATAATCAACGCGACGCAGGCATTGCAGCGTTACCCGTTCTTCGAGGTCGCTTCGATGTTCTACGGGAAGCTAAGCGACGATGAGCAAGAACGGCTGTGGGATCTGGGTCGTCGGTATTCGCAGGTTTTCGCCGCCATAGTAGCGGGCGGGATTCATCGGACCAAGTTTACGAAATATCTGGGGACGAAGGCGTATCAGGATGCGCGGGAGTACCAGTGTTTGTGGAAAGAGTTCAACGCCGATATGTATGAGGCTAGGAAGAGAAGTGCGCCTGAGACGCCCATAGTGCTACTGATGGAGGCGGCAAAACGGGGCGAGCTGACGGGCAATGAGGTATGAAGCCCCTACTGTCTGATATGTCTTTGTTATGATTTATACTGACATCAATCCTTTGTTACAGGTGACAGATACTATTGCGGAGTCGACCTTTGCGAACCTGGATATCGTCACACACGTGATTTCTTCCTGTATTATTCTCCTGGCGGATTCGCAGGAAGTCCAGAATGACTTGCTGGCGGAGATGCAGAGGAACCAAGAGGGACGAGAGGAGTACATTGCCCGGAAGAATACCCTGCTTCATTATTGCCTTTTAGAGTCGCTTCGACTGCGACCGGTTCTATGTGAGTATGGTGGGAACATAACATGATCATCGATCTTAGCAACGCTTTATACTGACCACTACTACAAGCATTCACGTTCCCCGAAAACCCTCCCCGAGAAAAGATATTAGGCAACTTCATCGTCCCCAAAGATACCACCGTCATCGTTGATGCGTTCGCCATCAACATCCGGAATCCCTTCTGGGGCCCAGATAATCGTGCATATCGACCTAAGCGATTCGAGGGACTTAAGAAAAGCCAGGTAGGAAGAACAGTCATGCCAAATTCAAATGATATGTACAAAGCTAATCCAAATAAAATATAGCTGCGATATAACCTCGCTACATTCGGTTACGGACCGAGGAAGTGTCTTGGGCAGCATATTGCCGATAAAATTATCAAGTCGGTCGTGTTCCATCTCTTCAGCAAGTATCAGGTGTCGCTTCAACCGATGCAGGCAATTGAGGGGGATTTCAAGGTTGATAAGACGAGCTGGGTGGCGTTGTATGACGTGGACTTGAAATTGGAGGAGAGGGCGGAGGCGGCTGGGGAGAGGGATTCCTAAGCGCCATGGGAGATTCGTATGGAGGAGGCATTGAGGATATGGAGTCATTTACTTTTACAACGGGAGTTAGAGGGAATAAAATGGCTCTTCGATATGGTTCAGTAAAAGAGTTGCGTATAAATTTCCTTGGAATTTTATGACAGTTTTCTTTGTTTGGGATTCCGAGTCATGACAAGGCGGCGTCCAATCAATTCCGAGCCAGTTCTAAAAAATCAGAAACAAACAAAAACGTTCTTCCGATAACACTATGGTATTAGGTGAGCTCGGCTCAACGGCATGTAAGCATCTTCGTGAAGAGCAAATCGGCGAATAAATAGCGCAGATGTCGCCGCACACCGAAAAGCCGAGCGGGCCAAGACTGAGCATTTAGATATGGCGCATGGAATTGAAATGGGGTGTATATCCCAAGCAAGTAAAATGATCTACGCACGAAAATAGCAATGGCCGGAAATATCAAAACAGAGCTAAACACCCGCCTGTCGACCTCCAATGTGATTGTGGAGGGCGATGAGGAGTGGGAAGATGCGCTCGAGCGGTGGACGAAGTATCGATCAAAAGTCCCTGCTGCAGTGATCCAACCAGCTAGCGAGAAGGATGTGATGGCAACAGTGAGAAAGTCAGATACCGACATACTTTTCGACTGCTAACTTTATCTGCAGGTTTCTTATGCCGTGCACAACAATAGACCGTTTGTGATTAAAGGTGGAGGCCACAGCAATGGATTCTCGACCATCAACAGTCCTGGGATTGTAATCGACCTTTCCAAAATGAAAGATGTCAACGTTGACGTTGAGAACCTGTTGGTGACTGCGCAAGGTGGAGCAACTATGGGCGATGGAATCAAGGCCGCCGGGGCAGCTGGGTTAGCTATTGCCACTGGGACGTGCAACGAGGTGGGACTGGTAAGAGACAAATGGATTCTGAATCTCTCGGGCAGACCTCCTAACCGTCATTCGAACAGATTGGCGCCATGCTCGGGGGAGGCATCGGTCGGTTCCTAGGGCTCTGGGGATACGCGATAGACACTGTCGTCTCCATGCGGGTCATCGTGGTGGATCAAAGCGGCACGGCCCGCGCAGTTGAAGCATCACGCGAAGTCAACCAGGATCTTTTCTGGGGACTACGCGGATGTGGCCATCTGTTCGGAGTGGTGGTCCAGGCCACCTTTCGAGCACACCCGTGGCACCATGAAACCTGGAACAGCTGTCTGGTCTTCAGTCCCGCAGATGCAGGAATTGTCGCAGAAGCAGTAGACTGTATCCACTACGAGGGCGGAATGCAAGGCCGAATGGTGTTTTGCGCACCAAATAAGCAGGTGGGAAAGCCATGAAACCCAGTAGGTAAAAGCTGCCTGACTGACTGTGATGGAATAGCCGGTCGTGCTTCTCCAGCTATGGTACGTTGGACCACCCGAGGAGGCGGCCAACAAATTCGAGACCCTCTTGTCGCTCCCTAGCATGAAAGAACACCAGTTGAATTATGTTGGCCGTCTGATCCCGTACCTGAACCTCAACGATTCCAGTGACCGCATTTGCGGCTACGCTGGGCGAAAGAATCTGGCGGCATTCGGGATGAAGTCTATGTCTGCTGACTCGTGCAGTACTGCGCTGAGAGTGTACATGGACTTCATCAACAGATATCCTGATGCAGCATCGACACATATCTTGAATGAGTTCTATAGTATGGACGTGGCGAAGGAGCTCGACCCCGACGGTCAGCAGACCTCCATGGCCAGAGAGGCTCGGCAAGAGGTCAAATACTGGGTCATGCCATTGGCTTGGTACGAGGACCCCGATCTGGATGAACACTGTGCACGTCTGAATCTGGATATTCGCGAGGCATTTTTGACCCAGTCAGGAGGTGAACGTGCCAATAGTGTAGACTGCGTAGGGTACGTTAATATGCCGTTTGAGGATGATACTGCGCATAGCGTTTTCGGCGAGGGAGAACGACTGGACAAACTTCGAAAGATGAAGGCAAAATGGGATCCTCTGGGAGTATTTCAAGGCTTGATAAAGTTCTGGTGATGATTGGGGCAGTGTTGAGTGTTAAATAATATGCTCGTGTAGAGACAAAGAATACGTTTCTGCCTGGGAGCCCAGGCCATGTGGGTCTGGTCGTGGTGGGGATCGACGTTGATAGTGGATCTTCTGAATGTCATGCGCTTTAAAAATGCACTTGCACCTCTGGGACAAAGGATGTAACCCTGCATATTTTTTTCATCCATTGATTGAATCGGATTGCTCTAGGAGCTCACTTCGCCATGCTGGTTTCCCGTTAGGGTTGTTCACCAGCCTCAGGCAGACTCTGAGTCAGCAGGATCAGGGCGATGCGCGCTAAGCCCAACGCGGCTAGCGGATCACCGGTCTACAGGCATCCTCGACTTCCATTCGTATCTCGCTTCGCCTCTTTGCATCTTCCAAGACTTTTGCAGCTTTCTAGTGAAGCTCTTCGTGTTGCAAGTTGAGCCTTACCACCTGACAGAGAGTGAAAAAACCCCCCACACCGCCCAAGAGAGGACATTGATACCCCTCCGTCCATCGTTTGATGGACTCTGCGAAGACCACCCCCCCGGCGCTGTCCGGGGGCATTCAGAAAGGCCGTCAGCGGACCATCACAGCATGCCTGACATGCCGTCGTCGGAAAGTCAAGTGCGACCATGCGCAACCCGTCTGTTCTCCATGTCAGCGAGGAGATCGAGTTTGTACATACGTGAATCCTCAAGTGTCGTCGCAGGCGCAGCCCCACTCGGCAGCCAACCGTGCGTCGCGATCCAATCTGCGTTCTGGGCAAGAGGAGATCAGAAATCGTTTGGAGAGGTTGGAAAAGCTGCTGGAAAGAGCGATCGACGGCGGTGGTAATGCTCCACTGCTGTCGGATCCGCAGGCTCCTGGTCCCGACGCGGCGCAGGATGGAGAGCAACCAGGCGTCACTGGTAGTGCGATGCCAGACCGTGGAAACGAAACTTTGTCTGCTGATGGATACGATGGTGCCTTGATACTAGAACCGGAAAGCGGCCAGTCGCGATGGGTCTCCTCCCTGCACTACGCGCTGCTCGCTGATGAGGTATGATTGCCTGATACATCCTGGGCTATCAGCCGCCATGGCTAATTAGATCAGATTCACGATGTAAAAATGTTACTCGGGGACCAAGCACGAAGCGTTCCTGGGGAAAGCCCATCCTCCGAGCGGGATACTACTCCCTTCCCATTTTCCAACACCGGCGTTGACAGCCTTACACCTTGGCTCCCCAGATCCGCAGAGGATTGCTTTGAATACTTGGAGATATTCTTTTCCAATGTTGATCCGATGACACGCCTGGTGCACAAGCCTTCTCTCCGACGACGCTTTGCGCTTTACGTCAACCAAACATACGGTGCCATAAACCAGGACGCGGGGGAAGGAAGTGAAGAGTCTGTACTGGATCCCTCGATCCACTCATTTGAGCCCTTGGCCCTGGCCGTTTTCTATTCAGCTGTCAACAGTCTGCCACCAGAAACCGTGCTCGGGCAGTTTTCGGCAGACAAGGAAATGCTGTTGGCTCAGTTTCAGAGGGGAGTGGAACTAGGACTTGGGAGGGAGGGCTTCTTGACAAGCCCAAATATTGAAGTTCTGCAAGCATTTGTTCTGCTTCTGGTAAGTTCAAGTATTTATTTCCATTTCCAAAGCAGAAACAATACTCATAATTCAATTAGACTTGCCAGTCACGAGAAGATGATATGTCAAGAACATGGACTCTACTTGGACTTGCTGTCAGAATGGCACTCTCGCAAGGCCTTCACAGGGAACCTTCTCTATTCCCTTCCAAGAACATGGATGTGGTTCAGGTGGAGATTCGCCGGCGATTATGGCATCAAATATGTCATCTCGACTTTAGGTCAGCCGAAGCCAGAGGCCAGGAGCCAACCATCGCAGACGATGATTACACAACTCTGTTACCCAGGAATATTGACGACGAAGACCTTGTGGAAAGAGCACACCCCACTACCGATACGTATTCGCCACCGGGATTCACAGATATGACGGGGCACCTCATTCGATTGAACGGAATCCACTGCTTCAGAAGAATTATCCGAAGTACCTACCGGCTAGAACGGCGGCTAAAGGCTGCAGCCGTTCAAGGAAATACCAGCATGTATCCGATTGCGGAGCTCCAGGCCCTTTTTATCGAAGTTCGAAATATGGTGGGCGACATGTCCTCGCACATTGAAACGGAATATTTGCAGTTTTGCGACGCCAATATACCAATGCAGCGCCTTGCTCTTGGACTTTCGGCTGTAATTGAATGGAGGTGCTGGTCGATCTTCTGGCTACGCACCCCAAAGCAATACCGGGAGGCGGTCGTGACCCCAGATATCCGGCAAACGTGAGTCAACCGTTGTTACAAAAGCAACCTTTCCCTCAAAACCGATGTGCTTACGTCTAACTCTGGCCTGTCTAGCGTATTGGAAAAGTCTGTGAGCTTGATGGAAAGCATGAATATGATTCCGGACGACAAAGATGCTCGAAGATTTCAATGGCATATCGGAGGTCACTCCTGCTTCCAGGCGATTATGCATATCGTGTCTGAATTAGAAACACCAGAATTCCAAGCGGCTGATCACAGTATCCTTCGCTCTCGTGCCCTGGCCGTTCTACGCGATACAATGAACATGAAGGGGCGTGAAATGAGCTCAATGTGGAATGTTATCAACCGGATAATCTCAAATTGTTTGGCCAAGAATTCTCAGCAAACATTCCCTTTAACGCCATACTCGGCTCTTTTCTCTCCAAATGGAATAATACCAGATATCAGCACAACAACGACCATGGCACCTCAGACATTTGCGGAGACGCCTGCAGTACAAGGGAACTCGGTGATGGGTGCCCCATTACCGGATCCTGTAGACATAGGAGACCTCGATATGCAGGATGTCTCCATGTCATTTGACTGGGTGGGTGATCCGACAATTTAATAAACAACCTTTTGCTAATAATGACTTATCTTAGGGATTTTGGAACTTTGATCCCACTGATATTAACTCATACTAGTGTCTTGCTGGAAGGATTGCTTGCGAAAGTTTTCTTCTATGGATAATTCAAATCTTGTCTAACGATTGATCAAAAAGACAGACCTCCACGTCTTGTCTGTGGACTGTCGACCAAGGAAGCCGCCAACAACGTGATACCATTTCATAGAATAACAGAAAACGCAACAATGGAATGCAATACAAAACTCCACTCAAACAAAGGATGCCGCGCCTCATACGCTGTATACCCGGGGACTAAAATACATGGTCATATAAACGCCTTTCTGCTTGTTATAGGAAAATGACAGGTAGGTGTGTGTGCCAGTAGATGTGGACAGCGGATGATGTGGGCTAAATCGGGTCAGCACATCTAGGCTTTATTTCTCAGGATAACGGGCGAACTTACAACAAATCTTCGAGATCTTTGGAATATCCCCGCTCCAACTGATTCCATCCCAACTTTCCAAAGAACTTCTGCAGTCGCCCAGCGATCTGTATATCATTTTTGCAATAATGCCTGACAGGCAGATACACCTTGGGCTCCGGAAACCATTTGCCCGGCCGCAGCTCGAAATTGAAGATTGTTCCCGCTGTCCGGTGGTTGTTCTGCGGCAGCTCTGCATTTTCGTCCGTGACGTCAAAGGTTGTTCTCCACAGCTCGTCCAGCAGCGTTACAGCTTCGGTGGTGTTCTCGTCCGTTAAGCGACCCCCAAGGCAGTACGCCTCTTTCACCTCCCGCAACGCGGTGTGAGGTATGCGTACATATATCTTGATTCGAGACTCAGCTTCATCCACACAATCGACGCTGATCATTTCTGCCTTCGCTGCCCCATTGAAGCTTGCCATCCACGCCTCAAGCACGGACAAAGCTGCGATCGCTTGAGGACCCCATAGACTGCTTTTCCTTGCCAGCCGCAGAATCGAGTCCGAAATCACTTTCGTGGTGCTCTGTCCGGTGCTGAGCGCCTTCAAAATGGGAAAGAAATAGGCTTTGGTTGTCACACCACCCGCGTCTAGATCGAATGCAAGGAAGCTCTGTGTGGTGTGTTCGCCACTTGGGAGTTTGTCTCGAAATTGAGGGTGTACATCGGGGGACACGAAAAGCTCGGCACGGAAATGTTCGAACATGGACAAAGTTGCACCGACTTCTGATGCGACATACGAGTGCATGAACTGCATGACCGTGGCTTGGTTGAATGGATCTGCGGCTGAGCCTGCATCGAAACCGACGGGCTCAATGCCAAGTCGAATTGTACTTTGGGACTCGGCATTTCCGTTCACATTCCAGCTGGGCTCGAGTGGGGAGAAGTCGTCGGTCAAGAAAGATCGCCAAGGTGCATTAGCCGTGGATGGTTGGCCAGAGTTCTCGAGCGGTGGGCGTGGCCCAAGCAGGGGCAGAATGTGGGTGTGGTAAAGAAGCAGGTACTTGTAGTGGGTATACAAGGGATAGTTTGCCTTCGAAAGAAGCTTGCTCATCAACGGACCAGTTTCTCGCCACCAGAATGCCGTGGAAGAGCTAGGGGCAGGCAGTGGAAGGGCCGTCGTGAGAACGTCGTATGGAATGAAAAAAGCAGGCGACAAACTGTCTCTCGTGTCGGTGTCACCATTCATCAACTTCTTCTGCGTCTTGGCCGAGTAACCGTTTACGCCGTTGAGCCGAGTGAGCGGCCCTGGGAACGACGGAATCAACGATTCGGCACTAACAGACATGTTGGATGAATTCAAGTCAAGTTGAACAGCTTTGCTATCGAAATATCTCAGGAAACCGTTTCACTACATTGCAATGGGCTCCTACCAGGCTAAATATACAACTAATCGGATGGCATTGTGGTCTACAATCCTATTCTCAGCTCATCCTCGTGAGGCCCCCAGTTACCCAGCCACAAAGTGGTCTTTGATGGCCCGAATACGGCTTGCCATGGCGCAAACCACCGCAGTAACGGGGCATTATTTTTCGGCGTCCGAATCCGTAGAAGGATCCTCCGATAGAGAAGGCTGAAGTCGCTGAACCTAATACGCCTCAGCCGTGCTGGGAATAGAAGCTAGGGATATTTTTGCCGACAAATGAGCCTCCTCATGTAGTGAGCCTGCTCGGAAAAAACAACCGAAGGGCGGAAGAACTCGTCTCATTCGTTTGACTAACATCTATTTTGAGCCCGAAACAACAACTAGCAAAGTACACCGTTTAACCTAGAGGGATCTGACCATCACATCACGAGCCGCTAACTGTCCGATACTACCAGCCAGAAACACATCCCGGAGGCTCACCTGGATCCCACGCTCTTCGCAAAGCTTCTGAAATCTGATGGCGTCCATACTGCTAGCACCCAGCTCCCAAATTGACTTTTGGCTATCGATTTCCGGTTTGTCGAGATCAAGACAAGCACCAATAGCCTCCGAGAAAATCTCAACTGCATCCGTTCCCACCGTCGCAACCGCCCCATTGCTCGACAGTCCCTGCTCCTGCAGCCTTCTATCGCCCGATTCCTTGGCTTCCTGGGCCATCGTATTCGTGCATCCTACCCCGCTATTCGGTGCAGGCTTGAACGATGATGCCCCCAAATCTATAATCTCACCAGGCGTGGTTTCCAGGATCATGAGCTGCAATGCAAACATCAGAGCGAACTCTAGGCGCTGTGCAACCTCTTCGCTGATACAGCCCATGTCACATTCCATATCGACCAGAATTTCTTGCTGCGTTGTCTCCGTGAATTCAACCGTCAGAGGGAACTTTGAGCCACCCGTATTCCTGCATGGAATGGGCTGAACCTCTGCGCCTTTCAGTTTCAGTAACGGTCGCTGGTCAGCCGCAGTATGATATGTAACCATAACCTTGAAAAGGGGATCAGAAAGGCTGGGTGCAAACTGGACCAACTGACGCAACGTTCGGAATGGGATAATGTTTTCCAGAGCCTGTTGGCTGCTTTCCCGGACGGATCCCAGGAATTGGACGAGTGTTTCGTGCTCCAATATTTTCCTCCGAATACGAATCAACAAGCGATCAAGAAAAAGACCGGACATGTGTTCTGTCCCGCCTTCTGTACGATGAGTGAACGGCGCCGCGAGAAGCATGTCATCCCGTCGGTCGAGGCACTGTAAGCAGAAGAATACCCCTGCTAGCGCAATTTGATGCATTGTTACAGACGCTTTCGTGGCGATCTGGGACAGGCTGCGAAACATGGACACGGAAAGGGTCCATGACCGTGTGAATCCCATGTATGTGGCTGGCGCTGGCTTGGGGCTACCGAATGTGAGCGGTCTAGGGAGGTCAGACAGATACGAAGACCAGAACGAGAGAGTCCGCGGAATCGGCTGTATGGCTTGAGACCAGTGTGCCCAATCAATGTATGTTTTCTCAGTCGTTGACCTTCGGGGTAGAATGGTCCCCGACCCAGTTTGGGGGGTGGCAGCCAGGAAATCGTATGTTTCTGAGACCTGATTGAGGTACGTTGCCATTGTGGTTGCATCACCGACCACGTGTGACATGACGACCACTAGCATGGCCTGCATCGGTCTCCCAATGACGATAGAGACATCGACGGGCGGTTCAATTGCGAGATCAAAAGGTTTGGTTACTCGGCCGTGAACAAAAGAGCCCAGATTCCCAGTCTGAACGACACGCGGCACTTCAGGGATGCTGGTCACCAGCGATCGGGAAAATGTACCCTGCAAAACTTGATATCTAGAACGGAATACTTCGGTATCTGCTGTCACCATTTGAAAGGCACTCGCCAGAGTCTCAATGTTGATCTCGCCTTGGATTTTGCAAAAGTAGTTCATGTTCCCGGCCGGAGAGCCACCCGAGATAAGATGATTGAGGAACATTTCCTTCTCAAGATATGACAGCGGAAGGTCACTATCTCGTGGAATTGATGGGGTTTCTAGGAAGGATGTCACGGGGTCATTTGTGTTGGTTGAATCGCCAAGGAGTTCCTCAATGGCAAGTGACAAATCCTGAAGGATAGGATGACGAATGACCGTTTTGAGAGGCAACGGGCGGATGTTCCATTGTTTAGATATAGCCTGGGCCACTTTTATCTGCAATAGGGAGTGACCACCGAGCTCAAAGAATCGGTCCTTTGGACTGATGGGCATTTGATTGATATCGCGAGTGAGAACCTCTGCCCAGATGACTGCAACGGCTCGTTGAGTATCAGTCTCAAGCTCTTCGTATCTCGTGTTTTGCTTGTCTTGCTGAATTAGATATCGTTTCAATGCACCAGTGTCAACTTTATGGTTCGTAGAAGTAGGAAGAGTCGCAAGTGCGATGATCTTGTTTGGAACTGCATACTCCGGAAGTTGCGACTCAAGACGCTTTGCCAAATCGGTGACGTTGATGGTCTCTGGAGTCACGAAAGCAATGATGTATCCATTTGACACGACGAGCGCAACGTTCCTCGCTGCAGACGCCATTTTGGAAATTGTGCTTTGGACTTCCCCAAGATCGATTCGGAACCCACGAAGTTTGATCTGGTTGTCTTCTCGGCCTATGTATTCGATATTCCCGCTCTCAAGTTGTCTTCCAATATCACCGGTTCGAAACATGATTTGGCCAGGATGAAAGGGATCGCTTAGGAAACGCTTGGCTGTTTCTTGCTCGTTGTATAGATATCCAGGCGTAACTTGTATTCCAGCCAGGTAGATCTCTCCACTGACTCCGATTGGGACTGGTCTTTTCATCGTGTCAAGAAGGTAACACGATGTACCCGGCAGTGGCTTCCCAATTGACACATTTTCTCCTGGACGCAGCCTCGCAACCGTGGAGATTAAAGTGCACTCCGCAGGACCGTATCCATTGACCATGATGCGGTCAACAGACCATTTATCATTGAGAGCCTGGGAGACCGCTTCCCCCGCGACAGTGACTATCTTCAAATTAGGGTAATCGGACGGATCGAGCGTTGCAAGCAGGGACGGAGTTGCCATTGTTGCGTCAACTCTGGAAAGATGGGAGATGGGGTTCTCCGGATCTTTCAGGACGAGCGTTGCTCCGAAGCACAGGGTCGAGAAGACTTCCTTGATGCAGCAATCAAATCCGAGCGAGAGCATCTGTGCATTGCGTTGTCCTGGAACCGAGTGTAATCTTCCTTCCGGCTGGGAGATCACGTTTAGGATGCCTTTGTGTTGTATTTGGACAGCTGGATTGTTGTTAGCTTTTGTCCGGATTTTGTTCAAGGAGTACCTTGGAAAGGGTAAAGCATACCTTTGGGAAGACCTGTGCTTCCCGAAGTGTATATCAAACAGGCAATATCATCACCACTGGCGATGCTGTTGACAGAGGGAATGGCATCGGCCGAGGGGCTGTCTTGCGCCATAATCGACTCAACGTTGAGAGATGGAACGTCACACGGCATTACCTCTTGCTCTGAATTTGTGTATAGAACAAGTGATGCTTGACAGTTTCCAACCATGTATCTCTTTCGCTCAATCGGAAGCATCTGGTCGATAGGACAGTAAATAGCGCCGATTTTGATAACTGCGATCATGGCGAGAGCCCACGAGAGGGAGCCGTCACTGATGACACAGATCACATCCCCTGACTTTGTGTGCTTGGATAGTCGCCTAGCAACTTTGTCGGTCATCCTACCGAACTCGTGGTATGTGTGAGAGTTCGCTAGGCCCTCGACGGCACATATATTGGGGTGATCTCGGATCATGTGGTTGATTGCCTGCGCTAGGTTCTCGGCGTCGCTGGAGATTCTGGCCATCTCTGCTGAGTTTGAAGTGAAGTTACCGATTGCAGTGCCAGCGAGCATGGTTGAAGTTATATGATTTAAGCTAAAGCCTGGAGTAGCATCAACAAGGCCTGTGAGGAGACCGTCAAATTGGCGCATCATCCGTTGGACAACTCGATCGTCGAAGTGAGACTTCCGGTAGAGAAACCGGACCCGGAACCTTCCTTCAGAACTGTCTAGCAGAGCCGTCAACGGGACTTGTGTCACTTCTGTGTAATAGATATCTTCCGGCGCGGAGGTCAATTTCGATACCCATGGAGATTGGGGAAAGTCATATTGGAGGGCAAAAAGTGTCTCAAAGAGCTCTGCCGGTTTGCATCTTGAGGCTTCCTGGACGAGGGAAACGGGCGACCACTGGAAGTCCAGGATACCACATAAACTTTCAAATACCGACCGTATAAAGCCTTGCACGGACTGGATATGATCCGTGTTCACTTTGAGCGGCAGGGTGTTAATCATAGGCCCGATGACATCTTCAACACCTGGGATAGGGAGACTTCTACCGGAAAGAACGGCTCCCAGGATGATGTTTTCGGCGCTGCAGTATCGGGACAAGAGAAGGCCCCATGCGGCGTATAGAATTGTCGCTGGAGTGACTGCAAATTTCTCTTTTGCTGCAAGTTCAAGAGCTGGCACGCTGACTCTGAGTTGATAGGAAACATCTCCTTGCGTGTAGTCGTTGATGTCGGATGGCGGCGACAAACGAAGTCTTTGAGCAGGAAGGTATCCTTTCAGATAATCTTTCCAGAACGTGACGGCCCTGTCCGATGAATCAAATTCCAACTTGTGGATTGCATGAGAAACCTGAGCAAACTGTGATGCTGGCGGCAGCTCTTGATTGTCGAGACAAGCGGCGAAGTCGCGCATTAATGCTGCCATGGACCATCCATCAACTAAACTGTGGTGGACTGTCCAGATAAACCGAGTGCGGCGATTTTGCAATGTGAGTAGAGTGACCTGAGACAATGACTGTCGATTCCCGGCATCGAATTCAGGAAGTCCATTGAAATCGAGAAGCTCTTCGGATTGACAGGCCGGTTCCCACTCGGATTCGCTGATTGATCGTTGTTTCCAAGCAAATTTAGGCTCATCCGATATGATCTGAGCACCGTGTGAAGCAGTGAGAATAAACGATGTCCGTAGAATTTCATGTCGCTGGTGAAGACGGTCCCAAGCAGCATAAAGAAGAGGCGCCAAGTCGGCTTGTCCAGGATGTTGAAACGTAAAAGACGTCTTGATGAATGAATGCCCCGGATTAGAAAGACCGGCGCTTATCATTCTGGTTTGTATGTCGGTCATGGGTGCTATTTTTTGGTTTCCAAGAGACCTGGTCATCGATATCTCTTCTTTCAAATGGTCCAGTAAGGCTTGGTTCGCTGGCGAAGCATAAGGGGCAGCATCCAACATGACCCGGGCACTTTTGGATAACTTGCTCACATCGTCTAGCATGAGAACTTCAGCAACACCTACATCAAGCCCCATCTTTCTCAATGTTGACACTAGCATGACAGCAGCAAGAGAATGCCCACCCAACCGACGGAATGAGGAATCCTCATGAATGTGCGACTGCGGCAATCTGAGAACATATGAGAAGCCCCTTTGCACAGCTTCTAGCGCGGGTAAACCTGTTTCTAGTTTGATCGAGTCTGCTTCTTGTTCTGCTTCATGCATATGCAGCAACCTTTTCCGATCGACCTTCCCGTTGCTAGTAGTCGGAAAGTCACCCAGGGAATGAACTGTGTCCGGGATCAGAAATGAGGATGTAGTTTGCTGAAGGTGTTCTCGAAGGCCTGTTTTGGCTCCAACGGGGCTCACGAATGCAATCAATCGCCCTTGTGCCATGAAGGCGGATGCGCGCTTGACCCTGTCGAAGGACAGCAGCGCAGGCTCAACGTCGCCCTCTAGGTTAATCAAAAAGCCTCGGTTTTTCACCATGCTATCCTTTCGACCGCAGAACTGTATTCCGTAATCCGTAATTTTTCCATAGTCTCCGGTCTTATAAATCTTTATGCCATTCCGGGTTACAAAAGAGTTCGCAGTACGACCCGGATCCTGAAAATAGCCGAGAGCTAAACCGAGCCCAGCGATGCAAATTTCTCCTTCGGAAGACTCGTCTCCATTCTCGTCGAGAAGAAAAATAGTGCTATACGAGATTGGAAATCCTATCGTAATGGGCTGTCCAGGTAGTAGCTTCGCCATGAGCGCGGTGCAAGTTGTCTCTGTGGGTCCGTATGAATTGTAGAGCCGCCGATGAGGCGATGACCATGCCTCGATCAGTGATGGGCTTGGACTCTCACCACCTAGAAAGATCGACTCGACAGCGTCGAAACCGGCTCCCGGGTCCAGTGTCACCAAAATGCTTGGAGTCAACGGCAAAACATGACATGTTTTGGCTGCTGCTTCAAGTGTTTGGGGATCGGACAGAACAAGGGTACCACCGTTGCAGAGAGTGTTGAACATGACACCAGCACATACTAGTCCACGCGAGTTAGAACAAGAACAATTTATTCATCTGGAGGAACTCACCATCGAATGCAATTGAGCATATGAGTAACACTCGTGTGCCGGCCTTCACATTCAAGTTAAAGGGAAGCTCACCACCTTCTGTCACATAGCGCGAAATGGACCTCTGGCCAACCATGACTCCCTTCGGCTTCCCTGTCGTCCCACTTGTGAAGATAATGTATGCCAGATCATTGCCTCTATCTGCTGTATCCGAGCCTTTGTATATTGCCGAATGATCTTTAGTTGTCTCGATATCCTCGATTCCAGTACTGTGCAGTTCGACCCGAGAATACGGGTAGGAATGAGCTGGGGACGTGGAAGTTGAAACAATGACTGGCGGATCAACAGCTTGAAGGACACTTTCTATTCGATCTTCACCCCACGACTCTATGTCAATTGGTATGTAGATAGCACGAAGTTTGAGGATTGCCAAGACCGCTGCCACCATGGCAATAGAGCGGGTAGAGAGAAGAGGCACTATGCATCCTGGCCCTATTCCAGCAAGTCGCAACTTTTCGCTCCATTTTTCCGAAAGAATATCAAGTTGCGCGTAAGTGATGCTATTCAAATTGTTCTGATTGGCAGTCTGCGTTACATTCTCAACAGCGACAGATGAAGGCTGATCTCGCAGTTGGGCGTAAAAGTGGCCAAGTAGGTAGGTAGCGCGGAAATTCATTTCTGAGGATGTATCAAAGAGAGATTAAACTGTATGCAAAACTGTTCATGCCACTCAAATCTGTTAAACCTTTGAGATTTAGAAGCTCGCGTCGATCTCGGATCCGTATGCTAAGGGCTTACTGTTTGACGCATTTCGGCTGAGTGAGACAAAGAAAAAGCCGAACTGCGGCGCCGAACGGCTTCGGCGAGTTTGGGTTTCATTCTCTTTCGATATCCTCCGAGAACAGTCAGATCGTTGTCGAGCCTGGAATCGTTGTTCATGAGGTAACCTGTGGGTTTATCTTCGAGTGCATGGCCCGAATTTGGATGCGAAGAATTCCCAACCGTTCATACATTGCTGAATAGCCCGCTCTGAACATCGGACATCCCAGAACGCGACGAAAAATCGAACACAATGGAAAACGAGCTGGATCATCTCAACTGGAACATCAAGCATGCTCTGTCGCAGCTTGCGGGGCCTCTGTCGCAAGAACTTGACTCGTGCCTCGAAGTCTCCCCGACATCGATGAGCTCGTCCAGCGCGGTTTACAAAAAGCTCCTGGACACGGTGCAAGCGTTGGACAAGCTTCTTGTCACTCTGACCCCGCCTCATATGACACTGGTTGATGGCGTATTTGGTAATTCCTTTCCCAAATTCATGTTCTACCTCCAAAATGTGTAACTGACCGGAATCCAGCCTTCACGAACAGCAAAGTTCTACTGTGTGCATCGGAGTATGCGCTGGCTGATCATGTCCAGAGGCTCCAGCCCTGCAGTATTTCCGAGCTTGCTAAGTCCACCGGTCTGCATGAGCAAGGCCTCTTCCAAATCGTTCGATACCTTCGCGAAATGGGATATTTCCACCAGGACCCGAAAACCGGCAGGCTGTCGAACAACCGACTCTCGGACCTGCTTCGTAAAGACCACTGGGCCACTTGGCTCAACTGGGTCGACTTCTTCCCACGGGAGTACTACGACCTGATCTCACGTCTGCCTGACCAGCTCAAGAGCGACCAGCCCAAAACCGCTACTGAACTCTTCTACAACACCGACAAGCCCATCTACCAATACCTAGCCGAAACAGGACGAATCGCCGACTTCCACAAAGTTACCGGCACCGGAAGCGTAGTCGAGGCTCCGGGCCTGCTGGCTGATTATCCCTGGGGCGAAGTCAAATTCGAGACCGTCATGGACATTGGTGCGGGCGCCGGAGACTTCATCCGTTCGTATCTGGAGCGATTCCCGGACGCCACGGCGGGTGCCTTTGAGCTCCCATCGACCGCAGAGCTTCTGCAGCAGAAATTCCCTCCAGAAGATCCACTGACTAGTCGACTCGTCACCGTGGCTGGAGGAGATTTCTTTAAAGACGAGATTCCGAAATCGTCCGTCTACTTGCTTCGATGGATTTTGCATAACTGGGGCGATGACGAATGCGTAAAGCTCCTTCGTCGTATTCGAGATACCATCATCCTGACCCCCGGAATCAGTCGAGTGCTGATTGTGGAATCCGTTCTGTTCGATGGCCGTCTGGGTCGCGGGGCACGATATGCGGATATTCGTATGCTAGCTCGGTGCAGAAACAAGGAACGCACGCTGGAGGAATACAAAATATTGGCCGAGGAGGCTGGATGGCGCCTTGACAGGGTTGTCTCCCCGCGAGGTTGTCTCACGCAGATTCTTGATTTGCGCCCGATGGGGGCAAGCTCAGTGTCGCCGAAGCTGGGCTGTAATGGCAAAGGGGGCTTAGAATGGGAATCTGAGTTGAGATAAGATGTTGCAGAATGATTTATGCCCGTCAATACATAGTTATGTGATAAACTTCATCTCAAAATTGAAATCTGACCCTTGTTTATGTTCTAAGATTGCGGGAGATGGTATTGAAGCTTGAGTAGATCGTTGCAAGGAGGAACAGGGAGAAAAATGAAGGAAGACCCTTCTGGACTACGCGGTGTTTGTGGTGTTTGCAGGCATACGTCGTTTCCTTATTTGGGATATGGCATCGACTCAAATTGATTAGGCTCATCAGGGGCGAAGAGAATCAAAAATAAAGAGAGAGAAGATGGCGAGAGAATTAGAATGGTTACAGGAAGCAAATTGAACAGGCCATGGAAGAAGCGGGGATCAATTAGTTCAACATTATGGGGTAGTTTCTATGTCATGCCACAACGCAACAAAGCAAAATCATGCTGGCTTATGCTGTCTTATGCGCTCAAACCTTCTTGAAGATCTGAGGACCACCCTTGATAACCCGGGCAGTCGCCGTACATATTCCTCCAAGGATCATGGTTGCTCCCGCGAAGCACATTAAGCCCGTAAATTGGTCTCCTTCTCTGTCCTTGATGGCCCCTTCGATTGGAAGACCTGTCAAAGCGCCGAGAGCTATTGCCAAGCAAAATCCTCCAAGTTTAACGCCAATCTCATCAATACGATCTTCCGCGAGGGCGACAACGCAGGGGGGTCCCAGACTGACGAATCCGCCGCTGACAAAGCCATAAAGCAGAGCAAAGACGATGATCCCGGCGAGAGACGTGTGAAACTCCAAAGGAAGCCAAAATGCTAGAACAAAAACACCGGACAGGGTAGTCACTAAGCACATAGCGTTGAATTGACCGATGACATCGCTTGCCCACCCCGGCACAATCCGACCAACCAGCGATCCCGCGTTAGCGACAGCCAAGCTGTACTGAGCAAAGTCCTGGTAGCCATGAAGAGAGACCATCTCCGGCAAGTAGTTCAGGGGCGCAAAGAGGCCCCACATGGTAAAGAAACATCCCAGGACAAAAAATGCCCAAGGCCAGCTCTTGAAACCACGAATCCCACTTTTTGGAGCCGCATCTTTTTCTGCCGGAGGCAATTTGCTCAATGGAGGAAATGGAGACGAGCATAGAAGATTGGCAATCAATAGGAGGATTCCCTGCATCAAGGCGGTCCACCGGACAGCGGATGCAAATCCTACTTGTTGGATCAGACGCGGCAGCATGCATGGATAGATAACGCCACCTGCGCGTCCCAAAATAGTCAGTCATCACGGAACTTTGAATATACGAGAGTCGGCCCTCTTACCTAAACTGCTACCAGAGGAGACAATGCCCACTGCTAGACCTTTTTTAGTTGAGAACCATTGTGTCGCAGCAGCCATTGCAGGGAGAGACAGCCCTGCGGCGGCGAGTCCGAATGCAATTCCTTGAGCCAGCATGACCTGCCAGTATTGCGTACACAGGCTCAACATGCAAACCGAGAATACCGCGAAGACACTGAATGGTGGCAGCAGCTTGCGGCATCCGTAGACATCAATAAGCTTGCCAACGGCCGGTCCAAACATGAACAGAAGGAAGATCTGGAGAGTGGTGATCCAGGCCAAGGAGGACGAGGTCTGATCTTTGAACATGGTCTCGGAATAGTAGAGTTGAAAGATACCGCATCTAGAGGATCAATTGTGAGCAGGATTCATGGATCCGGGGTACTGTCAGGAAGTAGATGATACACATACGCGTTGACATAACCGAAGGAGCAAAACTGCAACAAAAACGAGCCCGCCACGCACGCCCAGGCTTTGGCACCGCCATTAGGTGGAACACGCTCGAGAGGCTTAGTATCCACAGCCCTTTCCTCCTTGTCCATCGTGTTATCCGAAGAAGGATGCTGGTCCAGTGAGGCCGACATGGTGATATAGATGGATTGTTGACAGCGAACGAAGACGTGTGAGAGAGATCAGAAGGGATATCTCAAGGTAGAAGGTGAGAGGGATTCCCATGATGTAGACGTCTATTTTATGATAGCTCGCCGCCATGATGCGAAAGTCGCTCGGGCTCGGGGGGTATGCAAAGGCTCGGCCTCGATGAGAGCGAGAGGAGCAGCGACACCTTAGCGCCTGCCGCATTAGGCAATCTCTCGCCTGAGGCAGCTCGGCCGAGGGCACGGGACGGCGAGCTCGGCCGAGGTGGCTTGGCCCGCGATGGCGGATCGACGCCAAGACCGACGATCTCCTTTCCTTTAACTCGTCTTTCCTCTTAAGAGTCCTCACGCCAGCCTCACGCGCGCCCGAGCTTTGGACGCGCGAACGCAGCTACAACTGGGCTACGGCCCGAATGTTCATTCTTAACCCCTCTTCCCCTTTACAGGCAACAGTTCTGGCTTAGGAAAGAAAACAAAGCATAGAATCGCCATTCAACACCCATGGCAGCGATCCCACAGAGTCCCCGACAGCTGCGCCTTTTACGAGGGCTGAATCTTCAGTGGCTGCTGCTCATGCCACTTGTTTCTTACGGCGGGTGTGAGCTGACTGCCAATACGATATGACCACGGTTTCGAATCTAAAAAAGTCTTTCGCTCGATGTCTACATTCCCCCTGTCATCCTAGAAGAATGCAAGGTTTTTCCATGCTATTGGAGGAAAGCTCAGAGCCATCAGATTTCCCAATCGGGTCAACCGTTTGCTTGGATTAAGCATGGAGATTAGCCCTGCAGAATTAGAGTCTTCGTAGGCTAACTGAATATGGCTGCACCGTTTCATTGCATGTCTTGGGTTTGGCCCCCTCAGACTCCGCCATCCTATTCGAATTCCCCCCCAGGGGTTTTCTTTGTATAATAAAGGCCAAGCTTCCTTGAAATATGTGGTTGAATGATGGTTGTTTGCATGAAACGACCACTCTTTTGCTTGTTTTCCCGGCGCCATCATGACCTCGGCACTCCCCTTCTTGACCAGCCCTCCAAAGCCGCCGCAAGACAATCCGACCCACAAACAAAAGCTACGATCCGCCTGTGACTCTTGTCATCAGTGCAAGGTGAAGTGCTCGGGCGGCTCCCCGTGCTTCCGTTGCGCCTCTAAAGGCCTTTCGTGTCGCTACGGCTATCAGAACCGGGCCGGCAAACCTAAAGGCAGCAAAAATCGGAAGACATTGGAGAGGGCACATCAAATGCGCATGCAGTGGCTTACGGAGCAGCTGCGGGGGGCCAACGGTGAACTCGATGGAATGACCCTTAATCTTACAGACCCTTCATCGCTTCTACCAAGTCCAGCACTCTCGGTCAACCGCTGGAAAACGGTAAGTGTCCCAGAGCAGGTCGTGTACGGTCTTGGATAACAGCTGATTCCAGTCCAGGATCACACCCCGCGATCATCCTCAGGATCGATGTCCCTTAACCCCGTTCAGAAATCTGTCACCGGAGATATCATAGATGACACCGTCCCGTCACCAGATGAACTTGACGCTTGGACGATGGAATTGGGGTCAATCATGGACCCGATGCACCGACCTCAATCTGCTAGCATGGAAGGCTACACAACACCAATGTCGTTCACAAATGGGGCTGGTTACTTAGGACAGCCCGGCGATCCAACTACGCCCTTGACATTTGACTTGCCTTCGCCGCTTCCCAACATCAGTGAAGGCGGGACTGCTTGCGCTTGTGTTCAGAACCAGGCCAACAACGTCACCATATTGCATCAGCTCACGTCTCACGAATCGTTCGATCGATTTGATCTTGCAATGAAATCCGTCACGGCCACGCTTGATACCTGCGACAACTTCAACACATGCCTGGAATGCGAGAAGTCCTTTTCGGCGATCCTTCTCACACTCTCCGCCATCGAAATGATCTTCAAATTATTCGAGCAACTTGTCATCGGCAATCAAAATTTGCTTCCGCAGGAGGACCAACGGTTGACCTTTTGCTCTGTAGGCGATTACAAGGTCAGCCAAGAAGAGGGGCAGGCTATTCAGAATGTCCTGCTCAAGATGACCTTGTCCAAGGCAAGGCAAACGCTGGATTCATTGCACAATCTTGTAGACGGACCAACAGATTCGTTAGATGAGCTTGAACGATACGAACCCCCTGGGGCTGAACAAGGTACACAACATGCCTTAGGGGGCCTTTCCACCATTGATCGCAACTACATTATCCAATGTATCACCCGCAAGAAGACAGCATTGGATGTTCTGATATCGACTGTCACTGTCTAAAAATAGCAGCATCCTAGACGTTGCTCAAAGCATGAAATATAACCTTTCTCTTTTTATTTCATTTCGCTCCGGGAATTGCCCGCGAAAATTACCTGTTTCCAATAATCGAGTTAGTGTAGGTAGTGGTTGCAACTAAGCAATGATGATGCACGCCTAACCCCACTTGAGCCAGTCGGCAGATATGGTGAGTCAGATCAGTACGCCGCAGGATCGATTGTTAGGCTGTTGGTCGATTCGTATAGAGTCAGAATCTTCTTGTTGGCGTGGTCATGGATCCCTAGCTTGGCAACCCATCATTCGGTGGAAATCCAATTCCATGCATGTCATCTCATCATCCCTTTCTCACGCAAGGCTGTCTGGACATGGTGAGATTCATTCCGGTCGCCCCACGAATAGCAAAAGCAACAGTTTCTGACGCCAAGGAATGCAGGGAAATTTCTGCCACGTGAAATATTCCGTCTTACTCCCTGCGCCGTATACACCCTGATGTCTCCCTAGTATCTGATAAGTCAGTATGAATCTCATTCTCGGCTGCAACATCCCATTACTATCTCTCCCTCTGAAGGTTTGTTCCATAATCGTAAATGACAGAGGTGAGCGAGAATGATATTAGAGAGGCCCTCTCATCGAATGTGGATATATCTCCCGTCATATCATTTCGTCGAACAATTCGATGTCCTGATCCTCAAATTTTGAAGCGATCACACTGTGGAACATTAGATCTCAGTTATAGTGAACCAAATGCAATCGGCTCGCTGTTGAGCCGGTATCAAAATTCAGTGCCACGGTATCAGAATTGACCATATAACTCGGTCATCTTGCATCAAACCCCTTGCTCCCGACATTGTACAAGTCATCTCACAGATAAGCGCTATTTTTACAATACGACCTCTGATAATGAGTTAGCTTGGCTATACAAATATGTCCAGAAAGCAAAACCCCTCTACGGACTGTCTAGAGAGTGTTCTTATCTACCACTGCACTTAAAAGGATTAGTCCCCTTTAGCCAAGGACTATTCTAGTGCATATTCCACGCGGCAACAGTTTCGTTTTCGCTTCTATAAATACCAGACAGGTCAAATCCGGGCAACTCTCCAATTTCTAGGCAAGACAAAAGTTCCTGCCCCTGAGGTATTCGATTACGGACTGCAAAGAAAATCTCCTATTGGGGTCGGATACATCCTTATGGAGAAGCTCTCAGGGAAGTCACTGCGCTGGTCCCTGGCCTCTCTAGAGCAAAGGAAGAAAATCATGAGCCAGCTGGCAGATATATACATCGAATTGGAGTCATACCCCTTCGGCATCATGGGGTCTCTGGACCGACCAGGGACTGATCAAATCGGACCTTTCGCACGAGAATCGTTGACGAACTATTTCAATTCGGAGATTCTTCCTCTCGGTCCTTACAATACTCCTAGAGAATATCTTTCCGCCAGTATTGAACTGATACTAGGGTTGATCATGAAAGGGGAAAGCTACGCAGGACGTGAAATATATGCATTCTTAGTCCATCGCTTTCTTATGGATTCTGTTTCTGAGGTTTTGCTACAACACAAATTTGACGACGATCGCTTTTACTTGAGATACGCGGATGATAAAGGAGATCGCATCCTCATTAATGATGATTATGATATAACAGGCATCATCGACTGGGAGTGGGCTTATACAGATTCGAAGTCTGCGGCGTTCAAGTCTCCAATCATGCTTCTTCCCGTCGCGGAGTTTTACAACGGGGTCAATAAGATTGGCGAGGATGAGTCGACCTTTGCAACAATACTGGAGACGAGAGGCCATCAAGACCTTGCAGACTTAGTGAGAAATGGCCGAATTCTTCATCGATTCCAGTTCTGTTGCGGGTACGACTTCGCCGATTGGGAAGGCTTTTTGGGTCTTTTTCAAGGTCTCCGAAATGCCTTGAACAAAGATGCAGACATAAGCTGGGAAGTTTGGAAACAGAATGCCTTGAGGAGATACTCGGATGATGAACGGTTGAAAGAACTCTTGGCGCGGTATCAGGCAACATGAAATGGGGGGTGGTTCGTGCGCGGGTGGTTTTCCCATACGACGTGGGCAAAATATCATTGATTTACGGCATCAGAAACCGATTTGCCAGGGCCTCGTCGTAATAAACAACAGACCGAATAGTAGATGCTGTTTGCTTCATGCTTAGCATCTTGACATCGAAAGCAATTGATTGAGAGGGGTATCTTGATTATAATACATGAGGGTCGAGTTTCCTATCTTATAAGCTGTCAAAGAGCACCACCGCTCATCAACCTGTTTGAGATATGACCCACGAGTAGCCCATGTATCGTGGAATGGCTTAATTACAACCCCACGCTGTTCAACAGCGTGGTAAAGCTTTTCGCACTCATCCTGCGCATCTCGAAGCGCGTCCTCCGGAGCCATGATTGGGTTTTTTCGGCGGGATGAGTTTTTCTTTGGAGTCTCGTAGTGTAGATCGAGTGCAAAGCTCAGTCGTTTCAAGTTTGGTACAAAGTCGGAGGACGCGAAGGACATCACCCAATTGTCTCACGCGCTGGTCTTTACAAGCGACGTCGGACCCCGGAAGCGTAAAGTTGAGAGATCTGGGGGGAGGATCGTGTAGAGAGTGGAAAGAAGGGTTTCATTCTCGAAGACCTCGCCGACTGAAAAAACGAGGGTTTTCAACGCTGGCAGCTGCGGAAGAATACACGTAAAAAGGTCTTCTTTGGTGAGATGGAAATTTAATCCGTCTGTAGAGCGAATGTTGAGTGTAGATAGCTGCTCCACGACATGAGGAAGCGCGACGGTCATCCGGTTGAAAATATCGATGGCATCATTTTCGATAATCTCCAGTGTGGTCATCGTGCTAGGAACTGTTTTAGGAAGAAGCGGTAGGCCATCATTGCGTGTGGTTGGCGCCAGCGTTGGTTCAATCCCCACCCATCGCTCTTTGATGTTTTCAACGACCAATTCTGGAATCGATACTATTTGCGATCTCTTCTTTTCACTAGCATACCTAGGTTCCTTTTATCCTCGAGCAATCGCTTCCCTGTTCGCTTGAGATAGTTCATTGCTGGTTGGACCTTCAAACCGTAGTTCGTGTGTTGTTAGTAGGGCGAGATGTTTGACTCTTCCTTCGAGAACGAATGGACTCTGGATTGCTTCTCCGCAGGCGCTACTAACACAAAGCCGGTCCAACGGCCAATGTCCCGGTAGTTCCGCATCGTTCAACTCCTCGTTGAAACCACTGCACATCTCCAGGTCCTTTATCTTGTTGAAATGATTCCCAAGCAGCTCCCACTCAATGTTCGAAGGTGTATCTTCCGTTATTTCGAGAAACTGAGTATCCCGGGGGATCTTTTCTAGTTGCGCAAGGAGTAGGTCTCGGTGGTCATCTTCTTCGGTTTCATGGGGTTCTTTGACCTGGACTGTGAATCTAATGCTGTCTGGATGAGGTGACTCCGTACTGAAGTGTTTTCGTGTGGATGTATTCCGGAGTGGTGGAGGATGGGTGGCTGTGAAGACTGTCCGGCAGACCTTCGATCGCGTTGCTGCCAGACAGGTATGATAGCTCCCGTGACGTGAGAGGAGGCCATGGACGAGCCTTCGGTAGGGAATTACCTGTCGCTGGGTGAGAGTTATGCTATACAAACAGAGATGGGTATACCTACGATGGTGTCCGACCGAAGGAAGTGTGGGTTTGTTTACCTGCCGCCGTCACCTTAGCACGTACCTATCCCCCCGGCTGTCTCACGTGGTGGTGACTCGAAGACAAGGTGGATTGCAAGCTCCCACCTCCGCCTTCTGATTCAGGAATCGAGATGTCATTGATTGCTTAGTTACAGCTAGGAATTGACGGTGCTGGACATGGACCTTGTACGAAGTACAATCCAAGTGGGGATCGGGGATCGGCCATCTCCACGCCTCTCCACAATTCCCTCTCATCTCCGAGTATCATCATGGATCGACAAATGACACTCAGGTCTGGACAATCTACATTTCACTAAATGCGTCTCAAGTACTTTCGATGCTTAAGAGACGACAATATGAAAGCCGCAAGTACGCTCGCCGGTCGGTTATATATAATGGTACATATCTCCCCTTTACGTCAAAACTCGATTTGCTTTACCCAGATAGTTTCTTCTTTCTTGGAAACAAAAAGTACTTTAGCCTTTCACAACTCTCATAATGTCTTCAACCGAAAAGCAAGCAAACGGGAACGAAGTCCAGTATTCTTCTCCAGAGGGTACAGTCATCGCCCCTGATCTCCACGATGAGAGAATCGAATGCTTAGAGAAACCAGAAGACGGCTCCTTTACAAATTTTAATGATCTATCATCATTCCACCGAGAATATCTTCTGAAACGTCACGGCACACTGGATCTGGACCCTATCCCCAGTCCATCGGGCACAGACCCATACAACTGGCCGACATGGAAGGTATGATAATAAGAATATGAGAATAGAGAGATGTGGAGTTATACTGAGAGAATGGCCGTAAAATAGAAAGTTACAAACCTGATACTGGTTGCCTTTCATGCATGCATGGGAACATTCACGGCCTCAATCATCCCAGCATATGAAGATATCTCTCTTGACCTCGGCGTCTCTCTGCAAAGAGCCAGCTATCTCACTTCACTTCAAATCGCTATCCTCGGTGGTGCGCCTTTGTTTTGGAAGCCACTTTCTAATAGATACGGTCGTCGTCCTATCTTTCTGTTGTCCACGATCTTGAGCTTGGTTTGCAACGTTGGCTGCGCCAAAAGCCCGACGTATGCCTCCATGGCTGCGTGCAGAGCTCTGACGGCTTTTTTCATATCCCCAGCTGCTGCTATTGGCAGTGCTGTGGTGGCTGAGTGCTTTTTCAAAAAGGAAAGAGGTCGCTATATGGGTATTTGGACGTTAATGGTCACTCTCGGTGTCCCAGCTGGTTTGTGCATCGCTCTTAGATGCGAGGTCGTGATATGACTGTGCTGATTATACCCCTTCTAGGGCCGCTGGTCTTTGGGTTTGTGACAACGCGTGTCGGTTACCGCTGGATCTTCTGGGTTCTCGCAATTACAAACGGTGTCCAATTCGTCCTCTGGTTTTAAGGCCCAATATTTCTCATTTCGTCGAATTGACCCAGCCCCACTGACATATAGAGAGTTTTTACATCCCCTGAGTATGGCTGCAAAGCCAAATATCATGATTCCCGCTGTGGTGTATGCCATGGTTTTCTTGTTCGGCAGCGTTCTGATCACCGTGGAAGTACTTCAACTATTGCAGGAGAAGTTTGGTTTGAATGCCGAGAAACTCGGCCTCCAGTTCCTAGGCGTGATAATTGGTACTGTCTTGGGTGAGCAGATCGGTGGATCTGCCTCAGACTACTGGATGAATCGGCGGGCACGACGCACGCAAGAAACTCCAGAACCCGAATTCCGACTCTGGCTCAGCTACCCTGGGATCATTCTCACCATTGTCGGAGTTGTAATCTTCCTCGTTTGCACGCAGGAAGCCGATGAAGGACACTGGGTTGTGGCGCCGATTATAGGCACCGCGGTTGCTGCGTTTGGTAATCAGCTGGTAACGACAGTCATGGTGACATATGCTGTCGATTGCTGCCCGCAAGATGCAGGCAGTGTGGGCGTGTTTATCACATTTGTCCGACAGATGTGGGGATTTATCGGGCCTTTTTGGTAAGGCTGCCTCGGGGCGTTTCCTGGTAGTTTATTTCTAGCTGCACGTTTCTAACCTGATTTAGGTTCCCTGATATGTTTGACAATGTTGGCGTTGCTGCTAGCTCGGGCATTACAAGTGCTCTCATGTTTGTCTTTAGTTTTTTGTTTGCCATCGTAGTCCATGGTATGGGAAAGAAATGGCGTCGTCGGATCTAGTATTTGGTCTGTAGATATCTTTGTGGGATCAACACGAATAAGAACCTGGCCACTATCATTCTCGGGCAATGCTCGTAACAGATTACCAACCTATTAATCAAGCATCTGTACCTAGTGGCAAATAACGGCCATCCGTCCAGTAACATGAGACACCGGTTCGATGGCGTCAGCACTACTCATACGCTGACACCGAAGATCAACACTCATGCCTCCCCACACCCCACGGCGTTTCCCACTCTCAACAATCTGATCTGAATGCATGTCTTCACCTCCGCATTTGGATTGAGGAATAGCATAATCGTTTCCCGCTGTGGATTCGTCATCGCCAGTTAGGGATCCAATAGCAGAAGGTACTAGTGTCGTAGGATGAATGTTTCTCAGAAAGATTAGTACGAAGCTAGCCAATCAACTAGTCAAAGGCGAAAGAGCACTTCCCTCCTATTTTATCATCCATTTCACTTCGGTCATATAGGCCATTTAACCATTCATTGATTGGGTTGAGGGGTTCTGGGTAGCACGGTATACAGTGTGTCTGTGGATAATGACGCTTGTTTCTGACGAGCCTTCTAGCAAATCCGGCGTAGCTCGGTAGAGCTACTTTTTTGATCAGGTGGTGATGCCGTAAATACTCTCTAGAGGAAGGACAAAAGAAGAGAAGGGGGACGCCGGACTCCGTGGTGAAAAGGGAAAGGTGGGGGAAGCGTCGGGCGGTAAGGAATTGGTGGAAGGGGATTCTGCTGAGGCCCCGCCGGCGTTCTCGACTTTCCTTCCCTGCAAACCCCTCCGACGATCTTTTGCTGCTTCATTTACCTTGGCAGATTCAACACAATAAACTTCTACTAGATATTATACATTTATAGATTGTTCGATCAATATGTGTTCATCTGCCGCGCAAGATGGGCAATTCAAGCCCTATGATCAATTCATTATCTTCGGCGATTCCATCACTGAAATGTCGAGTATCCAAGATACTGGCTTTGGGTTAAATGGCGCGTTGCAAGATGGTATGTGCTTGATTCATGTTCACCCACTGATTTCAGCCATACTGACTGCTTGCTAGCGTACCGTCGGCGCCTCGATGTCATCAATCGTGGATTTAGGTATGCTCAGTAATATCTACTTGAATCAAATCTGGGAGCCCATTCTCATCAATGCGCTGTTTTTAGTGGATACACAACAGCCCACGCCATCAATGTCTTCCCTAAATTCTTTCCCACACCCCAGCAAGCCACTGTTAGATTCATGGTACTAGATTCTATATTCTTGCAACCCTTGATTCAAACTCACAGACACCGATCAGGCGATATTCTTCGGTGCCAATGACGCCTGTCTGCCCGGCACCACGCAACACGTCCCCCTGGCAGAATACAAGCAGAACCTGAAAAGTATTATCCAGCACGAGGCAACAGTTGCCCAAGAAACCAAGATTCTACTCCTTACCCCAACACCTGTGAACGAGTATCAGCTGCAGGGTTTCGACGAGGGTAAAGGAAACGTCCATCCAAGTCGAACCGCCAATTTCACGAAAACGTATGCGGACGCGGCCCGCGAAGTCGCGGCCTCGACCGGAGCGGTGGTCGCCGATGTTTGGATGGCGTTTGTTTCCGCTGCGGGATGGAAGGAGGGTCAGCCGCTGCCCGGATCAAGGGACTTGCCTGAGATTGACGCTTTCAAAGCGCTGTTTACGGATGGTATGTTCATTTTCTTTATTCCCCCGTTTCTCTTTGTCTCAGATAGAGGGTGTGGATGGTTTATTGGAACAGTATGCTAATTCTGTTCCTAGGACTACATTTGACTGCGGACGGGTACCGGGTGGTCTATGATGTTATTATGAAGGCCATTAGGGAAAACTGGCCGGACCAGGACCCCGAGCAGCTTCCTCTCATTCATCCCGGGTGGATGGAGGCTCCGAAATGATGGACTCACGATATAGACATGGTCAGTGAGTCTTTCTTAGATGGATATGTGGTATATGAGCGTAAACATTAGTCTTCTTATATAGACTCGCATCAGCGATTTGGGTGTTCGCACCATTGATTCCTAATGCACTGCTGAAGATGAATTTTCTTATTATTGAGAACATGTTTCCGAATTCTATTCAGCTGAAAGCATAGCTTTTGCAAGGACCAAACATATTATCGAGGTTTCACCTTCTATACTTCACCACAAAATCGGACAAAACCTTTGCTTTTGAAGTTTGAAAACACGAAAGAGGCAACAAATAGCATCTATAACCCACCGCTCCGCCCTGTCTTATATCACCAAACACTCACTCCCGAGAATACTTCATCGTCGGACCATTCCACTTGTGCCGTCCGCGAACAATCCAGTCTCCACAGGCAAAGAGCATGACAAAGCCCAACACCGGGCCGGCATAGTTCATATTCTCCGCTGTCACAGGTATCTCAGGCGGGAACGGCAGAAAAATGACAAAATACGTCGCGAATAGAATCGCCACCAGATTCACCGGCAGTCCCCACTTGCCCATCGTGAACGACCCCTGCGGGATCTCGCCAGGAGCAGTGAACCGCTTGATGACCAAAAAGATCAATGGAAGAAGGTAAGAAATGTACAAACCCATGGTGCTCAGCGACAAAATGGCGTTGAACGCAGCAGTGGAACCGATCTGGATGAAAGAGAGAGCGATCACGCATGACGCAACGAGGAACAGCGCCCGGATAGGGATCTTGAACCGCGGGTCGACCTTCACGAAGAAGTCAGAGAACGGGAGCCCGTTGTCTCGCGCAAAGGCCCAGGTGAGACGCGTGACGGAGGCGAGGCCGTTGAACAGCGCGATCCACCCGGGCAGCATCCCCATCGCCATGAGGATGTAGGTGGCGGTCTTGGAGCCGGTCGCTTGGTATGCGATTTGGATGATCGGGTAGCCGGTGGGGCTGAGAAGGGCTTCTTCGTAGCTGCCCATGCAGTATATGGTGGCGATGGCGTAGCCGAAAGCCATGATGGCGTTGATGAGCGTGCCCCAGATCATGGAACGCGGGATCACCGTTTTCGCATTCTTGACTTCTTCCGACATGTGGATCACGCCGTCAACTCCTGCAGTGACCAACCCTGTGATTAGAAGGACTTGCATAACCGAGCAATGGAAAAAAGGAGATGAGAAACTTACCACTTAGAGGTGTCAGGACCCCTAGGAGTCCGACGGAAAAGACCACGCCCGGATTCTGCCAGCCACTGAGGCCACTGACAAATGTGTCCCAGACAAAGGCATCGGGGTTGCGAGGGGCAAGAATGATAAAAGTCGCAATGGTCACCGGCAGGAAGACCACATGCATGATGCCAGCTACGATTTCGATCACGGCAAGAACGCGACGAGCGAATACGTTAATGACGATCGGGATGAGAACAACAGCCCACATCAGCAACGTGCCATGCCATCGTTTGGCTTCGTATTCTGGATGACCGAGAACAACCATCCCTTCAATTTCGGTACCGATGAAGTAAGGCGAAATACAGACTAGGGCAGCCCAAGAGAAGACCTATCAAAGGGTGTCAGCATCAACGCCCTAAGGAAAATACAAGATTGGAGCATCTTACAGTAACCCATCCTACACGTGGACAAGTCAGTACTTGGTCAAACTTAAGCCAAGTCGAGGAGATTCACTGACCTTGGAAGAAGCTGAGAAAACGAGGGCAGCACGGCGCAAGAACATAACTCCAGTGGTATTGTGCTCCTGCAGTCGGATGCCTGTTCCGGAACATCAGCCTTCTGATGTGACAAAAAGCATGGGAGATATGGTCCTTACACTGAAGCTAGCTCAGCTAGAGAGCTCGCAATAGCCAGATTACCTACGGCACTGATGATGATACCGTATACAATGACCGCAGGACCTCCGTTGGCGAGACCAGCCAGCAAACTTCCACCAGTCGCTTCCCAGGAAGCAAGAAGTGTAGCTGAAAATGCCAGGGACGAAAAGAAATTCAAGTATCTCTGCGAGGATATTGTGTCAGGAAACGATGAAAGGGAAAAAGTGAAGAGGATCATGGCCTACCTCCAATTGTTGTCTCTGGCGATAGTCGGCACTGGCATTTCCAGGCGCATTGACTTCGGCTGGTGCTGATCGAACAGCACTGCCGCTCTTCATCTCAACCTCTTCGTCGTACATTTTGAATTTTCCAATGGCGATTATAGATTTCACCCGGTTGCGACAAAGAGTCGAAAAGCTTGGAGAAGACAGAAGAGATTGTTTTCCTCCGGGAGAGACAATCCTTTTCTCCTCCCCTGAAAGGAAAAATCTAATTACCGCGTCGCATATTATCCGGACAAGTGTTGCCGGTGGAACTCCCAAAAGTGGCAAGTTGTCACTGCACCCTAGACCAGATCCATGTCGCCCAAGGCATGCGAGTATGGCGGGATGCAACCGTTATAATACGGACATATGAAGTCGCCAATGAGAAGACGGCACTAAATAACTTAGCACACTAAGGCTGCCAGCATTGGCATCGAGGATGCTGGCCAAGAAGTTTAGTAGGACTTAGTGAGAGACCTAGGGATCGACCGTCCCCAACCCAGTTTAATCTCGGGCAGATTTTGGGTTTCCAAGCCTTTTTGATCCTTTCTTCCGACGTGCCGTCCTACGCCTATGGCGCTCTTGACTTTCTTGGAAGGCTAAAGTGCCTCGGATCAAATGTTGGTGGTTTGGCTAGGATGCGATAGTGTCTGGGCCTTCCTCGCGCAATTAAACCCGGCATCCTGAGTTAGTCGATTTCCCTTGTTCTAGGGAGGCAGCATTGCCTGCGATCAGGGCAAGGCTGGGATCTGAAACAATGCAGTCCAAATCACCCAGGAGTCACAAAGAACCCAGGCCTGTATTAGCCGCCATGGGTGTATCCCAATGACAAATGTGAGAAGCTGTGTCTTCCCTCAATTCCCTCTTCATCTACCAGCCTTCCTCTTTCTCCTTTTTGGTTCCTGCTCGTTTGTTCAACTATGATGCTTCACTGTAACGATGTCCGAATCATTAGCCCCTTTCCAGATCCTTTCCGATGATAATCATGGTCCGCTCGTTACCCTCGTGTCTGTTGCCTTCCTGATCGCTACAATCATTTTTGCTGTGGCGAAATTTGCGTCTGCAATTTACTTCAAGCAGCGGCAGACACTTGTCAATACACCGATATGGATAGGTGTAGTAAGTAACCTAGACTACATACCAAAAGTGTCTGGAATATTGACGAGCATTGATTCCGCCAGATATTAGCAATTGTCGAAGTTGTGCTTATGCAAAAAGCTGTCGACCACGGATTGGGGAGACACATCACTACCCTCAAGACATCTGCTTTCCACAAAGCAAGCAAAGTAAGTAGTGGATGCGCATTTTTCTGCCTCACAATACTTATTCATTTGCGCGGTGCATAGTTTTTCTACGCTGCCCAATTGATCCAAATCATTATCCTCTCGTTATCTAAGATTTCTACTACTCTGTTAGTATGGAAACTGACGCCTAACAATTACCTTCGCCGGGCTTGCACCATCATCATCGGCCTGACTATTGCATGGACAATTTTCGCGCTTTTTGGGATTGCTTTCCAATGTGAAATTCCACGGCCATGGCTCTACAATCCTGATAGATGCGCTGGAGAGGTATGAATCAAATCCCTCGGATATAGAAAACGACAGCTTACTGATAGCTATCATCACCTTAGGGCGTCATTGTCTATCCGATCTCGGTGTTTCACATTCTTCTTGAAATAATCATCATTATTATACCCTTTTTCATGATGCGCGACGTCCAGATGGCGTGGCAAAAGAGACTGAAGATTCTCTGCTCTTTCTCATCGCGATTTCTGTACGTGATTCCATCCAACATTTGACAGTTCTAAAATTAATACCCATCAACAATAGTATTGTCTGTCTCGCGATCTCTCAATTGGTTCTGCTGCCGTCTTTTCTACAATCATCCGATCCTACTTGTACGAGCCTCTTCCTCACACTCTCTGCCCCTTACGTACTGTTATCAACTCTAACCCCATCGACAGGGGAAATCATCTCTCTAGCCATCTGCGGTCAAGTCATGATGTGTGCAACCATCACCATTGCCTGCCTCCCTACCCTCTACCACATCTTCGCCGGTCTACACTCTGGACTCATCACTACCAGACTCCCCGACGAAGTAGAGCTCTCCCATCCGAAAGGAAGCTACATCAACCAATCTACGATCAGTGGCGGCCGAGCGCGAGAGGGCTATACGGGATCGAAGCATCGCAGTTATCTCGACACCAGGAGTTTCAGAAATACGAACTCGGCCGTAATCACCGACATAAGTACATCAGGGCATCTGGACCGGAATGGGCAAGAGACGATGTGGCGATCCAGCGCCAGCGAGAGCACCGAGAGCACCCGACAATTGACCGTAGAAGTGAGACCCGACGGCGTGCTTAAGACGGTGGATATTACGGTGGAGGTAGAGGAGCATCGATCGGACTCACAGGGTTCTTTGTCCCCTCGCTAGTTAGGTGGCCGCTAGAGGGTAATTTAATTAATTCTATTAGCTGCATTAATTAACTACGCGGTCAATGCTGGTCTCCCCGTACTAGTTTTTCCGGAGTAGTTCCTCGTTCTTCATAATTATTTCTTGGAGGGGAAGCAGAAAACAAAGTACTATCCACTCTCCACCAGAAACACAAATAAGTTAAATTGTTAAATTAATAATTTTGATTAAAAACTCTCCCCGACAGATGTCGCTCGGACCCTAAGAGCTTCGAGACACGGCAAATGCTGCGCCGCAATATAAACGGCCTGCATGCCATGACTCGCGCCCCTGTATACTACGCGTTGCACTACGGAGTACCTAGGTTCAAAAAATCGCGGCATTTCCACCTACGGTGTAGGGACGCACAACTAGCCGATGAATATTTAATGTTTATATAGTAGGTACCAGCTTCAGGGCATACCTGCTTTGAAGTTGACTGGCCACCTGGTAGAGATTAAGTACGACCTAAATCTATGCGAACTGTATAGGCAAAGTTCGCAGAATACCCATCACAGAGTCCTAAGAAACAACAGTCTAAACTTGGCGTTGATCATAAGATCAATTATGTTCTTAATAATACAACATCTAGCTATTGCAACTACTTTTGCTATGACTAAAAATCTTTATAAGTCTGAATACTCTGTTTGGATATATAACTATCTAAGTATGTAAATATCATGACTAATGAACGGCAGAATCTGGTCCGTGGATTCCAGCAAAAAGTCTTTATTTTGTTGCATTACTGTGACCCCGAGTCTTCCTCATATGCCTGGTTCACTTGGCACAGCACCTAATCGATCGTATCCGCGATTCGCGTCGCCGAGCTACTGCCATTCCGATGCGGCCGAAGGGGCAGACAGATCCCACTTCCGCGAGAAGAAGGAGATACAACTCTGCAGCGGCGAGCGTTACAGAACCTGGAAAAGGCGCAGTTGATATGTTCTGACCCTCGAGGTGACGGATTCCACTGGTATATAACGGTGCCGTGGCTCACGCTCTCGACTGCTATCGTGGAGTGCAATACCTGCACCGACGTGGGGCTTCTTCGTCGGGCATGGCCTGTGATCGAAGCTTCGCATCGTCAGCACGAGGAACCTGGGACATTACAAAGGTATCAGCTGTCTCAACCCCCCCCTGGCTAGAGCTGGTAATTCAGTCAAACCCGCACAACAGCCTGTGACCACTCACGTCGCTCATGATGCCGGGAGCGTCTGTATCGATCCATCCCTGACGAGAAATAGTTCGCTAACTGCCGATTCCACCATGGAGTCCGAGGCGTCGTCCGTCGAACCGGGGCAGCTGTTTGTACAGCAACGCCGGGATTTGACGTCGGTGTCAATGAACGATGTCATGCCTGCTTCTCAACTGCATAATCTGATTCAGCCAGGCATCTTTGAACAGTCATGGGTAACAACCGATCCAATGAGCCCATATTCATATCTAGTGGGAGTTAGCGATAAGAGTCATGGTGCGGGAAACCTTACCACGTCTGCCTACTCATCGGGAACTGTACAGAACAGATAGTTAGCTACCACTTCGGATGGACATTGGTAATTCCTGTTTGAAGACAAAAAATCGCCGACTCATAGGTATTGTTATCAACGTAGAGACGACTACCTAGGTGCGCAGTAGGCCTGTAAAAGCCGAGCCCGAATGATGGATCCCCATTGGACAGCCCGTCGGGGCCGTCAACGGCACGGCCCCGAAGGATGGTTGCATCCGATTGGACGATGTGTCGGTCCTTCCGGGCCGAAGCGCAAACACACCCGGCGATTGGCTGGATGATATGCCCAGCGAGCTGTTTTGGAAGTAGGTATATATAAGTTATGCCTACCCTACCTAGGTAACCATTGAGGCCAACATTCAGAAACACTCTTCATCTCAATCTACGTGATACATTTTCCAAGATGAAAGAAAGGAGATCAAGCGTCTCCGACAGGGGGTTGTTCCATGAGAAGAAAGATCTCGAAGCAGCCAAACCGACAACTCCACCTGAGCCATCTCTCGACGCCGAAGCAAACAGAGACTTGGATCTCGTAACATGGAGCGGACCAAATGATCCTGAAAACCCCAAGAACTGGCCCAACGGTTTGAAGTGGAAAGTTACCTGCGCTGTTTCCCTTTTCGTCTTCATCTCACCAGTCTCCTCATCCATAATTGCTCCCGCCCTGCAAGACCTTGGCAAGTCCTTGAGGATGCACTCTGATTTTGAGACATACCTATCCATGGCCATCTTCATCCTCGCCTACGCCATTGGCCCCATCTTCTTTGGTCCAGCTTCGGAGCTCTACGGCCGCGTGCGCCTGCTTCAGGTCAGCAACGTATGGTATCTATCCTGGAATCTGGGGTGTGGCTTCGCCCAGACAAAGTCCCAGCTTTTGGCTTTCCGTTTTCTTGCGGGTATTGGTGGCAGTGCGCCGCTTGCAATTGGAGGAGGTGCCATTAGGTTAGCAAAGAATGAAATCTCCGACAAATATTACCTCTGCTGACCTGATTTGCAGCGACATGTGGAGCGCCGAAGAACGCGGCAAGGCCATGGGCGTCTACACTCTTGGGCCGCTTCTCGGACCTGTCATTGGACCCATTGCGGGTGGCTTTATTGCCCAGTACTCGACATGGCGCTGGGTCTTCTGGGCTACCTCTGCCGCCGCCGTTGTAGTCCAAGTCGCCGGGTTCATCTGGCTGCGTGAATGTCACCCGGCCACGCTCCTACGCAAGCGACGCGACTTTCTCATCCAGCAGACGGGCAACAGCAATCTGCACACTAATGAGCAGATAGAGACGCTTTTCTGCAGGCTTCTACATGCCTTCGAGCGGCCAGTCCTTCTGTTTACAACGCAACCTATCGTCTTCTGTATGGCCATCTATATGGCCTACCTCTTTGGCACAACGTACCTCATGTTTGCAACGTTCCCTGAAATCTGGACAAAGGTCTATAATGAGAGCCCCAGTATCGGTGGACTCAACTACCTCTCCATTGCTATTGGGTCATTTATTGGTCTCTTCTTTAATCTTAAGCTAGTCGATCGAATCTACAAAACCCTCAAAGCGCGAAATAACGACATCGGTAAGCCCGAGTACCGCATGCCGTCAATAGCGGTGGGCTCCATAATTAGCACTATCGGTCTCTTCTGGTACGGCTGGAGTATCGGGAATACGCACTGGATTATGCCTGATATCGGTGCTCTGATCTATACCGCTGGCACGATTTCCTGCCTCCAGGGCATGCAGACGTATATTGTCGACAGCTACCAAACCTACGCGGCCAGTGCCATGGCGGCTAGCGCGATCCTACGCAGTTTATGTGGTTTCGGGTTCCCTCTCTTCGCCCCGTACATGTATACATCTCTCGGATATGGATGGGGCACGAGCGTGCTGGCCTTTATCACCATGGGTTTTGGGTGGTCGGCACCTTTTTTATTCTGGTTCTTTGGACCTAAGCTTCGTGCAATTTCCAGGTACGCCGCTGGCTAAATGTGGAGTGGATTGTGATATGTGAGATGGTGTGCTAGACACAGCAGGCGGTCCAAATAGCCAGCATTTCCAAGATTTCGCACACCAGGAGTTTGGCTTTTTACAGCCCATGGTATTGAAAGACGTAGTCATGTTTGCCCTGTATACTAATTAAATTTATCAAACAATCCTCTTCTTGATGAGTTTGTGTTGGACCTGTTGTATAGCTGCTCACATGATCCCCCACTGCGTATTTGGTCGAGCTTCCACCTCCACTACATTCCTGAATACAAGGGCTTTAACACCGATAGAGCTGTCATATTCAGCCAGCACTCATCAGTTTGTCAAGATATGAACAGCCAATGCTCAGCTACATGAATCATTCAACTCATCCCACTTCCATGTGAAGAATTCCCTCACAAGGTACCACGACAAGCACTGCGGCTCCTAGATGCCCAGATCAATGGATTGATAAAAAGTTACAGTAGTTTCAACATTATTATAGTCGCCTGACCGCAGTTCCTTTTTTTTTTTTTTGTCTCGCTGATGTTGTGCCTCCACCACCCGCCATGACCAGTTTCGCCACGAAGCTAAGGTCTATGGCTTCCCATTATTGTCTCAGCAGTTCCTGTTTCAGAAGCCGTGGCCTAATTGTCAATGCGGGCCTTCCCAAAACCCGCCTATAGTTGAATAATTTTCATTCTTTGCCGACGGAAAATGAAGTGGAGTGCCGCATTTTGTCAGTCGCAGTCTGACGGTGAGGCATGACGTTGTAGTGTGTAATCCACACAGGTTAGAAGTCTATTCACGAGTGGTACTGATATAATATAATCTTGAGAGCCTTTGGTCTAGGGAACCTTGGAGTAGTACTACTGACAAACCTTTCGACTCTAGTTAACCTGCGTGTGGCCCCGTGTAGTCTGGCTATTAGAAGCTTAGTTGGACTTCTTTCAACCTTGTCCTCCTTCTCCTGCATTGATCCTGATCTATCGCTCCAATGACCATCAGTTACCTGGAAAATGTGGACTCTTCCCTCACCGTACGATTTCTAGCTTTCGTCTGGGTAGTGTACTATATCGGAGGGGCATGAAATCTTCACAACTACGACCAGAGACGCGGTCGATTCCGTGGAGTGAAGACAGACCCGTACCATGGCGACAAGAATCCCCTTCGACGAGTCCTTTTGGCAGGAATACCTCGCTGGTCAAGAGGCACAACTGCCTGCTCTTGCGGATGTGGAAGATATCAGTGACCGCGTAGTCCGCGTTTTCGCAGACAACCCGGGAGCGATGCAGTTGCAAGGCACGAATACGTATCTCGTTGGAACGGGCACGTCACGGATCCTGATTGACACTGGTGAAGTAATTCTCAGTCCCATCCCTTCCATGATATGCTGCAAGATCAGTTTCTAAGAGCGCGTGATTCCCCCCACCTAGGGCTTGCCAATCTGGATTGACTGAATCGTGAAGCTCCTCGAGGAACGTGCCCTCGATATTGCCTTCGTTTTGCTCACGCACTGGCACGGAGACCACACAGGTGGCGTGTTTGATCTCGTCAGACACGACCCGAAGCTGAAATCCCGAGTTTATAAGAACCAGCCCGACCGCGACCAAAACCCTATTACCAACGGACAAAGATTCCAGGTCGAAGGCGCCTCTGTCCGAACCGTTCTCACACCCGGCCACTCCATTGATCACATGTGTTTCTTGTTGGAAGAAGAAAACGCCCTCTTTACCGGCGACAACGTGTTGAGTCATGCCTTCTCAGTTGTCCAGGACCTCGCGGAATACATGAAGAACCTTGCGCGCATGGAGGAGCTGGCATGTGTGATCGGGTACCCTGCACATGGCGCCAAAGTTGACGATTTGCCGATGAAGATGCAGGAGTACATCAAACACAACGAGTTGCGCGTCCAACAGGTCATCTCGACATTATCGTGGAAAAGAGCGATGACACTTCCCGAAATCGTAAGGTCCATCTATGGAGATGTACCAGCCGAGGTCGTTGACAATGCCATTGTTCCCTTCCTGTCGCAGGTTCTTTGGAAGCTTGCTGAAGACCGAAAGGTTGGATTTCAGTCAGGACATTCGAACCAGAGGCGATGGTTTGGGCTGTGTTCCGATGGCATGGTATCGTACAGGTGAAGATTGCTGTCCAGTGAATGAGAGTCTGCTATATAATGTACAATCCAATGGCATGTGCCTGGGTATCACATTTCAGTCAAGTATAAGCAAACATGTAGCTGAACGTATGTACTCCCGTTGGTCCTGAAGGGTTCGAATCCTAGCAGGTCCCACTATACGAACTGTTGTGAATCTACAGTAGGTCAGAGAGATTGGCAGTGAATAGAGTATTGAATTGGATGAGCGAACTTAGTACTCGGGATTTTTCTCTGTGAGAAGACACAAGCAAGGACTTCCCCGACCCTTCAGATAAATCTCAGGTCAATCCCAACACCCGCCCCTTTGTTCACCTAAGCAGAGCAACTCGCCGCTAGTTGAATGTTGAATATCTACCACATTAACATTCCTACCAGGGTCAACCGAAAAACATGCAAACGTTGGGGCACATGTCTGGTTCGAACTGGGTCGTGGGAACCGTGAGGGGAACGGCAGTACGTCACACTAACCTCCGTCGTCCCATCTGTCAATTTTTCAGTATAGCATCATACAATGTGATCAGGCAGCCGATTTAAGACGCCGCTTCTCTGCAATCTCTCGCCACTCATTCATCGATCGATGCAGTACGTAAAAGCGGGACCTCGATCTTCGAACTGCATCCTGACGTTTTCTTCCAACACCAGAATAGTAAGCTGCGACAGCCCTCTCCAGGCTCGATTTCCCAGATATAGCTGCCGCAAGCTCAACGCTATCTACCAACGCATGGTTTCCACCTTCCCCGCCGAAGATGGGCATTGCATGCCATGCGTCTCCAACGAAGACGACCCCCAGCTGCGCACCACGAAGGGCCTCGTCTGTTGTCATATTCACGCAACGGCTAATCCAGTGAAACACGGAATGTTGTTTGATGGCCTTGGGATGAATATATCGTGCCCATGGATCAGCGAGCTTAAGAGATGCTAGCTCATCCAATAGTGCCTGTGGAAGCTCATTTGTTCGGTGTGTCGCCTTGGAAGCTGGGCAAAACAAGTTGTCATTTGCGCCACGAGCTGGCCGAGAGTATGACCAGTCTAGATACACTTGATTCCTGTCGATGTTGCAAATGGTGATGGGTGTGTTGAAGCCATCGCCAACCCCGGCTAAAATATTGGCGTCGCCGCTCAAGGGTCTTACAAAGCGGTCGAAGTCGTCTCGTGAAACCTGGAACTCGCCGTGATACACCACGGCGGGAACCACTTCGGGAACGATGTGCGGAAGAATCTGTGATCGTACTGAGTGCAATATTTAGTAATTTCGCGTTGTTTGCATATGTTGTTCACCCCCTACATACCTGCTGAATGCACGCCATCACCAGCGATCACCAGCCAGCCCTGATACTCGGCCCCATTCTCAAAAATGGCCCTCATGTTCCCGACTGACCCAGAGATGCTTTTAAGCCTATGCCGGTATCTCACGTCCAGTTCTTCGTTGCCACAATCAGCTATCCAGGCTCGTAGGGCATTGCGATTAGCCCGCACAACGGTGGGACGAGCGCTAGTTTCAGGCGCGACTAGCACTTTCCCTGTCGTGTTATCGCGCATCGCCAGATCAACCCAGCCACTGCCGCCGACGAAGCGGTCCGGCGCAACGGCCTTGGTCATGCTTCGGAGGGACAATCCACCAAGGGCTTCTAGTAACGGAGAATAGCCCCAGTCGTGCAGAGAAATGGCAAACCCCTGGCTACATTCCGGGGGAGAGGCTTCGAAAACAATGTTGGCAATGCCATTGTTTTTTAACAATCGTCCAACAGCAAGGCCAGATAGACCCGCTCCTATAATGAGGATAGGGCTGGCACCGGCCCCCTTCATGTCGTTTGTCGATGCGGGTGATGGCATGATTCGAATGCGAGTATCCTTGCTGAATGACAGGTGATATATGGGCTTGTTCGGCTATTCGCCCATTTGAACTGTTGTATAGACTCTGCACGGGCTTTAGGTAGTTAGATTACTGATTCGCGCAAAATCCCCCAAAATCCGATGTCGCCGGCCAAATCAAAGCCCGGGGGCGAATGCCGCCCACTCATCCCAGACCGGTTCCTCAACACAGTTGACCCAGTCTGAAGGATCAAATCCGCTATTTAAATTCAGGTTTGTCCTATCAATGTTGCCGAACAGTTCATCAAAACTAAATGCACCGTCCTTGGTGGTTTCCTCTCCCTCATCCCTGCTGCCTTGCTGCTTTCTGACTTTCGGTTCGTGCTGAGCACGCAGCGCGGTTATGAAAGCCGGCTCTTGAGACAACTGACTTGGTGGATTTGCAAGCCAGGCCTTGAGAGTTACCTTGCCAATTGTGACATGCAGGGTTCTTCTGCTCTTGACAAGTTCTTTGTGATTTGAATAGACATCCGCAACCTTGTTCCATGTAGTATTAAGCTCCGAGGTTGAGTAGAATCCGACATCTGTGAGGCTACGCAGAATGCAGAGGAGGGCATCCCACAAGAAGAAAGCTTGCATCTGCCATCGGAACTTCTGCATGCTGGGGTTTCTGTATATGGCGCTGGTTGTGTCGAGGATCCTGGCTGCAAGAGCACATATATCCCTCCTTTGCGGATCGGTGATGGTTTGCGTCATAAGCAGCGGCATTCGAGCGCGCAGCCGAACAGCATTGGTCGCAGATCGGACGATTCCAGTGGTTAAAAAGTGCAAAGGTTCCACAATATCGCAATATCGAAGAAATTTAACCTCGATGAGATCCTCGACCTCATTAATGAGTCTCTCGACGTCCTCTGCATCCCTGAATTGAACTGTGGCACTCATTTCTTTTAATTTGACGCCAGTTCGGGTATAGAAATTGGACAGTTCGATCCGAGACAAGCAAAATATCATTTCTGTGGCGCCTCTCCGCTCGAGCGGCGGCTCCGTCATACCAGGGAAAATCTGATCATCATTGATATTTAAGGGTGGCTTAGTATCCCAGCTATCCGGCGATATAGAGATACCCGTACCGGAAACCTGGCCCGCATAGCCGTCCAGCGGAAGCAGTTGCCAAAAGAGTCGACGTCGCATCTGAACCTCGAAGGGTGGCAATCCAAGCTTTTCGCTGTCACGGTGGAGCCCCATGCGTTGTGCGAGGCGAACTGCAATGCCCGTCAAAATCCAAAATGTGTCGGGATCGATTTGAGTGCGCATGGCAATGAGGAATAGTGTATAGGCCTGTAGTACCGGCATTGCTGTAGTTTTTAGCCACGACGCGTTAACAAGTGCCTGGCAAAAAGTGGTCTGATATTTCGACATCAAATGGCTCCTTGATTGGTTAAACTCTTGCAGACAGTCAACGTCCGACATGGAGAACACGGCGAAATAGTAGATGACAAAAAGCAGGCATTCGTCGCTGTTCGAGGCCACAGAGGGTTGCTTTGAAACGGTATCGACCATTCTTGCAACAGTTGGGACATGAAGAACCTTGCAAAGGGGGTCCACATTTTGCACGTATGTATCCCAGAGCTTCGTTGCGTCCTCAGGGTTAGGGTGTTGCTCAGTGATGCTCAGTTTGCTTTCGAGTATGGTTCCAGAGATTGCGTGTGCTGCGAGAACGCCAAGAATTCCAGCCGGGCTGCTCTCACCAGCTCCGGTGTCGTCGTTGTGGTTGTTCTCCGAGTCTAAGTCGGATACTTCACACAGGCTGCCCTCTCCAGCATGAAGGAGAACATTGTCAATATAGCGAGACTTGCCGTCGGCTGCCAGAAATTTACCCGTGCTGACGAGTGGTGAGTCCGGTATTTGAACCGCCTCTGTCTTCTCGCCGGATGGGGTCGATGCAGAGGTCGTAGGCAGAAGATTGTTGTCGTGTAGGATGCGCTCGTACCGCGCTAGTCGCTCATGAAGGCCTTCGGACTGGCTTCGCTTTCTCTTTCGCGGTAGGGGAGCCTGGTAGACGCAATGAAGCCTTGCCTTACTACAGCTTGAACACGTTGGCACAGTCTTGTCGCATTTGATCTTCTTGCGAACGCAAGCTTGGCAGTTGAAGCTCGTTCTGGTCAAGTCTGGGCCTAGGCCAGAGCCATTTTGGAGATCGACGGAGGGTGTCCGAACTGGCGCGGGGGCAATCGGGGCCAGGCGCGAAGCGACAATATTCGCATTCATGGCTAGGAGATAGTACTGATGGCTTGAGCGCTTCACGTCTCTCAAGATGCAGGTGGGTGATATACCGATATGATGTCTTGGTGAGGGAAATGTCATACACTAGTCCATATTGGGACATCATGTGAACTATACTCAATGCCCCTCTATTGAAGGGCAGAGGCTTGGATCTTCAGTATTATGCATTTTGATGGGGAAACATGGGCATGCCATTCTACCACTTAGGTATGCTATTTGGTGTTCCGAGGATTTCTTGACTCTTGTGATATGCAGGGCTGCTCCCATAAACATCTGGGCTTGTGCTGTATTTCGACGAAAGCCCGCAAACATGGTTTGCGTGTTGGTGTAGCGGTAGCTACGGCAATTCCTTACTGGAGAAAAGGCAGTGGGTTTCGGAAGGAATAATAGGTTTACCTATTCGTCATTTTTGTGATGGCAGTGCTGGGTTTTTGGGGAGTGTGACGGGTAAAAGTGGACTAGGAGTGAAAAAACGGGCAAGGGGGAGATCGCTAGTTAGAGTGCAGTTTATTGAGATTACTCGCTCAGGGCACTCAGTCTTCCGCTTACCCCGTGCTCAGTGGTCGCCTCAGGCCGCTCAGGTCGTGCTCTGATGAGCGATAGCTCTGATAAGGCTCGAAAATCGGATGGAAACGCTTGATTCCTTCTAATACTACAACTGCAGAGGTTCTAGAGATGCAGCAGCCCAGTGTGGGTCAGCTGACTGACTAACTACGTGCAGCCTAGCGCCGCAAGCCATAGCAGGCTCCAACATGCTCAGGTCTACTCAGTGAGCAAAAAGCGGCGAGGGGTGAGCACTAAAACGGAAAGGGAAAGCTGTCGACCTGGCTAGAAAATCCAGTACGTATGCAGGTTCATGCGGGTCGATGAGGTTCAAGTTAGGTTCCGGTTCTGAGATTTGGAACCTATGGGCGGTTTAAAGCCAGGTCTAATCCCAATACAGTAGTGGTTAGCTCTTGATGAGAAGAGTTACAAGCAGTTAAGTAAAGCGAGAGAATGCAACTATACGCTATCTCTAAATTCTAGATTAGCGAGCTCCACGGAGATTGTTTTTGTCTTCCTGATCGGTGAACTTTGAGCCTTGCCTGTCGTGACCAGTTAGCTGTTGATGGCATTAGGTGTGACGGTCTACAAAGGAGCCTAGTAAAAGACTAGTTTGTTTATGACTCGTAGTCAAGGAATTTTCCCATGGAGAAGAAAGACTATCTAGGAGCGAGAATCTAAGGCCTCTATGTACTAACTGAGGCTCTGCCTCAGGCAGGAATGCATTCAGGAAGGGTTTTCCGTACTGGGAAGTTTGTATCGGAAGTCCGTATCGGGAAGTCCTTGGCTCAGGAGATAACATTAGGCTGCCCTCATGGCACGGCTAGTTGGCCAAGGGAAGTTGTTACATCTCTACGATGAAATGCTACTGGATTGTCTGCATACTTCCATCCGGTGGAGTGGTGGGGCCGGTAGGTTTGGGGAGTAAAGAGGAACGCGGCGGAGGGCTGAGAGAGGCTTGGACTTCCAGGCACTCTGGGGTCTGGATGAAGAGAAATCATCGAAAAGTTCATTGCTTTTTCTGCACGAACCGAGATCAGACCATCATAAGCTCGCATTAGGGATAATTGCTGGTCTATCGGTTTGGGGAAGACGTGAGATAGAAAGTCTAAAATATGGGAAAGAAAACGAAAAGAAGAAAAGGTAAAAAAAAAGCCCAAACTACAATTCTAACGCATTGAGCGATGAGATTGCGGAAGGTTCATTGATCTATGAAAAGCTTGTCTTCGTGCTCTCTTCTCAGTATTCCTTTTATCATCCCACGGCAGTCAAAGCAGGAACTAGAGATAGATGGTTGTGATAGTCTCAGCATTACACTTCACAAATTGATGCGATCCTTGAAAGCTTCAAGGCACTGATACCTACAAGCAAAGTAAGTGAAGGTCGTTACATGAAACCTTGGCTGACCCTCAGCATGGTTATTTCATGAGCAGCATCCATCTTTTGCTACCGTGGATAATCGACAGAAGCATGAAACGTTGACTGGGATATCAGCAGATGCCAAAGCAATATCCCGTGCAGGTTGAATGCAAGCAGCCTCTTGACTCTTTCCAAGGCGAGTGAAGCATTCGTATAAGCCCTGCAACCCCCAAACATTGTTGAGCTTTGCCTTGCGCCGAGGATAGCCAAGAGCAAAGCCAAGATCCTGTTTGAACAGAACTTCTGCTTCTTCAACGCGTCCTTGTTCAAGGAGCAACCCACCAAGTGCATGACGAACTGGCTGCATCCAAGGTGCCGGATCACTATAGGCGAGTGCATCCTCAAGCATAATGGCTTTCCGAAGGGAATGGAAAGCCGTCTCAATATTGCCCTTTCGGTATTCCAATTCACCAGCAAGCATAGCTGAGGCCACCGCGAGAACGTCTTCCTCCTTGCATGGAATGCTGTTGAGTCGAGAGCTAGGAACGGCCCTACGCGCTGTTTCGAACTCCACTTGAGCAGTTTCGGCTTCCGCAATCCGTCCAAGTGCGCTAAAAGCAAGTCCGCGGGTGTAAAGAATGGTGGCTGTAGTCACGCAATATATGTCGCGATTGGTGGGAAGCTTGAGGTTAAGAATTTCCTCCCAGCGCCCGAATCGCACTAGCACATGCGCCTTACTTCCCAAAAAGCTTTCAATAAAGTCTGCCATAGGGGGACTTTTAGTAGATAGAACCTCCGGGTCAATAACCTCTTCAAGCTTTTCTGCAGCAGACATCGCGTCCATGAAGCGGCCGGACATCATGGCGGAATACAATTTTGCACAAATGTAATGCACCCGGTAGGCCGTGTACCAAACTGTATCCGCTTCTCGGGCAAAATAGATATCATCGGCAAGGATCGCTTCTTGGTTCGAGTCGATACCCCGCCGATAGTCGCCAACCGCGGCGTCAATATGCGTCGGCATGTGTAGCATATGTGAAGCGTGCGGGACCATGCCACGTAGTCGATCTGCAGCCGGCAGGGCCAATTCTGGAAACGGCGACATTTCCATCATGTGTATATGCAAGTGGCAAGTTGCTGGATGATTGCGACCGCTGGGCTGGTTCAGTTGCAATTCAAGAACCTCCCGAGCCTCGATCGTGTGATTCCCGGTTGGTTTGCCGGTGTCCAAGTTCCACAGGCCACGCGGAGTGATGCACATCAGTGCTTCTGCAAATAGCGCAGCCACGTCTCCATCATTGCTGAACTTCTGATACACAGAACGCATCGCGTCCGCATATAGGCAGTCGAAAAGACTTAGATCCTCAGGAATGTCATCTGTCGGTGGGAAACGTGCGCCGATTGCCCCAATCAACGCTTGTTCGACTGGTGTGGCCTGGTTCGCGAGCTTTGACGCTTGGGTGAGGGCATCATTGACTTTCATGATCGAAATCTGACGATCTTCCGGGTCAAAATACCTCCACGCCTTGTTGTAGTTGGGCCCAGACGCATAAGCAATTCCCCATAGCGCCATAGCGCAGTTAGGATCACATTCGGCAGCTCGTTCAAAGCACCGGACTGCTTCGGTATGATTGAAAGAATAAGCCCATATCAATCCGCGATTGAACCACAATTGGGCTTCTGCAGACGAAGTAGTCACTGATCGACGATACGAACCAAGGTCGTAATAGGCCTCTGTGCCAGCTTTGGTGGGAGTAGTTGAGTGATCCCTAGTTGGATGTTAGAGTACCAATCATGTTCAAACTTTCATAGAGACTTACCGCATGTTGGGCTTGTCGAACTTGATGTAATTATTCACAACTCTAAAAATCATAAGATTGAAATATTCATCTGGGAAACGGGGTCCATTTTTATATGCGTGAATGTTAGTCAATGATTTATCAGCCGTCTATAATACATCACCCCCATCCAGGTTATTGCAAAGATGAGGGCGGCTATGGAGCACGCCACTGCATTACGTGGACTGGCGGGATGCCGATAAAGATAAGTCTCTAAACGGATGTTCTCCGAACTTGGGGAATACATAGCCTTGATATGTTCCACATTTGTATACCTGAAATGATGGATTGGTAATGCAGCAGGGTTAACTACTGGGTGTAGTTGTATTTGCTGTAGCCTGTGTGCTTCCACTGTCAAGAAAAGGTGACGTGACGAACGACTGAGGCGCTGTTGGGTGTAAGAACTAGGGAATTTTTCTGTTTTTATCGTAGCCAAACCCCACCTATTGAAGTAAGATTGGTGGTAGAATTGATGATCATTGCTGTGAGAACTAACTCATTTTCCCATGTTTCAAGCTGCACTATGAATTACACATACACTCTGATGTTTTCGGCATCCCACCTGGTAGGTTACACTGGCACGGCTCTATGTGGGGCTTCCTGTCCCCAATCTGTCCCAAGTCGTCTAGATTCTCCGTCAAGACTCGGTTTGCTGATTAACCGTAGAACTAACGTATTTCACCACCGAGTCGGCCACACCACCGAGTCGGCCACCTCAGTATTCCCTATAAACCGGCCATTTT